ATTTAAATAAAGTACTTCCAAGTGATACATATACTTTTTGTATATAAAATTTTCTATAACTATTGTTAATTAGAAAATATAACTTTTATATATTACAACAAATGCTTTTTCTCATAATAAGTTATTTATTATAATGGAATTAAAACATAAATTATATGATATTCTGTTAACCCTATATGTTCCTATTGCATTAGATTAATGAGAATTCCATAAATAAATGATTATGCGTAATATGAAATTATTAGTATAAGCTATGTCTAATTACATTTAAATATTATGAAAAAAATATTATTTTATTTCATAGTATATCATTTAATTACCATTTCATTTATTAATACTCTATAGTGAGAAGTTATACAACTATAATTAGTTACGAGAGTAATGTACCAATGGAACATATTGAATCAATATATGTGGAGGTATATTTGCATTTGTTCTTAAAAGGATATTTGATAAATTAGTATCATAATTGCATATATTTCTTGAATCATAATATATAATTATATATTTAATACTAGCTTTATAAAATTCTAATAATTAACACATTTTTCAGAATAAAGACTCTGAAAAGTTATCTTCATGTGAGAAGTATAAGGAATTTGATGCATTGAAAAATTAGTATTCTCACTGTGAAAATTTCTGTGAAAATTATTACAATAATATGTGTTGTAATAATTTCTGTAACAGTTGTTTTACTAGTGACGTTATGTGTGATAATAATAACAATAATAATTGTGATGATAAAATTAAAAAATATAAAGAGGATACGTGTAAGGGAATAATATAAGAAAATTATAAAAAATGTAAAATGTTTATCTGTAAGGAACATTCACAAGAACCTTTTAAGAAATACAGAGAACCTATTAATTCAGAAAATTTTTATAAGGAATTAGATGAATGTGATAAAAATAAGGATTTAGGAAATTTATGGGAAGGTTATGAATATTGTAAAGAACAAAGACATGATGGGAATCTTCCATAAGGATGTAGGCTATTTAATAATTTAAAATTATGTGGAAAATATGGAAAATGTAATAAGGATCTCTTCAAAGAAAAATTGCAGGGAAAATACCAGGAAACATGCAAAAATATGTGTATTGGATTAATAAAATCATTTGACCTTCTGACACATGAAAAGGATTTAATCGAAAATTGTTCATATTTTAGTTATTGGATATATGAAAAATTATGGAAATAATCTGATAATGATACTAATGCTAATCTTTATCCTTGTGTTAGTGATGTATTACAGAAGTTAATATTTAGAATTAATTATAAATATTATATACCGAAGAAGCCGTGTCACTTTTATTTTTATGAGACATACAATGATTGGAAATACGAGAAACAATTACATGGATATTTTAAAAAATATGCTAACATCAAAAGTAAAAGCAGTGTTATTGAATCTGAAAGGGGGAAATATTGTGAATATGTTACTTACATCATTAAACTATATAACAATTATTTAAGTGATTGCAGCTTGTACTTTTTATCTGAAATTTTTTTGATCGCTATCCAAAATTTTTTAAATGTGATAAAAAATATAGTCCATATAAATTAATAAAAGGATTAAATTTTAGTGTGTCATTACCGGAATATCCAGAAAAATTAATACAAGAATTAATAATAGACCGTGATGTTATAAACAATAGTATAAAAAAAAAGTTAAAAAGTAATAATGAATTACATGAATCCTTAGAAACAGTGGAATAATTAAGCATTAATCGTGATGTCATGAATAGAAAACTAATAAAAAATATGGAACTATAAGAAAGGATCTATTTTCTATTACCATATTATTATCTTTAACGTTTTTAGGAATATTATGCCTTTTTTTTTTATTTTACAAAGTTAGTAAAAAAACAATTTCTTATTTTAAATAAATTATAAATACTCATTAATAATTATGGAGTAAAATTAAATATATATATTATAGAAATAATATACACTTTCTACGTCACCATATTATTTATTAGTTTATCCCTGTAGGAAAATTAATTGTTAGGAAAGCAAATAAAAAAGAGAAAATGAATAATTATTATCAGAAAAAATTTGAACAAAAATTATCATCAGTGAAGTTCAAAAAAATGATGGGAATGTTCAAATTAAAATTGCTTATAATATTAAATGTATGGACTATCCTGAAATCATATTATCCAATATACTTGAAAGATTTAATCTTCTATAATAATCGCTTAAATATATCCATTATTAAATACTTATTATATATAAATAAAAAGAAAGGAATCTAAGCATATTTTAACAAAAGAAACACTTACCCCTTTTTTTTTTTACATGTATATATTTTTTCATATTTAGTAAAATGCTATTATTTAATACTTTCATTTATATTGTTGAATATGTTCATATTATAAAACATGTTTTGCTTTTTCTTATTGCAATATTCACACATATTAATGATTAATTTTTATTTTAAGCACAAATAAAAAGTGATAATTATATTTATATTTAAAGTTTTTCGTTTTTCTTTTATAACTCATATAATAGCTTAGGACGTCAATGGATATTGATATATTCAAACATTTATGAAAAGAGGAGTTATATATTATGATTAAATTTTGTTAAAATGTTAAAAAAAATATATGTTACCATAAGAAAAAAAGTATTAATTTTCATCTTTTTTGATATTCATAGATGAACAGGGAATTATTTTTTAATGAACTTAGAGACTATGTAATATATAATGGCAATTTTACATATTAACGAATTTTTTATGTTTCTTAAAATGAAATAGGTTATATATATTATAAAATTTTATATAAATTCGATTTGTATATTTAATGGGACATACATGGAATAGTATATTATATATTTTATAAGGCATACCACAGTGGTTTTTTAAAGAATATTACTTTTGAAGAAATAATTAAAAGCATAAAAATGTCACTAAATATTATCGCACACGAAATTATTAAGAGTACATAAATTCATAACAAGAAAATCTTATATTATTACTAATAAGGATCAATTATATTCCAATTCCTATGTTTGCATCATTGATTATATGAAGTTCAACATAAATAACCAGAGAAATGTACATAAATGCATAGATCATTTAGAAATAAAAAATATTAAAGTGCTATAAAAAAAATATAAGAAAAATTATTTATAGGAGCCGCAAAATTAATTGGACCATTTATATATACTAGAATAAGTATGTGATATGGATGAATAACACACAGTTTTCCAAATATATGTATATTCATTTAATAAGACATTTAATGATTCAACATTATTAATGCATTTATATCGATGAGTACTCTAAAAAAATATAATACATAAAAAATCGAACATACAATATAATATAATTTAAGTATACATTTTTTGTTAAATTTAATGAATAATATTTACAATGTATTTCTTTCAATCCTTAATATAGTGATGATAACAAAATAAAAGTAAATATGTTATAATATATAAGGATATGTGAATTAGTGTGAAGTAAATATTATTCAACAAAATAAAATGCAAAAAAAAGTATATATAATACTATATAAATAATAATATTACAGAATTATGGTAATATATAAATAACAACTTAAAACAAAATTTTGAAAATTTTAGAAAGAGCGAGAAATTTATATTTTTTCCCAGGACATTTCTACTTCTAAAACATTCTCAAGAAGGAAAAAATAAAATTTGTTCCATATATACTTGTTAGAGTGGCACTTTTATGCATCACCTGTTTCCATTTACACTAATATTTTTTTTTAATTTATATGTTACCTTGTAATATTATGAATTTATGTGTAACACATTGTAATGAATAAACAAATTCGTATAATATTAAATATGACTGAATATAATGTGTAACAAATTATAAGGATTAAAAAAAATGTACTTAATTAAAATTGAATTTAATTTAATTATACGTAAATTTTTTAAATAAGCATATTAAATATTTAATAGTAATTATAAAAAAAAGTAATATACCATAGAATAACAAAATTTATAAGAGGTAATTTATTTTTGAGTAATTAACAATAAAAAATAAATTTCATTATATACTGAAATTAATGCTTGTGTAATATAAAAATACTATTTTATTATATTTTTATATTATTTCACAATAAATATAATAATATAAATTAAATATAAAAAATTAACACTCATAATGTATAATGGAAGATGAATGTATATTAGCTATATTTATTTATAAAAGGAAACACTATTATAATAATTAATTATATATGTTTTTATTAAGCAAGTAAAATGTATATATATAATTATAATATTATATTAAACGGCATAAGGTATTTATTTTTATAGTTATTATATATTAAACTTTTAATACATATAATGTAATAGAGGTAAATATAATTGTAATAAATTACAATTATATGTTCTTAACAGATTCATTATCTTTTATATAAGAATAACGAATTTGATAAACTATTAAACCATAAAAAATTCATGAATAAACACACAAAATAATAAAATATTAATAGATAGAATAAATATCCCCATTACGAAAATACAAAATGGGTCTATATATTAAGTATATATGTATTCACTATTATACAAAATATCCTTTTTATAAATTAAATTTTTGAATGAAAAAGAAAATAAAAAATTATTAATTTAAGAAATATACCATAAGAATGTGTAGTTATCGATAACCTAAATAAAAGCATTGCCTTCGTTATAGTCACAAATCGAATTCCACAGTACTTTTGCGAATTAAATTTATATAAAATAATTTTAATCGCAAGATATTGCCTATTATTTAAATCATTATATGTATATTATTTGTTTTGTATAAAATAAATTCACTTGTACAATTTCAGTACTATAAAATATTAATGATTTAACATATTGTTATTTGTGCTTTATAATTTATAAAAAATATTTTAATATATAATAAAAATGTAATCTTGTACGCAATAAACATATAATGAGTTATTTATTGTTTATATCCTCAAATAATTCTTTAAATATATGATGAATTTTTTTATGTTAATGTATGTCTGCTTAATATGGACAATTATCTTAAATCATATATTGTAGAAGTAAAAAAACCTTTTCTATTATAAATGAAGAGCCACATAAATGCTAATGATGGAATTGAAAACAAATATACATACGCTTACAATTATGCAAATAAAATTATTTATTTATATAATACATATTTTATATTTAATCGATAGGAAGAAACTAGGAAAAAGTTACCAGCATATGTAACATATAAAAAACTCAAGGACAAGGTGCACGTGGTAACATCTTCAATTTTTCCTGAACTTTTCGAAAATTTAAAAGATAATGAAAGAGCATATATTAATGAGATTGTAGATTTTTGTAGTGTATTTTCATGGAATTTAAAATATTTGTCTAAGGTTATAGATAATATTTTAAATCATGATGATCAGTGCTCCTATTTGTCTTACTGGGCATATGAAAGAATAAGGAATATATTTCCTACTAAATCAGATTATAATAGAAATTCACATATTATTAATAAACTAAATGACATAGTTATTAGAATTAACAACAAAGTATCTACGAATAAACCGTGTTATATATATTTTGGAAAGGAATTCGATGAATGGGATGATTGGAAAAAATTACATGATTATTTTAAAAATAGTGAATATATTCTTAGTGTCATCGATAAATATAATTTCGATGAAGGAAAAAAATTTTGTAATTATGTTAACCATATTAAAATGTTATATGAAAAATATGAAAAGGGGTGTTGTTTATGGAGTAACTGCAGTGATTATATTAATTGCAATGAAAAGTATAATCCAAGCGAATTATTAAAACAATTAAAATGTGAAGATTATATTATTGAACAACCTACCAATGTAGCAGAACTGCTAGATTCATCTGCTAAATCTAGTGAAATTCCTAAAAATCCGGAACTAGAAAATAGTATGAGGATTAATTATCTTAAATGTTATACGTCTCACAAGGATGAAAAAAAGGAAGAAGAACCGGAAAGTACAATTGCACAATGTTATTACTTGATTCCTAGAGGCAAGGAGATTCATAAGCCAATGGCAGTTACCATACCTGGGAAAAGAACCAATACTAGAAGAAATTTATCTGTTCTTTGGACTGTTCCATTAGCAGAAGAGACATATAGAGAATATAGAATTAATACTGATGAAAAAAATCTTGTTATTAAATCTAAAGAATTTGAAGAACATTCTAAAATAGAAACATCAAAAGTTTACTCGCCGAATAATTTACAGAATTTAAGTAGCGATGGAGACCATATGAGAAATAATATTTATTCATGGGGAAATAATGGTTCCAATATCTCTGATAATTCATGTAACAATTTATTTTGTAATCCTACTCGTGTCGTAGTTTTGGTTCTTTTAAAATTAGGAATATTCTTTGTTTTTTTCATTTATTTCAAAGTAAATAAAAAAAGCTTCATCCATATAATTATTCTATACTATTATATATAATGAATGCTTCCTAATAATATATAAATGTAAAAGTAGTTATTATACATACTTTTATCACTGTTTAAATTTAGTTTACTCCATTTGGAAATTGGATAAGGAACAAATTACTTAAAAAAAAAAAAATTAATTATAATTATAATCAAGAACGCAAGAAATTAGGAGAAAGCCGGAACAATTCTTACAAAAATAATTTGAAAAACAAGAGAATAAGCATATCTTATGATTCTAATGAAAGATAATACAAATTGTTTTAAGTATCTCAAAAATTGCTTAAATACTAATTTTTTATAGAACAAATAAATTACGTACTTTCTTCGCATTAGATAAAAAGGATTTAAAGTATATATTTTTATATATAAATAGATTATTTTAATGCATATATCTTTTTAGTAAAATTATAGGTTAAGTAGGAACTCTATTTATATAAAAATTACAATTTGGTGTTTTTTCAATTGTTATTCCATTTTGATTATAGTCTGCATTTTAGTATTTCTATTAAATGATTTACTATCACTATTTTCCTATACAATGAAAAATTGTATTATTATATTTATATATTTTTACTTTCTTTTTTCAATTAGAACTCATTTCATTAACCGTAATTCCTTATTTAGAACAAGTTTATTAATAATATATATATTACCAACGTTAAGTTCCATACTGTTTATGATAATATATTTTATAATTTTTATTTTAAAGTTGGACTAAAATTATCAATTAATTAAATTTTTACATTATATTATTACAATTTCATTTTTATTAGACATTTCCATAATACTAGTTTTGGATATTTCAATTATATTTTATATATATGAAACATGTAATTACACTACAGTAAATGACTACCATATATTCTTTTTTGGGGGGACGTTTATATTTTAATAATGAATTTTTTCTCTATATTGGAAATCATTAAATTTATTCCTTTGTTAATATACATAAATTATGTATATATTTTAACTTCTTATAAAGTTAAAATATACCTTAACTTATTATTTTTTCTCTCGTGAATCAATTTTTAACAGGGAGATAAAAATTTTAGTTTAATGTTAATGCTTCGTTAAATAATTTATATATAATAATACATTTACAAAAAAAATAAAAATAATAAATATGTTTAAGCATGCATGATCTATATTCTGTATACATATTTTAATTGTAATAAATATTTATCTTCAGTTTTAAGGTTTTTTTTTTTTCATGTAAGAGTTCATATTTATGATAAAAATAATATCTAGTGATAATATAGCACAATCACTTATTTTATGTGATTACATAAAATATTTTTATATTGCCTCTATTGATGATCATAAAATTTTCATATGTAGAATAAAAGATAATACTGAATTTATTTTAAATCGAAAATAGAACAAGGATCATAGTAACAATATTTATTTGCTTGCTCATTAGGAGTATATATTATGGTATAATACTTTATATACTCTTATTATTCATACTATATATATACTTTATTTCATATGATACATGCAAATTAAGTTGTAGTATATATTTTTGATATCTAAAACATATTATTACAAATTTTCATTTGTAATTATAGGTATTTGATAAACGTATCTATTTAATATGTCTTAATGGGCACATACAAATATTTATTAATTTCCGATAACTAATGTTATTATATTATACTATGGAACCAGGAAATAAAAATATGTATTTATCATATTTCTTTTATATATAGTGCACTATTTCAGAATGGTACACAATAATATTTAGATTTAGTAAAATTTTCTTAATTATAAATATAATAATGGTTATTCTATATAATATAAAATTTAAGCAATAATTTAAATGAAAGCCATTTGTTAAAAATATAAATTTTTTGAAGAAAAATTAAAAAATTATGTTATATGTAGTGGAATAAGTGTATTTAATAAGGAATAACAAATATTATTAACATAAATAATTGTCTCTCGAGGAGAATATTTATGTAACATATAATTTATGCTGTAAATTCAATTAAATATATATATTTATACTACATTATAAGTGCACAGAATAAATATATATATAATTATTCTAGTACGATTTAAATTTAGAATTTTTATAAGATAAGTGTTTATTTCGAGAATAAATGAATAATATATGAATAATAATTCCTAATATCTGGATGTTATATAATGAAAAAAACAAAAGAAATATTAAAAAATATTTTATTAGATCATACGATAAATTATACTTAATCTATATTTTATTATTTTTTTTATGGATATACCCTGTTTAACATAAATTTAATTGTTCTAATATATATTAATAGAAACCAATCCGTACATTTTTTGAAAGGCTATTCATTAAATATGTAGAGATAAATGTAAGCTTTTTCTGAATAAGTCTTACAATATAACGGTAAAATTATATTAAGATAGTATCATTTATATGTGTGTACATTTATTTTGCTTATACACAATTAAATGTAATAAAATACTTATATATATGAGTAATATTTTTTCTTCATTCATATAAATGAAAATAATATTAAGTATTTTCCTACAATATATTTTATGGGTATGATACTTTGTCTTGTATATAAGATATGTAATTATTATGGGTTTATTGAGATGAACATATTCGTAGTTCTCATATTTATCATGCACAATATTCCATTGGATTTTCTTCCCTTTTGTTGTAAAACGTAAGAACTTATCAAAAGTAATAAAATAATAATAAAAAGATATAGGTATGCTTTTTAGTATAATATTCTTATTTATAGGAATAATTTTATAATAAACCTTATAGAAAATGTATAAAATAGTACATATATTGCACAAAAGATTTTATGATCAAAGTAAATCTATTATTAAAATGGATATAAACCATTTTTGCTGGCATCTTACTTGAAAGACAATATTTTTAGAGACAATTCTATTTTATAAATATGCTAAATCTATTTCAATTGTATATTTTTATATGTGCACTTGTTGGAAATCTCTCCTTAAATAATTTTTGAAGAAAAATAAATTTATATTTAAAAAGCATCTATAATTAACTGATTACAAAATCGTGTTATAGGGGTAATATATTTTCAATAACATTAATATATACACTAAGATCATTTGTTGATAAGTAAACAACATGAATTACAATCTGATAATTTTAATGATAAATTTGAATTATAAGTATTATATAAATGTTTAGTATAATCAAAAAACTGCATCGCTGTTAAATTTACATCATTATTAATTTTAAAATTTTAGCATTCAAAATATTAAATAATGACATCTGGGTATAAGTTACAAAATATAAACTAGAAAATGTTAATAATATATTCATACACATCAAATATTCCCTGAATTTAGACTAACCAATAATTAATATTTTATCATTATTTTTTCTTTAAATACATGCATACACTGTTCTTTAATATTGATAATAATTTTTATTTAGTAACTAAAGAAATTATACAATATAATGTGTTTATGTAATCATGAATTATGTATCATTATTTTTTTTATAAAATATAGAACAATGTTCTTCATCTCATCATTCATTATGATCGTCTTGAATAAAAAACCATTAGCTCAAACACATGTAAAATTATCTTCCACATGTAAAAACAGAATATATGTTGTATTAATCCATAAATTTTCATTTCATTGAAATTATATTAATTTTTCTTTTAACGTAATGTAATAAAAGATTAATTATATATATAGCAAAGATATAAGTATAGAAAAAACATTATATTCAGCATTATATAATGAGACGTTGTTACAGTTACTATTAAAAATTTTTTTCATGTCCATTATATATATGTTTCTTAATATATTAAATGATATTCAAATAACAATGTGTGATCCATAAATTGGTATAATTAATTGATAAATTATGATTTATGTTTTATAATTTTATAAATTTAATTATTTTTTTAATAATATAAAATATTCATACAAAAAAATTTATGACAATTTTTAAGTTATATCCTAGCACTATGTAATTTGAATGATCTTAAGTGTGTAATTACTAAAAAGGAAAAATAGAATGCGTTCTTACAAGTTAGAACTATCATATATTTTCAGATATTAGTAGTAAATATATTTAATAATAATTATAATATATAATAATATTAAGTTTTTTTATCATTGTCAAAGTCATGAGTAGCAATTAGAATGAATAAATAAATAAATATAATATAGTTATATCTATTTATTCTAAGTGTCATTTTAGAGGAATTCATAATTTGCAGATTTAATCTTATAAAAATATTATATTATTCTTTTAGAAAAAATCTATTTTTTTATGTGTACTAAAAAATTATCTCATTATAACGGTTATAATTAATTTGTTCTAGTAATCATTACAATGTGTCTTAATTTCTCAATTTTGTTCAGTAAATATGGGTAAAATTAATATTAATTTAAAATAAACATAATCATACTTAAAAAAAAATTGATTCTTGACGATTATTTCTTTATTATTATATAAAGCTTATTTAACGTAACATAATTATAGGAATTCGCAGTATATTTTTCATACATTTTGTATTATTTTGGAAACATGTCTCTATATATAAATCCCATTTATCCTGTTACAAATGTAACATATATCCTCTTAGATGTTGGATCTATGACTTTTCATTTTGTATATTTTATTGTAGTAACATCCTTTAATGAATTTATATCAGAAAAAAAAAAAAAAAAAAAAAGGTCAATTATTTTTAACAGTAAAAAATTAAAATGATTCTAGAATTTATAATTCCCGTAATAAGGAATAAAAAATGAAAAAAAATATCTTCTATCTCTTTAAAATAAAAATACAGGTGAAAATATAAATAAAAGCTATATGATGCACCATATGTGTAATATATTATAATGAAAAGAATGTCTTAAAAAAACTTCTTATTCTAATTAAGAATGATGTATTTTATAAGACTATTTCAATTAAGTTAAAGTTTTAATCTTCCTTAAACTTATATTCGCTTATCCTACATTTCGCTTAGTAATCCTCAATACACATAACTATTTCAAATTAAAAAACGTATGTTGTAGTATAAATTTTTCATTTTTTTATAAATAATCAATTACAAAATTGCAACCTAATATCTTAAGATTATATTACATTGAAGTTATAACATAAAGACTCTATAATGTGGAAATATCTTAAGTATATTTTAGGATTAATACACTGAGTACACAAATATATATATGTATTATATATTTAATTTAAAAGCGATTCCTTAAACCTTATTCATTAGTTCATAAAGTTATATAACCATAAAAACATTCTAATAATATTAAGCTGTATATATAATGTTAAATATATAAGGTGAACGGATCGAGTTATATTTTAATATAGTGTATTCTAAAACAATAATATTATTGCTGTTTCAATTATGTTTAGATTAATATCAACTTTTAGAAGATACAGAACCCCATTAAAATAAGTAAATGTGAATATAGAAAAATGATAAAATTATAATAAAACTTATGATGTTAAAGTGACATATTTTTATTAAATTTAAAAAAATAAAAAATTGTGTAAGAAACATAATTTTCTAGTTTTAATATCTCTTATATTTTTTCTTTTCGTTCTTTTATTTTTTTTTACAAGAAATTTGAACGTAATTTTACACTTTTATTAATGATTCTTAGATCTTTATTTAATATTAAAAAATGTCGCATTTATTTCTATTTTGTATATACATTTAATGTGGCGTTTGCCAAAAAGATTTAAATTCATGTATAGTTAATATTTTTAATAATGGTTAAAGTAAAATATTCATTTCTCACATAATTTATTATTAGAAAAATGGAACATATTATTCATTGAATGTGAAATATAGCTTATTTTTCAAATAGTAAAATTATTTATAAAAAATGTATTCCTTGATTAACATTTTTTTATTTTAATGATAAGTTCTTATTTCATGTACTTTAATGGATGTAGTTTCAACATATATATAAATTTATCATTATGCAATGTGTATATAATTAGTTATTAATAATATAATATATAATAATAACACTCCAATGATCTCTACACAAATGTTTTATGTATATAATTTAAAACATTGAAAACATGTAAATATATTTAATAATGCTTAAGCCTTTTGTGTAGATTTTATGATAAAAAATACATTAAAATATAAAATCCGTAAATTAAAATTTTAATGGAAATGTATCATACAACTATGTGTAATAAATAGTATATTCATTTTTTCATCTGGTATAATGATAAAATTACTTATGCAAGTTCACTGTTACATTCCTTAGATTATGGTTTTATAATTGGACAAACCTACATTAAGTAAAATTCTATAAGTACTGTTTCTATTTTTATATAACTAAAATTGTGTATATAATATACAATACGCTATTCATAAAAATATGATATTTAAACGTTTCCAAAACAATCATTTATTTCCGATATAGGATTCATACTAACCACTACTGGATGTGTATATGGAATAAGTTTTAGTGTTTTTTGTAATCTATTTATTTCTTTCTTAAAAAGAATAATATATTTTTATGATATAATATCGTAAAATAAAATGCAGGAATTACAAATATTGAATGTATGTCTTCCTTACTGTTATTTAATAAAAATACTTATTATAAATTAGTTTAGATATTTTTTATAACGAGAAATTCAATGATTAATGCATTCATAGAAATAGAGTTCAATATATTTTTCTATTTTATTTCTTATTTTACATTGTTAGTTTCCCATTTTGAATGATTGGAAATTAATCTCCTTTGATAAAGAATTAAGTGCAGATGATATAAAAAAATATAGTCAAAAATGCAATGGAGTTTCATCAGGGTTAAGTAATTCTAATAAAATTCAATCTGTTTTATGTGGTAAAGTATTAAGGAATTTTGATGAATTGTTAAAAAATGAAGAATCGAATATTAATAATTGTCTGAATTTTAATGTGTGGCTATATGTTATAATTAAATACTATCAATATAGCATCGATGAAATACAAACTTATTTTAATTTAACAGATTCTCCCAGCAATAAGTTATATATTTTACATAAATGCAGCTTGGATTGGTTCAATGAGATAACCGAAATGGATAATATAATAAAATTATATAATTTTAATGAATATGTAAAAAATATTAAAAATAGAATTGGTAATATAATTCAGGAGGAGTATAATGCTTTATGTAAATACGTTCATGATTGCATACTATTATATAAAAGACTTAGTTCAACATACTGCAAAAACAGGGACAATGGATCTAGTACTCTTTGTGATGAAATCAAAAAATTTACATCATATTATAGGACATATATACAAGGATTAGACGAAGACAAAAGTAAAAATTTTCCATTGTTAGAAAATTATACAGTATCAAATGAATTCTATTGTCTATCGGAAGCAGAAAAATATGAAAAGCGTTTTTCTTTACTTAAAAATCATGACATAGTAAAATCTCAGGTTCACAATATTGATGCAAGAAAAGTTCATCATCACACAACCCAAGAGTACAGTAAAGAGAGAGCAGTTAATATTAATCAAAAAGTATATTGTGATTTTTCAATAAATTTATTTTTTAATAGTATGAATACTCATATCATTCTAAAAATAAATGAAAGATTTTTATTTTCAAAATAATTTTATATCTATCTATATATTTTAATTCCTTCATTTATATATAGTATGGATTCTTTGATGATTTAAATATATATCAAGCTAATGAAAAACAATATCGTAGTGATGAAAATATGGATACGATAGATTATTATTGTAATAAATTATATATAAATGAGGAAAAATGGAAAAGCAATACAATACAGTATTGTAAAGATTTTATAATGTATTATTTCTTTTTATCGCGTAACATGGGAAAGAATATGCCTAATGTGAGCGAATATATTAAATATTTAAACTACTGGATAGAAAATAAGCTAAGAAGTTCTGGAGATGAGGAATTTAAAACATTTTTTTACAGTTCTTTGAGTGAAATTTATGAGAAGTTTCAATTAAAGGATGAATTATCGGATAAAATAAAAAAAATTGATGACATTGATTTCAAGAAAATGACAATCTTATATAAATTGTACGATAATTATAATAAAATTGAAAGTGAAAAAATTGATCCGTACACCTATATAAAAACTAAATGCAATGAGTACGCTAATAATTGTAACATAAACTATTTAGAAGGTATCAATATGTATCAAAAAAGTAAGGATTATGATTTTTATTTGGCATTAAAGGAATTTGATACGCTATATAGAAATGTTCAATATAGATCTGTCTCATGCAGACATGTAATACAAACAACGTTACCAGAAATAAAAAAAATAGAAGAAAAATATTCCGAAAAAATTGTTCAAAAATCGTTAAAAACTTGTGAACAAAAAGAAAGTGACACTACAGAAGATGATACTATAGAAAATAATAAATATGTTCAATATAACTTTTTATTTTTGAATGTTTATTTTAATTTATTTAAATATATTAATTTACATAAAAAAATAAAATAAAATAAAGTCCATGAATTTACAAAATTCAATTATATTTTATTATTAGGAAACTATTTTAAAGGACCTCCCATTTTACGTATATTATAGTACGTTAAACAAAAACAACTATCTTGAGGGGTATAATGACAAATATTGTGGAAAGGTTGAACGTCTTAGTCATACATACCCATGGATTTGTAAACTTTGTAAAATGATATCCAAAAATTTACATGATATATCTAAAAGTGACGATGAAGAAGAACGTAAGAAAAAATGTTTATACTTCAATTACTGGATATACGATCAAATAAGGAAAAAATTTAATCATAAAAACTATGATTTAGATGTTGTCCTTACGCTTCTTGACGTTGTTGTTAGTAATAACCGTGATTTACAAAATAATTATTGCAACATGATATATGATTCCAGTATTAGCATGGAAGAGTGGAAAGAAATGAAAGAGTTACATGATTATTTTAAAGGATATGAAAATATTAAAAGTTATGTCACTTCTGATGTTATTAAACAAAAGCATTATTGTGAATACATTACTTATATAAATGAAATATATAAAAGACATTTAAAAGATTCATGCGTATGTATTAGCAATCCGAGTTTTTTTTGTTTCGAGAAATTTCCAGATTATTTTAAGTGTGATAAAACATATTATCCTAATAATCTTTTAACAAAATTTAAATGTGATGCTGAAAAAACAGAAGAAAGCGTAGAATCATTATTTAAATCTGTTACTACTGATCATGATATAGCAACTTATTATAGTAGATTATCTAAAACGTGTACGAGATTAACATGCGATCCTTTTTATGCTTCTACTTTAGTTGCTTTTTTAATCCTTGGTCTATTTTTTACACATTTCTTTTTTTATAAGGTAACTAAAATTTTGTCTTAGAATGTTTTATATTTCTTTTAAGAATGATTCATATATATACTTTAATATATATAACTAAAATCTATGATATGCTCTCGCTATATTTCCACTTTAGATCACCCCTTTAGGATCCTGGTTTGACAAAAAGATTCTAAAGAAAAAAAAACATATGCAAAATATTCATACAAGAAGTATCCAACATTTACAAGAAAAAGATTCAAAAAACAAATATGAAAACATTCGCAAAAAACAAATTCATCTAGTTTATCAATCTCTATGAGACTGATTAATTTTATATATTGTATATCACTTAATAGTTTGAATAAATAATAAAGTTCATAAATAAAATTCTGTATATAATTACACTATATAGCAATGTTTGCAGGATAAAAATGTGAAATATTTTGTCTTTAAAGCGTACAGTAACTTAATTTAAAAAATTTCAAATATTAATATCTTTTAATATTTTGCAAATTTAGAATGTTATTATAATTTTTCTGTTAAATTAATAATATATGTTTAGTTATTAATAAAAGAAAAAAATAAATTATTTAGTACAGCTGAATATTTTAATGCTACTGTGTATTAAAAAGGCTTAAATGATTATTTTAGTAATTTTTGTATTATTTAACAGGAAGTTGCATCTGTATATATTAAACGGTAAATAAAATATATATCTTTTTTATAACTAAACAATTACATGTTAATATGCTCTGCTTGTTATCGCAATTCATGTAAATTGAGAGACGCATGCACAAATTACTTTAAATGTGATGATTCGTATAAACGGAAAAATGCATAATGGAAATATAAAGACAAGGAAGAAATATACAGCAAATTTTATAAAAAAAGTACATTTATCCCAACTGATTGATCACTGGGTTAATTGCATAACGGATATGTAAGAAAAAAGAGATAAGAAAAAAAAAAAAGGATTTCGGCATATACTTCTTTGGAAAGGACGCATGACATAGACATGCATGCTCTGTTGTGCATTATTATATTGACCATATTTAATCTATTAAAATTCATATACATTTATTCATTTTTTTATAAATTACATACAAATAATATGTAAATTTAAAAAAAAATTATGTGAATTGTTCCAAAAATATATAACTGTAAAATAAACTTCTTGTGCATGATTCATATTTTATTTTTATTCCGTTCTCCATACTAGTTTACACAATTGATATATTGTTAAATAAAAAAAATTAAAGTTAATAAATAAATAATACTACAACAATCATTATTTATGTGAGCATTTATCATTAGATGAATATTTACAATTATCATAGAAATAAAAGTAAAATTTTACACTATGCATAACTTATAAATTCATACGAATGGAATAAAAACGCATTTCAAGTAAAATGATTATAATAGAACGAAAACGAAAGGAAAAAATAAAAATCATAATTTCATGTTTTATTCTGTATATAATTTTTTTTTACAGTGTAAAAATGATATAATATATTAGAAGATAAAAATAGTTATAAATATTCCTAGTTATTGAATGAAGAATCCAAATATAAATGATTAATATATTTAGAGTAAGACTTAGGATGCTTAAAATGAGTTAATTAATATAGAAAAAATAATAGAAAAATTTTAATTAAATGAAATTATTTTATGCACTAACTATCTTAAGCGTAGTTGATATATAAAAGTAAATACGCATTGAAATAAATAATGAAGCCAAAATATAAAGCAAAAAAAAAGGAAATTTTATAAACCAAATAACTGGAATTAATTATATTATATTGTATAATTGTATATATAATATAAAATCATTAGAACATATTTTAATTGATCATTGTACATTATTCACATATATAAAAATAAATAATATCTATCCTAATTATAAATCTATGTATATCTAAAAAATTAGATATTTTGATTAATTTCAAGAATGATTCTCTAAGAGATAGTTAAAAAATATATTTCTAGTAATGATATGGAAATATTATATCGGCCCTAGACACATGTAATTTTCTTATACAAGAATAAAATTCATTCAAATAAATAAATTTATTTTTTGCATTATATATAATGATATGAATTTAATAATTTTATTGCATATTATTCTTTATTTATATACTATTATAGTTTTTTTCAATCTTTTTTTTAATAAGTTAATATAAATGTATAGAGATAATCCAAGGAATGGGTGATATAATATATCATATAATTGAACCTAAATTAATCTCAAAATATATAATTTTTATATACTTTTTATATTTCACACAAGAAGTTGTAAGAAAAATATATATGCTATATTCTATTAATTATATTATATAAATGCAAAATAATTATTATAATTAAAATATTTAAGAAAATTTTTCATTTTAAAATGATAATGTCTCAACATAATATATTATTCATTCAACTATAAATTTTGAAGGAAAAAATATTTAATAAAAGTTGTAAGAATAATTTTAGTGCTTGTATTATTTTAATATAATTTAATTTTAAAAAATAAATTGTTCTTGCATTATAATACAATATAATATAAATAAAAATAAAATAATATATATATATATGGTTAATGAAGTGTTGAGTGTATAAATTACGTATTTTGTTAATCATAGAACAGATATAACAAAAGTTATTCTTTATAAATTATTCAATATAAATATATGATATTGTTAAAAAACTGCTTTTCAATTGTTATATATACATATAAATATTTAATTCTGAATTAAAATTGTTCCAGTATTTATTATAATATATATTAATACAAAGTATATAACCTCCCTCAATAATATATAGGGTGACGAGATAAAACATTTTATTACTTATATTTTTTGTTAGTGTGAGGTATTATATATATTAAACATTTCCTTCATATGCTACAATTTTTTATCTTTCATCATATTTTGTTTTTTTGTAACAAATACTTTGTTACTATTTTTTTCAACTTAATATTAGCATGTTTTATAATTATATGCCTAGCATATTTTTATCTGGACAGTAATTAAATTTTAAAGAAAAACATAAAAACATAATTTATATTTTTTTCCCACCTTATATTTTCATTCAGAAGTATTACATATCAGATATAACAATCTTATATTTCCTGTACACGTCAAATAATATTTTTTTTCTTTAGAAGATCATATTCTTTAATATATAAAATAAAAGAATGGAAAAAAATATATAGAGTTCAATATAATATTAATATTGTCACTTTTATATACAAAAATGTATTTTGATCCTCTTATGTAGAAAATAAAATTAGGAGAAAAACAATTAATATAATAAATAATATAGTCATACATAGAGCTAATAAATTATAGGGAAATTATAACATAATTTTAATACCATATATATAGAAAATAAAATTATTTAGTATTAAAGGAGAAAAATGAAAATTAATTTGCATTCATAGATTATTTAATGTATTGGCAATAATTTTTCTTTTATTATTTACGTCAAATATAAATATTTAATTTTTTTAAATATTTATTTAAAATATACATATCCGACTTAAAATGTATTAGGTGCTTTTATGAACGTTATTATTAAATTTATTTTTTTATGAAACTGAATAAAAAATATATTTTTTTTTGTTCATAAATCTAATTAGTTATAAATATGTTATTTTCAAAATATATTATACAAAATTTTATTTTCATCATGATATAATGATTTTTATCTAAGATAAAATGGAGAAATTTTATGAAAAGCTATAATAATGAAAATTTATATTCACTACAGGAAACATAATATCATAGGCAAAAAATGATAGATGCGTAATTATAGATTAATTTAAACATATATATATATTCATTAAAATATTATAAATTAAAAATATATACATCGTACTAGTGTATTTTTATTAAGAACGTATTTTTATCATAAGATCCATACATTATAAGAATACATTTAATGGAAAATAACTATATATTATATATACAGAGATACGATGAAAATGATATTTCATGAAAAATAATAAAACAATTATGAACACACATAATTTAGGATGCTCATTATTGCGTATAATATATTTCTTATATTCTCGGACATACATGAAACATAATATGGTACAGTATATGATATAACAGTAAAAGTACAAATATTCATATAATTAGGAATAATTCTTATAAAATTTTAAATTATGTTTCTCTATTCAACTCTCCTTACTGTTATTTTTTCCCTTCACATTTCGAAACATATAGATAATTTAAAATTTTTATGGTTAAAAATATAATCATTGATGTCTGTAATATGCATAAAATGTTATGTTATGTTATATAAATGTAAAATAATGATTCACAAATATACTCATTAAATATTCTAGAAGCAGAAATATAATTTTAAAAGTAATTCTTTTATACTATTCTATCATTTGAATGCATTATATGTTCTTATTTACAAATTATTTCGTTTAATAAATATAAAATGAGAAGTGAAACATAATATATGCTATAATTATATAAAATATTCATAATAGTGAAATATAATTTTCACAATTATTTTTTTATATTATATATTTATTTATAAATGAATAAATAATATATATATTTTACAACCAAATGTGATTCGCTTCATTAATTAAACAAGAAGTACGTAACAGTTTATGTTACATTAAATGACAAAATAGCTTTTATGATATTTTCCTAATGATTGTATTTTATTAATGTAATAAAATATATATATAATTATCATTTCATTTCATAATATATATATACATTAGATATAGATAGAAAGGAATAATTATATGTATGAAATATTCAAAGAAAAATAAATATTTTAATATTTATAAAAAAAAAATTAAAAATTAATCTTTTTATAATTATCATTGAAAATATTATGTAACATTTTTATATTCTGAATATCATAACTTCAAGTTATTATTTTTTAATATTTTATATTATTCTTCGTATTGGAAAATTATTAGTTGGTTAACAAATGAATATGCATAATAAACAATGCAAAATACTGCATTACTCAAATTTATGGGTAGAAAAATTACTATATCAATTATTTTGAATTAAGGTTGTATTATATAATAAATAAATTTTTTAGTATATATAAATTATTTAAATATAAATATATGCTATTACAGAGCAATGGACCATATGGACAGTGTTTATATAATATTAAGTCCTACTTAAATATTTACTGACGAATTTAGATATAAATCATGTGTATTATAGAAAAAAATTTTATAATTATCCAATCATTTTTTATGTAAGGAAAATAATAATATAATGAGCTATATAAATTAATTATATTGATATTTAATGATTCTTTTATTATATAATTTGATCTACTACAATTTATTCAACAAAAAATATAAATTTCTTAATTAAATATGTATTAAATTTAATAATATACGTAATATTATATCTTTATTCTTATAATGCACATTTAATAAAAATAAATAATTTTATATGGAATATATTTAATATTTAGTTTTATCGTACATATATTTTTTATTTTCTTAGATAATGTACTTGTGAATATCATTATAGTCTTGCTATAATTAGGAAAATATGTTTTATATCACAGAGTTTTAGTACTACATTTTAAGATGTTTATAAATTAATGTTTACACGAGTATGTGGCATTTTCCATGAATTGTATAATTATAGAAAAAGTAACATTATTGTTTTTCATATAATTGATAACGTGTTTAAATATATGTGTATTAAGTTCTTAATATTGATTATTTCATATATTTCAACAAAAAATATATGTAATAATATTTCAGATGGATGATAACATTGTATGTGTAATTATTGTAATAGAAACTAAAATAGAAGAATACATTGACATTATATTTTCCATAAATATTATAATGTTTTGTAAAGCTTAATTCTGTTCATTTAATGTTTTTCTTCTTTCCTTTTTAGTATAATAACGTAAGTTATTTTCCTGAATGTAATAAAATTATTGAACGTTATAAAGCTCAAGATGCTTATAGTGAGGACGTTTCGGATCAATTTTATAGAACATATAAAAACATAACTGAAGATATATTCAGTAAAAGGGAATCTAGCATAGCTTTTTCATACTTATTTGATGTAGATTATAACAACAAAATTCCTAATATATCTTCACATGTTGGATTTTTATACTTGTATTATTGGATATATCATGAACTTAATGCAAAAAAAAATGTTACCCATACTAAAAATGTTTATGAAGCATTGGTCAAAGATTATTGTCAAACTTATAAAACAGATGGTTGTAAAGGAAACGAGAGTAATTCATATAGCACTGATGAAATTAATAATCTTACAGCTATATATGATTTGTACGGGCAACTTAATATAATAAAAGATGCTTGCGTATCTAAAAAAGACGCAAACTTTTGTAAATCCGTAAATCTTATTATAAACCAATATATCACACAAGTGAAAACAAATGATAGAGACACTAGTGAACTTGAATTAAAACCTTGTGTCAGAACAAACATAGGGATTACTATTATAACATCAATTCTTGTAATGCTATTAATATCACTTTTAGCATTTTTTGCTTTTAAAGTCAGTTATGATACTATTTATATATATTTTCACGATAAAATTTTTTTTTATAATAATTTAAAAAAAATATATTTTCCTAAAAATATTGTATTATTAATACATGTATTTTTATTATTATGCCCAGTTCACCACATATGGTTCATGGATGAGTCATAAAATAATGAAACTAATAAATAAGAGGAACAAAATAGATGAAGAATGGAATATGTTACAACAGTGTGAAACTTCTGATATTACTTCAAGTGATCAGAGATATAATGTATTGTATAATTGTGACTAATTTGAATATTGCGTATATAATGTGAAAAAGTTTTTTTCGTAAACTAGCATGTGGAAAGGTATAAAAAAATTATGTGCAGATTGAATATATAAATAAATATTAATATAATGATTATAATAACTTCAAATAATAAAATAAATAATAGATTTTCATTTTTACAAGAAAATTATTTAAAATAATTAATGCTACAAACATTATTTGCTATGCACCTATTGATCAAAAATGGTATCAATATATATTATACTTATCACTTTTAATATAATATAGTTTTTTTAAATATGATTTTATTGTGATACAAAAAAAAATTTTAATAATAAAATAATTATATATTATATATCCTACTGTAATATAACATTTTTATAAGACAAAATATTATAAGCATTATACAAACTTCATATGAGTAATTTCTACATATATCACACTATTTTATTGTATGAAATTATTATACACATATATAAAAATATATGAATGTGTTATATTTTTTTATAATTATTACAATATTTTTAAACAGAAATCATATTTTATGAATCTGTCTTTAATTATTAACACATGGAATTCGATTATATACAACTTTTCTAACACTAAATATAACATAATTAAATCAGATGAATTATTTGTTACATTTATTATTTATATCATTTATTTTAAAATTTTATTTTTAACGTTCCTTAATTGATATAGAATACATATATAAGTTATACAATAATAATTAAAAATACACTGCTTCTGTTTTTGGATTACAAAAATGTAAGAAAAAAATATTTATTTTATTTAGCTTTTAATGAAGTCAAAACTTATTATTCTCTATCTATAGATAAATAGGGATTCCGGAATAATATATATGTAACATCATGTTATATTTTCACAAAACTAGATATTACCTTATATATTACTATAAATAAATATAATAAATATATTTTTATATTTTTGTTTTCTTCATGTTTTCTATTTCAATTAAATATATGAATATAAATAATATTTTTATTATTAATAGACATATGATATAAGCAATTAATACATATATAATATAATCATGATGATAATCAAAAAGAAACAAAAATTTAAACTGATTTTATGGTAATATATAGTAAAAAAAAAAAAAAAAAAAAAACATTAATTTTTATCTGTGTAATAAAAGTATTGAAGAATTTTATATAAATAATTTTAGAGGTTAAACTAGTAATTCGTAATCCTATGATTGTCATATATCACATGATTCTGAAGTTTATTCATTAATTGAACATATAAAAAAAGTAATGGAATAATATTAATTTCCATTGTTATGATATAAGTACTTTTTTTTCTAAATCAATCTCTGTAATTAATTGAACATGAATACTGAAAATATGTAGAAAATATTTTAATAAATGTTGTAAAAAATTATTTCATAAAAATTAAAGATAATACTCTATATTAGGATATTTTAAATAAAAAATAAAATTATAAAGCATAAAAAATTTATACTATACACTTGCTCGTTATATTATCATATCATTTATTTAAAAAAGAAATATCTTTTGTTCTTCTTTATAATACAGTAATATTGTTAATGTTTATATCTATTGTGTATAACGAAAACAAATATGCATTTTCAAATGTGATTTATCATAATATATAAATATATTTTTTTATATTTTTTACACATATTTAAAATAAAAAACTGTGCAAAACATTTCTATATTTTAATATGTATTGCATTTCTTATTTTTGCAGTAATTCCTTACATTATTCCAAAAATTTAATTATAATAGCTATACCTTGAATAAACATATTTTTGCACTTTTACTGAATTCATATAATAAAAAATTTGGCAAATATTTAATTATATTTTTATTTTGAAAAATTACTTTGATCTTTTCTTCAATACATATATACTATTAAATTATAATAATAAAAATACATTCTACTATTTTACGCTTATATTATATGAAAAAAAATAATAAAAATTCGTGATTTTCTTATAAGAATATAGTGTATAATACAATGCTCAAATATGTGCACTATGGAGTGTTTTTGTAACAATATACTTCATATAATAAGGAATTATAATAAAATTTATATATCATTGTGTATATTTCAAATTAATAATTATTAATTGTTGTACTTATTAATTATTTATCATGATACATAATTCATATCATTTATTTATGCTACACCATAAAAAAATTTACAAAATGTTATATCCTTAGATAGATCAATAGTTTGATTATTTAAAAAAAATTAATAGACACAGAAATAAAAAAGAATTATTTTATATAGATTTATAAATTATATATTTTTTTAATACATATCAATTAGATATAATGAATTCTTTAAAATATATAGAATTCATTTTTTAACCATTTAAAAAAATATGGTTTAATATTACAAAATATGCTATATATATGTGCATACTTAATTTTTTGCGTAATTAATGTATCCACATATTGTGTTCAATAAGGAAAATTTAGTCACAATATTATTATGTGAATTAAATAAAAATTTGAATTTAAAATAATTTTTTTTTTACTTCCTAATTTTTTTTAAAGTTTAAGAAATTTTTTTTATTCAATCTTAATGTGTTTATCAATATCTAAATGTGAAATCAATGTATGGGACAACATATTACATAATATTTTGATTTAATGAAAGCATATTAAACAATATGTGTTAATAATTTGATTATGTATTGATTAATTTCATATCAGTATAAAATGTCTAGTACGACTGAGGATATATGGGTAAATAATCAGAGATGTCTATAATATCATCAATAACATATGGTGTACATGCATTATTCTAATTAAGTCCTAAATTTTTTTTCATTATAATAAACCTATCAGGATTGATATAACTCATTATTCTCTTGTAATTATCAGGATGAAGTTTTAGTTGGAACACATTCTAGAAGAATTTACGATGATATTGATAAGAATACAGATCTGGATAATTACAAAAAATTTTGCGAACTACTAAACAAGGATGACGAAAGTGATTTTTTTACACTTTGTAAAAAGGTAGTGAGAAATGTTGAGTATTTATCTAAAATGGTTGTAAATGATGAATATAAGCACCGTTGTTCTCATTACAGATTTTGGTTTTATAATGAATTATTAAAGCTCATCCAAAATAATAGAAAAATGAACAATATAAAAAGCATTATTGATAAATTTTTGCACGTGCAAAATAATATTACATTGTGGTATAGGGAATTTGGTTGTCATTACAATTTTTATTCAAAGGATTTAGAAGAATTAAATGAAAAACAGGAAGAGAAACGTTTATATGATTATTTTCAAAATCATTTTAGTATTCAAAATACTACTACATGTGAAGATGTTAAAAAAGATAAATATAAGAAGTACCTTGATGGCGTTAATTCTATGTATAAAAACCACAAATATAAAAATAAATGCTGTTATGATTTATGGTGGAATAATTGTCTACACTATTTTAATTGTCATGACGATTATGATCCCGAAAAAATGTTGGCTTCTTTGCAATCCAGCAGCATTGGAAGTTGTGATAATAAAAAAAAAGGCGCCAGTACATTGCCTTCTGGTTCATTAGACCATTCTCAAAACTCAGAAGAGGATATTAAAAAATTTCATTATGCCAGATGTAAGGAAACATCACATGGCATGTTCTTATGTAATCTACTTCCCGTGAATTTTAAATCTCCAAAGAGGATTAATAACCCAGTATTACATTACCATTGCACTAGCGATACATGTAAATATTCTCAGAATTTAATTCCACCACCAGATAAAGTTTCAAAATATCCAATGCCTGTTAAAACCACAGAAGAAAAATCAACTTCTAAATTCGAAATAGGAAAGTATACTATTCCCGAGTCCTTTAGAATTACGAAAACAAGAGCACAAGAGAAAAAAAATAATAATGAGCATATAGATAAACACCCATTACAAGAAAAAAGATCAACACCCTTTATTCAACCAAGAAAATCACCAATAAAATGGTTGTTTGGTGAAGGAAAAATGAATTGCTCTGCTATAAAGCCACATGAGGATCCATATAAACTTTGTGCTTACAAAAATAAAAGATTAAATAAACAAAGTTATTTAGAGGAAACTTATACCGAGAGTCAGAAAGGAAAAAATTTAATGTCAATACTCTCTAGTATCCTGCCAAATGCAAAAGAAGCTGGAAGAATTAATGGAGAGACCTCTTATAAAATTAGGGATTCTGGTACTACAAATTTTCCTGATAGTAGCACAAACTACGTTGAGATATCAAAAGATGAAAATAATATATTATATAATATATTTTTCCGCATTGCTATAGTTGTCTTGTTAACACTTGGACTTATTTTCGTTTTTGTAATTTATTATAAAGTAAAAGAGAATACAAAATTAAAATGTGAATAATGTCTATCACTATTCATAATTTATTTTAATTCCAAATTTTGCATATTATAAATAATTATATTCTATATATTTATATTTATCATCTTTGTATTAGTACACTCCATTTGGATCTTGTTTACGTAGAAATATAATAAAGGAAAAAAGAATTAATAAATCTATTTATATGCATGCAGGAAAATCGCAAACACAAGGTCCAAGAAAAATTTATAGAAATTCACAGAATAGACAATGTTGCATAGCATATCAAACCTCATAAAATTGGTTATCGCAAAATATTATGTAATAACACAAAATAAAAAAAAAATGATTATACGAAGATTAGTATAAACCTTTATCTATAATTCCATTATTTGGATAAGAAGAAAACAGTTAATTTATGAAATATATTTATTACAAACTTTTCGTTATTATTTTTTTCTTTAGTTATTCGTACTTTTCAGTGTTCTTCCTTACATATAAATGTGCTACATGCGTACTATGTTATTTCTTATGAAGATGTCACATATTTTACTCTTATGAATTATATTTATTGATGTAATTCAGAATTAAAACTGTTCACATATATTTTTTTGTGCATGTGTTTTTCACAGTTCTGTACACGTCATATATATTTCCTCTAAATTATATAGATGTTTTCTGTTTTATTATTCAAATAGACATTTTTAAATAAAAGACGCTTTTATATTTATACTTAAATAAACATTTATTTACATATACATGGTAAAAGCAATAATAAAAATAGAGATATATTATATTATTTTCTATAAATATGGTAACAACATGAAATGTACTATTGTTCATATTCCTCATTTAATGGAAAAATTTATGCGCTCACAATTCATTTCGTACATATATATATATATATATTTTCAGTTACTTTTTTAAAATGTATCAATAAAAAAATTTTATCTAATAAGAAAAAAATTAATGTTATACCTAATGTGTATATTGATCTAATAACTCGTAATTAATAAAAATAGTATAATTGAATAAAATATACTGAAACATAAAGAAAGTTTTATATGTCTACTTAAGTTCTTACATCAATTTTTATATATAAAAATTTTCTACAATGATGCCATCAATAAAAATAATATATAATATAAAAACATATTTCTAATAAGAATTGTTGCACATGTTCTAACTATATACATATTAAAAAATAATCCCTATGAAGATTCTTACAACTGAATTTTTTTAACATAAAATGAATATATAGCTTTAATCATATGAAATTTTTTTTTTATTTCAACAATTATTCACTTATTATAAAAATAAAACTATTAATTCATCTAAATACTCATATTTACGTACACGTTTTGTCGCAGAATTTATGATTTATATATATTAAATTTCCATGACAAGTAATATTCTAAAATATTCGCACAATATTGTTTTTAATGTAATATTTAATAGAATACAACTATAATTAAATTAATATAATATATTATGAATATGAAATAATTTATTTTACATCTTTTTCTATTGATTCGTATAGGACCATATTATGTAATGTAAATTTACACTAAATTACACCATATTCCTTTTAATGTGCAAATACATATATTTAAGTTTATAAATGGTATTACTAATTTTGTGTTATACAAGAAAATTTTAATACATTCTGCTTACACATGAGTGTTAATAATTTAATGAATTATGAAAGAAAAAGTTTACAGTAATAATTATTTAATAAAATCACTAATTTTGAACAAAAATATGTCAGAGAAATGTGTTAAAATAATAAAGCGCTAAAATCATTTGTTATAGTAAATATAACATAAGTAAAAAATATATAATTTTTGTTTGTACCAGCGCTTTTTTTTTTTTACAGTATTTTATATTTACGAATAAATAAAAATAATTATTGACATATATATATGCTGTTATAATTTTAAATTCTCTAAATTTAATTATTATATAAGACTATATAGTATGTAAAGTAAGTTATATTGAATAGTTTCGTATTTATGTACACAACTTAAGAGAAATGAAGGAGTATAGACAGAAAAGTGTTTTAATATAAGAAACATTATATAAAAATTGTCTTTTTCATAAATAACATATGCGTAAAATAAATGTTTATATTTGTATGTATCATCATACGAATAAATATTTGTTATAATATTTCTTAATATTTAGTAAAAGTATATTTTGGTCAAACCTGTATAAAATAAACTATTAATAAATTAATATACACTTAGTATAATTCTAATAACTCTAATAAATATTTTTATTTACCGCATTTATTGTATTAAATATTATTATTAGAATTATTTAAAATTTCCATAGACTGGGAACATATTTACAATATATTTTTACGTTAGAATTTTTTGCATTCACAATTATCTAAGTTAATTCATATAACTCCATAATTTTTATGTAATACAAATAATTGTTTAATCATATTTTCTGCGATTTTCTTACATTATTATTTTTTTCTCTAATTTATTTCTTGAGGGACAAAATAGTATTAGTAATAAAAATATTCTTCAGAAATGGAATGCCATAAGTAAATTAAAATTGTATCATAGTTGTAGCATAAAAGATTTATTATTTTAAATGAAGATAAATTAATACTTTAATGAAATAATTTGTTTTCCAGATGTAATATATATGCATGCGTATTTACTTCATAAAAGGATTATATTATTCTAATATGCGTAGGCTCATTAATGGATTCTCAATGCATTAAATATATATATATGCTATTGAAAAATTAGGAATGAAAATTATTATCGAAATATTATATAAGTCATAAAAATACTATGTTATGATAGAGATATGGATAATGATGTCCAATAAGCATTTGTTAATCTCTAACCAACAAAATAGTTATGGAATAAACATTTCTTTCCATAACAACTGATATTGTCTTTTCATTTTTAAATTTATTATAATAAAATTGTAATTTTATATTACATTTATTTTTACTGTATATATATACATTTTATATGTATTTTTATATATTTTTATTTTGTTTAAAACATAGTTCCACTAGTCATAGGTAACATAGACACCTTAATAAGAGAAGGAAAGTGCTACAATCAAATGCACAAGCTCGAATAAAAAGTATTTTAGCATGTGTTAAATAGCCACATATCGTTGTACATGTATCCCTAAAAATAAATATACCTTAGTAGTTTTCATAAAACCATCAATCAATGTGACACAGAGAAGAGCATTTTACTCTTTACGATAGGGAAAATAAATTGAATCTGAACTATAATTGGGATTATATAAAATATAATAAAATAAGAAAATTACGTCATTATGTTGATATTATTTTTATAGCATATTTGTTAAAATTTTCATGGTAAGTATTTGAAATATAAAAAACAAAATAACATTGTTCTTAAGTGTATTAAGTTAGTATATAAAAATATTAAATAACTTGTGGGAAATTGATAGTACATTCCAAGTGTTAAAAATAATAAACCTATAATTCTCGATAATTTGTATTTTATATGCATACATTTCATATTTTGTGCTCTATAAAACTAACTATATAAATTATATTTTTTTTAAATACATTATAATTATTCTATGATTTTGTGGATAAGTAAACTATGTGTTATGTTTAAAAAAAATAGTTATGGATAATAATATTATTTAAATTATTATACATAATATTCAAATTTAGCATTTCTATTAATGAGATAAAATTATTCTATCTAAAATTTCATATTTAAAATTAGTTATTAGAGGACATATCTAAGAAATAACATTAATATGAATTTATTATATATAAATAGTTGTTGAATGAACAAAATTATTAATATAGTTTTTTAGGACATTTAAGCTACATTCTTCTATGTTTCAAAATATATATGTTTTAAGTTAATAAAATCATATTTCTCAGTGCATTATGATAAATCTAAAATTATAAAATGGGAATTATAAATTGTGCGACATCATTATATGTGTAATATTTATGATGATCTCTATGATAAAATAATATGATACAACACCACTATACATATTTTATCAAATATACATATATATTTATTACCAATTTTATTTTTTCTAAAGTAATATTATTACATATTTTACAATATATCAATATAATGTTATATATTATTTTTTAAGTATTGTATAAAGAATATATTTATTTATTTTATAATATAATTAATGATTAAAAACCTAAATATATAAGTTTTCTTTTTAATTAAAAATTATTTTATTATATTTTTATATGATATTTTTACGTTTTCACAATTTCATATTTTCTAATTTGAACTAAAATACAAACTGAAGAAATATCTGAAAATATACATGCACTATATAATATAAAAATTGTTAAGAAATTAAAAAATTTCCTCAATAAATACAGTAATTTTTATCAAATAATGTTATATATAAATCTCTTTGAAATAAATTCGTTTTTATTTAAAATTTCTATGTATTCATTATTATATTACAAAGGAAAATATAATATGTAACAAAAAATTAATATTTATTCGATTTTAATTAAAGTGAATACATATATATTTTTTAAGTTATTTGTGTGTAATTTGTAATATTATATTCATTTTAATACATATAATATAAATATAAGTCCACATAAATATTATATTCACTAAATTTCAATTTAATTATAATAAAATTTTAATGTTCCCTGTGCATTATACAAAATATAAATAGTTAATATCAGACTTATATATATCTTTCCATATGTGTTTTTTAAAATAATACGTATATTAATTAATATAATATGATAAAAATGTGTACACATGTAATATACTACATATAGTATTATATTATATTTATCTGTAATGAGTTAATAAAATTTAAGAAAAAATTTAGTTATATGTATAAATAATGTTATCTTTTATGATATATTCAGAAAAAAAATGCGTATGAAATGTTAGAAGCTTAACTTTTATATACGCGTTATAAAATATTGGCTCTTATAAGCTATTATTTATTTATACTTAACCATATATATTTGTATATATTACATTGAAAAAAAAAATTATTATATATTCCAAACATGTACTGTTAAATAATTAATATTTTTATGCATTTGCGTCATTTATTAATATAATTGGATATATTTATACAGATTTATAATTTACGCACAATAATTATATATGATAATATTACGGGTAATTCTATTTTGTTATTATATTAGTATTTACACATAATTTTCTAATAAATATATCTTTTTTATTCCTGTATATTTTTTGTTCCTCTTTATCGTTATATTTAGGACTACAGAATATTATATTTGTTGGTATTATAAATTCACAATACATCATACGTATAAGTATATACTTTATTCTTTCTATTATAATAAGATGAATACCGTGGGTTATATATTCTTAGATTTTATAAAGGTTAACTGCAACACATAATTTGTTCTATTAGTTAACATAATTGTGTTAAAGAAACATGGAAAATATAAGTCAGGAAATATTGGTTAGTTCCAATATATTTCTTAAAAATATTGTTAAAAATTATATAATTTATAGATGTCCCATAAACTGGAATGAGGTGTAAAATAGTATGTACTGTTACATAATTTTTTATTTATATATTTTTTTTATGTAATTTGTTAATTATCAGAAAAAAATTTATAAAGGTTCTCCTTCTAGTAATATATATGAAAATTTTGATAAAAATGAAGGCAATTATATTGATGATTGTAATGTAATGGAATCATTAAGAGAAAATGTAAGAAATAAGTGTAAAGAAATTTGTAAAAAAATTGTGAGAAATATGAAATACTTGAGTACGCTAAACACTAAAGAACACACAAATTATTGTTTACATTACAAATATTGGTTATACTATAAAATAGAAGATATATTAAGTAGTTCAAATAATGTTACTATTCATGAGATATTGAATAAATTTATTAACGTTCAGTTATTGATTGCTCACAAGTATCACGTATATAATTGTTTCTATGATTTAAATTATAGTGGTATGTTAGAATTAAAGGAACATAATGAAAAAAAATATTTGCATGATTATTTTGAAAACCATAAACATGTAAAAAAAAATATTTTGTGTGATGGTGTTTCTTCAGATGATTCAACAAAGTACCTAAACTATATTAAAGAACTATATGATAAATATAAAAAAGAAGAAAATTGTTGTGATTATGGGACAAATCACTGTCCAAATTATTTTAATTGTTATGAAGGATATGATCCCAATTATATAATATCCTTATTGAACCATGGAAAGGATGAACACTGTAGTAAATTGAATAATTTGCATCATGTAAAAGATACATCATCTCAAAGTGACACAAATTATTCATCACCAGAAAATAACAATATACCTAGAATTATGAAATGCATTATAACTCAAGAGAATAAGAATGAGGGGAACGCATATGCAGCATGCTATAAAATTACATTGGACAAAGAAAGTTATGATGAAATATTTAAGGAGCCGGATACAACGAATAAGACATATTTCAGAGCCATTAAATCGCAAGATGAAGATACATTCTTTTCTAACATTAAAAGGGACGAGATTAAATGGAAATTAGGCAAAGAAACACTCGACTGTTCTAGATCTAAATTAAAAGATAAATTAGTTTTGTGTAAACTTGCAGATAAATTACATGATGATGTATTCATTCCAAAACAAGACATATATTATGGAAGTAATACAGAAAATTCAATAAAATCATTCAACAATTCGTTAGATAAATTTAAAATACTAAATTCCGCTATCTTTCGTGGTGGTACATTAAGTGCTTTAGCTCTTGGAACTATTATAGTGTTCACTCTTTACTACAAAGTACAGAAGCATACTATATAATTATATAAGTATTTATAAAAGCACATTTTATTTTATTTGTACATATATATAGAAATATATATTATATATACATTACATTTCCCCTTTATATATTAGTTTACGCCATTTGGATACATTATAAGTAAAAACGTACTAAGGAAAAGCAAAATTAAGCATAATGATAGTAGTAACATTAAAAGAAATGTTGGAAAAAAAAAATTCAAAACTAAAAGTGTAGGCTCTACAAAGGTAGGAATGCGTATAGCATATCATTCTGAATAAGAAACATTCATGTAACTTATACTTGTTTTGTGAACAAAATTTACAATAATTTTACTACTAGTAATAATATATGTATTCTATTTAAAGAAAATATATAAATATAATAATAAATTACTAATTTTGTTTTATTAATTAATGAATAAATATGAATCAAATATAATAATTATAGATATCAAAAGTAGCATGAAAAAACATAAATATAATGTGTCAAGAAGTTTTTCTTATCTTGCAAGATATGAATATTAGAAGAATATGCTTCCAGATTGATTTTATCAAGAAAAGGTCCATTAATAATGTTATATTATAACATTCGTCTGGATATAATATTCCATATCTGATAAATGCAGCATTTTTTAAATTCTATTTCGAAAAAATTTGCAATTGTATAGTTTTTTCACAAAATTATTCGAATTACACAATGTAAATGCAAATAGAACTAATATATAAAAAAAAAAATAACCGAATTTAATCTTCAAAATATAATTATATATTTATATATAATGTGTATAATATAACAGCATGAATTTCAATTCATGTATAGTAAAATAATTTCATATAATTGAAATTCTAGAGAATATTGTGATATCAATTAATATAATTGAAAAAGTCTATATAACGTAGATTAATTTAATAATAATAAATTTTATGGATGTTGATATTATGTCTATATTAATGAAATTCTAAATATTGCATTTTATTTATAAAATGGTAATGAATGTATTCTTTTACTCAAAATATCATATATCTATATTATATAATGGATTACTAAAAATTGCCAAACATAAAGTAATTCTTTATACATTTAATCTGCATATTTATTGTTTTTAAAAACAATTTACTATTTTCTATTATTACAAAACATAGTCCTCCGTTTAACCATAATTTTCTAAATATTAAAGCAGCTGATTTTGTCATTTTTGAAAAGTAGTTAATGAATCAATTTATATATGCTTTTTCATCTACGCGTTTTTCCTAAACTTTATAAATTTTATTCAATTAGTTTATATTTCATAGTTAAAAACATATATAAATATATAAAAACAAATATTTACATACCATTAAGTATATGTATTGTAAAAATATATTAGGTTATTTTCATTTATATTCGTTATTATAGGCCTGCATAAAAAATATTTAGAACTGCTTTTTATGCATAGAAATTCAATTATGATATAAAAATATAGATATATTATATGTATATAATATAATTTTTTTATTAATTTTTATAAATAATTATTTTTTATAAATTTATTATATTCTTCATATATTATTTTATAAATTAGGTGAATTGTTATAATTTCACCATATATTATTATTTATACATTCATGTTTATTTATATTATTTTTACCCATACTTCATATCAATATATGCGTGTACATTTTAAGCAGATAAAATTTTCATATATTTGTATTCCCTTTAATTACATAAATTGGTTATGTTTTTTTATTATTTTGATGTTTTAGAAAAATTTCTCTATTTTTTCTTGGTATTTTCGTAATTAAATATGATTCTCATATATATAATTCACATTTTTCATATTTCTTATTAAAATTATAATTATATAATAAATATCCGGAGCATATATATATGTATATAACTAAAATAATTCATATTATATATTTATTTTTTATTTCCTCTTATACGAGGGATAGTAACCTATATGATGCTCAGTATATTTGTTTATTACGTTGAAGTATTCAAATACATCTCCGAATATATTGGATTGTGCTTCTTCACCTTTGAAAAAAATATTTAATCTTTTTTTTTGTAAATATTTACGTATTAAAGATATAAATGTTGTTTTCTATAATAATAATGAGGAACATAGAAAATATCTTATTTATTCTGATTTTTTTCATTGTATCATGTAATAGTAATATAAATTAATAAAACTAATATATAATTTATTCTTTATTTTATATGATTTTTACATTACAAAAAATTAAAAGAATGAATGAAAATACTAAAAATGGTAAAACAGTTGCTAATATTATACGAGCAGTTGATAACAATTTTCTCTTTACAGTAGAACTTAATGTAGGATCATCTCCTGACTTTCCTGATATTACTTTACCTGAAGTATCTGAAATATCACCTGGAACAGTTTCATTCTCACTGATTTCTTTGCACAATAATTTAGATATATCATAATCTTTAAAATAATTCTTCATATCATTATAATTCTTGCAGTATAATCCATCGTTTTTAGTACATATAATTTTTGCTTCGTTATATTCTGTGTTTCCTTTATTTATATATTCACTATATTTTTTACTACATAACATATTATTGTTAGCCTTTAATTTATGCTCAATCGTTTTTAAGTCCACAGAATAATCATACAGCCTTTTTGTTTTATAAAAATCATTTTTATTAGCGAAGCCTTTAATAAAACCACATTTTTTCATATTCAATGTATTATTCCAGTAATCAGAAATTTTATCAATAAAATGAGCTAATTTCACTGAATCGTCGCCTTTAATTATTTTATCAAACGCGAAATCGTACATCCAATAGTTAACAATTTTACATCTATCATTATCAGGTATTCCATAAGTAGAAAATTCATCATGTTTACTTAAAATCCCAGTAAGCCTCATACAAAAATTCTCAATTTCTTGATAATTGCTTAGCTGATTTTTTAAATTTTCACAGTTGTCATCATTGTCAACATACAAGTGATATCTGTATGTGTTCAAATGCTTATATGTCAAAAAGGAAGGTAATGATAAAAAATCATCATCATTAAGCTAAAAGAAAAGGAAAGACCTTAATATACAATATGCTTTCAGAGGAAATATAATTTATACGTAATTAACAGAAACAATATATAAAATATAAAAAAAAAAAAATTTATGTAATTATTTATACTGTAGCTTCCATTGTTAATTTCTTATTCACTTCTTCATGTATATAAGGATGATGCTATAATTATATTTGTTCTATTATAAGATTAAATGTACACGGAAAAATAAAGAATCAAAATATACTAAAATATCGTCTTGTTTTTACATATTAGAAGGTACATTATTTTATAAAATAAGATGAAATTTATTCTTGTGTTAAAAATCTTTATTGCTTCACTACATTAATATATATATATATATATATATATATATATATATATATATATATATATATTCTTCATAATTCAAATAAAATTAAAAAGTAATTTAAATATATGTTAAACATGTTTAAAAATTACGTATATAATTAAATAACAATTAATTTTATAATATTTTTCTTAATAAAAATTTAATAATCTTAGAATAAATAATGAAAGAGTATAAATTATATATATGTATATGTGTACTTATTAACAATTGTAATTATGATAAAATTGAAAACAAGAATTCATTAATAAATTTATTTTTTTTTATCGTACATAAATACATTTATAATTATTTTTCATTTTATTTAAATTTAACTGCATATAATTATAATACCATTTCACCGTTCTAAGGTAATAACAGCTTCTTTTATGTCCTTATAGAACAATCAAAATTTTTTATATACTTAAGCAAAGAATTTACATTGAAAGTATTTATAATTGCATTATGTGCAATATTTGATCTCAATAATGAATTGATTTTGTATATAAATCATGAATAATCATAAATATATATTTTTTTTTATTAAGCATAAATTCACACATTAACTCTGTGATTTACATTGTTATTTTCTCATTAAATTCTGATAAAATTCGAACTTAAAAAAAAATATATTCCTTCTTTGAGTTATTAGTAAAATTATACACATAAATCAAATAAAAATAAATTTAATTCAATGTATTTTAATACAATAATAATTAAAGTAAAAAAATTACATAACAATTAAAAATGATACTAATCTTATATTAACTGTTATAACATGTGTTCAAAATATTTAAAATATCTTTTATTAAAACACATTTTTATATTATTATTTTTTATCTTAATTATAGTATGTTAAGATATGATAATTTTTATGAATGTTAAATAATCATTCATGTTTCAAAATTAACAACTGTTTATATAATTTTGCAAAATAAATTAAAAAAGTACAACAAGCTTTACAATAACTAGCATGTAGTATACTCACAATTACTAAAGTAATAATATTACATAAATGACCTATTTTATATGTACTTTTGATAATGTTATTTTTATGTTTTACTGAAAAGGTTCTTTTTTCAAATGTTTAAATATAAAATAAATTCATGTACATATATAATATATAAATAATTGATAATTTATAATAATCGCAAAAGAACATTTATATAATTGCATATATTTCTTATAATAATATTGGTTTTAACATTTATTCTATTTTTTTACTTTGTAAATATATTCCTTCATAATTATAAATTTTCTTAAAACTAATGGAATTTTTAATCATTCGTAGTAAAAATAATATATTATAATTTTTTTTCGGAAGAAAATATATACTTTTTTTTATTGTTTATCATTTTTTTTTTTAAACTATATTCATATCGTAACACGCGAAGAAAATATCTGTAATATTAATTTTAAATATTTATTTTTTATATGAATATATTCAAAGTAACAGTTCTTTACACTTATTTACTGATTCTTGTTATGTAATGTTCTATGCGCATTAGGTTGTAAAATATATGTGATAAATTGATCATTTACTATATTTATGCATTATAAGTTGTATTGTGCAATTTTAAAATTAAATATATATACATATATATTAAATATTATAAGGGAATTTATATTAAGTAATATAAAAAATTTATGTGTACGATGTTACATGAAAATAAAAATTATTATCATACTTTTGCATCATATATTATCATCACACTACACAGTTAAAATTATAACTCTTTATCCTAATAACGAATAATTACCTTTATACAAAATTAAGAATATGTAAAATATATATTTTTTCTTATATATGATATTTTTTTAAAATATTATTGCTATAATATATTTATTTTAAGAAATAAGCTTGTTTTATATTCATAAAATTATACAATAGTTATTTTATTGCTCACAGAAAAAAAAACTCTACTATGTACGAAAAAATATATATTCTATGTATAACATTATATTAAACATTTTATTAAATTTAATTAAAGCAAAGAAAAATATCTTAGAAAATAGCATATAAAAACTTATCCATTCCTTATAAGCACATATATATATAGACATCATTTTATATAATTTAATTCTTGTTTCTCTAATGTATATTCTGATAAAATAACTTAAGCATATACATATAAAAATATATTATTTTCATTTATCCATAAACTTGTGGCAATTTAATAATTAATGCAATAATTTTTATTAAATTAAAAAAAAAATAATTTTAGAAAATAAAAACTTTTTTTACTCTAATTAAAATAAAATGGGATGTTTTGTGTCTCAACATGAATTATTATGTGCAAGCTTTTGTATACAATATCCAAATTACTAAAAGAAATAATGAACAATTCATAGTAATCATTATTTTTAAATAAAAATCATTTCGTTTAAATTATTACAACATAACTAAAAAAAAAAAAAATTCAAAACATTATGTGAAAAAGTAAATATATAAATCACAGTTCTAAGAATTTGTAATTTATTTTTAAAATATTATATAATTACCTTAAAAAACTAAATAGTCTACTTGAATATGTGAATCATATAATAATATGCATATGCTGAATATTATGAACCTTTTAACCGTATTATTTTATATTACTCGAATAAATAATTATGAACTATGTTTAAGGAAGAATAAAATAAATTATAGCAGAAATGTATCTAGCAAATCATGATTTATTATTTAATATCTCATATTATGTCTTTATTTTGTAATAATGGAGAATATAATATTTTAAAGATATTCTATGATTAATTTATTTTATTATATATTTACAAATTAATAACTACACGTATAATTATATGCACTATGAATGTGTATACAGTATTTCTAACGTGATATATACTAAAAAATAAATGTAGTATATTTAATTTAAGTATATAATACAATATTATATAATTTTTAGTAATTATTTTAAATAAATTACTTATAAAATAAATATTTAATCTTTTTAAATTTATATCATATCTGGAAGCAAAAATTTATATATAAGAGCTGTAAATGTTAAAGAAATTATCGTTATATATATTATCCTTTATGATATATATTATATTACATTATATACATTAAAATAAAAGTGTTTATTCTAGTATATTAATCATAATAAATAATTATAGAAAACAAATTTATGCAACTGGAAATTACTGATATTCAAAGATAGCACCATTAAAATGTTTTTTATTAGTTTTGTATTAATCTTTAATATTAAATAAAATAAAACATATTATAAATTATCCATATCTTACAATATTCAATTCTATGCATATAAATAAATTTGTCATTAGTCATATATTTTTTTTCTTAGGTATTATAAAATCAAAATATATATGTTCATTAATTCAGGATGTAATATTTTTTGTGCTTATATTTAATATTTTTATATAATATAATTAATATGTATCCAGCATTTTATTATTATGCGAATGTATTATAAAATTTTGTGTGGCACATTGTATAGCTTCATATATAACAATTTATTTTTTATATTTTTGTGTCATTTTCATAATAACGCATTAAGGTATATGTTAATTTCAGTAATAATTATGTAAAAGCAACAAAATAAAGAATATAAGAATTATTGTGAATATACGAATTGTAATAATGTGAAGTCTTATATGTGTTCTAAAAACGTTCCTTGTAAAAAACATTTCCATTTTTTTAAATTAATAACTGATAAAATAAATATTTTACATTGAGATGTTTCTTCTAAATGATTAAATTTTTATATAATTCATAAATTAAAAGGTTATGATAGTAACTCTTATCTTAACTAAGATATCCCATATGAAAAATTGAAGGATAAGCTGATTTTTTCAGATATTTTTAAAAAGATCTATAAAGAGTTAAATAATGCTGATAAATTCTATTTATGCAATATAAATTCATTATATATATTTCATAGATATTGTGAAAAATATATATAGTTTCTTCAGGGAAATATGCTTCCTACGGAACATAAAATAATACTATCAATAATATAATAATGATGTAATGCAAAAATAAGCCCCTATATTATTAAATATTATAGGATATTATGAATTTTTGAATATATATATGATACATACAAATGAAAATATACTATAAATGGGCTCAAGCAATGAGATTAACATTCTTTAGTGTAATAAAAAGACACAAATATACATAAAATTGCTATAGAACTGCCATGATATAGTAAACATGTCAATCCATGGCTTTTGTTTAAAAATTTGGACCTTCTAGTATTAATTTATAATTATAAAGTTACAATAAATTCATTTTCTTTTATTACTATTCAAATATAATTCATATATTTCTTTTAAAATAAAAATTATTTTAATAATATATTATTTTTTAAGCGTATATTTTGTTTGTTCTATATTATTTTAAACAGTTAGAACAAGGATTATGTTTAAAAATAAAATATTTAAAGGAATGAACTTCAATATGAATATAGAAGTACATAAATCATTGAAATCTCATAGAATTCCGGGTATAAATACGAATAAAATAATATTTAATATATCACATTATTCAAAAAAAAGATTCCATATTTCCTTACAAGGATATTCGATGGTATATTGATGAATGCAATAAATATAAAAAATCATTATTGTAATTATAATATATGGAAAATTTACAAAAACATATATAATTATATATTATAATAACTATAGAAATAAAAAATTTATGATAATGGAAGTTTATATATGTTTTATAATATGTAAATTTCATATTAATATTAAGAAATTGTATATCTATTTATATGAAAAATTAAATAAATTAAACAGAATATTGAGAATTTCTCTATACATCTACTATTGTATACTAATAAAGACATATGTAAATGATTAATAAGTATAATAAAAAATTATATGTTTTTATTTATATTTGTATATATATTATTTTAGTTAATAAGTATAAATGTGCACTGTTGTTCAATTGTCAATTTATCGTATTTATAAAGACTATGTTCGTGTAAATAACAACTCATTGAATTAATAAAAAATAATTAAAATTTAATGATATAAATTCCTACTTCTATGAAATTAAATTAAGTATTTATTTTAATATATCATTATTTAATTAAATATATTTGTAAGATTTATTGTAAATGACATGGTCATATTTTTAATAAAATGTATTTTATTATCATGGGAAAAAAAACCTGTATTTTTAAATAAATATGATGAATGAAAAATATTTTTTAAAATTATCATTTTCATAATGGTTTAAAAAAAGAGCATATGTCTAATACACTTATATATTGTACTTTCATTCTTTTTCAACGAAAAGAATATTATGTGTTAATACTGGAACTTATATAAAATATTCAAAATTTCATATGAATGTATATAATGTTGTAGTTATCTGTTCAACGACAAATATTTTTATATGAAAAAAAAAAAAGCATAATTCTTTAAGTTTATAATAATTTTATATATGTATGTGTCAACAATTCAGTGACTTCTTCTATAAAAAACACTTCATCTAAGTATATGCGTATAATATTATATATTATAATGTATATATATAAAAATATATGGTACATATTTGTGAAGCAAAAATACGTGTTTATTATATATAAATTAACTTCGGTATTAGCTATGCTATTCACATAGAAAATGTGTATTGTATATTCTAGGTACGTATATTTAATAAACAAAAAAATTAAACATATTTTAATAATATTATTTATATAAGTACCTATTTTACTTATGCTTTAATATATATAAAGAACCAAAGGGAATATTAAAATTAATAACTGTAGTAAAAAAAATAGTTCTTATAGAACGGTATATTGCCTCATATATTACACACAATTAAGAAATAAGTTCTATTAAATTTAAGAAACATAAATTATTTTATTACACATTATATAGAGTATTTTTCGTAAACATTAATTCAAATTAGTGCACAGCAGATTCTATTATTTTGAATATATATTTTTAATGATAAATAAAAATAAATTATATGCTCAAAATTTTTTTTTTTCACTTCCATTTTATGATAATATTATTAAGTTTGCATTATTGTTATATGGAGATATATTTTTTTATATTTTAATGCAAAATATAACATAATATACAGATATGATTTTCATTACTGCAAAACAATTTTAATACCATGTTCAAGAGAATAATTAAAATTTACACTTGATTTTTTATATTGTATGAGTTCATTTATTCAATAATTTTATTTATACACTAATAAGATAATAATATTATTAATTTAAATAACACATCCATAATGTGAAAATAATAAAAATGTACCCCATAAAAAAAATTAATAATTTTACATGATAATATTAATTTATTTAAAAAATGTTTATGCATAGTAATAAGAATTAAAAGATTTGGAGTATTATTTCGGTCGTATGTAATTTACTGTATGACCAAATAATATATTTTTTGATATTAAAAATTATACATCAATTATTGTATTAAAATGAAAATAATTATGTAGCACTATAACAATTTTCAGATGTTGTGTATTACTATTTTTTATATGTGATTTTATAGTTTGTATTATTAACATTTATTTGTATGTATTTATTAGTCATAATTTTTTGCACATAATATTTATAATTTATCTGCTTATAAGTCAGTTAAAAATTAAAGGATATTTAAAACATTATACACATAAAAAAATAAATAAAATAAAATATATTGAATGAATTATTTATGACAATGTTTTGTGTATTATTTGAAAAATATTACTTTTGTTATTTATTAAAAATTATCATTTCCTCATCCATATAGCACATTTTTTAAATAAAATGTTTGCGTCATATATGTGTAAAACATATTCTATAAAATGTATAAAGACAAAAAAGGAAGCATGCTTATGTAATTTTATAAATAATTAATATAAAACACTATAGAATATATATTAGATAGATATAATTATTGAAAATCTATAATAGTCAAAATATATATCACATTGTACAAGTCTATTATTATAAATGGAATGTATTCTCAAGATCACATATATATTAATAATACATATTTTTAATTGTATTTAACTTATTAAATATATGAAAAGAATAATATAAATTAACTACAGATTCTAAAGTATTATTATATTCTTTAATTATATATACCCTATAGATTTATATTCTATATTATATCTTAAATGATTTGATTAAAGAAAGCAAGTCCTAAATTTATTGGTGGTTTTTATTATTTCATAATTCATATCTTATTTTATACTAATATAATTATAATATGTTTAATATAAAGAACAATTAAATAAAATATTTTTCATAAAAATAATTATATATAAAATTGAATTAACTTGCAATAATATAAAAAATAATATAGGATTGCATATATACTATAAATGAATCAAATATATAAGAAAATAATATAAAATAATAATAATAATATGTCTGAATCCTCTGTTGAACCTTCTATTAAATTACTTAAAATCCAGGTGTTCATACATTTAAAAAAAATAATTCTTATAATAACTTTCATTCAAATGTATTTTTTTTTAAATTATAGATGGAAACTCATTTACACTAATTTAATATATACTCAATTATATATATATCAATAATCACATTTTTTTATACAATTCCTAATGGAAATCCAACTATATTTCAGTTGTATGAAAAATTTGATAATGGGAAACAATTTGATAACACTTCAGGCACATGAGAATGTAATGAATATGAAACTAAAATTAAGCCTACAATTGTTGTACTTTGAGAATCGCTTGAAATTTTTTTTACTAATAAGATTATAATTACTAGATAATTTCAGAAAAAACATAGAAATTATTTTTCCTATTTAATATTTTTTTTATATGACAATGTTGTAGAAGAACGTAACTTCGATTTCTTTAACATTAGTTAGATTTATAGTAATTTCAGTTTTATTCAGTTAAAAGTGCATGCTATGTTGAAACAGGTAGCAAATATAATATAAAATTATTAAAATTATGTGATATGGATATATTAAAAAAAAAGTAATATTTATATAACATATCGTGGTCCTAGTATATATAAACAAATATAATGGAAAAGATGATCCTTTTAAATAGAGGAAATTTTTGTGAATATGTAGAATATATTTTTATGCTATAGCAACAAATAATTCGAAAAAATAATTCAAGATTTACTCAAGAACGTTTTGATGATGTTATTCATATTGAAGCAGCATTTTAAGTGTGAACTTAATTTAAATTTTATAACAAATAAATGTAAATACAATGAAATTAGATTAATATTTATGAAGAATAATAAATCATTATCTGGTATAAGTGAACGATCTCAAGGGTTTATACATGACAAAAAAAAAATACTTGTTCTTGCAGAAAACTTTTATGTAAAAATTATAGAGGAAGCATAAAAAATAATATATTATAATTAATTATATTTATAAATAACTATTAAATCAATTGTACAAAAATAAAGGAAACAAGTTTTTAGTATTTCTTTTACCGAAAATTCCTGTATAATATGTATTAAATTATTTTTTTTATTTTATTTTATTTTTTAGGAATACATAAGGTATAATTTAACTTCACACAAAGTATATAAATCATTATATAATAATGAAAATTAATAATACAAATAATTAAAAATTACTAGAATTCTCTATTTTAGAAAATATAAAAAATCTCAAATTTTATATTCCTATTAGTTAAATGGTAATTATTTAGATTAATATAATTATATAAAAATATATTATATACAGAGGGACTAAGTAAACTAACCATGTGCTATTGTAAATATTTTTAATCTATATTACAATAAATATAACAGATATTTTTTCTGTATCTTATTTTATTATTTCTCTATATACCCGCAAGCTAACGTATTATGCATACAATCCTAATATATTATATTATTAATTAACATCTATAATTATAAAAAATATATTATATATATATCCAACAAATATATATTTATGTTGTGTCATTAATAGTATATATTTATACTATTAATATGTAATGATTTTTATTATATTTTTGGATCATTGTGAAGGGCAATGGATTACTATATTATTTCTTATACGCTGTATATATATATTTGTTAATAATAATGGTAAAAATTGAGGTGAATTCTTCATTTGCATATTGTTATTGTATAAAAGTAATTAGAAGTTATAACATTTGTACATTTATTTAATTTTTTTTTGTATGGTACAATACTTAAATAATTAATAAACTAAATTATTTATATGACCCATAATAGTGGGCTTTCATGCTACATATATATATATATATTAAAATTTTTATGATAATAAATTATCCCTTGTTTTATAATCTATATAGACACATTGAATCTTGAAAAATAATGCTCATATATGAGACTACAATGTTATTACATCGAAAAACTCATTGTATATGTCTTTATAATAAATATTTATATAATTTTTTTAATAGTGTTCAATAGTTTTACAAAAAATATTCGGTCTAATATGCATACAATAGTTTTATAATTTTTTAAGTTAATTAACTGTAAAAATATTAATAATATGATAAAATTTTTATTAATATAATTTTACTTAGCATGAAAAAAACTAGTTTTTTGATAAGTTTCAAATGTAAATTAGTTTAATGAATTATATGCATCATTATTATAACCAAAACATAATTATAGTTTATTTTATAAAAACCTATTTTCATTAATTTTATTGACCAACGCAAGGTTAATATAAGGAAAATATACACTAGTATATATATTAAATAAAACATTTAATGAATTATAGAAATAAGTGATGAAATAATTATAATTGAATTTTTAATAATAATGATATAACATTATTTCTCTAATTTAAAGCACGATTATAATATATTTATATTTAGCATTAAATATAATGTCTATTCTTCATTCATTGATAAATGCACCTTTCCATTATTCACATATATTTCAGGTGAATATTGTACATATTAATTACATTATTTTTTATTTTATTTAAAAGTGTAATAATTTATAATATCTACATTATTTTAATTTATATTATTTTTTCTGCATATGCTTAAGATATAATATATATAATATTGATATAATAAATTATAAAATTTTGTGCCAAAAGATATTTCTCTTTTTTATTTATTTTTATCAATTATTATGCATTCCTAAATTTTATTATTGCTTTATATATTTGATAAAATAACTTTTAAGTTCACTTTAATTTTTTTTTTATAATATATATATAATAAAACTATTTTATTAAAGCATATACACTATTATGACTATAAAGCATTTTTTATGTTTAAACATTTTTGTTCTCTTGTAATATATTTTTAATTTCTATGTATTATAATGTAGCAATATATATTATATTGTATTTTCTGCTCTAATAATATAATATACTGTATTCTCCAGCGTTTGATTTTTTTCTATGTTTCTCAGAACTATTCAAGGTTGAATTATTATTTTTATTGTGCCCATATTTTATATCTATTATTTTCCCTTGTATTATATTACTTAATTTTGTTCCAAAAGGTGTGTACTATAAAAACGGATAAAAAAGTTTTAATGTTTTTAAAAATGAAATATGATATTTTAATATACTTTATATCTCTGATAATATATATATACTCATGATATTAGTATTTTTCATTACTTTATAAGTATAAAAACATATAAATAACAAGGCCAACAATGATAAAGCTGTTGATATTACCACATTGCTCATTCCTTTTCCTATTTCTGATGAAGCAGAAAATTTTTCTGTTAACCCTAATTCATTCGACAATTCATTTAAGAGTTTCTTATCGCATATATTTGTAGGAGCCATACTAATAATAAGAAACTGAAGCTGTTTTTTTAATACGTCTAAGGCTTCACAAAATTCACTATTCTTGCGAGTACACTTATCTTTAAGACTTTTTAAATTACTAATACATCCATTTATATACTCTGAACACTGTTTGCTATAGTCTGTTGAAGAAGGAGTCAAAAAATTATAAAGTTCATCGCGATAAACATATAATTCGTATAACATACGCATGTTTTCAAGAACATCATTTTCCATATCTTTTATTTCACATTTTGATAAAAGATCATGCTTAAAATCTCTAAAATGATTCTTAAAAATTTTATAAAAATCTTCGACTTTGAAAGAGCTAGATTTACTTGTATGTTTTAACTTTAAATTTAACCAATATTTTAAAAATCCACAATCGATTTTATGAATATTTTGCAGTGGTTGAATAAACGTAACAGATGGCATACTTCCAATGAGGCAAATAAATTTCTTACATATTTCTTCACTGGAAACACCATTCAAAGGAACACTTTTTGAAAAGATATTACAATTTTTAATAATATCATCTTTAGAAGGAAAACCAACTCCTTTAACCACCTCAACTCCAGGAGCAACTTCAAATATTCTAGTAAGAAAACTTTCAAGTCCATTAACTTTTTTCATATACATATCAATATTACTAAAAAATTCATACTAAAAATAAAAATGTAATTTCATATTTATAAGTAAATAAGAATGATGTTTCGTCATTAATGATACTTAATATCATATAATACATAAGTTTTATGTAACATATAATTTTTTAGAAACAAATAAAAATATAGACTCACATCGTTTGAAGTTATATTAGTAGCCATCTCGCATTATGTATATTAGTAAAAAAGGTGATAAAAATTGTACTCATAAAAAGAATTATTTATAATATGAGCGAGTAGAAAAAAATGTAATACATTATTTATTTTATCTAATTGGATTATGTATTTCTCCTTTTTATAAGCACTATATTTTGAATTAAGACGGAAAAAATTTTTTTAAACTAATTATTTTAAAGATTATATAGTATGTCTTACGCTAAAATGGTAATAAATCATACACTCATTAGAAATTCTTTCGAAAATTAATATCCATTTGTAAAATTCGAATTGTGATTGCATATCCACATTTCTCTATTCTATTGAGCATACCTAAAAAAAAATAAAAAACATATTTAAATGAACATATAAAATAACAAACTATGGTAGAAAGTATTAATTATCTTTTCCTTCATTTATGTAGATAAATTATAAACAATATCATTCTAAAATAATAAAAAATATTATTTAATCTATAATTACATATATATTATTCTTAAAATTAATCTTTCATAATATTTAAAGCTGTTATATGTTATGCGAAAAAAATATAGATTATTATTTTAAAATTAACTCTTTTTTACAAAATTAAAATGCTTGAAATCCTAAAAAATTATAATAAATATTTATAATTTAAAAATTTTCTCATTAAGAAAATTATATTTTTTCAGTAATGTCCTTAAATATATGTATATTTTTTAATAATGTATGTTGATATTAAATTGCAAAAAAGTATTGTACCTATTTTTCTATGTTAACAAATATGCTCAAAAAAATATAATTTATAAGCTTTTTCTTCATATTTAGTTATTCTTACATGCGCAATGCCCTGAATATAATAAAAATAAATTATGTATTCTTATATTCTAATTAATGAAAGGAATGAATTTAATTTTATTTAAAAAGGATTATTTGAATTAAAATAGCATAATTACATTATGTGTTCAGTAAGACGATAACATAAGTTCCTCTTTAATAGAAGAAATGAATAGAAATAACAATTATTAAATATCACATTCTCTATTTTTTGAATTATAATATTATTTCTCGTAAGAATACTTCCGAACTATTAGAAGATATAGAAATATATATTTTTATGCTAGAAAATTAATTTTGATCCTATTAACTTTATATTTAAATGAATTAAAATTTAGAATGTAAGTTGTATTCATCAATGTTTATACTATTAGAAATATGTATATGTACACCCTAAAACAAAAATATCAATGTATAATGTATCTGTATACTAGGAAATCTCTTATGTTACCTATTTTTTTAAACTATATAATGACAATTAATTTGAACTTTTTTTCATTTCCTTAGTATTTTTTATAATTAAAAATAATCACAATTTTTTTTTTCTTTTATTATAATATATATATAATATTACAGTGATAATTACTTATTCATTTATTTACGAATTTAATTGTGATATAAAACGAAAAAAAAGGCATTACTACATTTTTCTTCTTTTTATAATGAAGAGAAATGGACAGGCGCATTTATTAATAATATATACTATATCACTGATAAATTGTTTTTTGCATATTAATACTACACAATAAATACAATTCATATTATGTATTATTTTTTTATATTACTATATTTCAATGATATCCTAATTTCACTAAATTCAAGTATTCATTTTTGCAATAATGATCAAGGACATAATTCTCCTGTAAGACAAATAAGTTACCACATTTTTATTGTATTAATTAAAATTAAGCATAAATACAAAATATTATTAACATATATAAGGGATAAGTACACGTTTTTAAAATTTTCATAAATATTCATTATATACAGATATATTATATATTTTGTTAAAAATGATGTTATAAATATATAGATATAAATTACTTAAAACTTAATATTAATACAGGAAATTCAGTTTTTAATGTAAAAAATAATAAATTTACATATTTATACATAAATGAACGTTATTAGGAATTGTGTTTTATTATATAAAATTATTGACTAATTAAAATGTTATATTTATCTATTTTCATTTTTTTGTTTTATAGTATCATATAATAATAATAACACAAATGTTAAAATATACTTGTCTTTGATATGCTTGCATAATGAAATGTATAAAAAATAGTGGCAAATCAGATATATAAGTAATTTGTCTTAATTATATAATAAAAATTTATATAATCAAAAAAATGTATATTAAAAAGCATTTCTATAAAATACATTTATGATAATAACAAAAATTAGCCTTTTGTTTGATTAAAAAAGAGTAATATTATAATAATATAACTTTTAATATTTCATTATTACTATAAAATGTAAAATTCTACATAATTATCACAAACAATAACGCCCTGTATATTACGTAGATAGATGGATATGGCTTTAGAAGTACATGCTTTTAAAATGAATATTTCCAATATTTTAAATACTGTATTGTATATAAGTATTATATATATGTGCTTAGAAATATATATATGCACAATTCTTGTAGAATATTCTCTAAATAATACGGAATTATAGAATATAAAATGAATTATTCCTTAGTTCTTGTTTTATAATTTTATAAATGTAAAAATAACGTATATTAATTCTTAAAACTAATATTTCCTATTTTATAATTCGCATAATATTTCTTAAAAAGAATATTGTTCAATTTCCTCTGAAGAAAAATGTAATATAAATATGTATTCTATTTCTAATTAGAAAGAAAATAAAATAAACTTTTTTTAAATAAGAAAAATAAATATAAATTATTTTTTTCATTATTATTTAAATAAATTCTAATTTTCTATTACGTTGAAATATATATATTATAAAAATATAAGCGACATCTTATTTGTAGAATACAATAAATTAAAATAATATATATCTATAAGACATTTTTTGTTTAAGAAGTCTAGGATAACGCATATTTTAAAAAATATATAACATAAGAATTATTTTTCAAAAATATTATATTAAATGAGGTTATTTATTTAACTTAAAACGAAAGAAAATATAAAATACAAAAAAATACAATCATAGAATACCAAAAAAGTAGTACCAATAGAGTAAAATATTAAATGAATAAATCTATAATATTAAATTAAATATATTACGTATTTAATATTTTTCCTTTATTTATTTACCTTTTTTAATGTTATACCTTATATGAATATGCAGTATTCTTTTCTTATAATATAATAATTCATCTTCACAAAAACATAAATTGCATGTAATATTATAATTGTAAACTCTATTCAAATTATTACGTTATATTTAATTTTTTTCCTTGTGTTCTAATATTCTCATATTTTGAATCCTTATATCTGAATTTATTTGGTGATACATGACAATTTTTATTCATAAGATTTTTTCTACTTGATAATCTGCTTATTCATATTCCAGAATGAATAAACTGACAAAAAAAAGGGATATAATAGAATATATATTATATTTACTTCGTATTTTATGTTTTACAAGAATAAATTATTAGTAATATCTTAATGATTTTTCAATTTATTATATAATATTCTTTTACCTCTGTAAAAAATGTAAAACATCCATAAAACTCCAAAACATGTAAAAGAAGAAGCAGTAATAAAGTAAAAGGAGTCTTCGGTGATATTAGTATAAAAATAAGTACTACTAGAAAGTAATTATTCATTCTTTTCCAGCTATTTTTACATAAACAATATTACTTTACTATCAACAGTCTCACCTTCATATATATTTTCTGCATCAAGTGTGGATTTATTTTCGTTGCAATTTAGTTTCATTAAGAGATTATTAGGGTTAAGATTTCTATCATATTTAAAACATCCATTACAGTGTTCATTGTAATAATCCACTTTAAGATAATACTCACAATATCCTAGCACACATTTTTTATATAATTTGTATATATAACTAACATAGGCACAAAGTGCATGATGTTCTATATTAAGATTATAATTACTTTTAATTTTACAGTGATCTTTAAAAAAAATCATGCAGATCTTTTATTTCTCTCAATTCCCTGTAGCTAGTATTACTACTGAATATATATCGGCAATGATTCTTATCCAATTTATTGTTCATATTATAGACTATATTAAGAATAGCTCTAACAAATGGAGTATAAAAGGAGGAATTTATATAATTACTAAACTTTTTATTTATTTCCTTATATAACCAATAAGTAAAATATTCACAATTATCATTACTCTTTCCATTGTTCATTATAGATAATTCTCATAAATTCTTTTATAATAATCTACAAAAATGACTAATACCTGGATAATCCATTTCTAAAAATATTATATCCATACAATCACTACAATAATTTTCAATATTATCCTTGTTATTCTTTTTTTTATATATATCATATGAATGTAACTTTTTTAAGACATCCTAAACATTTATAGAAAGAATTGAATTAATCTACCCCTAAATGAAACTTATTTAAATTTTTTTTTTAATATTTTTTGTTAAATGTATTTGAAAAATGATATACATATAATTTTTAATAATAACAGAATTGTAACATATCAATGCATGTGGCTTTTTCTGAAATCTATCTTATGTATTAGTAATTGTATCTTTTTTAAGATTATATTTTTCTTACATGTTCGGTTCAGACCGATCGGTAAATAAATTCATTTTTTTAAGACAATAATTTAATATTAAATCTAGATATTTACCGGGACATTTCTCTTTTAAAGAAGATATCTTTTTCTAATCTCTAAATTTCTTTTGAAAATGTAATACTTCTTCTACATATTTTGAAGATTTTTTACACTTATCTTCATGTAGCATAGAATAGAACAAATCAAAATCATATTTTATGTAATCACAATATTTAGCTTTCTTTTCAGTTTCTATATATTCCATATTATATATAATACTCTCGTAGAACTCTAAAAATTCATGTAAATACTTCTTCCTTTAAAACTCCTTTTCACCAAAGTCAAAATGCTTAATCACACAGTTGTTATTCCCTTTATAGTAGAAATTCATAAATAAATCAATTTTACAAACATTGTACTAGATTCCTATTTCTTTATGTTCTGTTGTTTCCAGTAGGAAAAAAATTCACAAAGTTTATTCATATGTTTTCTGTTTTCGTATTCACATGTTATAGTTTTCCATTTTTTCAACATTACTTTAATGAAAATACAATATTTACGAAAATTTCTACCGTTTTTTATCTTACTTTTTACAATCATGTCGCAAACATCAGATTCGCTACTATTCTAATAATCATTGCTGAAGAATTCATAGAATTTATATAAAGATATATCCTTATAGGCTGGGTCTTAAATAATAAAAAACTCAAATAAAATATATTGAAACATAAAGTCTTATTAACAAAAAAGGTAAAAGAATAATTTCATGAATTAACGAAATTCTAACATCTATATATTTAACATCAAATTTATTAGTTTAATTAATATAATAACTGTACCATTTTTATTATATTTCTAAGAGAAGGGTTCAGCATATTTTCTGCTTTTTCGATTCCCTTAGACGAGTTAGACATTTCAATTTTGTATTCGCATTTAAATAATTTTTTCTCATCTATATAAACATTATGTTTAATTATGTTATTAAAAATTTTGCAGTATACTTTATCACTATAATTATTTTCAATAGATTTAATTTTTCTTTTCTTATATATATCTATAGCTGCTTTTAAGTAACGATAATACAAGCTATTATATATTTTATGATTTTTGTAGTTATCGCCATATATATCATAAAATAAAAAATAGTCATACATCTGCTTAGTCTTTTTAATATTCTCCAAATCCACTTTATAAAACACACATTCTTTATTTTCCTTAATAAAAGGTTTTCACTCCCTTCCCAGATATTAAAGAAATTGTTAATATCTTCATCACTAACATTATTATATAACAGGTTGTCATAAAAGCAATACATTAAATATATACATTTAAAATTTTTATATTTTTCTTCATTTAAATGGGGAAAATATTTTGTAAGATCATTTATTTTTTTAAAATTATTCAACAGTTTTTTACAAAAAAATTTTTTGGGATCAGTCTTGAATCCATTTATAACACACGAACACTGTAAATTATAATCCTAAGAAGAGCATGGTCTATTAAATTCATTATAAGATAAATATAATTTACTTTTTCTCAATTTATCATCTTAAATGATAAACAAATGATAAAATACATATATTAAAAAATTCCTATTTTTTAAATGAGTTCCTATTCTCATTCCTAGAAAAGTTAAAATATACAAAAGCAGATTCTTAATTATGACATAAAAATATATAACAACTGACCTCATTCAGTAATAGTTTTTGAAGAGTGGGAGAAGTTATATCATCAGACATGTTAAATAAATACAATAATCTAAAAATTAAATTCGTAGCATTGTATGTATCTATACATAAAATAAGTACATTCTCAATCAATATGCTATGAAAAATTATATATAATCTTTAAAATATAACTAAAATAATTATTCATAATATATATTTATTATACCTCCTTTATAAATAAATTATAATATTATCTCTATGTCACTATGTAAATTAGCAATTATAAAATAATATTGTTTGATTGGGGAAAAGTAACATTTGAAAAGAAATTTATGTATATATGATATAGTGATATCTTGACGTAATTAAAATAATGTAATTTATTATATATTAATATAAAGATATGTGTTATTAAAACAATAAATTTTGATATATATGAGAATTATAGTGCTTCTTTTTACATAAATATTTATATAGATGTGCTATTTTTTATCGTACAATATTAACGCATTTATATATAATCTCCAATAAATTTAATTGAGAATGAAATTATCGAATATGTATATACACATAATACTACTTAATATACAAATAATATTGTGTTATTCATGAACCTTCATAGTTATACTTATATATAAAAATTTTATACCATAGAAGAATACCCACATAAAATTTTAATATTTGAATAAATATATGAAAACTATTTCGTAAAAACAAAGAATATCATTTTAATAACTAATAATTTTTAAAACATAAAATATATTTAAATTCAAAAATTATATTTAACTAAATTATAAAATTCAATATTTATCTACATCTTAAAATTTTAAAACTTATAATTATCCATTTTTCTGTTATCACCCTTATATCTACTTTGAGCTAATTAACATGCTGTATATAGCTCATTTATTTATGTAGAACGGTAATATTTTTACTATTAATTTTAATATTTTTATTTATTAAAAGTAAGTATAATAAATTAAATTAATAAAAATCTATATTATATTTAACATTTTTTATAAAATATGCACACAAATTATATTCTCATATTTATAATATAACTTAAGTAAATTTAATGCTAACACCATCAGTGCAATGTATAGGAATTTCTATTTTTTATATTTTACCAATTTTTTTAAAATTTACATTAAATAAAGCAATAAATTAAGCAAAATTTTTAATTAAAACACATTATTCAAACTTTTAATATTTCTTCCATGCTCTATATTTTGTAGTATATATGCTACATAAAGTTTTTTCATTTCAAGCCTAGGCATAAAAATGTTATACAAAAAATTATATATATTTACACTTTTTCCTCATAATTATTGTAAAACTTATTTTTATTACTTCGTAATGTTCTTCACAATGTTATCGTACATGATACATTTTTATACCTTAACGTATTCTATAATTTGTAAAGAAGTCGCTACTGAAATTATCTCCATTTTATTTATGTACATCGAGCACTCATCTTTTTATTATTTACTACTAAATCTCTGAAACAATTTAAATTTACCAAAATGCATTTAGAATAAATATTCAAGTAGGTCAAAGTAATAACCTCTTATATATGTTTTAAAGTTATAATTCTACAGTCTAAAAGATATGATTGAGTATAATATTTTTTCATATTCCTTATTGCACTATATGTATACACAATTAAGCGGGTTATAAAAAGAAAAGTTAATATTAAAATACTTTCATAACGCTTTTTTACATGTTTTCTAATTTACTGAATAATAAGAGGTATTTCACCTTTTTAACATACGTATGCATGCTTATTATTTTGTTGCCAATGCATAACATAACAAATATAGTATGGTCAAATATATTTATAAAATATTTCACCTTAACAATATAAATAAAAATTAAATTATGTAAAATTTTAGAAATTGATATAAGAATCACCAAAAAAAACAAACAAATTTAGATAAAACCTTGAAGAAATAAAGTCAATAAATATTCATTTTTATTCAGAATGAGAAAAAAAAACGAAAAGTTTTTTATGACACAAATTTAAGACAATTTTTGTTATGTACTATGCCATAATATATGTAATCATGTTTTGATGCATGTCTCAAAAGAATTTTTTATTAATATATCCATTTTTCCATTGCCCTTTTGCATTTTTAGAAATTCCAAAATAAAATATATTTTTTATTTCTCCCTTTTTTTTATTCTAATAATTTTTTCTATGCATTTATTCATTTTCTTTTTAATTGTTTCCCCTTTTGTCTGTTTCAATTTTTTATATTTTCATGTTTTAATTAGTAAAATAATTTTTCTTTGTTAAATTTAAAATATCAAATGTAACACTTTTCATTCTAAACATATCATACGTTTCTTATATATATATTAGAAATGGAAACATGCAGAATAAGACTGTGCAATTCTCCCTGCATTTCCTTAATTCACTTAGTATCTAACTTAACTTCATATATAAGGTCTTCACTTATTCTGATATGCAATTTGTATTCTTTTTCCTTTCGAACTCGTATTCTTTGCTTTTTTACCACCCCGAGGTGGATACTGTGATTTTTTTCCATTATAATTGTGATATATTTTATTTTTCACCCCTGTTTTACTTCTTACCCATGCGCCAACTGGAGTAAACTAAAATACAAACGAAAAAAATATATTATGTATATTACATATAATTTATATATTAACATTAATTTTGACAAATTCAAATTAGAAAAAAAAAGGGGAATTCTTTGTTTTCACATTTTTTTGTACTTTATAATAAACAAAAAAAACGAAAAAAAATCCTAACATTAAAATGATTAAAACTCCTACGCGAAATGGCATAGTTTTTAATAAAATATAAAAGTAATCTGAAGTATTAAAATGAGATGCTTCATTTCCATCTTTGTTGTGTGATCCTGCATTTGGTGAATCATATCCCCCTTCTGTATTTTCATATGATGTTTCAAAGACACTTCTTGCTTGTTCCATGTTAGGATTAGGATTTAATTTATATTTTCCTTCATCACGTAATTCTCTTAAGCGTTTACACAGTCCATAAGTATCATTGTATGGGTAGTTTCTACAATCCAATGTTTCATTATCATGTATTTTCCATTTAATTCCATCATTACTTAATACTAAATACGGTGTTTTACCATCTGCTTCTTTTAAATTTTTATAATTTTCTTCATCGATATTTTGTAAACCTGAAGTGACATCATGTTTTTGTTTCCCTCCTTCTGAACTTTGTCCTCTGATTGTTTCCCCTCCTGATGCATTACTTAATGTTGTATGCAGATCTAACGCTTTCATGTCAATAGCTTTACTTTCATCTTTATCATCAGTATATTCCATAGTTGCCGGGACTAACTCACATAATATAGGCTTCCCCTCATACCTATTTTTGCATTTAAGATAATAAAAAGTTATTATTTTTTTATTGGAAGATTCAGTAGAATCCATTTTTCCTTTTTCACATTGTGACCCTTGAATTTTTTCGCATTCTAAATGTGAAAGTAATTTTTTTGGATCATACTCATCTTGACGTTTAAAATAATTTGGGCAATCACTATCCCAATAATCAACATCATGTAAACATTGTTCATTATATCTACCACACAAGTCTATAATGTAATTTAGATAATCCTTCCATTCCTGCTTATTGCTAGATTCATTACTTAAATTTTTCTTAATGATATCATAATTACTGAAATAATCATTTAAGAATTTCTGATCATTCATTCTTTTAACATAGTTCCAATTTAAGTTTTTAAAATCATATTCACAACCATTATCATTTGTCGCATTAATAACACATTCCTGAACTTTTGAAAACATACTAAGCTCAGATGCATTGCATAATTCTTCACTGGTGCAAAAAAAATTTAAAATTGCATTATTTATCCAATATTTATAATGTAAACAACTAAAAATACGCGCTTCACTATAATGTATACCAGACAAAATTTTTAAACCATTTGCAATTTTTTTGCATAATGTATATTTTTTATTATTTTGTGATTCCTGGGTTTGTTCAAATTTTTTGCAGCATTCAATCGCATTATTGGAGGTGTCTTTGTTAAATTTGTTATAAATTTCATGAGTGCGCGAGCCTTTGAGAAATATTTCCTGATAATGAAGCAGTAAAAATCGATTAAATGGATAATTAAATCTTATTAAAAAATGTATTTCTTTCTTATTTTGTACATTAAGAATACTATATTTTTATATTGAACTTTTAGTAATAATATTATTGAATAATGAAAATATGTACCCATTTTTCCTTGTCCGAAGTTGTCATCATAAGGTTAGATATATAAATTAAATAATAAATATGATCGAAAATTGCATGTCAGTATAAAAAAAAATAACATATCCTCTTAAAATAACATGAACTTGTTTATATTAATTTATATATATATAAAGATATACATGGCGAAAATCAATTATTTAATTATGTTTTAGAAGTAAATGTACCTAGTTCTATTAATAATATGTAAAATAAATATATTCATAAAAAATGAAAAAATAATGTTTATTTGTACATTCCTCATCAGGAAATGTGAATTATGTAAATTCAAATTTATATAATTTTTGAATTTATAAGCATTATATATATAGTGTAGTTAACGGCACACATCAATAAAAGAAAATAATTTATTTTTTGATAAAACACAAACATCATATGATGCTTTAATATTTATGATATAATCCAATTCAATATTTGTCTTATAACTCATATGATAATTAAGACAAAAAGAATTATCCTTCATTTTCATTCCTTAATAATAAGCTTATCGATTTAATATGTAATTGAGTATCAATTTTTCACTTATTTCATAAAGTATTTGATGTAGTAATGATTTATTATTAACAAATTTTTTAAAAGAAACTTGAATTAACAAAATAAAATTTTTTTAAATGTTATCTTTATTTAAAAAGCATATATACATTAAAATTATATATACCAATTATTTTTAATCCATTTCAGTTATTCTATAAAAAATATATGTGTTGTGCCTAAATTGCAAAACATATCTACATACATAATAATATATTAAAAATATGTATTAAAACTGCGCTGAATTTATGTTATGTGTTACGTGAGCGTAAAAGATAAATGGTGAAAATATTTCTTTACAAAATTTGAACTATAAACGCATAAAAATGTAGTATAAGTATAAAAACATCATAATTTTTCACATTTTATGCACTTCGTTGTATTCATATAAATATATTTATCATAGTAAACGAAAATTAATTCCATATAAACATGTTACATGTTATTACATGTGTTTTTTGGAGTCTTGTTTTGTATATACCACGTTTTAATGTATTAAGCCGAAAATGAAGAGAGTAAATATAAAAGAGTTGCATAGTGAGAAAATAGAATGTTAAGGTAGATGAATACTTGGAAATACATATATATGTTTTGAATGTGGTACAATTAAAAGAATTAACCAAAAATATATCATTTAGATAAGTCGTAATATATTAATTTCTTTCATTCGAACACTTATGCATCATGTAATCTGAATGCACAAATTTTATTTTTCATATGCATCCTTCCTAATTTATTGAATTTAGCTTACATATCTTATTTTTTACTGGTATCTTTTTTTCTTTTTTTTAAAAAATGAAAAACTACGCTTCCTATTTATCTAATTGATTAAACTTGTATCTCTTGTCAAAATAAAGGAACAATTGATAAAGAAATTTAATGTGCCACAAAGTTTGCTAATTAACATATATATAATATTCTATTTCATGGCCTTTGTGAGCTAATATAATATTTATTAAATATGATACACCCTAGTAAGAAAAAAACTCTTAGTAGTCCCATTAAATGATATTCAAAGAAATATTTTACCTCTATTAAATCAAGAAAGCGGGTATTTTAGTATCATTATTTAGCAAAAATGTATTTATAAACATAATAGCTACTACTCAGATCACACTTTCTTAGTTTACATTTCCTTTTTTCTATTACACTTAAGTGTAACTGTTACTTTTTATAATAATTTTTTAAAACCATAAAAAATCAGCTGACACGAATACGTTAAAAATATATTTTAATGAAACAAGCTCACATAAATTTTATTTACTATTTATTACTTAATAACTCCCCAAACTTAAATAAAAAAAAAAGATAACATAAGTAAATACTGATGTAGTGAAATGTTAAATGTAAGCAATAATCAAATATCCCAAAAAATACTACATAAAAAGTTTTCAATTTCTTGAATATGCTAAAAACATAATTGAAAAAATGTTTTTACATATAATATACCTACATCTATGGTTAAACGTATAGCCTAAGATACTTTTTATAAAAAGTAAAAAAATAAAACTGAACTATCTACATATCCTTTTTACGTATATAATTAATTGTGGTGCATAAAATTGCTTCAATTTTTCCTTTAAAATATAACTGCGGAAATTTGTTAAGTGTATAAAAATAACCACCAAAAAAAAGTGTAAGAAATTGTTATCGCAGTTTCGTTTATCCATAAATTATATTTTATTATGCCAATATTAATGTTAACTACGATGAGAGTAGTATCATCTTTTTCTTTTACTCATCAAAATAATTACCTACTACCTCATATACATGATAAAGTAATCATTAAATCGCATAATTAAATAATAAAATATGATAATACAAACTGTGTAAAACGAAAAAATTGCAAATGTAATGGATAAAATTAATAGTTCGAAAATTTTAATTTTCAACAAATTTTAAAAATTATACCAACCCTAGATAACCTCATTCACTATGTTATAATCATCTAAGTGCGCTAGAAATAAAAATATCAATTATGACTATCATATATTAATAATAACGTTTTAGTGATATTTTCGCATTATATCGTCAAACTTGTAGAATATATTTTAATAAAATATTTAATTATACCCTTATTGGAGTTATCTCTCATTCGTATGCAATTTGAGTAATAGAGAAAACATTTAAAATAGAAAAAGGAAATAATTTTAGAAGAAATAAAATCGAAAAAAGAATATATATACATACATTGGAATTCCAATTAACATTATGATAACTATAGCATGTTTCATTTAGTAAGCATGCGCAGGGGAAATACTTTTGTGTTACAAAATGTATAGCAGCAAAATTTTATGCTTAAATTTATTAAAAAATTTAGCTAGAAATATCACAAAATATATCAATAAAAATGAAAAGTAAAATTAGTCTTTGAACCCTAAAAATGGGAATACGATGAACAAAATAGTAATGCCACATTTAATGCTAATTATTTCGTAATCCTATAATTTTTTTATATGGAGAAATTACTTCTACAATTTTAAATATATAAATAATACGAATTCGAATACAAGTGCAATCTTAGATGAAAATCATATAGTACTTTAATGAAAAGGGTAAATTAGTAAAAAAAGTTGTGCAAAAGGACAATAATTCTGAAGCAAAGAAATAAAAATAAAAAAATTAGTAATTTACTAGTCTTTTTTATACACGAAAATATAAAAAAAAAAAAAAAAAAGGCTTTGTTGGAAAATTCCATACATATTAATTAAATTTTTATGCACAAATTTGTAAAATCATGCATGTCTAAAAAAAAAAAAAAAAATCCATTGCTAAACTTTTTAATGGAAACTAAGTATATATAAAAATGTTTTTTACTCTTCATCACTAATTTTTAATTCATTAAAAAAAGTTCTCTAAAATAATGAATATTTTTCACGCGTGCCTCCTTCGCTCATAGTTACCTTCTTCTGTAGTGCTCCTAAATATATTGATTTAATTTCCTTTTAGCAACCATTACATTCATAGTGTATCTGATTTGTAAATTTCTTTCTCATTTCATATTTTTTCATTATAATTTTCATTTTTTACATTTATGTATAATAATTACATATCATATAATCATATTTACTATGATATATTATCAAAATAGGACTTAAAATAAACGTCCTAAATAATTTAAATAAGTTTATTTTAAACTAAAAATTAATATTCAGTTTTTACATATTTTATATTAAACTATAATAAATGTTACTTTCATTTTTCCCTATATTTCGTTTAACTCTTAAGAAGATAATGCACTTTTTTAATAGGAAAAATATTTGCATAATATAACTTCTCATTTAAATAGAGATATGGAGCTTAATCTAGGTATAACATACACTAGTTAAAATATTTTCATTAAGAAATATTAATATGTAACATGCTTCAAATTTTTTATGTTTCGCTATATTATTTAATTATCGTTGTATTTGTAAGTAACAATTTTTTTTATACCATAATAAAAATGTAGGTTATTATTCTTTACATCTAGAATAGTTTACAATTTAGAAAAGACAGAATAATGTATTCAATTAAAATACATCGTTCTGACAATTTTTTTTTAAGTATTACATCTTCCTTAGTTTTTTGTTCTCCTAATGTTTCCTTTGCGTTTGTTTGTACCCATATATGTATTATGAAAACTGCTTATATGTAACATCCCTAAAACATGTGAATATTAATAATCCTTTTAATAATTTTTAGATGATAAACGCCATTTAACCAATATTTTCAAATGAATTGTCATTATATGACCCATACTCATATGTCCTTTTTTCATTTATTTTCTCTATATATGCATATAAATCGCGCCTTATACCGTTATATGTATTGCATATAAATTTACAAATAAAAATAATTTGTAATGTTATTGCTCTTCTTAATAGTCACGCTTGTAGGCATGTTTCATCTGCTCAATTCTATGGTAATTATACGAATTGGGGAACAGTTTCTTTAAAAGAAAGTTTTCTAAATAAACTTTGAAAGTTCAATGACCAAAGGGATTCTTGCTAAATATAACATTTTCATGCATAATAATTTGAGGAAATACTTCATGAAAGCTTCATATATCATTCTTTTTTCTTTTACCATAATTTTTTCAATGAAATAAACCATCATCTCCTTCTATTACCATATCTAACAAAAAAAAAAAAAAAAAGTTTTCTCAGTATCTTTCTCATCCATATATATAATCCTCTTTAATCTAATATTTGTCATTTGGAAAAATGTGAACATTTGAATAGAAGATAATTGGTTATCGCATAAATCTCATAATATTTGTCTTTTAAAAAAGGAATAAAAATCTAGTAGATTTAAATTGTATTATTCATATCGCATGTATAAAGTCGTTCCAAATTAAATAAAGACAATTTTAACACGCAACCATGTATATGTATGTATACATGTATATAAATTAACAATGCTTTATTTTGAATCAGGAACTTAAGACCCCCTTAATAAACAAATTCAAATTCACATAGGGCAGAAGTGTAATTATAAAACGTTAATAAATTTTCCTTTGATTAACCGTTTAATACAATTGATTTGCATACACTTATTTATTTTAATAACAGGAACAACATTTCATAAGATTCTCATTTGTGCTAAATAAATCCCTACTGCGTATTCTAAGAAATGAAAAAAATAAACATTTTTACGTCCATATACGCATTTCTTTCCTTGTAACTCTTTATTGATAAAGTGTTCATCCATTTAAAACATATTTTTACAAATTTTCGACAAATAAAAAAAATAAATTATTAAATCAGATGGAAAAAAAATATATCGATGGGATTTTATAACAGCCTTTATATGTAATTTTGTATATAGGCTTTATGATAGATACTTTTGTAAACACACCCAAGAACAACAGTTAGATGTTTTTCTCATAATATGATGAGAAACAAAATTAAAGATTCCACAAAAAATAGGGAAAAAATTTGCTGCAAAACATAAATTTACATTAAAGACAAACAATGGAATATATAAAACAGAAATTCACAGGATAAAATGATATACGATAATTATAGAATGTAAAAATGTGTTGAATAAATAAAAAAAAAGTGTAATAAAATGATTTTCTAGAGGAAAAGAAATATACATAAATTAAAAAAAAAAAAAAAAAAACATAATAATATTATTGGGAAAATAACCAGTTTAAATTTGTTTACTCTCATATAGTACGACGTTCTTCAAAATGAGAAACGTGAACAAGCATATGAAAAATAAGTGAATGAATGTTTCATCGATCTTGATTTGCTTGTTTAATATAGGATGCTAAATAAAATGCAGGATTTTGTGAAGAGACGTGAAATGATATCTATGTGTATGAAAGGGGAGAAATAAAGAACTGTTTCATCAGGAAAGTAAATTTGTTAAAAAAAAAAATAATATTATTTCATTTTGGAACATTCTTGATACATTAAAACCTTCTTTTTTTTTTTTTAATAACTATGAGTAATTGTATGACCATTATCTCTTTTAATATACTTTTACTTCCATGGTATCTTTAACAAATTAGCCCCTTAATCACATGACACTCTACTCAAATATAATGAAATATGTAATGCTTAAAAATTAATTTGAAAAATGAAAAAATTTTAACTATATGAACTTTTTCTTAAATATTCATATATAATTTATTTCAAGAAAAAAAAATGTGAAAAGGACAAAATATTTAACGATATTCCTTTGTTTTTTGTTGATATGGGGGAAATGGTATAATATAGTACAAACTTGTATACGCGTGAAATACGTCCAAGAAATGCGTATAAACTCGTATGATTAACTTTTTATATGTAGAATAAAAAAGTGTACCTTTTCTTCTTTATATAATAATTAACTTTTCCATCTTATATTCTAAAAAGAAAACATAAATAAACGAAGGTTTTTCATTATATTTTTTATAATTTTAAAAATTTACAATGTAATATTGTTATTTTACTACTTATTCACAAAATAGAAATACATATATTTCAAAATATACCTTTTAATTTTTTTTGTTCTTTCTGCAAGCACATTATTAATATAATAATTGTAAAGCTATCCATCAGTACTACTCTTTAATTTTTAAAACTATTTAAAAAATGATATTTTTTGCAGTAGTTATTTATTAACTGCTATGATTGTGTATACGCACAAAACAAATATAAAGGAACGTACATATATCAATGTTATTTTCTTTAAAAATTATATTCATGTCATTATCATAAAAAGTTTGTAAAATGATGGAACTAACATTACATAAAGAAGATGAACTCCTTTAATTTTTAGATTAAATCTAAGAAGTATGGCAAAAAAAAAATATTGCCAACACAAATCATTTATCCATTTTATAGGTTCATTAAATTCTTTGTTTATTTTTTCCTATTTTATATGTTTCCCTTACGAACAAATTAAACATTTCTCCAAAAATATTTTAACAAATAATTTAATGAGCATAATCAAAGGTAGCAACTGAACGAATTTTAAAACTTGTGTCTTTTCGTAGAGTACTAATATAATAAATAAGCTATTTCAACGAAATATATGTGTATAATGGTTTTTTCTTAATGTGTATCCATTGCTTACAATTTATGGAACTGAATGATAATAGACATGTTTTAAAACTCGTATTTTTCGTTGTTCAGATAAATGAACGACTTCTTATAATTAATGTTTATTTAAAAAAAAAAAAAAAGGAAAAACACGAAAAAAACGTGAAAAAAAGATACTACAAATAAAAATATACATGTATATAAAAACAATTGGGCTGATTTATGGATATATTATGAGAACTTGTGGCATCATTTAATATGAACATGGATAGGCTATTGCAAGCACATCCTACATTATTGTGTTAAGAAAATATATGATACATGACACTTTATTTACATCAAAAATGGGTTTAAAATATTTATACTTTAAATATGTTTTCCAGTGATTCAATTCTTCTGGACTTTTCAAATTGTTTTTTTGTAATGGAAGCAACGTGTTAAATACTTTTCCTGAGTCAATTGCTATTTCCATAAGTCGTAAAAAAAATAAAATATTTTTTTATGAACATAAAACGATTGGATGTGTCAGAAAATGATGAAATTAATTCCTTTTATTTTTATGCATACGTATAAATACATTAGAAATTTTTTGAATTCGACTGATTTTCCCTATATTTAAAAATATTTTGTTCTGAACAATTCTTTCAAATGCGAAGATACCACAAAAAAAAAAAGGAAAATTAAATATATACATTTTTTTTTTTTTTTCTTTCATATATTGATTTCGTTTATTGGTTTTTCCTTTTTTCATACAATTTTTTGTTCCTCTTCTTCGAGCATTTTTTGGGCAAAATTTAAACAGTTTTTTCAAGCACATATTTTGGCCCCTTTTTTTCGTCATTTTGCCACATATACTTCATGCAGTTGTATATTTTTCCGCATATTTTAGCATTCCTCTTAAAATTAAATAAACTATTCACTATCCTCTCCTTTTTTGAAGTGTAAACATGTTGAAACATTTTATATATGAAATTGCATGTGATCTGGTTGTCGTTTGGCCCCACAAGAGGTCAAATTTTTATCACAACAATCCGTTTTGTAGAATCAACATAATTTTACACCACTAAATACATGCACATTTTAAAACAATTTAAAACAAAAAAAAAAAAATAAATAAATAAATAAATAAATAAAAAATAAAAAATTATAAACTCCATTTCATAATTATCTTAATAAGATATATTTAATTGCAAATATTTAATTTGTTAAGCTAAAAAAATTATTTATTCAATAAATAACCAAATTACAAATAAATTTACCAAAGTGCCGTTGTACAGAGAAATAATTCCTTAAACATATAAATGATTATCTCAACTCAGGCAAAATGAAGACTGTAAACATTTTAAGCATTTTTATTTTATTATTATTCTCATTTATAATACTTCCTCACTCCAAAGTTTACGCCTCCATACCAATTGATAAATTAGATTTTGATACACTTAAAAGAAATGAGAGCATACGCGCTAAAACAAGAAGAGACGCCTTGATTTTATTATCTGTTTTATGTGGAAGTGCTCTTATATCCTTTGCAACTCTTTGGGGAATCAGACTTCATCGTACATATAAATATGATCAGATGATGCAACATCAGGATGCAGAAAAGTTTTACAGAATGAGAAAATCGAATATGGATTTTGAAAATGAAGCCTTTGAGAAGCAAGGAGATACACCCTGAATTTCAGCTGCAAGCCAGTAACCACACATTTAGGAAGTAATTTTTTTTCAGCTATACAATTAAGTCTAATTAAAATTGTTAAATTCATTCAATCGTTCGATTATTTTGTACGTAAATATTAATAATTGCATTTATATATACGTGGAATTTTTTTTTTTATGATTTTGTATCATATAGTACTTAACATAGAATATTTCGTGCGTAGTATGTAACTTTTTTTTATTTTTTTAATTTTTTATCACATTTTTTCCTTGCATAAAAAAGACAGTGTATAGATAACTTTTCTATTGCTTGTGAATATCTTTATTTTTATGATAAGTATAATGGCACACGAATTTTCTAATTATACTATTTTCACCTGAACGGGCTAATCCATTATGAGCCATTTTTAAGAACACATTTGTAGTATGTAACAAGTTTCATTGATTAAACCTTACACCGCACACATGTACACATACACATTCATACATATATAGTGCTATCGTAATAGGTTTATTCATGAATAATATTAGTAACCACAACTTTTAAAGAAAGCAGGAAAGTGAAAGAATAAGTATATGAATAATTATACATTTTTACAACTGAACACAATTCTATAGCCCTCAATAGCATTAATACAAGAGTGCAGCCATTCCCATTCATTAATTCATTTCTATAGGGATAAGAAAATAGATAATCATACTGAGAATGGGAAATATGGAACTGCCTTCCCCAATAGCATTTTTTTTTTTTTTTCCATTACTTCTTTATTTTTCAAAAATTAAACATTTTAGTATGCATTTTGGGGGTGAAGGCGAACAAAATTAATCCCACATTTTACGAACTTTTATTTTAAGAGTCTCATTTCATTTTTGTTAAAATTTTTACAATGTTAATTTTTCATAACGTATGTATTTTTAATTAAAAAATTTACTTATTTTTTTAACAAGCTGCACAGAATAAATAAAAAATAAGTGAATAAATGAGTGAATAAATAAATTAGTACATGAATTAGAAAATGAATTAGCAAACGAATAGATAAAACTGTAAAAAATTAAAATTGCGGTCGAACGGAAAAAAGACATTAAATGAAAAATACGTACGCTTCGGTATAAATATAAAATGGTATTGACACACAGCATTAGCAAATATTCATGCACAATTAGCATTATAGGGGGAAATTTAAACGAGTTTCAAATTAAAACAAAAATTTTGTAAATATTCATTTTAATTTGCTAAAAATTCATACACAGTGCTGCAAAAATACGTGGTGAATTATTGTGCAAAAAAGATTTTCCTGATTCTTCACACAGCAGTTCTCACAGACAGATGTAATAACTAGTATAAAAATAAAGCCACAATTTCGTTTGTGTAAAATATCTGTAATTCATTTTGATACCATATATTAATAATCAAAATGAACAATAAATTTAAGAATAATACACACTTTCTCACATATTAATTCTATGTAATGGGGTAAAATCCCTTTTGCTATAAAAAGGTTGCGGTAAGTAACAAATATATATACATGTATATTCACATGCACAGGACATTTCTTTTGTTATACTTGTTTACATTTTGTTATATTTCTACGACGATAAATGACGATTTCCCCTTTTTATAATTATTTATCCATTATTCTATTTTCCCACTATTTATAATATAATTTTGTATGATTCCCTTAACAAATGATACTTAGCGTTTTCTACATATCGTCATCCTTTGTCCTATATCCCAGAAATTTTTTACGCAAATACTGAAAAAAAATTCAATTAAAAGATGCTCTTTTTTATTATCCTTTTGATTTATAAACTTCTATGAATTTCTGTATTGTAAAATATTATTATTCATAATTTTCCTTTTTTCATAAGTTGTTGTTTATAACATATACGTTTGTTTTTAGATGTATATTTTAGCATTGTTTCATCATAATTCTGGCAAAAAGGTATACGTGGATTTTTTTTCTTTTTTTTTTTTCCTTTTTTCATATCTTAATATTGCATTTATTATCCATTTTTTTTGTATAAATGAAAAAAGAGTACTATTAACTTCTTTTATTTTTAGATTTTTCCCTTTAATCTTTTATTAGTAGGTAATGTGTGGCATGGAATCTATTTCTTTATCCTCATTTTTGAGATAATCTTCTTTTCATTATAAAGTCATTATGTTTTTCTAAAACAATTATATTAATCACCTAATAAATAATCTAACTCATGTACCAATGCTTCAGGAGATGTGTCTGTACTTGAACCTGAATCTGAATTCTCTTCGGTTTCATTTTCCTCCCAGATTTCGTGGGATGATTCTGATTCTTCTTCTGTGTCTGTGCTTTCTTCAGAGTTATACTCATCTATGTTTTCTCCAAAATTAGCATTATGAGTGAATGATGATTTGAGCTTCCCCAATTCATTATTATATGAAGTACCTGCGCTAGCATAAGTTTCTTGGGATTCATTATTTCCCGGAAAAATATGAGGTATACTTTTATATTTATATATTTCTAAAAGATTCATTCTGTTTTGATTTTCTATTTTTCTTTTACATTTATTTAAAAATCTATCTTTGTATATATAACGTGGTACTCTTGGAACTAAAATTGGTTCACCTTTGTTCATAACATTTTCATTTGATAATTCTGTATCATCACATCTACTAGGTTTACTTTTATCGCTTGTATTCTTTGATGATTTGAAATTTTCCGTGTTTGTCATCCTTTTAATCTTGTGCTTTCCTTCATTAAGACTTTCTTTTTTTTCATTTGAAGTCTTTTGTATTTTCATAGCACGATGCCCTTCGCACTGTTCACCTATAGCTTTGCAGCATGCTCTATAACTTCTTTTTCTTTTTTTTTCTTCTGTTGTTTCTTCTACTGCAGATGTGGTACTTTTTTCTTCTTCTGTAAAGTTTGCACTCTCTAACATTTTTGTATCAATTAAAAATAAAAACATGTCTGAAACATCAACATTGTTATCTCTTATAAAATTCGTTATAAAATTGTCATCATCACCTACAAAAAAAGAAAAACAAATAAAAAATTGAACACAATAAACATTTATATTGTCAAAACGGGTGCAACTATTCACATGTCTTTGTACTTTTATATTAAATATATGTTTCTTTTCTTTTTTTTTTTTTTTTTTGCTGGAATTGTCCTATTTTTAATATGTTTTACGCTTTTTTACTTTCTTGTTCAGTAAGAATTTTTCTTTTATGTTCAATTTCGATAATTTTAAAAATTGCCCATAATTGGGGACTCACAAAATTTTCTTTTTTCTTTATGCAAACGAATATGTCAAAAAAAATATGTAACATGGCTCTAAGTAAAACTATGAATATAATTATATTCCTTAATGTAATAATTTTCATTTTTTCCTCTTTCATAAATTACGTAAAAACAGGCAGGTTTTGTTATTATACGTATATTTCTTTATATATCTATATATATAGGTACTTATTTCTTTTTCTTTTTGTTACAATCCTTAGGATTTGTGTTATAAGTTTAGGGTTCACACTTTTAATGTTGTCGTGATGTTTTTTAACTGTTTAAATTGTATAAGTTATGTAAAATATAAACTTGTATATTTATTTTTTATCTATCAAAAACATAAAAAATGGAAATGCAAAAGTAAAAACACTTTATAATTTAATGAAGGTTAACAAAATAAATTATTTGTTCCATTCAAGTCTTATAGACGATCAAACATCGGAAATGACTGCAAAGCTACAGAGTCTCAAATAAATATTATTGTATAAAAAATACTATAAACTCACTTTTGCATGCACATTGTAACAAATTCTTCAAAAAAATAACGAATGTTTTTTGGTATCTTCATGAATAAAGCATAAATATATTTTTGTTCTGCTATCTTAAAATTTGCTATGGGACTTTTTTTTTTTGTTTTGGCACATCTTATCGTCATGTATATATGCGTTTTGAGTAGATGATATACATTTGAAAATAATAAATCTACAAGAATAAAAAAAAAAAAAAAAAAAAAAAAAAAAAAAAAAAAAAAAAAAAAAAAAAAAAAAAAAAAAAAAAAAAAAAATAAAAAAAACAAAAAAAAAATTTAAAAAAAAAAAAAAAAAAAAAAAACAAATAAAAAAAATAAAAAACAAAAAAGGTTTGGGAAAAAAAAAAAAAATTTAAAAAAAAAAAAACAAAAAAAAAAAAAAAAAAAAAAAAAAAAAAAAAAAAAAAAAAAAAAACATGCATGTATATATATAAATGAGTTGACATGTGTGCCTTGCATTTGCGTAACGATTCAGATAAAATCTTTTACGTTGAAACGGTAAAAACATTCCATATATATGGCACTGAACGTCCAATTTGTATATATAAAAATATTATTTTACCATGCGAATAGCCCAAATATTACTAACATTAATAAAATGAACATATTTCTGAAAAACGATAACGTTCAAATAATTACACAGATTAAAAGAAGCTATTTTTAAACAATAGGGAAATCTCTGGAAAAAATAAAATTGAAATGGGAAATCCAATTTATGTACTTTTCTGTTCACTATATTTTCATATATTTACATTTATGTTCATACATGTCTACCTGCGTACGAACAAGTTTTAAAAGATTGAATTCAGAAGCAATAAATCTTTTGAAATTTTTTTTTCATAACTTATGGAAGCATTCTTAACACTAAAAACAAAACCCAACACCGTTATAGGAGCTCAATTATTTTCCCTTTTTTAACACCGCATTGTGTTTTCATATCTGTATATAAGTTGTATATATCTTCTTAGCTCGTAAAAAATAGTGAACCTGTTTCAGAATGAATTTATTTATTTTATTTTCCCTATATTATCATATGAACGGTTAACTGTTTTTGTAACTGTTAAATTAAGCTTTAACAAAAGTGCAACCCTTCTTTTATTTAACATACTAAGGACAAGGAAAAGTTGAAGTGAAATCTCATCCTTTAGCAATTTTCCTAATAGTGACAAAGCAAATTAACGAATTCTTCTTTTTTTTTCTTTTTTTGTGTTTATAAATTTATAGCCAAGAAATGTACAAACTATGTACTTATAATATAAACGTAGATTCTTTCCACTTTATTTGAAAAAGTTATAAAAATAGAGTTGGTATAACGTGTTGCAACATGTGACATTTTCTTATGCACTACATATATAAATTCTCTTCAATGGAAAATATATCTTCTGTATGTGTGAAAAAATATCCATGTTTAATTAAAAATACGCAAGATAAAAACTGTTATAAAATGTGCAAACAGAAATTTATTTTATTTCGTTTTACTTTATTATTTTTTTCTTCCTAAATACCACAAAATGAAGATTTTTTTAAATTTTCCATGGTTAATTTTTTTTTTTTCCAAAGGGCTGCAGTGTAAAAATAAAAAAAATAAAAGTTACAAAAAAGATCCATATGCACATATTTGACGTGAAAAATAATATACCACTTTAAAACCATGAAGTTTTGAATTGAACTTATCCACATTTTAAAATGAACAAAATTTTTAAGTAGTCCCTTTTCTTGTTAAAAAGAATAAGCAGTTTTTAAACAAAATAAAGATCGTGCTACAACAATATATATTCATTTTCTTCGCGTCATTTTACAAATATATAAACCTTAAAAAAAAAAAACACATAATGTATTACATAGGCCTAGTATCCGTATAACAAGAACAACATTTGTATAAGAATATAAAAATACATAAATATGCATATTTAACAAATTCTGCTTAATGAGAAAACTCAGGATTATTTTTAACTTTCGCGTAATCTTCAAAAATTATATTCCACATTTAAGCCTGTTTTTGTCATAAAACGGTAGCTGCAAAAAAATGGAAGAGAAAAAAAAAAGAGAAAATATTCAAGCGAAGAGCGAACAAAAAAACACAGTTAAAATTGAAAATTACAAAATAAATAACGCAAAATGTGAAGATATTTTAAAAGATAAACGCGGTGAAAATGTAGAAAATAACAACATTTCAATAATAGAAAATTACAAGCGCGCCGAAACTGACGATCAAAAAGGTGATCATTGTGAAATGACATTTGACAAAAGGGATTGTATAAATGTTGATACTTCTAACAACATGAACCACCTCGATGCAACACACAATGAAAACAAAAAAGAAGAAAAGGAAATTAATTATTTTCAGGAAAATAAAAATGAATCCAAACATTTGGAGGAAAAGAAAAATGAAAACCAAATAAATCAGTTACAAGAAAATGAGACGTGCATAAAAAAGGAAGGCGAAAATGGAGTTAACCATACCGATAAAGAGGCTAATTTGAAAGACTACTATAAAGACCTGCCAACCGTTATAATCGTAATTGGAATGGCGGGGAGCGGTAAGACGACTTATGTTGGGTCCTTATATAATTATCTAAAAGTAGAAAAAAAAAAAAAAGTATATACAATGAATTTAGACCCAGCTGTTAAATATTTGCAATACCCAGTAAACATAGATATAAGAGATAGTATAAAATATCATGAAATAATGAAAGAGTATAAACTTGGACCCAATGGTGCCATAATGACATGTTTAAATCTATTTGCTACCAGATTTGATAAAGTCATTGAAATATTAGAAAAGAGGAAAAATAAATTGAATTATATAATTGTTGATACACCTGGGCAAATTGAGGTATTTAATTGGTCAGCAAGTGGTAATATTATTTTAGAAACCTTATCAGTCAGTTTTCCAGTTGTTATTAATTACATTATCGATACTGTTAGATGTGAAAGACCTATTACATTTATGTCTAATATGCTTTATGCGTGCAGTGTTTTATATAAAGCCAGACTACCTTTTTTAGCTTGCTTTAATAAAACCGATATCATTAAACATGATAAATGTGTCGAATGGATGAAAGATTATGATAGCTTCAATGAAGATGTTATACATGATGAGAGTTATATGGCTAGCTTCAGTAGATCATGTGCACTAATGATTAATGAATTCTACGAGGGAATAAAAACTGTAGGTATTTCTTCCAAAACTAATGAAGGGTTTAATAGTATACTAAAAAATTTAGATCTTCTAAAGGAAGAATATATTAGTGAATATGTTACTTTTATTGAAAAACAAATGAAAAAAATTAAAAGAAAAAAGGAAAAAAATATCAAATTGAAAATGGAAAATTTATTAATTCAGAAACAAAAGGATCTATCCAGTATAAAAAAATAAAAATATAAATTAACGAAAACGAAAAGGACATTTTTATGAGGATCTGTTTTTTTTTTTTTTTTTGTCTTTCCCGTAACAATATCCTTTTGTAACGCATGAAATTTGCTAAAAAATCAAATAGAAAAATTATCCCAAAGCATGACTTCATATTTTAAGTATTCAGAAAATAATGGATATATACTCACCTACATTCGCACATATATATGTGCAGCACTATTGATCATACATCCTTTTTTTTTTTTTTCTTTATTTTATAAGATCCTTATTAGTAAAACAATTTTTCGAATCTATAATGTTTGACTCCATGTGTAACGCACTTAAAAGATTCGTAAAGGAATGAATTTTCACAATTCATTTCTTCTATGTAGACATGAAGCTTGAAGACAGGTTTTACACTACATTTTTTTGGGTAAAATTATAATTGTTTTTATCAATTTTGAGTTCATATGAAACCCGCTTTTTATCTCTCACATATTTGATGTGCATGTTAAAATGTTTTCATGTATATGTATTTTTATTTTATTATTTTTTTTTTTTTTTTCAAGTTATACAAATAGAAACTTTTTTTATTCAATTTTTAAGTATTTTCCAATTTTCAAGTTTTCGTGGGAAAAAAAAAAAAAAAAAAAAAAGTGTGTATGTTTACACACATTATAAGAATAGTTATGCATATTATTATATAAATTTGAATGCGCATTCAGTATATTTTTTATTATATAATAATAAATCGAGCAAAAGGGAAATCGTTTTCTCCCTTCTCAAAATATATGCTGCTTCAGAAGTATCGCCTATACCAATTAACAAATAAGCGTTAGCTTAAATATTTATTTAAATCAGTAATAATGGGAGAGTATAATCCTATATTTCGTTGTTTTTTTTTTTTTTCTCCTATTTTGTTTTTTCTATTTTGTTTTTTCTATTTTTTTTTTTTTTTTTTTTTTTTTTTTTTTTTTTTTTTTTTTTTTTTTTTTTTTTTTTTTTTTTTTTTTTTTTTTTTTTTTTTTTTTTTTTTAGTTTTTTTTTTTTTTTTTCTATTTTCATTTTTTGTTTTTATGTTATTTCTTTTTTTCGTGTTTTTTTCTTTTTTCTGTTTTTCATTAATTTCCCCGTACACTTTAAGTTTACATTTTACTGAATGTTTTCACTTATATTTTTAAACAAAATTTGTGTGATTATTACTTCGCTGTAGCTCCAGTTTTAATCGCTTTTTGTTTTATTTTCATTTTTTTGTCCCTAATATTGCGTATGCTTGCGTTTCACCTATTTCATTCTATGCCTTTTTAGGTTTTTAATTCTGGTATTTTAATTTAAAAATTTTTTTTTTCTTTTAATAATACTGATACTGTTTTATTCGGTCTTAATTCTTCCTTTCGTTCTTTTGGCCAATTTTATGTAGCCTCTTTTTTTCATCTCATAACTTTTATATTAACCATGAATATATTGCAATTATAGAACGTTATATCCTATGCTGATCCAATTTTTATCATGTTGAACTTTTGATTTTTTTATTAAACTGTTTTCTGCATTCATATCCTGAATCATATTTTATGTTCTAAATAATGCGTAAGATTCCAAATGTTCTTCCTTTTTATGTCTTTAAAATTTGATTGGAGAATAACAGAGATTTGTGAATATTTATCTTAAGTTCATTTGTATGGATAAATGTACCTTTTTGCGGAACATGGTTATTCATTTTTCTTTGATACGCATGTTGGTATAATAGAAATGTGCTGCACAAAATTGTTCTAACAGCTTTTCAAATATTTTGTAATTGTTATAACTTATATAATATCCCATTTTTATCCTAAATTAGCACTTCTCCAAAATTACCAACGTGTGGGGATACATCATAAGTTATTTCCGATCATCAGTACATATTGCTTTCATCAATTCACCCCTTTATACAATAATATATCGTGCATTATTTGAAATTTCTAAATTAATATATTCTGTTCTGTTTATATTATAGTTGGTTATTACTTCCAACCTTTCTAAAGTATTTAACGATAATAACTTTGAAATAATATTAACTAACTTTTCTGAGTAAATAGCTGAAATATCTTTAACAATATAGTTTTTATAATTTTTATCCTCAAAATGTGAAATCATGTCCTTTACTGAGTTAGCAGAAAACGGAGAGGATAAGGTAGCTAATTCGTATAATATACAACCTACTTGAAATAAATCACTTAATTCATTGGTTTTTTTAAATATGATAGATTCATAACTTAAAAAATTTAAAGTCCCTAAGTTATTATTTGACCCTTTTTGCGATATTCCAAAATCTCCTATTTTAATTTTGTCATCCTTAATAAATATATTTGTGCTTTTTAAATCACCATGTATAATTCCCTTTTTATGAATTGAATTTAATCCATTTAATATTTGATTAAAAATATTAAAAATTTCACTTTCAGAATACTTTTCATTGTTCATCTTTCTTTTTAATATATCTGAATATAAGTCACCTTGACTACAAAATTCTGTTATAAATGACAAAGAATCATTTTGTTCAATGAAATCAACAACCTTGACAACATTTTCACAATTTTCTAATTTTTTCATTATATGCAATTCATTCATATATTTCTTTAAATCATTTTCAGTGGCTCCGTAAATATCATACACTTTTGAAATAAACGTTTCATCAGTGTCTAATGATCTTATCAAATGTATTTCACTATTTGATGTTAACGTGTCTAAAACGGTTTCAAATTTATACCCATAATTCATATATACGCTGTTTTTCTCATCCGTGTTACTGATTGACGGTAATAATAAGGAAAGCATTCTACGTATTGTAGTAGAAAAAATCAGAGAAACAACAAAAAAAAAAAACAAAGCAAAAAAAAAAAAAAAAAAAAAAAAAAAAAAAAAAAAAAAAAAAAAAAAAAAAAAAAAAAAAAAAAAAAAAAAAAAAAAAAAAAAAAAAAAAAAAAAAAAAAAAAAAAAAAAAAAAAAAAAAAAAAAAAAAAAAAAAAAAAAAAAAAAAAAAAAAAAAAAAAAAAAAAAAAAAAAAAAAAAAAAAAAAAAAAAAAAAAAAAAAAAAAAAAAAAAAAAAAAAAAAAAAAAAAAAAAAAAAAAAACGTAAAAAGAAAAAAAAAAAAAAAATGATAGCAGTTTAACAAAATTAAAGTTCGTGTTTTGAAAATGTCACCCTTTAACTGTTAAGCTATGTTTTAAAATTGGAAAAAAGATGAATTATCAACAATAGTATCGTAAAAAATAAAAAGTATGTATTATTATAATTATAACATTATTAAAACTATTTTTAATATCATTAAAAGTTAAACAAAAACAGTTTTTAATTTAAGAGAAGAAAATTTATTATTTTGTAAAAAAAAAAATATTAATGCTATTTTTTTTCTCTTATTTGAAAATGAAGAAAAAAAAAAAAAAAAAGGATAAAAAATGTAATGAAAAAAAAAAAAATAATAAAATATAATAAAATAACGTGCAAAAGTGCGAAAACATAAAAATACGAAGATGTTGCACAAAAATAACGGAAAATGTGCAGTAAAAACTGACTTTTTAAAAAAGACCCCGATTTAAAGCTAAAAGTTTGGTGCATACGAGAAAAATGTAAACCCGGTGTATGCGTAATCAGTTGTGTCTTACCTGAAAAAAATACACCTTATTTACCACGTCTGAGAGTGTACCTTTTTTTTTTTTTTTTTCTTCATTTCCTCATCGATTGTACGTGTCTCTTTAGAATGTGCAATCATTGAAGTCATAATACTATGTTTCCTGCTTACTATACATTCGTACTTTTTAATAGCACCTACAGGTGCATCTATACTCACATTATTATTTCGTTCAAGTTTATTATACAAATAAAGAAAGTAAAAACACAGTACTCAAAAAAATTCCTTTTTGCTTCTTTTTTTCTTTTATGTATAATGCATGTGTAATTTCACTCAATTTATACTATACATTAGTAATTATATTTTATGACACATTTAAGAACACAGGTGCTCATTTGAAGCGATTAACATGTAATTAAAAGCGGAACAATTTCTTCTACTATTACATGGGAACGGCAAAATATATATAAGCACACGTTAATGTCATGTTTTTTACAAAATGTGACATTCCGATAGTACTACATATAATATCACAAACATTTGCACAGCAAGAATATCAAAAAATGGGAAAAAAAAAAAAAAAAAAAAAAGTACATTTTCCTAGGAATAAGCGTATTGTAATATTAAGGGGTAATATGCGAATAGCAAGCAAAATATATAAGGATCACTTCAAATTAAGACATGTGCTAGGTATCCCAGAAAAAATGAAACTTAAAAAAAAGCATGAAAAGTATGCTTCCATTATGTTCAAAATTTTATGGGAAAAAAGCTACTTTATAAAAGTTTTGATTATGTGTTCATAGAATAGTATGAGTATTCTCAATTTTGTAACTCACACCTCTAGGTTATTTTAATTTACAAGTTCAATAAGGACATTTTACATATATGATTAAAATATGTACACTATGTCCCTATTGAAGCATTAGATCTGATTGTTCTTAAGGTATTGAGCCTCTGTGTAATATGCAGTAATTTATTATGGTCATTTTTTTTTTTTTTTTTTTTTTTAAATGTTTTTCTCTGCATTATTCATTTGAGGTTTCTTATTTTCCATAATATTCGATTGGGTAACTTCTTTTTCAGCATTATTTACATCGGGTGTTTTCTTTTCTTCCTTATGCACAGGTGACACCTTTTCTTTTACATCTTTGATAATTCCTATTTTCAGTGGAACAATTTCATCACGTGTAACCATCTTTCTCTTAGCTTCATGATCTTGTTGTTCCTTATCTAATTCAAATGTTATTTTTTTTTTCGTGTTCACTTTTGTTTTTGTATTTTCTTCTTTCATATCGTTTATTTTGGTGCTTGTATTCTCAGTAATTGTCAACATTTCATTTGTGGACGGAATTTCTAATGGAAACGGATCCTCCAATGTAGTTTCATCTGATGCCTGGTTCTCATCAACAGCATTTTTCAGCTTTTCTCTATTAGGTATGACTTCTTCCTTTATATTTTCTTGTCTGTTCACATTATCTTGTGAATTTCTGCATCCCTTTTCATTTTCATTTTGTTGTGCACTTCCTATTGGTGGTGCATTTATCTGTGCACGCGCATTCCCCTGAGGAAATACATTCACATGCATGTATGCACTACCTACTTCTTTGTCTAATTTATCGGATGTCCTCGAGTTTCCTTGTGTATTTATTCTTGAATTATCATTTCCATGCATATTTTGGTTCCCTTTTGTGCATTGTCTTAAATTGGATCTTGTGTTGGGCCTTGCATTTGCACTTGTATTTGTTCGTGCATTTTTAGCCTCATTTTCTATGACCCTTACAAGAGTTTTAAACCTTCGCGTGTAATATATTGCATATATATTAAAAACAATGGAAAGAAGGCAAAGACCAATAATCATAGTCATAATGGAATAAAAAAAATTACGGTTTACAATATATTTACCCATGTACGATATATTCCAGGTCGATAATTTAAATATATTGTAAAGAAAAGATAAAGCAATTAAAAAATTCAGTAAAATGTCGAAATAAACGGTCCCTATGTACAGTTTCCCATGAAGTGCAAAAGGCTTTTCTGCTATTACACCCATGTACCCAAAAAGCATCATGAGTAAAGCGGTAGAGATGGTAAAACAAAAGACCAATGTATCAAACAAAAACAGAACAGTTTTCATGAAATCAGAAAGAAGCGACAGCACGTAATATTGGGTTACCTTCCTCCTCGACTGCAAATACATAATGTCGTTCTGCATCGAATACATTCTATTGGTATTCATTTGTGGAAGCAAGAATGATGAAAAATATATAATTTTTTTTTAAAGAATGAAAATTAAAAGAATAAAAATTTTAATTTATTTTTTTTAAAGAATTGATAGAGTGAAAAAAATAAAAAAAAAATGGAAATAAAAAGATATTGTGTAATTGGTGTTATAATATTGGTAAAAGATTTTCTGGTTATTGGTTTTTTAAAAAATTATGAACTAAATGATTATAAAAAAGAAAAAAAGAAATTGTTTTAATAATTGTGTTGAATAAATAAAACATATACAAATTTTTTAAAACTTAACGATTAAAAATTATTATGTCAATTTTTCTTTTTTTTTTTTTTGGGGGGGTGGATGGGGAATACAGATTTTTCCCATCGTTCTACGTGAAGCAACAGCAGAGACCACAAAGATGTGCACATTACATTATGCACAAATATAATTATTTTTATCATAATTTTATTTTATATATATTTTTTTCTTGACCTACGACATTTGACAACAAATTGATGTTAAAATTTTTTACGAATTTTGTGCAGTTGGAGAAAAAGTCCACTTGTGCTTTGCCACACTATTTGTAAGCATTCTTTTTTTTTTTTTTAAAAAAAAAGCAACGTAATAAAAATTATATTCATCTTTTACTGCTTTTCTACATTATAATTTTTCAAAAGCGTTTCCATAAAAAGCATATTTTTTTTTTTGTTGTACAGTCAACATATACAAGATAACGAAAGAAAAAAAAATAATAAAGTAAAAAAGGACTGAAAAGAAATATTCTTTTTATGTGCACCAAGAGCCATTCTTGAAAATTTCCTTAATCTGTGAAATACTTCGAAACATCACATCGCTACTAGAGAAAAGTGAATTGTTGTGCAGCCACTTCCATGTAACCTTTTTTTTTTTTTTTTTTTTTTTTGGACTAGCTATATATATGTATTTCCTACACTACCTGCACATATCATAATAAACATACATAAAAAAAACTGTTTTTCTTTTTTTCTTTTTTTCTTTTTTTTTTACATTTGCTTTTGTAGCATATATGCAACTGCTTGTTTAAGGAATAAAATTAAGACATTGACACAGTACTGCAAATATTTTCTTCATCTTAAAAAAAAAAAAAATAAGCCTTATTCCTTATTTTTTATCCTATAATTATTATATATGTGGGTGCGGAAAATAATTTTTTTTTTTTTTTTTCCTTTCATACAAGTCCAATTTTTCGTACACCAATTACATGTGTAACACAATTTTTATGCTTTATTTGTATATGGGCATTAGGTAAATGAGATGAACCTCAATTTTATTTTTAAAGTACCAAGTATACTTAAAGCTTACGCTTATATAATGTATGTTTATGGGTGTAAAATGTAGAAAAGAAAAATTACAAAAAAATATATAGTCCTGTCTACGGACACAAATATTGGATCTACACGAATCTACTTAAATAATTTTGTATTCATGTAAGCATATATATAGATTTAAACACCATATGCATGTTCAATTATGCAAAAAAAAAAGAAAATTTTTTTGTTCACCTTCCCCGACATGTGTCCAAAGGGGAAAATACTGTTTTAATTACATATGGAACAATAAATTACATCAATTTAATAAGTAAATCGCTTTACTCCCTAATTTGAAAAAATTAATTTAACATTCAATTGTTTAGTTGCGCTCCATTAAGCTTTATTTTTTCATCTTTATTACACAAAAAAATGAACAGTTAAGAGCCTTTTAATTTATATATGAAACTGAGCAATTCACACCAATTTATGCTGAAATTAATCTTGTTGCTTAGTTTTTTTTTTTTGAGAACTATAGACTCATCCTGCTTTCATTAAATTGTATGAAGTGATATATATTATGTTTCACCATTCTTAAATATATTATATGAAAAAAGGGAGCGCCTTTTTTTTCTTTCCGCTAAAGTTTTTATATATTCCTTTCCAGCCAAATAACCTTCTTCTTCCTTCCGTTTTACTGCAATTTTTTTTTCTTGTGCAATTTCAAACATTTTTTCATTTAAATTTTCCGTTTCTTCCTTTTTGCCATGAGAATTTAAAAGCAAGAGACCTTCTGTACAAGGTTGCCTCATGTATCCTTTATCTTCCATTTCCCTTGGGGTAAATTTTTCCTGAATAGGTACATTGCTACTTGATGCATCATTTATTTTAAACTTTTCCTCCTTCCTTGATAAATTTTCCATTTCTTCATTGTACATGTTATAACTATACACATCTTTGTATTGCTTTATGCGACTCTCACAATTTATTTCATTTTCAGAAAATCCTAAATCTTTTAAACTCTGCCTTTCGAGTAAATTTTTGTCCATTCTGCAAATGAAATATTCTTTAGAATATTCTCTGCAACTAACGTGATCATTTTTGTGCTCCTTTAAACATTTTAAATAATTGTTTTTTATTGATGTGCATTCGTTATTGTGATCCAAAAGGAAACTACCTCGATCTGGCTTTTTAACGATATTCCTTTTTTTATCCATTTTTATATAATTTTTGGAAATTATATTCCATTTCCCCTAATTTTAAGCTAAATGGCGTGAACATTTTCCATTTTTCTCGAAAACTCTTTTTTCTGTTTTGTCCTTAGCTCGTTTTGACCTAGATTGAATTCATATACACCAATGCAAACACACAAATGTAAAAATATGCATATATATGTTTTATAAATACATAAAACAACTTGGAAGGTCCTCACCCGTTGTTCTCTACACAGCACTCAATCAATCACTTTACTGAAATATAACACCTTTCACTATAAATATTTGTAAAAAGTGTACATTCACCAAATTATCCAATTTTGTATAAATTAAATTGTAAATAGATCGTAACAACATGAACTAAAAAATTCGAAATCACTTTATACAATTTTTCTCCTTTACGCAAATTGTGCTACTATGAGAAGTAGATACACTTTCTTTTTTTTAACTAATTTTTAGCACAAAATTGCTTCTAATTTTGCACCTTTTAAAGAAGCATTTAAATACATCGTAAAAGCTAAAAAAAAATTAGATCTTATAAAAATATTTAAAAAAAAAAAAAAGGCTTCGAAAAAGCTTTTATTTACAAGATTCTACCACATGAGCAACATTACATGCACCAGCGTTGTAACATTATCAAAGAAATTCGCACATATATTTTTACTCATATAGTAGGCTTTTCTGAAAAGCTTTCACAAAAATAGTTTTAAAATTAGTACTGCTTTCCTTTTACACCGATATGTAAAATGACATTTAAAATGTATACTTTATTGGTATTTCGAAAAAAAAAAAAAAAAAAGAAACTTTAAATGAGGTGTAAAAAATAGTATATTTAATTGCAGAAGAAGTTATCATCACAATAAAATAAAAAAAAATAAAATAAAACAATGACATGGAAATTAAATGTAGATATATTTTTACATGTGTAAACAAAATAACAAAGCATTCATCAATTAGTTAAGGGAAAAACAAATAATAAAATGAAAATAAAACAAGCTGAAATTTTGATTATATATTTTTTTTTATAGCTTTTTTATCATTTTTCAAAGTGCAGAAGAGTTAATAGCATCTCTGTGAAAATGCTTAAACAAAAAGACCAAATCATATATAAAATGAAAAAAAGGTTGAGAAATTGAAATTTGTAAGTTTGTGGACAAATTTTTTTTTTTTTTTTTAAACTGATAAAAAAGTGTAAAATCACCTTTTCTGTATTTTATTTAACAAATCAGTTGTCTATTTTGAAATGTATGAAAATTATTTGAATATATAAATATGAATGTATGACTTGTTCCCCAATTTTTTTTTTTTTTTTTCTATAATATCACTTGCTTAAAATCTCTTTTTTTATTAACTCATCATGAGAGCCATCATTAGATTTAGGGGGTTCTTCCAACAATTTAACATACTGGTATCGTAACCCCCCAAAATTACTTCTAAAAGCGTTATTTCTTTTAAGTAAATTATATTTATGTAAAGTTTCATGATGTTTCGTACCACTAAGAATTCCATATTCTATGCAGTATTTGATAGCAATAATTGAATTCGGATTTTCCTCAAGTAAACTTTCGTAGAAAGCTCTTGTACCATCACCATTCGGGGGTGTAATACATTTTTGTCCTTCTTTAAAATATTTCCTAGCATCACCAAATTCTATATCTTTATTTTCATCCCCTGCATCTCCTTCTTCTTCTTTACATAAACCAAGTTCTGTGTTCTGACCCACGCTATCCTCACCAAAACTACCCTCCCCTAATGACTCCTTGATGGATTCATTACTTGTACTGTCACTTTTCTTGTTTTCCTTTTGTGTATCACTTTTTTCGCGTTTTACAACACTATTTTTGCTTTTTAATTTACAAATTTTATTTTTGTCATTGCATTGTTCCTTCTTTGTGCCTTTTGTACCATTATTTTTACTTATTAGACATACCTTTTCTAAGCATTCATCGTCTTTCTACAGAAGGCGCATAAATGAAAAATGGGATAAATAAATGTATAAATAAAAGTAAAAATAAAAGTAAAAAAAAATTAAAATGTAGTAAAAATAAAACAAAAATAAAGTAAAAAAAAAAATTTTAAATATAGTAAAAAATGCATCACAATCCAATATTTAATCTTTTAAAAGATATGTAGACATAAAATTCCACCAATACATGAAATCTTATGCTGTCTTATAAAAAAATTTAACACAAGTATAAAACGAGTATATGAACAATAATTTTCCATATCAGACAGCTGCATTGGACAAATGATACATACATAAGCTTCTTTGTATACTTATACGAACATCAGTGTGAATTTCATATAATACACATCCATTCAGTTAAATTGTGAACCATATATAATTATATATGAGTATGTCCAATTATTCGCGTTAGCATATCTAATTCTCCATATATCCATTATTAACAAATACATGTATGTTTTACATTCATTTATAAAGAAAAAAGTGAGCATTTATATTTATTATCGTTATTATTTATTTTTTTTTTTTTTCATTGTCTCTTACTACAGATAATGTGGATGTTCGTGAACTACTTTTCATTATTTAACAGAGCACATGAATAAATAATTTTCCTTCTTTCCTTTTTTTCCCCTAAAGATTACTTAATTGCTGAGTTATCGATTTGCTTTCTCTTTTTTTTTCTTATTTTATTTATTTTATTTCATTCATTTGTTTGTTTCGTTTTGTTTTTCTTCCCGTTATGAAATATTGTTTATACATTAAAAGACCCCAGGGCTTTAAATTCAGAGTTTTTTAGGTTCTTTTATCCATCGCTAATTTTTTTGAAAAAAATCAAACATAGGTAAAAGGGGGTTATTTATTTATTTTTTTTTTTTTTTGCTTTAAAATTTACACACTTTTATTTTATACATGCGTGTAACCAAACAAAAAGAATGACGAAGAGAGGATAGCTTTGAACTGAATCCTTAAAATTGTTGACTTAAAAAAATTGATATTCATACATGTATGTGCACAGATGCCCATATAAATAAGTATATTCCATTCATACACACATATATAAAAATTAAATAAAAATATGCATCATTTATTTTTAATGGGAATACACGCTTGCCCCTTAATATTTACCAATGCACATACAGAATTTACTTCAAATTTTTTCTAAATATAAAAAATTGTGAAATAAAAATTCAGATATTTACAAATTTAACGTAAATCTACAAATTCGAGGCAACAAATAAACATTTATACGTTATGAAAATTTAAATTATTTAACAAATGTGCACTCAAGCAATGTTTTACCTAGCTTTGTACACATTCAAATTTTCGTATAAGCGTAACTGCATTTGTTTCCTAAATTCTACCGTTACGAATTTACACAAACGAAAAAAGGAGTAATTTATTAAAAAAATACGTCATAATATATTCATTGAAAAAGCACAAAAAAAAAAAAAAAAATTACTTTATATAATTCAAAATAACTTCATTTAACGGTGCTAGATGTGGCCATTTTTATGTCTTTTATAATTTCGGAGTTTCCTTTTCTTTTATACTTGTTCATTTTTGTTCCTAATACAATGATTTTCTTTTTCTGTAATTTACTATAATGGGGGAAATAAGGGGAGTATAAAATTTAGATAAAACATTGTTATGTATTTAGATAAACATTATTTGAACTGCGATGATCAAAATAAACTATCACATAATAAACTATAAAAAAAAAAAAAAAAAAAAAAAAAAAAACTCTATGCGCTATGCGGATTGGGATAAGTGAACGATCAGCATTACATTTTTTATAACAAAATGTAAAAAAAAAAAAATAAATAAATAGGTAAATAAATACACATACGACATTAGGAAACCATTTTAAAACAGATTTAGAAATAATATATGCATTCATTCACACAAAAAAGCACACTTCTCAATCTAAGCAACATGTATAACTGTAAATAATGTATGAAGGATATAATAACACATTTTATCTGGATAACTGACAAATATATGTATACAAAATATGGATGAATAATCCACACAGCTCCTTCTAAATAGAAATTTAAAAATGTGCAAGGTATAAAACACACGAACATGAGCTCAAAATGAGTGTGTAAAACAAAGTGTTAAAATTTATGTACGATATAAAAAGTCATAAAGAACATGACACTTTTTAAATTATTATAAATGCATTACTATTTTATCCATGGAAGTTTTCTATTTTTTCTTATGATGTTTTTTTTTTCTCGAACAATTGGAGGTAATTCTATTATAGTATTCATTTCTACACCTTTGCTTTTATATTCTGATTTCGAGCTATTGAACAAGCTAATAATTTTGTTAACCTGTGTACTAGAAATGTCTGCAATGTAGCCCTCATCACATTTCGCGATATCTCCAATAACCTAAAGATGTGGTTTTATATGAAAAAATAATAGGGACTTAAAATGTTGTTTTTCTTTTGTAATATTTTTATTTTTTTTTTTTTTTTCTTTCTTTACTTTTTTTTTTTTTTTTGCATTTCTTTTAAGTTACGCATGTTTACATTTGACATGTTTTTATTTCCTGTGGTGACTTTCAGCAGGTTAATAATATCATCCTTATTTTTTATTGCCTGTTCAAAAGTGTAAATGGTTCGGGAGATGTTCGAAATTGTATATATGCTTATGTATTTGCGGTTGTTCGCGTGCATGTGCCATTATGCATATATGCACACGTCACTCCATCTTTGGTACTCTTAAACGGGATTTGGAGGTGGGGAGTATGATTCCTTGTTTTCTCACAACATTTTACCTCAAAAAAGGGATCCTTTATCAGAACGGCAACGTAATTCTTTTTTCCAGATAACAGGGAAATAGTGTATTCTTTCTTGTCAAATTTTAGTAAAATAGAAAGTACTTGCGCAATAATTTTGGTACCATATGTCTCTAATAACTCTTTTGATTTATCATTAAGAAATTCATATTTCTCCGGTTCTATCTTCATTATGGTTTCTAAAAGGGTGCAAACGTAAACGGAATAAAATATGTATCTGTACATTTTTAACATGTATATAACATAAAAATTTTCACTTTAACACAATTCGATGTGCTTGTTTATGTAAAAAAAATCCCATTCCGTGATATTTTCAAATATGCATAATTGATGGAATTTTAAGGTTCACACTTTTATCTTTTTTATCCATTTTTTGTACTTGTTAAAGTATCTACTGAAAATTTATACACGTCATCTACACGAGGGCACAAAATAACTTGAAATTTATTTTTCGTATATTTTATTATCTTGTCCAAATTTTTATATTCATATTTGTGATACATTGTTAGACAAATTCCCTTTTCTTTCCCTCGTCCTGTTCTCCCTGATCTGCCAAAAAGAAATTTATTTTTAGATTAAGTGTTAAACGTGGGAAAAGAGGGAAAAAAAAAAAAAAAAAAAAAAAAACTATTTGCGAATTCTAGAATTGTATACTTCAAGGTGATATGCATGTAACTATCCTCAACGAACCTGTGTATATAATCATTTGGAGAAGTAGGGGGGGAATAATTTAATATGAAAATAACATTATCTATATCTAGTCCTCTGCTTACTATATCTGTAGTAATGAGGATAGTTCTTTTCCCCAATTTGAATAGGTTTATATTTTCATTCTTCTGCTGTGTTAATAGCTCTGAGTGCATCATAACTGAGTGCGGTTTCAGAAAGGAATTATCATGTAGCTTTTCAACCTTTAAAAGTGTGGATTAATGAAAATTATGTAAATTTTTCTTAACCATTAGAAAAAGTATGAATACAATTGGTTGCATCAAATGTGTATGGTTTTACTCATGCATGTATATACACACATTTGTACACACACACTTGGTAAAAAATATATATATTTATTTACAAATAAATGCAAGCAAATGGTCCATACAGAGTGCATAATAAAAATGGTATGATGATAGGTGCAGCACTGTTAAGTAAAAATTTTATATATGCATATGATCACCTCTTCCTTAGAATTTGCGAAAATTATACATTTCCTTATTTTATCATCTTTCTCCATTTCTCCATAGGTATTCTTGATCATATAATCATGAATCAATTGATTGCTATCGTACTCGTCCTTTTCATTGGATACTTGAGGGGACCCTTTTTTACTTAGCACATTTTTGCTCTTCAAAAAAAAAAATTCATTTAAAAAATACGATACATACTTATATTTCGAAGGGGTATTTATTTTGCATATAAAATGGGAAATGTTCAAATTGCACAAACTGGAACTTTTGTTTTCTCTGCTAAGCAACTGAATTATATGTTCCGAACTTTTTAAAATGTTTGATCTTTCTACATCTACTTTATTTTGAATTATTTCTTTAACACCATTAACAAAATCAAAAAAAACAAAACCGCTTAAATTGTCATTTATTTTTTTCATTATTATTTCACTAATATGTGCTGTAAATAAATATATGTTATAATTTTCATGGTTAAACAGTTCACAATTAAGTTCGTTCCTTTTTCTGCTCATCTCATTATCTATATCATATAATGCATTTCTTTTAAATAAAAAGTTGAAAATCAACTTTCTATTTTCTGACACATAGTCAAACTCATCTACCACAATTGTGTTTACACAATTTAAAATATTGTTCATGACATTCTTCTCATTTTTTTTCTTATTTTTATAATTTTTTATATAAAACTCTAATTTATTTGGAGTAACCAAGTAAAAATGTATCCCATAATTTTCTTTATATAAGTCACCTTTCTGTTCATACAATTCATGAACATGTTCTTTCTTACCAGTTATGTCTTGTTTTATTTTTTTCATATGATCATGGGTATCATTTTCATCAGATAATATACATACGTTTAAACTCGGGTATATGGATAAAATATAAATATATAACTGTTTGCATAAATAAATATTTTGTGTCAAAATTAATATCTTTTTATTACAATTGTATTTTTCATTTACTAATTTTTGTATTAACGGTAATAAATAACTTAACGTTTTCCCTGTTCCTGTCTTGTTATAGACAAGTATATGTTTACAATTTTTTACAAAAATTTCATTAAAAATTATGTACTGATACATGTATAGCTTATCTATTTTTAGGATAAATTTTAGGTTGTTAACAATTTCTTCATCGATATTTATTAAGTTTAGGTCGATCGATTCATGTCTATTCAAAATTTTGTTCTTTACTCCATCTGTGTCATTCTTATGTCGGCATGTTTCCCCTTCTTTTCTTTTATCTATTTTCTCTTCATTGGGAAAATTTCCCTTATTGGCATAATTTTCTGAAGTACTTTCTTTTAATACTGTGTTATACTTTTTATTAATATGAGATATGCAAAATATGCTTTTTCTCAGTTCATTTCTGCTTTTAAAAAGGTGCATACTTAAATTGATCCTATGCTGAAAAAACAATTTACATTTTCCTTTTTCATCTTTTTGGACCATAAAATTGGAATTCTGAATTTTTAATGTGGTGAAATTCGTTCTTATGAGCGATTTCCCACAAAAGGGTACTTTTTGGGGGTTATTTTTGCGCAATATTTTTTCGTTCATAAAGGTGCCGTGATTCATAAATTTTGTTACACGTAGATATGCCACCATTTCCTGTTCATCACATTTTTTCGTTTGGTGGGACAAATTTAATGAAATCCAAATGCCTTCTCCTACAATTTATTCCGTTTATTCGTCTTTGCATGCTCAGATTGTGCTTGTTCTATTGTATTCTTTCTTTTTTTTTTTTTTTTCTTCTTTATGTCCCTTTTGTGAATATAATTTTTTGGGGTGCATGTCGTTTTTAAGCAGGTTTTTTTTCTTTTTCGCTTACTCTTTACTCGAATGTGGTTCCTCTGAAATGATTAAAATAATAAAAAGTATTCATGTGTATCTTAGCATAATAAAAAAAAAAAAAAAACGGATGACTTCTTTTTCTTTTTTCTTTTACAAATGCAAAATACAATCGTAAAAGAGAGTTTTTTTTCTTATGTTTTTCAGTTTTTGAAAAGAATCAAAATTAGTGAAAAAAGCATCATTAAAAAAAAGGTAGTTGCAATTTTTCCACATAAACTTATACACTTAGATACGTATATATGCACATATATACATGCAGATTCCACATAGGGACCCATACACATGCGTGTTTCATATATAAGCTTGTATAAATATTCAGGTTCCATATATATGATCTTGTGGACATGCATGTATTTAATGTAGGCCAATGTGAGCATTTCTACATAAGCACATATACACATATAGCTATTTCTATGTGCACATGCATGCATACAGTAGTTCATTCATTTATATATACACATTTCCGTTTTTCTGGTGGCACATATAGTTGTTATTTTATTTTTATTTTTTTTACATGCATATAGGTACATGTACACCAGTGTGTATATCTATATTCGTGTATTCACATGTAGGTGCACCTATATATAAACACATCAACACACAATACAAGTACATATGTGAAGATATGTTCACATGTGTACATGCTTACATGTGGACTTTTCTTTTCCTCCTTGCGTTATATCCAAAAGCCCAAGAAAAAATCACGTTTCTGAAACCGGTATTTTCCTACATTACACAGACTTGTCAAAAAAATGAAAGTGAGAACACTTGTTTTTCCTTCTTTTCTTTAACTTACGTTAGTGGCATAAAAAAAATCCTTAAATCATTTTAATTCATTTAGTTTTAATTTTATGTATGATTTAATTTTTTTTTTTTTTTTCTTCCTTTGTTTGTTTCTTCCTTTTTTTTTTATTATTTTTATTTATTAAAGTGAAATTGCATTTATTTTCATTATATTATTTTCCTTTTTAAAAACATTGTTTTAAACGAACAAAAAATACATTTTTTTAATTTACGAGAACAACCTTTGCACATCAGAAGAAAAAAAAAAAAAAAAAAACAACATTATTAGTTCACTATTTTTCCATCTACATATTTCGTTAAAATTGCTAAATTGCAAAATTATATAAGTAGGGAAAAAAAAAATAAAATAAGCAAATAAATCAAACGCTTCTATTTCAATATTATTCTTGCGAACCTTTTCTGAAAAATCAGCATATATAGTAGGGCGAAAATGTGTGTACGCGTATACTACAACATTGACATAAACATTCTGAAAAAAAAGTACAACTGCAAACAAGTCCTGAACAATGAAAAATTAAGGAGAGGGATGATCAATAAGTAAAAAAATAAAATAATAAAATAACTTAGATTGATCTATATATTGCACATATATAATACGCATATATGTATGTACACTTATATTGTACGAATACATAATGCACGTATATACATCCATATGTACGACACATATTTGTGGATTGGATTATTTTTCTCGCTATTGCCTTGAATGAGCTGAAGTGTTAGGTGATTTTTGAACACTTCATAAAATTAAAACTTTTTTTAGGAAAAATTACATGCCCATTATTTATGAAAGTGCTGGAAATGGAAAAGAAAACAAAGATGCGGAAAAAAGGAACGTAATCCAAGTTTGCCTATGGGGACTGAAGCCACATAACTACGAAAGACTTAACAAGGAAGTTCTTTTGATTAACGCAAGATTGGAGAGCCTACAATCCAAAAAATCATTCAAGTTGGTTTCCATTGTAAATTGCTAATTTTCACCGCACATACATATGCACGTTAGCATAAAAATAAATAAATGTACACACGTCAACGTATACCCTTGAAAGTATATCCCTTTGTGATCAATATAAATTTGCGCATATTTTTTTTTTTTTTGCATCACACGCAGTGTGCTAATCAATAAGAACAGATGCGCAGTTGTAGTTAATGGATATTTTGAATGGATGGAAATCAGAGGAAGCTCAAAAAGAATTCCATATTTTGTATTCTTTGGAAAAGGTGATAATTCATCTGAAGAAATAACCGAAGATACAGTTGAAACAAAAGTTGAAGACACAACTGAAGAAAAGTCTGAGGGAAAAATTACACCAAAAATAAAAGAAGAACGAGGGACAACTATTAGGATTAGGGTTAAGAAAGAATTAGAAGTAGGTGAAAATATCAAAGGAAGACCTAAGAAAGACGAGAAAAAAAAAGTAAAGGAAGAAGAAGAAGCAGAATCCCAGAGCAATGAAGAAGAACTAGCGTTGACTGATAAGGGAACTCCCAAAAGGAAAAAAGAAGTAGTGGAAAAGGGTATCAAAAAAAAAATTAAAACAGAAACATCCAGCGAAGGTATTTGAAAAAAGCAAATAATAACGAACTTGCAATGAAAATAGTAGTAATAATAATTATTACTATTATTATGACAAAGTAACAATTACATGTGCTTTTTTCTTAACCCATAAATGCTAAATACAAACTTAAAATTTACTCCATCGCTTTTTAAATAAGAGTAAGCAAAAAAACGCGAAATTAAAAATTTTTAATCGCGTCTATATTAGATACACATTTTATTTTCGTCATTATCTTAACATCGAAATATACATATATATATATATATATATATTTTTCCCTCCCCTTTTTCAGAATTATGAAAATTTGAATTTCCTATTTTTTTCCTTTAAATATTTCCCCATTCTAACAGATCTAGAGGAAGAGGACGAAGAGGAGAAATCACATGTAATAATTGCAGGTTAGATACCTTAGCAAAAAAATGTTAATAAAAAACTTGGAAAAACAGTTCAAGAAGGAGAAAAATACTATATATTATAAATTTTTTTCTTTTATTCCCCCCACCCCACCCCCGCTAGGTCTCTACAGAATCTCAAAAGTGGACAAAAAGGATTGCAGATACACCATAATCACAACAGAATGTGAAAATTCCACCCTAAGAGACATCAATGAAAGGTTTCATGGAGATATATATGTTTTTTTATTGTTCATAATTTTTGGATATATATAAGTTTAAACATTTCATCTGTACCATTTTTTATTTTACATTTTTAATAACATTATCCTCGTATATACTTTTTTTTTTTTTTTCCCCCTTTTTTGAAATTACTCGAATAGATGTCCGCTCCTACTAAGTGAAAATACCATCCGCTTGTGGCTAGATGTTAAAAAAAAATACGAAGACATAATAGAAAGTGTTATAGAAGAGCACCAAGCAATTTGTAAGTCATTTTACTTTCCAAACTAATAAAAAAATGTGCCATGCATATATATAATTCATCGTCTACACGTATGATTTTTTTTTTTTTGTAGGCAACAACTTGAAGTTTAGACAAGTTAAAAGCTGGACCGATTATGCATCTAAATCAAAAAGGGCAAAAAAGGCTTCTAAGAATGAATGTAAAAGACAAGAAGGGAAATGAAAGCACCATTTTAGAACACTGTGTTCACTTAGGAAATTTGTAAATTATCCATATTTAACCGTATGATGTCAGTTTGTATTATATTGTTCTAAATGTATATCCATATTAGGAAAAATCGTATACTTTTTAATTTGTGCGGATTTGTATTTTTATATTTTTTTTTTTTTTTTAACGACAACGTATGCGGTTCATTCGGATGTAACACACGTTAGCAGCTTTTAACTGCACACTGCTTATGCGGAAGGTTTATTGATATTGTTGAGACTGTTCTTTTTTTACTATTTTTGTTATTTTTGATATTTTTGCTATTTTTGCTATTTTTGCTATTTTTGCTATTTTTGCTATTTTTGCTATTATTATTAGCGCTACTACTGTTACTATTCTTAAATTTTTTTTTTTTTTATCCACAAAAGCACAAAATAGACAAATCAAAGCAGGAAACTTCAAAAATATGTATCATAGACAAAAGTACGCTTCTTTGAAAAACACGTGCACAAATATTTTAGGGGTGCTTTTGTTATCGAATACATTAAAACACATGCAAAAAAAAAAAAAAAGGAAAAAAGAAAAAATGAATAAATAAATTTATAAACAAATTGTAGAACAGTTTTTCTTATTTTTCTTCATCTTTTCATACCAATCCTCTCCTTTCTCGTTAAAAAGACCACTTTGGGTATGTTGTGGCTTTTAAATGGGTTATAACATATGCATGTATATGCGTCTATAGGTATATGCATATTTGTATCACATTCCGCTTTGCTCTACCCCTTTTTCTTCCCCATTAACGCTTGTAAAAACTGCCCGATTTGTATATACCCCTAAATAAATCATTTCTTACCGGATGAACCACTTCCAGAGGTACCTAATCCCATAACAGATTTAAATGTATCATATATCCACCACTGTAAACCAGTTAGTGTACCTATCATTAAAACCCTTGTGCATATTCCTTTGGTAAATAAATTAAACATACCAATTTCTTTTGTTATAGCTGATAATGCTTTCCCCTTATTTTCTACTTTCCCTAATTGAGATATCATATTGTCTGCTGGATGAGATACTAAAGCACATATAATTCCTGACAAATAACCAGATGCAAAAGTTATACCCAATTGAGTTGACTTGGTATAAGAATCTTTCGGATTGGTAAATACTTTATCATACATTAACTGAACAATTTTTTCAAAAAAATAAAACTTAGCCATAGTGTAAGGAATCTGACGACACCATAGTGGTGTAACACTACCAAATGGAAACTTGGATTCTTTTCTATTTGCTAACATAAAACCCATAGATTCGGATAATTTGGTAGGGAATGTGTTTACTTTACTTGTTTGCATTTTAACTTTAATCATTTCAAATGGACATAAAAAAATGTCTGCAACAAATTCTGCAGATGCAGATGCAAGTAGCCATGTTAAACCTTTATATTTATATGCATATTCCTCTCCTAAATAATTTGAATAAACATCTTTAAAAATTTCATAAAAACCAAACTTACATAATCCCTGAAGTGAGTACCCCACCAATGTTGGTGACCATCCTAGTGATAAACTTTTTACTTTTTCTTCTTTTATTATCTTTGTTACACATTGAAATAGGTTCTTATATATTTGTGGATATGATTGAATTCTACACTTTGTAACATCTAACGGTGTTATTAATGTATGTGTTAATCCACAAGACAATATACCCCCAAACATACATTTGCTGTAATATGATAAATTATGTTCATGTACATGTTTTATTCTAGTTACTGGGGTACTAATTCGTGAATCCCACTTTGCATTTTCTGTCATTATCTCAATACTGTCAATGTGAGGTGTTATAAATAGGAAATGAGGAAAATAATTTCACGTAGGAGTTTATTATCCTTAGCTGTTGTAAAATGGATAAACTCCTTTTTTTATGGCTCTATGTGCTTTTTTATGCGTGCTTACACAAATGGTAATATGATAAAATGAACGTGCGTTTATAAGTGCAGTTTTTTTACATTTACGTATGTATGAATGTTATTCAAAGTTGTGATATTCTCAAACAACGAACAATTTATGGTAACACAAAATGATACATTTCTTTTATTCTTAATATTTTTTCATACACAAAACATTACAATGCATTTGAAGTTGACATTTAAATTTCTTTTTTTTTTAAACGATAATAACTCTTTTTGCAAATTTTTTTTTTTTTTTTTTTTTTTTTTTTTCCCCCTTAAATTTTGCTAGCTTTTTATGTATGCACTTTTTTCATGTTCACTCCAACGATTCTAAATTTTTACATGCATTTTTTTTTTTTTTTTTCAAATTTGTGTATTCCAGACGACACTGTTGAAAGATTGATTTAAGTTTATATTTTAATTTTCCTTTTATTTATTATTTGCAGCGCATTCTTTCAATTTAATTTTTTAGTATAATTTTTTTTTTTTCTGATTATCCTGTGTGTTGGGGTAATTTTTCTTTTGTGAAAGAAACCCAAAACATGTTCATTAAAACATTCTTTTTTATGATCTTAATTTTTTCACGTACTCATATTTTCTCATAATTATTCCATTTTCCTATAAAAGTAGCCGCACGGAAAATGGCATTTCCTAAAGATACACACAAGTCAATATGATACATAGATATTACAAAAATGTACAGAGATTTATTCGTCCATTTTAAAAACAACTATACTTCAATTATAAGTTCTGTTGTAGAGTTCATTGTTATTTTTTCATGATTAAATAGTATCATTTTATTCTTCTCTCTTTAGATTCAATGAGATATCTTAATTGAAACAGCCTATCATCTAATTACCCCTCAAATTTTCCTGAAGCAATTCACATTAAAAGGGATTTTTCTCCTCTTCTTAACTATTTCTATCTTTCCTTCATATTTACCAATCCGACACACTCCTTTAACTGTTTATATGTTTCCCGTTTTTTTAATCCTAACATTTTAATTCAAATTTCACAGTTTTCTTTTTTTTTTTTTTTTAGTTGTTCTATTTTCTGTGTGTTTTACAAAATTCAGAAATTGTTAACAACCTTAATTTACAACTTTCGAGAATATTTTTCTTTTTTTTTTCCCTTTTCTGTTATAACATATATTTGCCCTATTTTGCTACATTCCTATTTTAAATGATTCTAAACTTTTTAATAATTTTTTTTATCATATTTATTCATGCTACTTTAGAGTGTGCAACACTTTTATTTAGGTTTACACATCATAGTTTGATGTGTTTACAAAAAAGACCACAAAATATCCTTTAAATTTGTTATGAAATTTAAACATAGAAAGCTCTAGCAGGGTAATATATATGAACAGTTATTATTCAGAATTGTGGAATGTAAATATTTTGAATATTCTAAGAATTATTATCTACTTTTTCGTTTTGGGAAAATCTTTAACTGTTTTCCACGTTTTCCGTATCTCACTTAATCACAGAAATGAATCGCTATCTCAATTTTGTGACTCCATTGTTATTTTTTGCATGGTTAGGGAAAAATTTTAAAGTGAAACGTGTAAAATGTTTTAAGAAAAGAGGAGAAAAATAAAATGATAGTTAATTTCATAAATTAAGTAATAAATACATGTACTAGCATATAGGTGCACGGATGAATGCAAAAAAACAAATGTTTTTATTATCCTAAGCTTCCTTAAAAAGATGTGAAATTTTAAAATTTCCATTATAAATGCTTACGGAAAAAAAAAAAAAAAAAATATATAGCTAGACAGAGCACACTACACACAATTTATGATACTTTCTTTTTTTTCCAAATCTTATTCTTACATTTATATTTGTGTACATTTTTCCATATAGAAACCTACATAAAGACACAAAGCAAACTTTCCCCAAATTTATCGCTTCTCGTTTGCATACATTAAGAAAAATAAATAAATAAATAAAACAAAATGCAAAGCGTTTGATTCATAATGAGATAGAACCTACGTTAAATAACTTAGTTTACTTTTATAATAAATTACACACTTTTTCGTAAGGATAGAAAAAAATATATTCTCCAACACATATTTTATGTTCTTTACTTTTTTTTTTTTTTTTTTCTTTTTTTCCTTTCTAAAAGCCTAGGAACCAATACATATGTTATGTGCACATTAACATATATGTGCTTGATTTCATTTTTACATCTTGCTTAACGACTTATTCTCAACTTTCCTATGATCCAAAACATGAATGATGAATTGGAACATTACATAAAACAAAAGATCATTTCATTGTTGAGGATTGGAAGCGATGATTATAACTGCCTTATACAAGATGTTAGTTTTATTTTACACTTGTTAAATAAAGAAAAAAAAAAAAAAAAATTTCTTCTTTTTATTCGTCTTTCCCATTACATAAAGAAAAGAAACATCTTCATTTTTAATATTCTATAATTCATCAGGAAAAGAATAAAGACAATTTAAATTATTTCTTTTTATCAGCACCTGTGAACACTACTTTATTTTTTGTGGTACATAGATATATATATGGTAAGCAATTATAAAAAGAGAAAAACTTTTGTGTATTTTTTTTTTTTTTTTTTTTTTTTTTCTGCTTAAGCATTAGACTATAATGTTTTCTTTTTCTTCTTCTTCTTCTTCCCATTTCAACACTTTTAAGAGGATAAAGAAAACGAACAAATATATCTCTATCCAAATGAAAAAGAACAGATCACAAAAAAGCCAAGAGGAGATACATCAGAAGGGGAAACGGACAAAGTTGAAGAAACGAATGATGAATTAAATAATCACAATTATGCTGATTATACTAGTAATGTAATAAATGAAGAAAATACAAAAGAGGAAAGTGTTCAAGTGATAAAAAAGGATGATAATAATAAACAAAGGGGGATAAATATAATAGCTAATGAAGATGGAACAATAGTACCAAAAATCGATGAAAATGATAAAAAAAATGAACAACAACCAGAAAGAGAGAACAAAGTGGAGGAAGAAAAAAAAGACATATTAGGAACAAATGAGGAAGTAAACAAAATAGATGAACAAATTCAATGTAGTGACAAACTGATTGATGATTGCACAGATGGAACGAATAATAACGGGGAAGAAACTTCAAAGAGGAACGATAACTGTGAAAAAAAGCAGAATGTTCAGGAGAAAAAAAAAAGAAAAGAAAAAACTCGCTACATTTTAAAAATGAGCATAGGTCATATAATCACAGATGACGCAGAAGAAGAAGCTAACTTTCTCATGGAAAAAGGAGAAGATAAAGAAGAAAAGAAAAAGAAAATAAAAAAACAGATAGTTTACTTTTTGAAAATTAAAAATGATAAAAATGAACAATTTCATGAAAATATGGATGAATATTTCAATACTAATTACACATTCGGAAATTTACACCATAATTATATTAACAATTTTAAAACCTATTTTAAGATATTTTTTATTCCTTTCTTTCAATGTTTATTAAAAAAAAACAACGTTTTCGAGTATATTGGAAAGGAAACAGATCAAAACATAAAAATTGACCAAGTCCTAAATAAACTTCAGCTTCTTAAAAAAACGGAAATGTTGAGTAACCAACTAGATGATACAAATGAGTTGAATGAAAATAAATATTTAAATATTATAGAGAGAGGAAAATACACAGAATCACAAACCAAATGTGGAACAGAGGAAAACAATGCATATGATGGAACAAAAAATGAAAGTGTAGATCACAATTATTTTCAAAATGAAGAATCAAGGAGTATATATGAGAGCACAAGTGGAAATAATTGTATCAGATCTAACCTAACGAAGAAAGGAGAAAATTTCTTAAAAAATAAAAACCTGTTAAATTCTTTCTACTATTTGCTAAGTTACTACAAACAAATTCTGAAAGTTGAACAAATCTCACATAACGAAATCAATGCAGACATAATGAAACTTAAGGATGATACTATTAATATTAATAGTTATCTTAGAAATATTTCCAATATTATAAAAGATTTTATAATAAAAGAGAAGAAGAATGATTCCAAAAAGAAAAATGATAAAACATCAGTTGAATACTGGAAAGAAAGATATCACAGAATTTACAGTTTAATTGAAAAAATAAATAGCAAAAAATTCGAACATATTATAGAAAATATCAAAGGGAAAAATTACAATAACGAATTATGTAATGAAATAAAACTTCTTCTCAAAGAGGTAGAACACATGCATATGGAATCATTTGAAATGATAAAATTTAGTAAACTTTTAGAAAACTCATTTGAAACATTAAAATGTATTCATATTAATCAAATGAAAAATGGGATAAAATTAGTTATTCGGAAACTAAAAAATATATGGCTAAGTTCTAAATATTTCCGAAAAGATGAAATAATAATTGCCTTCTTTCTTAGACTTTCTGACATCATATTCGAATTTATTCTTTTCCTAGCTATCAAGGTGAAAAATATTAACAAGCCAAAAAAAATTAAAAAAGTTATTTCTAAATGTATAGACATTCTAAAGTTTTATGAAAAAGAGTTTATTTACGTCAAATTAGATATTGAAACGATAGATATACGCAAAAATTGGTATTTTGATAAAAATATTATTTTCAAAAATATTAGACATCTACAGCACGTGTTGGCCACACTATACACAGTGTACTCAGAAATCATTTACTTTACAGATTTGTGTTTATTAAAATTAAAAAAGTTAGTGAATAACAAAAAAATTATGAACAGTATTATTCTAGAAATTAATAAACTGTATGAACCTTTTAATGACGTTCTAAAAAATATATACCAATACGATGATGAATCGATTATGCAACTGATGAAAAAACTAAATGAACAATGTTTAAAGATTGAAAAAAAATGCATAAAAATTATTTACATTCAATTTTCTAATTTAAGGAATACAAAATCTACTTATTTACTAGTGCAAAAGTTCCAAAACTTGAAAAAAAACTATAAAATTGATAGACTTTTAATAAAAAAATTATATGACATATTATTTTTATATAAAAAAGAATTGTACCTCTACATAGACCTGTTTAACAACATGTGTTCGAATAAAGATATGAATATTTACAAAAAATTCTTATTCTGTTTAAACATCTACAAAAAGATTAAGAAGCCAATTTTAATATTTAAAGATAATAATTACATAACCACGTCAAATGAATATAAAATTATTGTTAAACTGTACGTTAACTTTTGCAAAAAAATGTTCTCCTATATCGTCGAAAATTATGTCTTGTGGAAGAACAATTCCCTATCCCAAATGAATAAATTTTTATCTTCCAACATAATTACCATAAATAAACAGCTAAACTTTTATTATGTAATAAATTTTGATAATAGTTTCTTCAAGACATTGTACGAATATGCTTACATTGAATCGATATACGATTTTAATACCCCTATCGAAATATTGAATATGTATAACATGAAGAAAAAATTGTACAGATATTTATACGAGTTAAATGAAATAATTTATTTTTTCAAAAATTTCACTACCACTACTTCTATCATTCATCAAAAAGTTTTGATAAATTTCTTCCAATGTTTTGAGCAGAAATTGATATACATATCTAACAATATAAATTGGCTAAATTTAAATATAGATCATTACATAAATGATTTAAAGAACTGCAAAAGTGTAATTGAAAATGTTTATGTGTCTCTATCTTACTCTCTAAACAGTATAGACAAAATTATTTACAATATGCAAAATGTGAATCTAGTTAGATACATAGAATGGGGTAGTATGAAGCCGTTACATATTCAACCATTCTTCAATTATTTTGAAGAATACAGAATAACTGAAGTCCAAAAAGTCGTAGAAAAATATAAAGAAATATCACAAATTTTAATTAAAATTGAACAAATCGTAGAAAAAACAAAAAAAGGAAGAAGTGAAATAATGGATGAGTTGTACTATTTGTACCAATGTAAAATCTATAAATGCCTAAGTTTTATCATCATTAAAGGGTTATGTAATTATGAAACACTAATCGAAAATGATTTCCAAAAAAAAATTTTAGATAATTATAAACCATGTCTTTATATCAAAGAAGATATTTACTCAGATGTATTTCTAAATAATTCAATACAAAACATCTTTAAATTGATATCTAAATTGTTAACAAATTTACTTTTAACATCTTCTGAATTTATAAGATGGTTAGACTATTCATGCATTGAAGTCCCTATATCACTCAAGGAAGATTTCGAATTTTTTAAAATGAAATTTTCCTTTTACCAAAGTGTTAGCAAAAATAAAATAATCATTGATAGAATCATACATATACATCAATTAATACAAAATGTTTTCCAAAAAGCAAATAAATATATATACAGCTTTCTCAAATATGATAATATCATAAATTCAATAATTAAAGCACAAAGTAGTTTCAATATTCATCAAAACATTTCATACCCTCTGATTTATTATGACAATATTCTAAAAAATATAACTAATATTCAAAATAAAATTGATAGAGAAAATGACAAAAAAACTATTCAATTCATCTCTCTAAACATATCTTTTGTCCTGAACTCAATAAAGAATAAATTGCTAGACTCCAAAAAATTCTATTTTAATAATTTGCATTTTATATTTACTACACTGAAATGTTCCACCTTAGGAGAAATCACAAAGTACAGGTAACGATTGAGAGTATCTTGTGTGTTGCATTTGTCTCTGTGTACATCTTTCTACTTATGTATGAGCACAATGTTTCTACATTCATTCTTTGAACTCTGAGGAATATAACAAGTCTTACTCACTCTGTGTTAATTAGACTCTCTTCCCATGTCTTCTATTTAACTTGAATTCTTCTCCTCATTTAATGTTTAACACTTTTTCCACAACAACAACAACAAAAAAAAAAAAAAAAAAAAAAAAAAACCTCAGTGAGATACTCCAAACAGCTACAAGCTCAATGGATAAGTATGAGAATATCATAAAAACGATAAACACGATAAAATCTGAGAATATAAATATAGAAATGAATATTCAAAAAACAGAAGAAATTTATAACATGCTAACAATATATGAAGATAGTAACATAAAAGAGGAACAAAGAGAGAAATTGTTTTCCCTATATCCCCTATACTTAAATATGTTGAACTCAGCCTTTTTCAATGACAATCTAATGTTTACCATAAAGCAAGAATTTTACAAAAACACAAAAAATAAGGTAAAGTAGGAGAAGTACGAATAATTCGTTGTGTGTGAAATTATTAAGCATGTCAATATAAATACGAGTGTGTATGTATGCATTACTAATTCCCATTTACTTCTCCTTCACCCTTTTCATTTTCTCTTCACTTCCCCTTCCACAATTCAGATAATTGTTTTCGAGGAAAAGGTGAAAAACATTTTAAAAAAGTTTCGCATGTTCGGACCGTCCTCAGAAAATATCGACTTAAGTGAAGGTAATTTGAATGAATTTATGTGGGGAAGTGAGAAAATCTCACTTGAATTTTTTCTCATTTTTGAAAAATCCTTTCCAAGTGCATTTGTTCTAATGGAACACCTATAAACGTGCAATTTTGGAAGAAACATCTATATGTATGCATCTACACATTCCCATGTGTACGTTTGCACACCTATCGTAACCAATACTTCTATCACTACATCTGTCACTACCTCCACACCACAGGAATGGAAAGCCTAAAAACATACATGAATGACTTCAAAGAATTAGAAGTTGAAAAAGAAGAAATAATTAAAGCGCAAATTTTATGCAACATGAAAATTTTCCTATTCGAAAATTTTTACCTGTTAAAGAACACAATAAAAATTTATAACTCCATCTATTCTATATATAATTCATACATGACAAGAATAAATGACTTCATGGATATTATATACTACAAGCTAAATATTAAGGTGTGTGTATTAAGAAATTATGCAAAATAGTAGATAATTGGGAGCCCACTGTTGCACACACAGCTGTCCAAATGCTTCTATACTTCTACATTTCTCTGCCTCTACGTTTCTATACTTCTACATTTCTCTGCCTCTACGTTTCTATACTTCTACATTTCTCTGCCTCTACGTTTCTATACTTCTACATTTTTCTGCCTCTACTTTTTTATGTTTCTAACTTTTTGAATATGTATTTAGGAAATAAATAAATCATTAAAGGAGGTGAAAAACGAGTTGATGGAACTGCAAAAGGAGCAACCTGAAGCGAAGAATATTTTGGTACGACACCTTATCACACATTTTTCAATATCATCGTGTGTATGGCACGTTTTATTCGATCTATTCACAAGTTACAGCATCGAACATTTCTTTGTTCCTTTATTTTCTTGTTTTTTTCTTTCTTTCGATTCTCCTATTTCTCCCCTTTTGTTACGATAACTTACGTGGATACTTCTCCTTTTAGCCGTTCAAAAAAATAAACGAAGAATTAAACAAGATGAACACGACACTAATAATAGCGTACTTACTACAAAACACAAATATGAAACTAACAAATTGGGAAGAAATCATAGACCTCCATTTGAAGAGAAATAATATAAAAGATCCAATAACCTTTGAAAACACCATTATCATTAATGATAAAAATATTAACATGAAATCAATTACACTTTACGTTATGTATGAGTTAAAAATATACTTATATTTTAATGACATCAAGTATATTATATACAAAATTAAGGTATGAATATCAAAATGAGAACTATAATTAAGCATGTGAAAAAAAAAAAAAAAAAAAAAAAATGTGTATGCATATGTATAGACATAACTGCAAGAGTTCCCTTACCATGAATGCCATTTAACATATAACAAGTTTTATTAGCGAATATTCATTTGTTCACAATTATGCATAGATAGATGCTACCATTTTTACATTTTTTTTTTTCCTTTTTTTCTCTTACCACAATATAGGAAGTTGAAAAGCTAGAAAAAAACCTAAACAAAATTGAAAACAACTGGAAACAAGAAACCCTGAAAATTACAAAACGCAACGATTACTTAATATTGGACAATAATAAAAACATATTTAAAAATATTAAAAATACATTTAATGATTTACATTTAATGAGGAACTTAAATTTCGCCAAAGATTTAATACCTAAAATAACTTATTTGCAAAACAAATTGCTTTTCATTTACGAACTTTTGTCCCTATGGATACTAGTACGCATCCGATTCATTTTTAAAGAACTTGTTCATGCAGTAGAAAGAAGAGTTCTGCTGCATATATGTTTCTCATCATGCATTGTTTCAAATGAGAATATGTATATTCATCTATGTATAAATTTCTATTTTATCGCATGTAATTTCACATGTATGTGTTCGCTTAATACATCTACAGACGCAGGAAAAATGGGCCAGACTAGAAAGATTTTACAACAATGAGAATTTTAACCACTTCAGCAATGAAATGAAAAATTTTAATAAAATAAATAAAACATACGTTGAAATAATGAAAAATGCAAAGAAAAATCTGAATTTGTTTCACATATGTAACACTCAGTTTTTTTACTTTTTAAAAAACTATTATGATCGCGTACTATTTTTATCTAATGAAACAATAAGCATACTTCAAGACAAGAAATTTTCCTTCCCGGATTTCTTTTTCCTTACTGATGAGGAGTTATTCTGTCTTCTATGTATGAATGAGGAGATGCTAGCGAATAATAAAAGTGTACCAGTGTACACCTGCTAGTGCATCTATATTATATGTATACTCAAATTAACACATATATTCAAATATGTGTAACATTACCGTGGTCCCATTTAAAATAAACTTTTACAGCTAACCAGGAGACGGAGAATTTGAAAAAATACTGCTTCATAATTTATGAAGAACTTTTATCTTTTAATGATATAGACAAAACGGTACACACGATAAAAAATGTCACATCAATTTCCATACACCCTATGACATAGTTTACATTTTTGTTAATATGTTGTCATTATTGTGTGCATACGTATACACTTGTTTATGTTTATGTTTACGTTTACTTTTATATATATATATATGTGCTTTTTATGCAGATCATTGAAGTTGTTACTACCAAAAATAATACACTCAATTTAAAAAGCGGGATAAAAATAATAGGAATAGATACGTATATCATTTTAAAAGAAAAAATCAAAAATACCTTAAAGGAAAACATTATAACAAGTTTAAAGAGCTACTACAACACTAACATGTAATATATTCACACTATGTTTCACATTGCTACATGTGTTTACAATTCTAAAACTCAATACAAATTAATAACTTTACATTAGCTGTATATTAATTACAAGGGTGCATAAGTTTATTGCTAAAGGTGTAATCATATATTTTATTTTTTTTCTTTGCCCCTTGGATTTATACCTTCTTTTTTGAAAAATGTATCATTTAGTACATTCCACGTCATATAGATACATTACATAAAATTTATATTTCCATATTTTGTCTTTTTAACTTGTTTACGTCTCTATTGTATTCGTATGTCATAGTATTGCTGTCATAAATGGGAAATAATTTGATCTATGTATATTTCCATTTTTAGGATAATTCCAATAATAATAAATAATGTATCCATCGTTTCAAGCACAGTTATAAAAGTCATTTTAAGTGAAGAAATAAGAAACGTGCTTCAGAAGAAAAATGCAGAACATACCCAGAGAATTTTAGATAAATACAAGGACTTGGTATGATCCCCAATAGGCAAATATCTGAGGATAAAACTTAGGATGTAGCACTTAGCATGCAACATTTAATGAGAAGTGCCAATCTTCACTACAACAGAGATAAACATAAAAATGTATTTTTCACGTTCTGTTTTGCGTTCCATTTCTACATACATTTCCTGCTCTATCTTCAGTGCAACGACCTAGCAGCAGAAATGAAAAAAGAAAAAGGGAAAAATGTGGAGAAAATAGAACAAGCCTTAATTATTTACCTAGAATTTATCGATATATTAAAAAAAATAATCCAAGAAAATTTATTTGATGAAAACAATTTTTTTCTACATTATCAATTTAGATACAGTGTCGATAAAAACAAGGAACAGATTACAGTGAAATATGGAAATTACCTATTCAAGTAATTAATTAGGCAAATAAAAACAGACAAAAAATAGTTACCAAAAATTATGGAAGAGATTAATGAGTCTTTATAGTAAGCACTTTTGATAACCCCAATATTGTTACCCCATAATGATTAATTTTTTTTTTTTTTTTTTTTTTTTTTTTTTTTTTTTCTTCCTCTTCAAGATACAACTATGACATATTAGAAAATAACAATTTGTTCATAAATGTGTTGCCAAATAATAAATACATATTTTCAATATGCTCAAATATGCATAAATCCTATTATAACATCTTGTGTGGAAAGAACAAAGCGTCAACTATATGTTACATCACATCTACATTAGGTAAAAAAGTGAAGAAAGTTTCAAATATAATTATCTTCTTCAACTCTATCTTATTCATGCACATATATATGTGTGCATATATGGAATGTTCTTTAATTCATTTCTAACTCCTTTACAATATAGGACAAAGAACGTATTTTTTGGATGGGAACATACACAACATAAGAAATTTTATATTGGGGTCTATTCAGATGGGTAACCAAGAAAATGCCAATAAGGAAAAAAAAAAAAAAAAAAATAAAATATATAAAAAAAAACAAACATATTCACATATATAAATATTAATAATAACACATGCTTAGCCACAAAAAAATAGAACAAAATAGCAATATATGTTTGCATATCACATTCCACAGAATCACCAATTAAATACATCTATTTCAACTTTTTTAGGTTATGCCTTGGTTTTTCAAAATGTGGACGAAATGAAAGTAGAATTATTATCTGTCCTCACAAACGCGTTTAGATCTATTCAAACATGTATGAAACATTGTTTTTGCATGCATGTGAATAGTGTGCCTAAGAAGTGGAGAGTTAAAACGGTCTCATCTATTTTTATGGATTGGATGAAACAAAATTAGAGAGACTAAAATATTAGTTTATGTATATATGTGTTCGTATATACACACGTCACACATATGAACATCTCGTTTTCTCCCCTTCAAATTGAAAGGCCTGAAAAAAAAGGAAAAGAACATTTATATTTTCGGCAAAGATGTGGTGTTTAACAGCAGCTCTGTCATATTCTTCACGTCTAAATCTCACAGGTATGGGACCTTTCACACTTAAAATACACATGTGTAGATATGCAGATTCGTGCTTACTTATCTTTTTCCCAATTTTTTTCCAAAACAGATGCGGAAACATCCCCATAAATTTAAAAAATCTTTGCAAAGAAATAATTCTAGTTAACTGTCAAGAAATCGAACTCGTGGAAATATTACTTTATGTAAACAATTTCCAGAATGTTAAGAATCTATGTGTAAAATTTTGCAACTTTATGGAATACTTGAATTTCATTTATTTCAATTCCGAAAACAACATTCTAAATGATATAGTAAATATTATAAGGTTGTGTAAAAAGGAAAATGAAGAAAACAACAAAGATACATTATTAGCTAAATACATTTTTATATACTATGATGACAAGCTGAAAAATATTAAACAAAATGAACTTCAAAGTTTAATAAAAAAATTTCTCGATATTGACCCGATTGCCACATATGATTTGCAAGATGAAAGAGATCGACTGAAGGAGGTAATAAAAATTGAAAAGTTTCATAAATAAAAAAAAAAAAAAAAAAAATTTTATTTACTATCCTGTTCTATTTAACTTGAGCACGCGTATTATCTGTAAAACAAAAAGACATATATGTATAAGCATTATAAGCATCCACATAGATGCAAAATGGTATTCTTAAGCATAAACATACACGTGCATCTGTTCATGTGTGTATGTGTACATGTATGCATGTATATATATATATATATATATATATATATGGACAACACCTCTTTTTCTTTTTTTTGGGGATTGGTTTACACTTGTACATCTGCAGCTGCTGAAGCAAGAGTGCGTTTATTTAAAGGATGACTTGTTCTATAAATATGAAAAGGATTTATATATATTAAAAGAAAAGCTTCATAACCAGTTTTTATCAATAATCTTTGGACAATGCCATATTGGAAAATCGACTTTGCTAAAAATGTACAACAAATTATATGGTGCTAAATATTCCTTTATCTATTTGGATTCCTTATATGGTATAAGATATGCCATATTATTATATTTTTCCTAAAAAAAAAAAATCTACAAGTGAATTTAAAAGTATTACATATGTTCCTACACAGAATTGGTGTATTAAAAAAAGTTTCTATTTTCCAGAAATAATCATTTCCAAATGCACATAAGTATGCATAACCATATACCCATGATACACCCGTGATACTTCCATCATGCATGCACACATGCACATACATAATATCCCTTTATATCAAATTGCAAAATGACAATTTTCAGACTCTCACAGCAATTTGAATGAAGGATTTTTACAGGAAATTATAAAGAAGAAACAAGAAAAACACAAAAAGTACACATTCATTATGAAACTCAATTCCCTTAATCGTGTCATATATGATGTGCTATCTTTGAATAAATTGTTTCATTCGAAATGCCAGAAAATGGATGAAGAGAGCATACAAAACAGATTGAAGATAATAATTGAAGTAAGAAAACATAAGGAAAAAAATAAAATTGTGAAAGAGTAAAAAAAAAAAAATTTATTTTAAATGAAACAAATGTCTTATTGACGTAGTTAATAATTTAATTAGATAGAAGTAGTTTACACCATAGGCAGATTTTTTCTAACCTACAAAATAGAACATGTACATAAAAAAAAAAAAAAAAAAAGTAAACATTTTTAACAAATCACAATTACTCAGATATACAATTAATTAGAAACGATTATTTTCTCATCCATCTATTTATACAAAATGAAAAATTATTAGGATTATTAAAACTTAAGCATTCATCACAACACTTTTTTTTTCTCGTCCCCATTTTACTCCCTTCTTCAAGTGTAATGATATATCTGGCTTAGACCCCTACCTACTGAACAAAATGAACAAAATTGCCATTAAAGACAACATCAATATTTATAACTACTTTAAAAACAAAAGTTCCAAATTAATAGACAGCATCCTTAACACGAATCTCTTTTTTGAAAAAAACCTAGAGAATAATAAAACATCTTTAAATTATAAAAACAATTATGAAGAAAAAAAGAAAATTCTTTTCGAGTTATACAATGAATTAAAAATATTTTATAGAAAATTTCTTCTACCAATTTTTCATTATATGGAAAAGAAAAAAGGAAATAATTTCAACATAAATAATTATTTTAAAAAAGATGAAGAATTAAAACATATAACATTAAGCGGTATCACTTTATCACAAAAAAATTTGTTTCATACAAATATGGATGTTAAAATTATTATAAACAATTTCATTGACATTTTTAAAAGCAATATATTAACTTTTTTAAGAGGAAGAGAATTAGATAATTTGTTAACGGACAGAAATCATACGGACTCTACACATAACGATTCTTCTAACTTGCAACAAATGGATGAATTACATGAGGGTATAAATTTAGAAAAAAAAGCAACTTTAAATGAACAAAATTATGAAAAATATGCTACTAACAAAGAATATGATTTAGATAATATAAATAAAAATTACATAGAAAATGTGTGTATATCACAAGCTGAAGCAGAAAATGATAAAAAACTGGAATTGCATAGCAAAAAAGAAATTTCTAAAATATCAACCATTAAAAATAAGGCTCTTTTTATTTTAATTAGCTGTCTCGTTTTTCTATTTAATAATTTTTTAAATGAACAAGAGAAGGATAACTTTTTTATTTTCTTAAAACAGTTAACTTCATCTAATAACCTCAGTCTTGATATCAATTTAGGGGATTCTTTTTACCACATACAGAAGGATACGTGGATTCCCATTAGTGATTATTTTGTGGTAACTTTAATATGTTTTTTTTTTTTTTTTTTTTTTTTTTTTGACATCATGCTCGTTTTGCTTATTCATTTGACGTACGAATATTTAACATAAGTTAAAACAATTTTTCTAATGAATATCATGATCAATTTTTTTCCATATTTTACATTTGTTGACACTGATACAGTCATCTAAGAAAAACCATATGGGCGAAAATTATCTAATATTTTACAATGAAGAAATGCTGAAAAAAATTAATTCCATTAGCTTATTGTACAAGGGAGAGTCTAACATTTGTCTTATCGGAAGCAGAAGTAACATAGAATTATATATATATATGTACGCACATGTTTAGTATGTATCTAGTTTATTTTGTCTGCTGTAGATTCTTTTCTGTCTTTCACTGCAAAAAACAAAAAAAATAGTAGCACTAATGGTTTGAAATTACACATAAGCAGAATGTAACTACATATATATAGACAGGGTTTTCGAAATGATATGAACACACGTACCTCTTCATTTCTTATTAAATTAAAACAAAAGCAATTACAATCATTAAATTAATTTTTTACGCACCTTTCAGAAAATTGCAAGACGACTATAATAAAAGAAATAGTTCATAGTCACAAGAACATTGACAATATCATAATCAGTGTGTTGAAATATACAAGTGTGCTAAATTTTAAAGTGTTGTATGAAAAAATGGCAAAAAAAAATGTGAAAAACTATTTCCATCCCTCGGTCCTTTATATATGCATAGACGACATTCACATCAATTACGTAAAATGAAAAAATGGAAAATCAGTTTTATGTTCCATTAGGAATAACTCATCTAAAAACAAAACCATTTCAAACTATGCATCAAATTGAGGAAAATTTCGTACAAGTTTGGAGACACAACATGAAACATTCCTTTTTCTTATTTTTAGGAAAAAGCCAACAATCCTTCTGTCGAATTTTTGCAGAATTTACAAAGGAATTTATGTTATTTTGAAAACAAAAGTATTAATGTAGAAAATGTAAAGAGCATGATTTCTCTGGATTTTGAACATATGAAAAGGAATAGATTCTATGAATCTGTTTTTTATTCCTATTCGTTGATCTTTTTAAATAGCAGCAAAAAATGCTTAGTCAATTATTTTAACGCTCTCATAAATCACACTCTAAGTGGTAGATTTCAAGTAAGATAAGAAGCATATAAATAGTGATGCATATACATATATATATACATATCCACATGCGCACATTTGTGTTTTTGCCATGTGTCATGTTTTCAACTCTTTAGCAAAGATAAAGGAACTCTTCACATATTCTCTCTTTTGTCCTCTTCAAGGGTATACATGGAAAGCTAGTCAACTATAGTCTAGATGTATTTTGGAAAATACATGACGACATAAATTTTGAAGAAAAAAAGGAAAACAATATATTATTCACAAAAGAAAATATTTTTTTATTGTATGAAGATTTCGTTCACACCAAGTGGAATTTTCAAAATGAACAGGACGTCGTTGAGAATTGGTGGTACACCTATACAAAAGCGGGGAAAAAAAAAAATAAAATAATAAAAAATGAATGAAATAGAAATAACGTGAGATAATAGAAGCGAAAACATAGCTTAGTGTGAATATTATATGAGAAAAGAATAAGTAGAATTCTATCTTTTTATATGCACCATTCTACTTCACCTTTTCTTTTTCTTTCTTTTTAGTGAAAGTACCGAGCGAATCATCCTGAATAGGGTGCTCAAAAAGGAAAACAAAAAGGACATTATGAAAACCATGAAAAGTAAATATAAAATCAAGTGAAATAGAATATAATAGTATAAAATGAAACGAAATAAAATGAAATAGATGAATGTCAATTTTAGTTTTGCTCTATTGTGCTTACCCCTTTTTGTTATAGACAGTCATAAAAACAGTGATACCATTTTATCATTTTTGTAATTCCTTTCCTTTTAAGACTTGGCAGAGAAGCATTTTCCAAATTTAACTAAAGAATATTCATTCACTCATTTAAATTACTTTTGCAAAGATGTAAAAAAAAAAAAAAAAAAAAAAAAAGATAAACATGAACATAAAGAGAAGGAGAAAGAAATATTAGGAGAACGCGTTCTACTCCTTAATTGATGTACTTTTTTTTTCTCTTTTTTTGAACACATGCTCTCATTATCATGAGTATATTATCTTCTAAACACTTACGTCCTCATTGCAGATTCATGAAAAAGTTGACATAGGTTTGCTAAAAGATGAATTTGTTAGGAGTCTAAGCAGTTATAACAATCTGTATATCAACACAAAAATGTTCGTAGAATTTTATTTCAGAAATATTGTAGATGTTTACAAAAATATAAGTAAAAACATAAATTCTTCAATGATAATTTGTATGAATAAAAAAAGGGCTATCATAATATTAAATGCAATTGCATTTATATTAAATATAAATACAGTATTAATTAACAAGTCCAGTAATTTGGAAAATTCTCAAGACAAAATTGATTACTACAACAGATTAAGGTTTAAAAGAAATCTTTTCATATTAATTAATTATTCGAACAATTTTGATGATTATTTTTATTCGTTAATTTATAAGCAGTTTCCGAATCCCTTGTTTGATAAAAAGGAACTTTTTCACATGTATACAAAAACGAACCTGATATCGAATGAACTGAAATGGGAAAATATTCAAAATATTGTAAGTGCAAAATGAGTGAGATGAGAATGGAGAGTGTCTCTGCATCTGTATCTATGTCTATGTCAGTGTCTCTGCTTCTGTATCTATGTCTATGTCAGTGCGTCTGCTTCTATTTCTGTGTCTGTGTGAGAGGGGGAGTTATACCATCTACTTTGGAGACGAATTTTCAATGTTACATCTGAGGAAGGAGAGTTCTGCAAAATGTGAACAAAGCACATGTGTTCATATATATGAGTAGGTATATGTACATACTTTTTGCACAGTTGCGTTTCTTCCATTGCATGTTCCACTCCAACGATTTATACAAACGTTTCTATCACTTTTCCTTATCCCAACAGATGAAAAAGAACACATACGTTTGCTTAGTTCACGAAAAAAGGTTCGACTTATACTGCACGAATTTTCAAAATTACAAAAATGTTTACAATGACCTAAATATTATGCACTTAGATAGCTGGACGAAGGAAGAGTACACTCACTACTGTCAGCTGTTTTTAAAAAATTGCGGAGAAAATCATTTTATTGATAATATACTAAACAATTTCAAAAAAAAAGTAATCCTAAATACATTGGAAGATGATATCGAAAAGGAAGGAAAAGGGATTAAACTTGATAAAAAGGAAAAGACAAAGGCAAAAATTAAGACCAATCAAATCTTTATAAATTCAGAGGATTATATAAAGAAAAATAGGAATGAAGAACCCAAGGTAGGAGAAGACAAAAAAGGAGACCAAGTCATCATGGAAAAGGAAACACAAAATGAAAGAAAGAATCAGACAGAAAATTCATCAGATAATTCGAAACAGAATTCTGAAGATAATCCGACACAGAATAGTACAGACACTGACAACAGGAAGGGAATTGAAAAATCGAAGGAATGTCAAAAGGATGATGATCACAATGAAGATGTCGAAAACGAGGGAGATTTATCTAAATCAAATGACGAGACAGAGGAAGGAAAAAAACAACGGGAAAAAAGTGAAGACACAGAAAAACAAAAAGAAGAACTGAACATTAAGGATGAAAAGAATGAAGGAATAATCGAAAAGAAGAAAAAAAATAACCCAAATAAAAAAGGAAAAAGCATACAAAGGGAAAAAAAAACTATGAAAATAAAACAGGAAAATGAGCAAATCACGAAAAAGAACGCTGATTTTAAAATAAAAAATAAGAAAGAAATGGAAAAACAAAAGAATTTACAAAATAATAAGGAAAAATTAAATGGAGAGAAAAATAAAGAACGTAAACCCTTGTTGTCATCACAAAATAAAATGAAAAAAGAAGCAAATAAATCACCCAACGCCATGACGATCAAAAACGGAATAAGAGGTATACACATTTCTGCACCTAAAAGTGAAACCAATGGTAATTCAATTAAACAAAATGAAAAGAAGAAAGAAAAACAGTCACCTATTGATAGTGTAAAAAAAAAAAAAAAAAAAAATGTTCAGATGAATGTTGCAAAGGATAAGGAGAAAAAATCCAACGAAAGGGAAAAAAATGATACAAGAAACAAACCAGGTCATAAGAAAAATTCCGAAAAAGAGAATTCTAAAAATAATAAAAAAGAAAATAATGATAGGGACAATGTTATGACAAACAAATTGGTAAAGAAAAATCCAGAATGTGAAGACGCACATGGAATAAAAGATAACAGAAATGTAAAGGATACTAACGACGTAATAAGAAGTAACATTAAGGAAGACAAAAATGGTATTCATTGTGATGATCAGAAGGATTTACTAGACTCAAAAGACAATCAAAAGAAATCAGAACTAGAAACAGACAAAAGCTATGAAAGCAAAAATAAGATAGAGAGGGAAATGATCGAAAAGGAAGAAATAGACCAAAATAGAAATCAAAATAAGGAAGAAACCCTGACAGAAGGAAAAAATGATCACGCGGTTGAGGAAAACTTAGACAAAGAAGTAGAAGAAACAAAATCAGATGATAATTCCTATGGAAAAGGAACTAGCGAAAGAGTAAAAAACAAAGAATATGTTAGTTTAAAAAATTATAATAAACAATCGATGCACGAAATGAACAATTTAAATGTAGAAATAAATAAATATAATTTCTACAGCTTGATTGAAAAACAGCTAGAAAACATCGTAGATGTGTTTATAGATGTATACTATGATTTGAAAAATCTTTTAAAAAAAAAGAACCCCAACTTAGATTTCATAAGGGTTAACAAATACAATTTTATGGACACATTAATTATGTTTTATATTTTACTAAAAAACAAATTAAACTATAAGAATAAACAATTACTCATGTTTAAAATGGGTCTAAAAAAAGTGGAAAACACATTTGAAAATTATAACAATATGAACGCAGAAATACAGTCCATAAATTTGTCCATAGCTAAAATGGAAGAGGAAATTGAAAAGCTGAATGATTCTACTAAAACAAATTCAAAGAATCTACTAGACATTGAACAACAATTTAATACAAATAAACAAATTCTAAATAGAGTTACGAACAATTTTGATGAAATGATGGAAAGTAAAAATGAATCTGAGAAAAAAATTGAAGAAGAATGTATCTCTATCATTTTTAAAATTCAAAATGTCGAAAATAATGAAATTAAGAATATCCTAAAAATAACTAGTCCAGATATGATACAATTGTGTATAGCCATTATGATAAACACTATTGTTAGGAATTCCTTCCTGAATGATAATAATGACAATTGGAATTATTTCAAAAATTTTATTTCAAAAGAGAATTTTTCTAAATTCTTTTTTAATTTTAAAAAAGAAAATATAACGGATAAACAAATAAAAAGAATAAAGGAATACATGTCTAGAGATGAAATAATCTACGGCACTCAGAAAATTATCCAGTTGAACAACTTGTTTACGCATTTTTTTGAATGGATCACATTTCTCATTAAATATAAAGAATACTACAAGAATATTTGCCAAGTAAATGAGTCGATATCAAATAATAAATTAAAAAAAGAAAAATATGAAAATGAAAATATAAAGTTACTAGAACAAATGCATAAAATCAAATCAACCATAGTTAACAACCAAAACGATATAAATATCCAAACTGAACGAATTGAAAATTTAAACAAAAAATTATATATAATTAATAAGTCCTATTTACCTATTTTAGAAGTCAAACAATTTTTAGAAAAAACCAAAAAAAAATATATATATACTATTGAAAAAATTGAAAATAATTATAAATACCTAGTTTCAGAAATTTTACTCTTTTCCTTTTTTTTAAATTATTCATCCCCTTTTAATTATAAGTACAGATGTTACTTACTTAACAAATGGAAACATATTATAAAAAAAAATAACATCTTAATAAAAGAAGAAATAAAAATAGAAAGTATATATTCATGTGATAGTATCGTATCTTTATTCATATCGGACAATTTTCCTAGACACATATTTTATATTCAAAATGCCTTAATATCGTTAAACCATTTTAGATGGCCTCTACTACTAGATCAACAAAATATTGGAATTGAATGGTTAAAAAAAAGTTATAGCAATAATTTGGTTATTCACAATTTTGATGAAAATTTAAGTAAACATTTGGACATGTGTATAATATATGGAAAAAGTTTAATAATCCCGTTTTTTAATTTTCAAAATTTATACATTTATGATAAACAAAATGACGAAGGTTTCATTTGTGATCATCATCACGAGGATAACTTTAAAAGGGTGAGACAAGATCTGTTGTGCAAAAAAAATTTTCTCAAATTTAAGCTTAGAAGCAGAGAGATAAAACTTAACTCCAATTATGCCATCTTAGAACCCGTTATAGAGCGCAACATATATTTGTCAAATGGAAAATACTACATCAACATAGGTAAGTTTTGGTTCTCTAATGTGTATAAGTTAGTTCATCGGTTCTAGCATATGCCATGCATGAGGACTACATGCCTTAATATGACCATCATCCCAGTGCTGCAACGTGCATCTATACACACATATCTAAATACGCACGCATCTACATACACACTCACATATGCACACACATCTACATACACACTCATATATGCACACGCATCTACATACACACTCGTATATGCACACCCATCTACATACACGCGCATCTATGCACTCACCCGAATCAACAGGGAAGAAGAAGCTGGAATACAACAGCCAATTTAGACTCTTTCTCGTGAGCGACTCAAACGATAGGTACTTTGAAGATATCGAAGACTACGTGAACATAATAGATTTCCAAATAGACAAGAATTTGATTGTAAATAAAATTGTAAACATCATACTAAAGCATGAAGATGAAAAAAAGATTATGAATTTTAATACAAAGATTCGAAATTTTTACGAGACAAAACAAACATTAAAGTTTTTAGATGATGGAATGATAATTGAATTGTGCACATTTGACAACAAAATAAATAATAACAAAAATTTAATGAATGTTATAAATAGCAATTTTTTGAAAAAAATAGAAATAAAAAAGATGCTGAAGGAATACAAACAGGAAATTAATAAAATTAAAAATTCATCAGAAAATATAAAACTTTTGGGTTACAGATTTCATAGTATATATAAAGTTCTACTAAAACAGTCGAAAATAAAATCAATATACAATTTTAATTTTAATTATCTGTTAAATATATTAAATGATTTAATTAAAAATATTAATAAAAAAATGCTAATTTGTAATTTTAACCAATTAATTAAAAAATTTACACATAACTGTTTCTTATTCTTACTAAATACAGTACACAAGAAGGACAAGTTATTCTTCTGCTTCTTGTTCTACACTACTCTAATATTTGAAGAAAAAAAATTAAGCAATATGCAAAAATCCATCAAAATTGAAAAAGAAAAGTATTATTCGTTATTCCTAAAAATGAGAAAACTACCAAATATGGATATAACCAATTTGCTAAAAATAGAATGGCTAAATGAAAAAAAAAAAAAGCAGCTACAATTTTTACACAACGAATTAGTGAATTTTAAAACACTTATTAAAGACATGCAATATAACTCTATGGAATACTTTACTTGGTATAAAGAAAGAAGACCAGAAGAAAATTTATTTTTTCTAAAAAAAGTACAATTAGAAAAGTTAGAAGTCATACTATTTCTATACATAATGCGTAAAGATAGACTATATTATTACATACACCTTTCCCTCTCAAATTATTTGGATTTGTCTGAAAACTTCAACTGTACCAATTTGAGTCTTTCCAAAGATTTAAATTATATAGATACAAAAACATTTTTGTACATTACAGAACCTAATAATTCATATGATCCCATCTTGTCGAAACATAAAGCAACAAAAACGCTTAGTGTCGGAAATAATTTCAATAATGATATTCAAATAATAATAGAAACTTCTATGCAAAATGGAAATAAATTATTACTAGAAAATGTGCATTTAATAAATTTTAATATAGAAAAATTCTACGAAATTTATAATAATACAAAAATTCACTCCAATTTTCAATTGTATCTCACATCAGAAAAGGATGCTTCTATTTCGATTATAAAGAAGGCTATTAAAATATATTCGCATACGAATGAATATTTAAAGACTTTACTCACAGATGTGTTTACATATGTTTATAATATTTATAAAGACAAATTAAAAAATAACCTTGTGAATTCTTTTTTATTTTCCCTTTCCTTCTTTCATAGCATTTTAGTATCTAGATGTAACTATAATAATTATGGTTTTGATGAATTATACTCCTTCGGTGTGAACGATTTTGAAACAACATTCGATTCTCTCCTTTCTTATTTAGATTTTGTTCAAATTAATGGGGCGTTATCTAATCACTCAAATTCGTATGCAATAAATTCTAACCACATTTCTGAGGAATCCACACATCAAGAATCGGTTAAACAGAAAGTGCACATCAACTGGGAATTCGTAAAGTAAGTAAATCCCACAGCCCACAACCCCGTGCAGATATATGCATGTGAATTTCCATCAAGCATGAGCGCAGGAATTTCATAAAAAAAAAAAAAAAAAAAAAAAAGAGATTTAAAAATAACAAAGTTGTAATGATAAATTTTCTCTACTTTATGCTGCTAAATCTAATGAGTTGTTCTTTTTTCTGGGAATTCTATTATATTCCATTTTTAACGATATATATAGTTACTTACCGTTGTATAAAATTTCACCCCTTTTTGCAGAGAAATCATCCTAAATGGATACGGGAATAAAGTCTTCTGCAATGATAGAAAAATTATAAAAAGTTACATCAAGGAATATTTTAATGAGTACTCATTTAACGAAAAAAATGAATTCGTCTATTGCACTGACGAAAGCTTCAACTATAAATTTTTAATGAATCGATCTATCAAAGAGTATGTTAACTTCATTAAGGTAAAAAAATGAAAAAAAAAAGAAAAAGGAAATTTCCAACATGCTTGTCATAATGAAAAAGGGGATATGTGTCTCACGATATTAACCCTTCTTTTATTCCTCCTCTGTGATAAATTATTTTGTCTATATTTACAACACATATGTATTAATCAGCCAAGTATTAATATGTGTACTTTACTGCATGTGTATATATGTTATGCACATCCACTTCTCACTACACATGCACATGCCTTGGTGACCACAGAGTTATCCTGTGTTCAATAGCTGCCAATCATATGGAATGAAAATCGAAGCTGATAAGAAGAAATATGAAAAGTATAATGAAAACATGTTGAAGAGTTTGCAAAAAATATGCAGTGAAGAAATTTTAGTATATGAAAGAGAAAATACTGAAGGAGATATTTTTTTCAATCTTGACAGTGATTATTATTCAAGCTCGCTACTTAACACAGATGATGAGAGAATTGTGAAATTTCAAGATGATAAAGATAAACCACATTTATCCACACAAGACCAATCAAAGGAATTCATACATGAATATACAAGAGATGATGTCAATGCTGCTCTTCATGTTGATGATATGGTTGATGTAGATTATAGTGACAATCCCCATGAAACTGATAGTAATAGAAATGTCTTCATAAAAACGTACAGTAGAATTCATTTAGAAGAGGAAGTAATCAATAAGCAGGGAACAGAGATTATGGAATTTTTAAAGAATATTAAAAAAATGAATGAATTTTATGAGTTAATAAAAAAACTGAAATGGACATTTAAATACAACATCAACATTAATACGGAATGGAGCAAAAGAAACATAACAACAATCCAATATTGCTGCATAAATGAAACAAAGAAATTTAAAGAAATTACCAATGTTATATATAATGATGTAATTAAAATTGAACATGAGTTAAATAAAAATAAAAAAAACTTAGACAATGATACTAAACTGATTATGGTTTACTTATCACGAAACGAAGTGCCAACCAAGTGGATATCCAGTTTTAATAAAAAAATTAAAACAATTGATAATTTTGTTACATATTATGAAAATGTCAAAGAACAATTGTATTTTTGGAACATCACAGGAGAATTACGCTTTTATAACATACAATATTTGTTTAATCCATTAAATCTTTTTAAAGCCTTATTGATTAAATTCACCCTTGTTCATAAAAAAAAATTAAAAGAATGTATATTCATATCACGTATAAACAACACCATAGAGATGAAGAAAAAAGAAAATTCTCTTCATTTTCAAAAAAATTTTTTCTACAGCAGTGATGAGGACGACAAGCTCTCGTCAAACTGTATCAATTACTCAGATTATATCCATTATGATATCGAGGCCTCTTGCGACGTGGATTTGATAGGACTCTACACACTGGTATGAAAGATGAGAGAATGTGTCCCGCCTTACTGCTGGTAGCACAATACTTCTGCAAAATATGTGCAGAACTATATCTACGCAAATGTGTATAAAGTGTAGTATGTGCCTCCAAATGTTCATAACTCCTTGTGTTTGTTGTTTCAGAGAGATGACTCCAACAATTTACTGATTCGTTACATTCACAAATTTCCTATTATTAATCATTCCAATCGACCCATACAACCATTTGTCATATTTCAATATTCTGAACAATAATAACATTTATTCATGATACATTTTCCTTCTCCATCTTCGCCTTCTTCTTCTCCTTCTTTTTCTCTCTCTTCTTCTTCACCGCTTTGATCACACCCCTTTTCAAAGAACCACAACTTCGAGTGCCTAGGAGTCAAGCCAAGGAGCAACAAGAAGTATGATCAAATACCCATTGTAACATTAAGCATAATGGAAAAAAGAGAAAAAAACATTTTGGGAGACAAAAAAATACCACTATATCAGTATAAATGTAATGGAAAATTGAAAAATAAAAAAAATAAATTTATAACCAACTTGTATTTCAAGACGGATAAACACAAGTCATTCATATATATTAATAAGGTTTATTTATTCATTTATAACTGATACGTGCATGAGTATGCGCATGTCTACGTGTCTGTGTATGTGCATGTGCATGTGTCCGTGTATTCGCATGAGTATATATATGTGCTGTTTCCCATTCCCATTTTTCACTTTAAAAACGCTTGCTATTTTTGTATATATTTTTTAATTCACTAAAGTCTGAATTTTCATTAAAATTTACGTCACGTTCTAACAACGGCATTTCTATTTCCTATGAGATGAAGCGGTGGTACAAAGACAAAAACATATAATAATTTTTATTATTTTATTTTATTTATTTTTTATGTATACGCGCCTTTGTCTGTCAAATATGGATACATCAAATGCAATGGAAACACGAAACATACGACGAATAAAAACATGATATGGTAAAAAAAAAAAAAAAAAAAAAAAATGCGTTAGATCATTTTATTTCCTTACCGGTATAACGTAATCATCATCAGACTTCGCATGCAACTTGTTTTTTATTCTATCCAGTGGTATAACCCCGCTATAAAAACAGGAAATAAAAATTTCGTCTTTGAAAAAGTGCGATTGAGTTGTTATTACACAACTTTGTCAAAAGTATCACGAATGCATAAGTGGATGTATATATATATATATATATATATATATATATATATATATCCATACGTAAACAATCGTCACAGCCAGCTGATCCAGCAAACTGTGAACAGTAATATCATACCAATTGTAAATATAAACTTGCTTCTTGGGACGACCAATTAAAGTAGACTGTTCCTCAATAAAGGACAACGTGTCATATCCGTATTCAAGGTGACCAAAAACTACCTGCAAGAAATGATAAAATAAAAAAAATAAAAAAATTCATAAAATACAAAAAATATTCAAAAAATATATGCAAAAAGGAAAAAAAAAAAAAAAAAAAAAAAAAAAAGGGATTCAAAGCACCATTTCATTCACTCACATGCTTCTTATCAAGCCAAGGACAACTTTTAAAGGTTACAAAAAATTGAGAATTATTTGTGTGTTTTATCCTAGTTTGGCACATGGATAGCACACCTATGAGTTAAGAGGGTAAAATAAGGATAAGCATTCGAGTGTATACACATATAAAAGTATACATATATGTCCATAATAAAATGTATGGGGGTACTATAGATAAATAATAAAAAGAAATTAATCCTCGTAAAAATTAATCAATTATTATTCATTTTCTGTGTTGTCGCATCGTAATGCTCTGTTTTCTTTATCTTCTTCTCTTATAACCTCTTTTTGAATGTTTGAAAATAAATTTTTCGTTTCGGAAGTATTGGCCGTATATGGACTCTCCTCCAAAGCCGTTCCCAAAATTGAAGTCCCCTCCTTGGAACATCTAAATAAGGAGTGTACAGGTATAACTCTTATGTGTATATGACTCGATATATGCATAGTAGACAATATCTATATGTGCACACGTATCACTGTTAAATGTTTACACCGATGCAACCTTACAATGCTACATGGTATGATGTATAAATTTTTTTTTGCATTACAAAATCTGTGACAATTCTATGAATGGGAGAATTCTTGTACCAACGGGGTTTCAGGTAATAACCTAAGCCTGTTTCACCTTCAAATTATGTAAAAAAAAAAAAAAAAAGAAAAAAAATAAGTTAAACGGAAAAGGAAAATATTTTACACGTTTTTCTTTTTTTATTTTTAGAGTTTCTTTCCTTTTTTTAAATATAATTACCTGTACAGAGACATCGAAAATTTTCACAGGTTATTGGTAACTTATCCATGAAGAGCTGCAAAAAAGAAAGGAGATTCAATCCCATCCAAATAAATTATTCTTAGTGTTTACACAAATGGATGATATGTTTTTATTTTTTTAAGTTTTTCATTTTTGGTAATTTCGTGTGTACCTCAAATATCAATCTCCCCGCATTTCTCCCTCCTATAGCAACATCTAAATACACACGAGGATTTGGTATCTTCATTGTAGTTCAAAGCAGTAGTACTCATCATACCTGTATTTCATCTTATCAGCAATATATGTTTAATCAAAAAAATAGTTTCAATTTTTGCAAATTTTCTTTATTGTCTGTAACAAGGACTAACACTGTAATGTCCCCTGTTTTATTCATTTATTTTATTTTATTTTTTTTTGTTTTCTCTTTTTTTTTTTTTTTCTTTTCAATATTAAAAAATGCTGCTACTTGTATGTAGCCTATTTTTTCGTCTATCTTTTTAAATACGGACTTATTAAAGAGGTAATTCCCTTTTCTTTTTTTCGTGAACAGCTATTAATTTCTTTTTCTTTTTTTTTTTTTTTTTTTTTGCTATTCACAATCTCTCATAATGTTCTCATTTAAAGAAATAAAATTTAATTTGTATTTTTCTTAATTTTAACTGTTTTTTTTTTTTTTTTTTTTTTTTTTTTTTTTTTTTTTTTTTTTTTTACAATTTTTTATTATTTTTTTATTTTAAGAAATTAAATTTTATTTTTTTTTTTTTTTATTTTTTTTTTTTTTTTTTTTTTTTTTTTATTATTTTACTTTTTGTTTTTATCTGTTTAGCGTTGTTTTTTCCTGTGAAGTGTTACGAATATAATGTTAATATAGGGATGCACCAAAAATTAGTATACAAAAAAATTTAGGAACATGTACACACTTTTATATTTACATATATATTTATAATATGCTCGGCTCCCAATACTTAAGCAGTGTGTGACCTGCTTAAGTCCATTACTTTTTTTGTTTAACTGGTTTTGTAAATACAGCGGGGATGCATGAAATTGTGATAAGAGTTGAAGGGAAACATTTAAATTCGTACATGTGTACATATATGAGCAATATTTTGATGATGTTGCTCTTATTTACTTAATAATTTATTTTATTTTTTACTATTTTATTTCCTTATTTTACTTTTTACTATTTTATTTCCTTACTTTACTTTTTCCTATTTTATTTTCTTATTCTCCTATTTTCTTATTTTATTTTTTTGTGCGTTTTCCATTTTGACCAAGTAAAATGATATCTTACACAGCTTCATCGGGAATTTTTGTTTTCAGCATTTTAAAAATGTCCCTTTTTTACTTGCATAGCATAGATCCTTTTACACATTTAAAAAGAAAAATTGTGCACTCTTATATGGATTTTTTCTTGGGAATATTTGTTTAAAAGTAATACATTACTAAAAGTTTTGTATTAACTGGATTGTTACGTAAAAAATAAAATAATTCTAAACCGATTTACTGAAAAAACTTTTGGTATTTAATGGTGTGAGAAGTATTCACAGAATATTACTATACATAATTGTATATTAATATGTGGATGGGTTGGGAATATGAGAAAAAAAAAGGTGCGCATGCTAAAAAAGTCATGGTTTAGGTGTTAAAACAATAATACCATAGACATACAAAAATGATTGTGCACATGCAAAAACACCCATAAATAAGCTATACAAATAAGAGCAGGCCGATAAGAAAATAAATTTTTTTCCTGAACAAAAACGAATACATTGCACTGCCCAAGAATTACTTCCTCAGATGCGCGTGCATGGAAGTAAACAATTTGTGCACTTGCGGATCCAATAAAGAAAAAAAGAAAAGGAAAAAAAAAAAAAAACTATAAAATTTGTATACAAAAATTATCGTATAGAAAACTATTCAAACGAACAATAAACAAATTTGAATAAATGTGATGACTTTTGGACAAAAAATACATTTGATTGAAGTAAAAATAAATTAAAGAATTAAAGTAATCTAAAAAAGATGTTATGTTCGTATTATAAAAAAATTGTTGCGTAAAAAAGTTAATCGTGCACAAGCACAGATGCCATTGGTAGCACTTTATTTGTTCTAGATCTTCATATGGGCTATTCTGGATCTCGTCTAAAAGTACATTTGGGTCATATACATTAAATAAAAGTTGGAAATACATATTTGTAATATACTCAGTACGTATTTTCTTTCCATTCAATTCTATATTAACAGAAAGATGAGTAATATTTTTGATAAAATTTTTAAAAGAAATAGAAAAGTCTTTTTTATTTTTATACTTGATGAAATTATAATCATTATTTGCTATATCTAAAAATTCCAAAAAATTTGCTAATCCTTCATTTAGTATATTTTTACTAAAAAATTCTTCCATTTTAATATTATTACTTAGCACATTTTTAAATATATCAATGTAAAGAATAAATTTAAAAAGTAATCTGATAATGTTGTAATGGATATTTTTAAAACTTTTCTTATTTTTTAATTCACTTGTCGATACCTTTACTTTGTAAAACTTAAAAAAATATTTCATAAAGCTTATGTCGTGTAAATAAATACCAAAAAGAAGAATTATAACTTTATTAACTTTTCTCAATACTGTGTTCAGATAACCCGTTATTATATGCAACCCTGTGTTTTTGCCTAGCATATCAGAATATATATACGTTTCATATTTCTTTACATTTTTCCCAATTGTTAATTTTCTCGTTAAGGCTCTAAATATGCTATTGTCCATATGTATGAAAACTTTGTTCAGGAAGCTTACTTTTTCAAATCCCAAGATATTTTTTACATTTTTAAAAAAAAGATCACGAATAATACTCATCAATTCGCTTAGCTTTTTATCAATAAAATAATTTAAAAAGAATATATTTCTGTCATTCATAAATATTTTATGTGCTCTTTCATTTTTACTTATACAAATTTCTCTTCTTTCAACTCTTCTGGTTATATTATGGAAAGCATTTTTTTTCTTATTGCATAATTGTCTATATAAGGAAAAATTCGTGTGGCCTCTATTTTTCACTTTTCTCATGTTACATCTGGATATCTCATTATGCAGATAATAAATACTATTGTAATTAATTGTTTTATTTTTTTTTAATGCATTTGTTATTTTTCCTAAATATACAACCATACAGGTGTTGTGCCATTTCCATAATGTTTTTATCTTTTTATTACTTTTACTATCCTTAGCAAGTTCATCATCTGTAGTGTTTCCGCGCTTCATTTTTTTCTCTTTTCCTTGTTTTTTCATATCATTCTCTTCTTTTATATTTATTTTGTAAATATCTTCGATATTTTTCGTGGTGGTGATCTTCTTCTTTTTCCTCTCCTTTGTATGTTTCAAAAATTGATTACACTGATCTATATTAATGTTAAATAAATTTGCCTGTTTTGCAATATCGAATTCGTTACTTGGCATATCTGATTGTTGATTGAAAAAATAATAGAAATTCTGCGCACTGTTATCATATTCTTCTTTCATTGTACATCTAACTCTGTTAATATATAATTCGATAAAAACATCGTTTGCTGTGCTTTGTTTTTTTAATTTATTCTTTCCATTTACCAATTTTTGGTAATACCTAAAAAGGTGATATAAATCTACCATACAAACGTTACGTGGTAAATAAATAATTATATTTTTCGTTAATTTTGTGGATTCTTTTAAGCATGAATATACAGATAGCTTATCCTTTGGATCATTCAACTGAAACTGCTTTTTCTCCTTGTATGAGGGTCCTCCCCAAGGTATACTAAGAAATATCACATCTATCGTATTTTCTCTGAAAGAATTTACTATATTAAAAAAATCACATAAAATAAAATCCACGTTATTATTGTAAAATTTACAATTGTGTTGGCATTCCTTTATTCGAGCCAATTCAACATCTGATGCGATGGTAAAAACGTGAGACATACTTTGGCTATTTCCACCTGCTCCTGCAAATGGGTCCAGGTAAATTAGTACGTTCTCTGAATTCGCCTTGTTAGATACATTGGAGGTACTTGATGGGACCTGTCTATCTATTTCCTCTACGCCTATCGCCTTGACTATTTTTTCCACAAGTATTCTACTTTCTTTTTCCTCCTTCTCCACTTCTTCCTCTTCCTTCTTCTCCACTTCTTCCACTTCCTTCTTCTCCACTTCTTCCACTTCCTTCTTCTCCACTTCCTTCTTCACCATTTCCTTCTCCTCTTTCTCCTCCTCTTTCTCTTCCTCTTCTTCATCTTCCTCTTCCTCCTCTATCACTTCTGCCACTTCTGTGATTCTATCCCCTACATCTTCATCATCATTCTCGCCGTTAAACTCTTCCTCATCACCAAATCCTCCTGGTTCTTCAGTTACATGCACATTTTCATTATAACGTCTTTTCTTTCTTTCCCCCATAGCCATTTCTCTATCCTTTCGTATTCTTGGTTTTCTGGGATACTTTCTTTTTTTTTTTTTTTTGATTGGCATTATGCTTTTTCCTATATTTTTGGATATATACTCAGGGGTCATGGAATAAATCATTTCATTATCTATAATAAAACAATTATCTTTATATACTGATGCCATTTTTTTTCTTCTGACTAAATTCCTTTTCCTCGCATAGTAATTTGTGGGGAAATAATTAATTAATTCCCTCTTATACAAGTTAAATTTATGAAAATTCTGATAAATTATTGGCATTTTGTATTTATATGTTTTCTTTAACAATTCCCAGCTTTTAATATAGTTTAATTCTCTTGCTAAGGCATCTTTCTTTTTGTAATTTTTTATGGGTTCACTTTTATCATATATATTTATTTTTTTCGAAAGTTGTAGAAAATTGTGTCGTATTTCATTATTTACCAAATCTTCTTCATCCAAATCTAAAACAGAGTAATAATTTGAGTGGACTAAAAAACTTAAATTTGAAGTTTTATCATTGTCTCCTTGATCGTTATAATTTTTGTACGTTTTTCGTATCATCTTGTTCTGCTGCAATTTTTTTAACTCCTTTACAGACTAGTCTAATAATCATGTGAATTATTCAAACGTTCACGATTCGATTGATTGGACGTTCAAAGGATTAATCGATTACTGGGGCTGATTTAGCGGGCTCGAATTAACTATTTATTGCTTCTTTTTTTTTTTTTTTTTTTCGCCCTTTTTTTGTATTCTCTCTCATTCATGCACTTATCCATTTAGGCTATATATTTTTCTACCCCCCTTCTTTATATATTTTACATAAAAAAGAGGAGGTATTCAGGACTATAAAAATTGCATAAAAGTTTATGAACACTATATTAGGATATACAAAAATGAACGTGGTTATTTTTGCAAAAAATACAAGAAAAAAAAAAAAGAAAAAAGCAGAAAATGCTGTATTATATACTTTGTATACACAACATTTTTTATGAAAAGCAATTATTAAGGAGAACTTTTTTTCTGTTTATTTATCTAGTTTTTTTTTTTTTTTTTTTTTACACAATAATTAAAAAGTATCAATTTTTATTTTCTTTATTTCTTTTTTTCTTTTTTGATGATTTATTAAAAAAGCATAACCTCATCACCAATTTTGTTAAATTCAGAAAGGTTATGTTGTTATTATGTATTGTCGTTTAAAACAGCATTAAGGAAAACCGACTCAAGCTTTACATTTTTTTTTTTTTTTTTTTTTTTTGTTCTTACCTTTTTCATGGTGTAACTCCAAAAATGATGATAGAGCATTTATATGCTTGTGGTTTACACTTGAAAATTTTAAAGCGTTTTTTTTTTTTTTTTGTTTTTTAAAATGTATATTTATACAAATATATTTATATATAATAATGTATGTGGACTTACAGTAGTGTGAAAATTGATGCATGTTTATTTACACGCCTTTGTGTGAAAACGTGCCATGTTATGTAGATAGCATAATTTAAGCAAATGTCGAAATTGTTCACATGTGTGCCAGAGCATATAACTGTTCTTAAGTCATTATGGTGTAAACTACTGTTGAGTTATTTCTCCATGTAGTTAATGGATGCATACATTCCTATATATGTGCTACATACGTTCCATATGTGTGTTATATATGTGTCACGTGCACGTATCCCCACTTCGCCATGCTTTCTTGGCTTGTGCACACGTGGGATTGGTTGAAATGAGAAAATACCCACATGTGGATGGATCATACTTCAATACGCAAGAACACATGCGTGTGTGTAGTGTACATGTAACAAATGCCTGCACAAGTATAGATTAATGCATAACATCATGAATGATATCACTAGGGTAATACATATTATGTTGTGATAGGTTAAGGAAGAAATTTTTTGCAAAAGGAGGACTTTAAAGAAAAGCAAATACTTAAGCAAACTACCCTTAAAAAAAACCAACATCACATTTTATATACCCAGGGATAATTTTTTTTTTTTTTTTTTTTTTTTATGTTAATAAAGATAGTCAATAAATGTTCGTTAAAAAGTCAGCACACTTTCTTTACATTCTTAATAATGTGAAAAAAAAGGGGTGGCGTGCAAATAATGTATGAAAATAATTTGGATCATATTTTTGCACATTAGTTGTGCAAAATCCTATAACAGCATCAATTATGTCTGATGTGTTCTAATATGCTTAGTTATTTTTCCACCAGGGAATTGGGAAAAAAAAAAAAAAAAATAAAACCACTCTTGATTTAACAGCTTAGTTTAACATCCACCACTTCATATGACAAATAAAATTAGAGAATTTTTAAAAGAAATTAAAAAAATAAAATAAAAAGTTCACCCTTATGGTTTATTTCCCCCATTTTAATATGTATAACTAATATTGAAATTTTTCGTAAAAAGGTTTTTACATGACTTTAATGGAAATGCGCTTCGATTTTTTTGAAACGAACATAACAAGTCGTGACATAAATGAATTGCAAAATTCTGCCATTACAGTAGGGATCTAACAAACTCGTGGAACGTTGAAATAGATACACATATACCAAAAATAAGGGGTATACATATACATATATATATATATATATATATATATATATAATGTTTACATAAATTCTTTTAATCGAGTTATAATCATTTATGCTCATGCTAAAAAGAATCCCCTTGTGGTTTATCATTCCATCTGTGCATCCATAAGAATATAATTTTTCAACAAAATGATAAGTTTTGCAGTTCTACTTTTTAATACGTGTGCACGTATTAATGTGTGCATGTACATATATACATGAACATATTTTATTCCTTCAAATAAGTAGACATTTTGGCAACTCGGACTATTAAAAACAAAAATATACACATTTCGTATGATCATTATTTTGTATTATGCATAATCATGCGTTGTTTTTATGATGCTCAGCAAACGAAGCGAGGTTCCCCATCTACATATTAATACAATCCACACGCGAAAAAAAAAAAAATTCATACAAAAGTGTGCGAGGGTATACAAAAAAGAGCAATACAAAAGTGCAAAAAAAAAAAAAAATGTACAAAATGTAGCAGAATTGTGGAAAATATAACAAAAATATGCAAAGTTTTACAAAACTGAGCAATACTTTTATAAGAACTCAAAAAAAAAAAAAAAAAAAAAAGATGTACAAACTGTAGCATAATTATGGAAAATATAACAAAACGCAACAAGAAAAAAATTCCTAGTTGAAAATGCTATAAAAATGAGAAACAAAAAATTTATGAAGAACACATGAAAATTTTCATTTTGTCTTTTGGCTTTTTTTCCCCTTTTGTATCATATTATATTTGGATATTGGTTTCAACTCTTTTAAGTCTGGTGTCGAATTTGTAATGATACAATTTCCGAGTTCATCCACCTGCTCATAAAAAGAGTAAAGAAACACACACATATATATATACATATATTAAGCAGAATTGTGTAAAACTGTTGCCTATTTTATTTTCTTAGTAAGGAGCACGCACTGTTCTTAGCACATGTTAACTAGTCTCACTTTGATAATTTTAAAAAAATACAAATGAAAAGATGCTAATGTACAAAAAAAAAATACACAACTGATTTGTTCATATAAAAGGAGTAATTTTTTACGTAAAAAAAAAAAAAAAAAAAAGAGGAAGTCATACCGATATATTTTTAATGAGTTCCTTTTCTTTTTCATCGGTTGAAATTTTCAGGAAATGTGAAATGCATGATTCGGCAACTTTCCCCTTTTTGGCGTTTCCAGGAACTAGTTTCACCCTATATTTTTGATTCTACAAAGGATAAGAAGTTCCAGGATAAGGTATTCAATAAATATATAAAAATAAAAATATAGAATGTACATAATGTGACAACAACTACATATGTCGTGTCTTATTCAATCACAAGATATAATTTTTTTTTTTTTTTTTTTTTCTTCCAAAATTTAGAACAATTATTACTTGAATAGCCGAGTAAGGTGCACACATCGGAATTGCATATAATAAATTATCCCCTTCTTTGGGTGTACATACCAACTTTTTTAATTCGCTTAATTTTATCTGTACGTGAAGAAAAGAATGAATGTGTATTTAACATATATTTAATGACGTAAACTTATACTTTTTATTTTTATTTTTTTTTGCTCTTGTGCTTATTTTCCCTTTTTCAGATATACATTATTAAGTCTACTTCATTCCTTCTACTAGTACCAAATGTAGTGTTTTATTTATTTTATTATTATTATTTTTTTTTTTTTTTTTTACCTTCATTTCATCCTCATTTATTTCTTCATAATTTACTGTGACTTCTTTAGGGCTTCTATATTTTTTCTCCTGTTCTCTTACATGATTCTCCAATTTTTCTATTTTTGTTTTTGCTGTCTCGTGTTTCATCTGCAAACAAAAATATATATCATACATTTACATAAATATTCTAAAAAAAAAAAAATAAAATAAATGAGCACTATGAATGGTATCAAATGACATATCTTGGTTACTAAGCAAGATGGACATTCCTCTATATATAGAAAGACATGGGACATTTATATGAGTATCTCTCTTTCGTTTACCTTCCGAGCTCCAATTATTTTCATATGCAATTGTCTTTCCTCTTCGTCGCCATCCTGTTCCTTATATTTTTTTTTCATTCGCTTTTTCTTTGTCCTTGCTCCTCTTAGTAAATGAACACAACTCTGAAAAGAAAAAAAAAAAATGATCTTTATTTTTTTCATTCACATATATATATATATATATATATATATATATATATATATATATTTTTCTTTAAAATACCTATTATTTTTCAAATATAACATTTTCATAATTCGTCCAATAAAAAAATTTTTTACAAAATTTTCTACTCTATCAATTTATTCACATGTTTTCTTTTGCTATTTTTTTTTCAAGATATATTACCTTATCCTTTTTTTGGTCTATTGCAACACAATTGGTAAAAGAAGCATTTCCCCCTTTTACTTTATTTTTTGTAACCTTGTTATCAATTTGTTTATTTGAATTATTTCCATATGGTTTCTCTCTATTTGTCTCATCTCCATTCTTCTCATTTTTTTCTTTTTCATAACCCCCCTTTTTTTCACTATTTCCCTTCTTTCCATTCTTATCTTTTGCAGATTGATTATTTCCATCATGATAATCATCACTTCCGTGGTCCTTTCTAAAATGGTTCGAATTTTCATCTTCACTCGTTTCTGCGTTCTCATCTGTCTCGTCTGTCTCGTCTGTCTCGTCTGCCGCATCTGTCTCGTCTGCCTCATCTGTCTCGTCTGCCTCATCTGTCTCGTCTGCCTCATCCGACTCATCCGACTCATGTGCCTCATCTTGGCCATTTTTGCCACTTTCCTGATGGTTTGTACCGTCATCATCTTCCGAATTTTCTGATGCCTCTCTTGCGTCTTTTTTTTTTGGTACGCCATTATTATCTTCCTCTACCTCTTGGGCTTCTATATCTTCAAGCAATTTGCTCATGTCCATTTTAACAAAACCTGTTGCTTTTCGTGATCTAATTGGTCTCAAAAAGCTCGGGGATCCTGGTTCCTTCGGAAGAACATATTTTCCATTTTGAGATGTAAAGGTAACACTTTTTTTCTTGCTATCATCACTAGGTGAATAATTATCAGCAGATATTATTGTTGAATCTTTTTTCTTATCATGTTTCACTTCTTCAGACTTCTCTTCATTTTCTATCTCTTCAAGCAATTTGCTAACATCCATTTTGACATAACCTGTAGGTTTTCTAGACCTTGTTGGTCTTGACAAACTCGAGGATTCTTTCTTTTCTCCATACATATCTTCAGAACTAAGTGTTATGTTCCTTTCTTTTACATCATCATTATCTACATTTTCTCTAAACCTCACTTTTGATAGCTCCTTATATTCCTCCACTTCATTCAAATGTTGTAATCCATTTACATGATTCATTTCACTGTTCTCATGCACTTGATTCGTCTCTCCACATTCTTCCAACTTCTCTTCATTTTCTATCTCCTCAAGTAATTTTGTAATATCCATTTTGACAAATCCAGTGGGTTTACGCGACCTAACTGGTCTTGGAGCATTCAGTGATTCCTGTCTTTCAACATAGATATGTTCATCTTCTGAACTAAATGACACACTCTTTTTTCTCATAATATTCTTATGTGGATTTTCATTAAACGTGGTACTTGAATTTTCCTTCTTATCTTCATTCAATCCATTCACATGGTTCATTTCGATCTGTCCATTCGTCTTGTTAGTTTCTGGAGATTCTATGGGTTCTTTGGCATTTTCCTCACTTCCTATCTCCTCAATAAATTTGGAAATATCCATTTTGACAAAACCAGTGGGTTTACGTGACCTCACAGGTCTTGGAGCATTAAACGATTCTTGTTTTACAACATCAACAGATTCGTCTTCTGATGTGAAAGTTACGTTTTTCCCCTCAACATTTTTCCCCTTTGCTTCGTTAAACGTAACTTTGGTGAATTCACATTGATTATTGCACCTTTCTTCTTTATCGACATTCCCCTCTGATTTCTTCTCTGCTTCTTCTTCTTCATCTTCTATTTCTTGAAGTAGTTTACTTAGGTCCATTTTTACAAACCCCGTTCCTTTACGGGACCTCGTTGGTCTTGTAGATTTGGAAGCTTCTTCACGACTTGTGAATGAAACGTGCTTTTTTTTTTCTTCCTTTTCCTCTTCCTCTTCCTCCTCTTTACATTCTCTCTTTTCATTATAACTACTAGAGGGTGAGAAATTAACTCTTCCTGTTTTATCCTTCTTATCTGACTTAGAATAATCAGAATCGTCATCTTTGAAAGCCACGGGCGGTGCACCATATATATTGCACTCAACTAAGAGACGTGGTTTTTTCATACTTTCACAAACATAATCGTTCAAAATTTTATCATCAAATTCTTCATGTATCACTTCATTCATACAATAGGAAGAAAAAAAGTTCTTCGGTTTTAACTCATTGTTGTGCATTATTGTATAATTCTTGGGGCTCTTAAAAATATTATAATTTTTATATGGAAAAAATACATCTAATATATCCTCTGAAGATATGCTGGAATAAGTGTTATTCTTGCTTTTTTGAAATATTTTATGTGCCAAAAGATAGATTAAGGCATTTTTTAATTTTCTAAAAATTATGTGCAAATTTGGGAAACATTTTGCTAATTTAGGATATTCCAAAGAGGAGTAACTTTTCTTATTTGAATAAGAATCTAAAAGGAAATATATGCTAAAATTACAAATAAGAAATATAAGCCTTTTATAATTCTTCTTAAAAGGCATACATATACAACATTTAGAAGTATGCTTATTTCTGATGCATAAAAGAAATTTAAAAATGGTTCCACAATTTCCCTTATTGTACCACAAATTATATGTCAGTTTTTCACATAGCAATTTAACAATGGTTTCTTCATAATTGTAAACGATTCCAAATTTTGCAAAAATGGAAAATATATGATTGTACTTTTTCTTAAAATTCTCTTCAAACAAATTTTTTCTACTTATGTAATGTAAAATGAATTTGACAAATTTATTCCTTTCACGTTTATTATTTTCACACATTTTTAAATGACATCCGAAAGTTACATTTGAAGCAACACAATTTTTCGTCTCTTTGGAATTCTTCAATGTGAATCTTGTTTCCAATGCTGAATTAAGGCTATGACTGTCAAGTGGGTCCTTGTTATTCTCCTTTTTCCCCTCATTATGACGAATCAAAAAACAGTTTGGTTTAAAATTCGTATACGAGTTATCTATTTTCACACAAACCTCTTCTCCTTTCGCACCTACCACTACGTCTTTACATTTTCTAGAATCGTTATTCGATCCATTTGTACTATCAAGATCCTTGACTTTGCTCATGTTATTTTCATCTCCATGGTTATTATAATTACTTTCATTTTTTCCCCCATTTTCAATCTCCCTCTGCGTATCGTCCAAATTATTCTCTTCATTATCGTTCGGCACCTCATTATCCACTTGAAAAATTATACACAGTCCCATTTCTAACTTTACATGGGGCAAATAATTCTTTTTCCCTCTAATTACAAAGGAACCCGTTTTTAAATATTCCCCTGTCGGTGCAGATTTACTAACTTGATGATAATGCACCCACCAGGCTGATGTAATAACTTTGTCATTCCATGCAGAGCTTCTACATATAGCTAATTGTCCAGCTTCTGAAAGTGTCTTTTCTGGAATGGGTATATCTTTATGTGGATTTTTAATTATGCATGTTGCTGCACCATGAACATCGGCGTGAACATAAACATCATTCTTTTGAAAATATCTCCTAAATAATATTTCATTCTGTAAGGCATCTCTGCCAGCAATTACTAAATAATTTTCTGATGACATAAACCAATGGAACTTTTCAAACCAGTATACTTTTCTTAATTTTTGAATTTGACGTACTACTTTGTTATTCTTTCCCTTTTGCTTATTCTCTTTATCTTTTTTTCTCTTTTCCACTTTTTTAACAGCTAAATTGGTAGATGTTTTCGTTTTTCTAATTTTTTCTTCAGCTTTTTTTCTTAACTTTTGATAATCTTCAATATTTCCATACACTGAATTGTTTAAATTTATAGTAACTGGAGTGGAACCATTTTTTACATTTCTCTTTTTGGGTGTTGTATCCTTTTCATTTTCATTAGAAGAGGAATTCATTTTTTTGTCTTCTTCATCGGTCAATTCTTCACAACTATCTAAGAGTAATTCTATTTCGCAATTATTAAAATTTACAGAATTAATTCGTAATGCTATAGAATGATTCTGTTTTTTAAAAAGTTTAATATGATCCCATATTTTTTCCCAATTAGCATTTGTACTTATGGCAGAGCGCATTAATTGTATGGCTTGATCAACTAATTCATCATTCATTTGAATCAGTGAAATTTTTTTTTTTAATATGCTTACTTCATTCTCTAATTGTTCAATTCTTTTTTCATGATCTAATATAATTTTATCCATTTTTGTACGAGATTTCTTAACTTTAATTACTTCTTGTTGTTTATCATACTTTGACAATTCCATTTTGCTGAAATAGGTGTCCACACATTTGTTAAAATCGTCAAATTGTATAACCTCCAATTTATTTTCCTCTATTTTATTTTTATGAATCTTTAAGATAATTGGAGAAAACTCGGAAAATAAAATATCTTCATTTTTTTCTGCCTCCTTAGTAGATTTATTGACGTCAGAAGATTTAACATGAATCTTTTGTTCACTCATTTCATTCTTATTTTTTCCCCCCATATTATTTGCATTCTTTTCACCACATTTCGTAGCAAAACCGTAACCCTTAATACAGCACACTTCACCACTACTAAAGCTGTTTAGTACACACAAGGCTTCATTTATAGCTTTAAATAAAATTTCTGTTAATTCATTTAAGGTATATTTTTCTAACAAATCAGATGGATTCACATTACATGTGATTAACGAATGAATAATTAAATCACCATGTGCAAAAATAATTAATTTACTAGCTAAATCTGTCAGAGTTTTAATCTTTTTCACCTTTTTGCCTTTCTCATTATCACTACAAATAGCAGGATCATTTTTTTTATTCGAATTATTCTTCAATATTGGAAGGATCTTTACTTCTGCACTTTTACTACTTTTTAATTTGATAATCTCATTCTCTTTATTTTTTGATTTATCCTTAGACTTGTCTTTATTACCAAAAGGAGGTTTATCTGTGTTCATATTTTTCACATTTCCCATTTTCTTTTCATTATCTTCATTATTAATATTCTTATCATTCCCCTTTTTGATGCTGGTGGCCTTTTCGATTACAATATTATCATCTTTACCCTTTGAGAGATTAGAAGAAATAATTTTATTTTCTACTAAATGCGTATTCGTATTTTTCATGAGATTACTTTCTAGTTTATTCGATGTGATTTCATTTCCCTGATTTATTCGTATGTTCTTAGTTAGATCTACTACATCTTCTATAGGTGCATTGTTATGAAACATGAATATTTCGTTAATGCTTTTTCTTACATTTTCCATATCAACTACTTTTAAATTTTGGTGTAACAATATAGACTCATGTTCTTCTAGATTATATATATCATTTGCACTATATTTTTTTCCAATGATATCATTACTTTTTAAAATGGATAATATTTTGTGATTATTGTCTGTAAGTATAATATTTCCTGTAATATATAATTCAACAATTAAATGACAAGCTTTCTCATCAAATCCAAATTGGATATCAATAACTCTGTCTCCTCCAAGTTGGCTTATGTTAGTAATTTTGCGAGATCTTAAATGTTTCCTTAACTTCATAGTAAATGCAGATGGCATCACATCTTTCTCTCTTTTCCATTCTGTTATATGTATTCTCTTTTCTGCTTCTATCAAGAAAAAATACTTTTGCTCTTTTTTCGAACATTTCAAAATGTAAATTTTATTTGAAATATTATAAATATTCGTTACAACACATCCGACAATGATATTTTTGCATAAACTTACTATGGCGCGTATGTCGAGAGCTGTTAGCCTTTGCTTTGCCATTCTTTTTCTATGCTCCTCTAATATTCTGAATATGTGTATTTTCAATTCTAATAAAAAGGTATTGTCAACTCTTTTATCAAATATCTCAAACGATCACGAGAAATATATTTTACTGCCCATACGGGTTGAAAGAAGTCATTTCCACGATGCATATAAATTATATACACACAAATGTACATATATATATATATATATATATATATATATATATATATAACTATTTTTTTTTTTTTCGTTTATTTACAGTTGTATTTTTACTTTCACCTGTAGAAAAATATAATAAAAGGTTATAAGTATAACTCACGGAAAAGGTGGTGTATTAAAACATTTTAGTTTTTTTTTCCTTCTTTTCTTTTTTTATTTCTGAGTTGGTTATTTTGCTTTGTTCTTTCTTTCTTTCTTTGCTTTGCTTTACTATTTTGGTATTTTTTTATTTTTTTATTTTTTTATTTTTTTATTTTTTTATTCTTTAATTTTTTAATTTTTTTATTTTTTTATTTTTTTATTTTTTATTTTTACTTTTTATATTTTATTTTTTATATTTTATTTTATTATTATTTTTTTTTTCCCCCTTTTGTTCATTTTATTTCATCTAAAATTGCACGTAGCACTTGGTGTATATAATTTTAAAACACACACCAATTGTGATCGCAATTGTTTTTAATTCATATTTGCTCTTTTGTTTTAAACTTGATGGTCTATAATTTATACTTATGTATCACTTTTAATTTTCCACAACAATTCATATTCGTAAATGTAATAAAACTAGCGAAATGGTATGTAATTATTACAATTGTAAATATTGTACATTATATATATGTGCGTTCGCAGCAAAATTTGCATGTGTGTGAATATGTACATGAAGATAATTTTTCATTATGGTTACATGCTCAAATATAAGATTACGTATCAAAAAACACGCGTTTAAAAATAACAAAAAGAAACACAGCAAGTCAACATTTGCAAATAAAAATCCTAAATTTTCCTATCATACAAGCCATGTCATAATAAAATTATTGCTTCCAATTGTTAATGATAAATAAGAATAAAATAAAGATGTGTAAAATGTATGCATAACACGAATGATGTGAGAACTGTGTTTAATCATCAAAACATGGTGCACGATTAAATACAAATATACTGATGAACATTTGTTACACACCACACATTAACACATTTTATTGATATAAAGCAATAAATTTATGGCTTGTTGCTAATATATGATACACTGTAGCTACATATTTAGAATTATGCGCATTGAACAATCTTAAGAATTATTATTTGCTTATGATGAGGAAAAAAGTAAAATAAAATAAAAATAACAAATTGAATCATGTACACTTCCTTCTAAAAATAAAATGAAAGAAGTCTATAGCGTTCATAGCGCAAAAGGATGCTTATATTGTCTATTTTGTGCAGTGTTTTACAATGTAAATGTGTACTATTTTATTTATTCATTTATTTACCAGCTTTGATCTTTTTTATTTACCTCTAAAATGACTTGAAGAAAGGAAAAAAAAAAAAAAAAAAAAGGATTATGTACAAAAAAGGAAATTTTTTTTTATACAGCTTATTATACATACTTAGGATTAAACATGTTTAATGGCATTACAAGTTGAAGTTTAAGAGGAGGTATATATGTGTATCACGCGAATGTATCCTCTAACTACAACTTCTCTGTGTGTGTGTATTTGTCTATACGATGTTTTACATGTGGTCACTTGTGTTAGTGATTATTTAATAAATTATATGAAAAAAACACACTATAAGATTATCATCAAAAGTTTCATTTTGTCTCTATGTTTTTGAGTAAAATCAGGAGGAAGTAGTGGATGAGAAATATGTGTAGTTCAAAGGGAAGGATGTGTGAATGATGGACTTATGAGTTCTCAGTATAATACATGTTCTGTGTTCTTTTTTGATGTTATTTTTACTATTTTTCCCATCTTTAAGTTATGACTATGATTTAATCAAGGCAAATATTGTTTATATTATAGGAGTATAATTATGCATAACATGATAAAAAAGGCGTACAAAAAAAATGTTTATCAATTTTGTATTTAATTTTTCTTTTTCATTTTTTCTCAAGTAAAAAAAAACACAATCATATATGCAACATATGTATTTGACATTAAATTATTAAGATGAAAAGGTTTACGCATGAGGCATTTGTTTGTTTTGTTATTCTGTGCTTTACGACAAAATTTTTTTTCTTCTTTTCAGCATGAAAACAGGTTTTTTCTTTTTACTTGAAATTGTTTTGCATTAATATAGAAGACACAAATTTTTATACAATTTCTGTGTAACATTTAACCGTTTTTTTTTTTTTTTTTTTTTAAGCACAAAACAGGTACAATTATGTGGACAAAAATTTTGTTCCTTTTTTCAGGTGGGGGTAATTTTTATGGTTATTTTTTTAAAATTTAGAAGAACACATTTTTGAACTATGTAACATGATCAATTTTAGAAATGTGTTGGTTGCTTTGTTTTAGGAAAGTAAATTTATTAAATAAAAAAAAAGAAAAAAAAAAAAAAAAATATATTCCTGAACAGGGTTTTTCTATCTTAATGAAGAACTATGCAGGTGGACGAAAAAAAAAGACCTTTAAAATTTTTTAAGTGCAAAACTTGGTATAAAATAGAGTTTCATGCAAGTGTGATGTTTTAAACATACATACGATGCATGTAAATATATATATGTACATATATGTGTACGTTTGAACATGTGTTCATGCGACTCTCCTGTTAAGGTATTGTTATACTTTACGCTAACTGAAACAATGTTTTCCAGTAAAAAATGTTCATCATAGGTTTAAAAAACTGTTGACATATCCCATATTTAAGTAAAAACAAAATAAGATGCATATAGCACCTTTTGGAATTAATTTATTCCCTTTTATTATCGATTTTTTCTTCTTTATTTTTCATAATGGATTGAAAATATTAAGCAACATGTTTTAAGCATATTCTGCTCAGTTACAGAATGAGCACAAACAGTGCTGTTACATCATTGAGGGATCTGATTCTAAGACTAGGCAACATTGACTCCATTTTACTTATATAATTTCCTCCTATTTAAAAGAACAGAAGGCAAAAAATCATCATATAATCATAACCCATATATAAAAATGTATATTTTGTGCACGTAGTTGTACATATAGTTTTCTCCTTTGTAAAGGAAAACTTAATTTATTATTTCATTTTATTTATTTTTTTCCCAAGAAAAAGGAAAACGAGAACAGGTAGTTAAATGAACATAGTTATATATAAATTAGAAATATTCAAATGTAATTAACAAAAGTATACAACGCGTGCTGTTCAATTTTCCAAAATAAGCGCTCCAATATTTTGCAAAAAAAAAAAAAAAAAAAAAAAATTTGAAGCTAACGAGAAATTACTTAAGTCCATAATTATGCTAGTTAATTAAAAAACATTGGGAAATCATATTTTAAGTTTTAAAAACATCTTATTTTGAAGAATATGATGAGAACACAACGTTGGAATCATTTGCAAAAATAATGCGTTTTTTTTTACCTTTTTAACAAAGAATAATAAAATATGCCTCTATTGTCATGAATAAAAAAAAAAAAAAAAGCAATAGCATGGGTTTAAAACAAAATAACCAATTATCCAAAAAAAAAGAGGGGAAAAAATTACGAAATTTAAAAAAGGTTAAAAAGAACAGTGGTAAAAAATTGAAAAATGGATCAGTACTAAAAAAGAAGAAAACAGAGAAGGATAAATTAGATGAGTTGTACAAGTTAGAAATTCAAAACTACAAAAAAAAGGGAAAAGGCAAAAAATATTGTAATGGGAGTGAAGTGGATATAGACACGTCAGATGATGATTCTGATTTTTTAAATAACGAATACGATGATATAAAAGAAGTATCAAAACAAGTTAAAGAACAAGTTAGTTTATATAGATTTTTATTAAGAACAAGAATATTAACTCAAAAGGTTTTATGTTTATCGAATAAATTACCTCTTTTGTCATTCGTTTCGTATAAAGAAAAACTTTCAAATTGCGATAAAAATAGTAATGATGAAAATCTAAAAAATAATGTTAATGGCTCATTAAACGATGTACAGTTTAATGAAGAAAAACTAAGGGAAGATATTTGTGAATTACTAACCATATTGCATAATTTGTTGAAAAAGAAATTTATAAAATTAGATATTCCAATTAATAAAAATGCATACAATGAAATAAACATAATTTGTGATGAAGAAGATAAACCTTTTTTTGAAAATAGGACAAGGTTATATGAAAAAGAGACGACAGAAAGTGAACAGAAACTTTTTTCAGTAATTGATACATGGTTTAGATATTCAAAAAAAATGTGCCTAAACTTTTTTGACATTATTCATAAAATAACAAAAATAAGTTCAGTTAAAAGTTTAAAGACGTATGAACAATCGATATCTTCTCAAATCAATCAAGTCATGTTTGATCTACCCTCCTTAATTCAGAGTTCCTATCCCCAAACAATAAATTACAATGTTATAGGGAAAGGGTTGTATGAGCATTTTTATGAGGAAAAAGGGGATTTTAATTTGAACCAGTATATTTATGATGACGAGGTGTGAATGATATACAGCTGTTTTTATTAAGCATATATACATGCATATATGTGTAATGCATACATATAAATATAAAATGTGCATATGCGTTAGTTTATTTATATCCATATTCATTGCGTTATTATCGGCATGTGCCATTTGGTGATCTTAGAGAGCATTTATTCCATTTGTTATCCACTTTTGTATAGCCATATACACCACGTGCTAAGCTTCATAATTTATTACACCCATAAATTGATTTATAAAAAATCGATTTATCACCTCTGTAAAAGTTTTTATTCATTTGTTTGTTTTATTCCTCTATTTAGGTTTATTATAAAAAGTTTTTACTAAATGCTATCCAAATTTTGAAAGATAATCAGTAATTATGCAAAAATATTTTTACATGAAACATCGCACCTCACACCTGTGCTGTATTTCATATATACATAATTCCGGATAAATGTGTCCAAACACATATATATATGTGTACAATATAGTATATATATATATATAACGCATTTAAATACCCACTTTTGTCTACTTCGTTTTAATGCAGGGAAGACAGTGAATTGTTGAAATCACAGAGGGAAATTTACAAAATAAAAAAAAAATGTAACACTGGAAAAGAGGAAATTCAATTGTTGCCTTGTTTGCATTTCTTTTTTTTTTTTTTTTTTTTTTTTTTTTTTTTTTTTTTTTGCACCCCTTTTTTATAATCTTATACAATTAAATATAGTATATTTTATTTTCTCCCATTTTCAGATGATAACAAGCATGTGAATAAAGGAAAAATCACATCGTTTGATCCAAATCCCAAATTAGTGAATTTTATGGTTTGGAAAATAAGCGAAAGCAACAGCACAAAATTTTTAATTAATTGATATCATATATGAAATGTTTAAAATAATTGCCTTTTAATTCCAATGTATTCAACTTATGTTCATATTTACAAGGGCATGCTCTTACATTTTGCTGTGAAAAATGTTCACGTTTGTTCATGTTTACTACACTTTTACTACATTTTTAATATATCTGCGCCTTTTTTTTTTTTTTTATCATAATCAATCGCAGCTGCCGGAACCAAGGGATAACAGAATTGAAAGCTTATACGATTACATGGAAAACCCTGAACTTGTTGACGTCCTTTTATCATCTTTGTTTCAAAATTAAATTTCTTTTTCACTTTTTATTATTTTTTTTCAATTTCGTAAAATATTTTAAATACACGTTTGTTTTGGTACATTATTTTCATGTGCTCAAATTTTTCATTAAAAAATTTCTCGTTTTTTTTTTTTTTTTTATTTTAAATTTAAAAATGAACAAGAAGAGAAATTCCTCCTCTTCCCCTTGTGGTTTTATTTGAATTAACCCTCCACTGAGTTATGTAAAAGAAAGGAAAATTTTCCTTGCTACAAAATTTATGTAAATTTGCCATCGTTAATGCTATATAGTAGTTGTAGTAGTAGTATCAGCAGTCGTAGTAGTAGTTGGGATGTATAAACATATGCACAAAAAATATACTGTTTTGCATGCGTATGCCAATTAAAAGAGTTTGAAAAAAAATCAGAGAATTTTTTCAAAATTGCTTCTTTCCATGTAAATACAAAAAAAACTAACACGTGTACATATGTGTGTATATTTATATATGCACACATATTACATCGTTTAGGTCGCGAATATTTTTTTTACAATTCAAATTCCAAAGGGAAAAGTGACAAAAGATGCAGAAAGAAATGAAGCAACTGGATTATTACAAAATAATAGTTAAAACTCAATCAGAGGATGTGCAAAAGTACATTCCTCTATGCTTAGAACGGATGAAAGTAGTAAACTGCAATTCAGTAGAAAACATTACTGCTTTTTCGTTATATGTTTATATATCATTGTTCAGTTAATATAATATATACTGTTATATATATTTGTGAATATCTACCATTTCAAACTAACAGTTAATTGTGTAATAAACATATTCTGTTGATCACCATATGACCTACTTGGCGCATTTTTTTTTTTCTACAAGGGAAAAGTGAAAATCGTAGGAAGGCAACATGGAATTATCAAAGCGCTTACTCTACTGGAACTTTTAAAAAAAGAAGGCACGAAAATGAATCATAATATACAATATGAGAACTTAAAAGTAATGAATAGAGAAAATGGGAGATTTGACGATGCAGCAAAATCATTGCAGGATATGCATATGTGTGTATCTTTGCGTGCCCAAATATGTATATATATATATATATATATATATATATATATATATATATATACGTATACACCTTCAAATGTGTACAACTTTTGACACGTCTCCTTCAGGCCACAGGATCTGATAGACGAAAGAATCTCGAAGTTAGCATATTACTATCTTTGGAAAATTAATCCTACTGTTTAGAAGCTTCTATTGCTTATAGAATTCAATTATTTAGCAACGTCTACTGTTTTACCTTGTTTTGTGCTACTCATTTTTTTACCTGAACTTTTCTCCTTTTTAGTATAAATTATTTATCACTTTTTAAAACAGATAATTTTCACATTAACGTGGAAAGACATAACAGTTAAAAATTTCACAATCGTTATTAACATTTTTGTAAATTAACAAGTATTATTTTTCACACTTAAAAGTAGGAATTATCTTGTTAGCTAACTTTTTTTTTTTTTTTTTTTTTTTTTTAAACCCAATAAAATTTTGCCCCTTTTTTGTGCGTTATTTTTCCTTTTTTTTAATTTCCTCAAAAGTTGTTTAAATTAAAGAAAAAGTCTTAATTTAGTAGTGTGTTTAAATAATATTTCTCATCTTTTTCATAAATTTATATTTTTAAAAAGCTAAAAGAATTGTAAAAAAGGTTTTCCTTTTATTTTATTTTTTTTTTGTAAAAAGTATATGTAACAAACGTGAATATTTTTTTCGCATATCTCATTAGAAAACTTTGGACGGTGTTAAATTAAGCACAATAAATGTTATGTATGTGTGTAATGGAACGTGTTGCTTTATAACCTATGAATAGCAACGAGTGACAAAATTTCCTATATACATATGTATGAATAACATTTTTTGCATTCTTATATAGTGTACGAATTTACCAAAGTTCTCTATACATATCTTTGTTGTGCTTTCAAGCAAGTCTACATGCAAAAGTAAGATAAATTTATGTCGCTTTTGTCGTTTTCTAGAATTTTCATACTTTTCTCCATCCACTTCTCCGGGTCATCTGTTAAGTTCTATTAACTAATTTTTGCAAAAGGAGAGATACCTTTTAGTAGGTATATATTATGGGATTTTCTATAAGCGTAACATATTATGTTGAGGAAAAATAAAAATAAAAAAAAAAAATAATAACCCTTATTTTGCTTCTCTTTTTCGCCTTAAGGCACTTAAGTATGCTATAAAAAAGTACCTCAAAAAGGTACCCTAACCTTAAGCACACAGAATCGAAATTGTAAAAATGTCGTAATGGTGCAAAAAAGATTTTTATTTTTAACGCTATGCTTAATTTAATAAGTTTGATGTGTGTGCTAAAAAGTTGTGCATGTAACATGTATCTTATAATATTTTTAAAATAAAAAAAAAAAAAAAAAAAAAAATTGTAACGCTATACACACGAAATTATATTATATAAAATGAATGAATGAATGAATGAATGAATAAATAAATAAATAAATAAATAAATAAATAAACCTAAAAATATGGTATATCTGTTTATTTATTTTTATATATATTGAACATTTATAAAAAAAAAAAAAAAAAGTAAAATAAAATAACTTTTGAAAATTTTAAAACGTTATCCTTAAATATAACTTTAAAAAAAAAAATATTATTATTAAAATGATAAAAGGTGTTGTGTTTCATTTTTTAATGTTTTATTTTTAAAAAAAAATATACATCATGTTGCTTTTTTTTATTTTATTTTTTTTTTATTTATTTATTTTATTTTATTATTTTTTTTTTTTTGTTGTTTTTGTTTATTATAATTTATCAATATATGTTTAAACTTTTCGTACACTTTTATAAGTGCTGGTAAGTTTCTATCAACTATTAACTGCTAAGAATGCAAGTTAACATCAATAAAAATGATTACCTCTATATATCTGTAAGTTAATATGAAAGTGTTGTATAATTGTATGTTGTGTAATGTGATTTTATTTTGACTCTGCGCCAACAAGAAACTGTATCTTCATACATGTTCAAACGTCAGAATGCCTGTTCGTACATTTTATATATAGTACGCTTATTTGTGTAACTTTATAAACTTGTTAAAGATCACATTTTGGTTGATCTTCGCAAAAATAAAAACGTATGCACTCGTATAATAAAAGGTGCGTCTTCTCTGCAATTCAGCATATGTCGTAAATTCGCCCCTTCACATGCTATACATATTCACACACATACATATGTATATATATATATATATATATATATATATATATATATATATATGCATATTGTGTGTATACACAAATGTATACAAATATGCCAATTCGTTTATACATTTGTATGTTTAAAGTTTTCCCTTATGCGGAGGATCCAGCGTTATGGATTATGCTTTTATTTTTGTTTTGGCATATTCCACCTTTTCCCGTTCATATCTCAGTTTGTCCTCTTGTGCTTTTTTTTCATAAGGTGCCTTTTCCCTTTCGTCCAGTTTATTCCATGCTTCTCCAATCATTTTACCAACAGTAGCAACATCTTTACTTAATTCAGGGTCTCGAGTTATAATTTCAGCTCTTTTTTCCTTTGCAAAAAACATGTATGCAGATAATGATCTCTTTGGTGCCAGAGGGTCCTTTTTGTTCTTTCTTCTTTTTCGGACTTCCTTTCCTCCCATATTTTTCATTCCGTTAAATTTTTTCATGGGATCCATTATTTTTATGTGTTTTTTTTTTTTTTTTTTTTTCAAAAATGTTGTAATATGTGTAATTAAAAATTTCTTACTTTTGATACTCTTACAAGTGATATATACGTAAGTATACGGATTGTATATATATGTATGTTTATGTGTATGTATACCCCCTTGTGAAATACGTTAGGCTTAATTGCCACACTTTAAGGCTTAAAATTATTTAAAAGGGAAACACGAATTTTGGAAATTTATGCACGAGCAAAGTTACATATGGTGTATAATGCCTCACGATGGATAATAATTTATCGAAGCATGTGATACGTAAGTATTGTATATAAATGTTTTATAAGAAAAATAAAAATATATACATATATGTATTTACAGTATAAACTTTTCACTATGATAATACATTACTACAGGATACAGTGTGTACATGTGGGAATATTGTATTTACGTGTGTGTGTTAATGTATAATTAAATAATGTGTATAAATGCGCCCATACGCGTATAATGTTTATACACTGTATACGAAAATGTAAACTGTGTAAAAAGGAAAATGTACGAGTTTGTATTCGTGTGTGTATCTTTGTGCTTGCTTTTATTGAAAGAAATACTGAATGCTGAAATTCTTATGGTGTACGGATAAAAAGTGTGTAATGTAAATTTAAAAGAATTAAGCAAAAAATGTTTTACATGTATGTAAAATGGGAATATACTCAAATAGTTTTAAATCTATTGGTGAATACGTCAGTATAGTATATGTATAAAAAGATACATATATATATATATATATATACATATACGTATATAAAACGTTTTACCTTTCAAATAATGTATTAACACATATATAAGTTTCATAAATATTAAGCATATTGGGATGAATGCTGGGGGGGGAAGGAAAATATACGTTTTATTATAAAATTCTTATATAATAAAAGGTTCTTAAATATTTTTCATAAAAGCGAATAATAATTCAATAGCAAAATAAAAAAAAAAAAAAAAAAAAAAGAGAGAATACTTTTTACTATATCTTGGAAAGTAAAATATTCTTATATATAATTCTTAAATTTAAATGTTTATAAATTTTTTTTAAATTTACGCCTTTATTTTTTCTGATTATTTTTTTTTTTTTTTAAGAAATACGCTATATCCTCTTGCAGTAAAGCAATAAAATTATTCATGACAATAATATTTGAACATTGGGGAAGTATGAATCACGTGCATTTGTTTATTTACGTTTTAAAAAAAAAAAAAAAAAAAGCACAAAAATATAATGAAAAATAAGAATATATATATATATATTAAATAATAAATAAATATATATATGGAACTTGTGCGTAAATGTAAAGGGGCACAAAAATCATATATACATGAAATGTAAATATAAACATATATATGAATATCGTATGGATCATTTCCTTAATCGTACATATATATTGATTGCGAAGTGGTATATATATAATTTATTTACCGAATCATATAGTTAATTTGATATTATTGCTCAAAGTATAAGTGAACAAAGAACACTAATAATTTTAAAGCATTTAAAATGAAACGAGATTGCTATATAATGATGAATTTATATATTATATATAATTTATTTATATATAAAGTTTATATATATGCATAAGAAAATGATATAATTCAAAACTTTTAAAAAAAAAAAAAAAGGAGAGATAATAAAAAAAGAGCTCATATTCTTTGCACTTTTAATTTGCGTTCAAAATTTATTGCGAGAAAAAGGGAGCAAAAAAATTCGCATACACGTGTGTAATTATATATATATTTTAATTAATATATATATGTAATGTAAAATATATGTATATTTGTATCCTTCTTATTTATTTGTATGTACCTCTATTTATTCGTATACTTCTTATTTATTTGTATATACCTCTATTTATTTGCATATACCTCTATTTATTTGTATACTTCTTATTTATATACATATGAATAATATATATTTTTTTTTATCATTATAGCTGCGTCCAGTTAAAAAACATGGAGTGCTTTTGTGAGTTTCACGTATTTATTAGTGCATATATTCGCATTATGCGCTTACAGTTACTGTTTATATAAATATTTTGCTATAATATATTATGTATATATATTTATTTATGGCATTGTTTTACTATATATAATATATATATATATATATATATAATACATACATAATTAATATTTTTGGCCCATTGCCCTTTTTTTTTTTTTTCCATGCTTCTAGCGTTTATACCTTTGAATATATATATATAATATTATATATTACGGTTTAATCCCTGTTAAATTGCCATGTACATGCAATTATTTTTTACTCCCAAAAAAGAATTAAATAAATTCTGCTCCGAATAAAAGCGTAAATGTTTTTTTAAAGCTTCTTATTTGAAGTGGGGACATAATATGTATAACAGGAATTTACGTAAATAAAATATAAAAAAGGTATAGCTTTATATTTATTGAACTTTTTTTTTTTTTTTTTCTTGTTACTTTTTTATCCATCTTTTTTTGCCACTTCGCATTCGGCTTGTATCATTTTCCCCCCCTGGTTCTTACGGATCATGCTGTAAGTTTATATATTCTTATGCACGCAATATATTATCTTTTCCCATTTAATTTTTTACATTCACGCATTAACATTTGATCATATATATTTTATGCTCGGAGGTGAATTGAGGAGTCTCATTCTTCTAAATTTCTCAATATTTGTTACAATTGGGGGAATCAGGAAAGGGATGCATTTTGTGCCTGTTCTGCATATATATATATTTAGTGGTCAAATAGGGCTATCAGCTGATTATTCGTAAATTCGTAAATGCTTTAGTTCTTTAATGCATGAATTCGTAAATGCATGAATTCGTAAATGCATGAATTCGTAAATGCATGAATTCACAAATGCCAGAATTCACAAATGCATGATTTTCGCGAATGCATTAATACATACATATACGCAAGTGGGCCAGCTTGACAAAGCAAAGCAGAAAGATTTCAGAAAAAGAACATGTATGTAATAAGACCAAATTTAACCACACATTTGTTCTTCAACCAATGTGCTTGAACAGTTCATTTGAAAACGTGTAAAAGGTTGGTTATTTTTTTCATTCCTGCAAAGGGGGGGGGGGGGAAGTATCACAACTGGAAATATATATTTTTCTCTGTTACATATATATATACGTACATAAATACATACGAATATCCCATGGGGCCATATTTTATATGTACATTATAATGTATACATTTCTTTGCCAATGTTTACGGATCTATGTTTTTAAGAAAGTTTCAACACTTCTTAGCTGAATAACGATTTTTATTTTTCTGCATCATTTAATGATCAATAATGGTGTGAAGGTATGAATTCGTACGTAATATAGGAAAACTTTTCTCCCCCATTTTAACCTTCCTCCAGGTTATATATTTTATTCCTCTTCAGAATTACAACATAATGCTATACATGCACACCTCCATTTGGTAAATTTTGTTATGGAGAAATTTTGTTAATTATTATATTTTAAATATAGGTACAAACAGACGGAAATTATTATTTACATTATTTACATTATTCACCCTACTTATACTATTTTTTGTTTATTTATTTATTTTATTATTATCCCCCCCCCCCATCCCCTGTTTTATTTTCCTGTCAAGGATGTTATAAAATTGTAATAAATGTTCCCACATTATATCCCGCATAACAAAATGATACATTGAGAATAAAGAAAAAAAAAAAAAAAAAAATAGAACAAATATAAAATATGCCTGTTACACATATCCCTTCTTAGTATATACACTTTTGGGAAAAGGAAGAATGCTTATTTATTTTTATGACAATCATGTGACAATATATGATACACAATTAGCAAACTATTTAATGCATAGAACTATTCTTTACAAAACAGGGATTATTGATAATGTTTTTTTATTAAGGCTTTTTCTATAAGTTCTATGTTTTGTATTGTTCTGTTCTTTTGGCATCTGGAGGAATGAATTGAGCACCCAAATTAACCATCGCAGTAGTAAGAAGCTGTCAAATTAACACCATATATTAACAGAAAAATGAGAAAAAATTAAGAAACAAATTGAATAATTGACCAGTAGTAGCAGTGACAGAAATCTTTAACGAATATCAACATAATTTCATTCACATATCACTCATATTCTGCGATACATTTCGAAAGAAATAGCTTAAGTGAGGGAATCAAATATTTTTTATATTTTTCTGCCCATTTTTTATTATAAAAATGATACCTTTAGTCATTCTTTTTTTTTTTTTTTTTTTTTTTTTTTTTATTTCTCCCCTTTTTTTTATTGTCCTTTTTTACATAAAATCTTGCAATAAAAATAAAATATTTGTTCTTTACACATGTATGTTACTTTTATACAACTCTTTCCGTATATACACATTTTTACCTTTATTGTTGCATATTTAGCACATTGTGTTGTTACTTTATTTAGGATAAAAAATATAATAAATTTGGGGAAAGCCAAGAATTATAAAATTCTCCCACTTTTCTTTGCATTTATCTCGTATGTCTTACTTAAACATGTATACAATTATACAAAACCATGCTTCAATGAATTTGTGCAGGGGGGTATATCATCACATTTGTGCTACACATGCTGAATTAAGAGGTTGGATATATTGGGTAATGTTTATACTGCAATCATTTGTGAAATCGTGGTACTTCTGACATAACCTATGAGACCCTAATCGTGCTTCATATACTATGCTTTTGAGAATCCAAGCCCCTTTTGTCTTTTTATTCTTTTTTTTACTTGAGATGCTCAAAATGTATAGCAGTGTATGAGGTAAAAAAAAAAAAAAATGGCAAAGAAGGAATTATTTAGATGTGTAAATTTTTGATAATCAAAACAATTTCAAAGGTAAATTTACGAAAAACAGAAGAAAAAAAATAAAATCAAAAAAGCTAATTTGGGGGTATGTAAACGAGTTAAGGGGAATTTTACCGGCTTCTGCTGGTGTCCCATATAGACATTTTTAGCACCAAAATTATTGTATCAAAAAAAAGAAAAAAAAGAAAAAAGTCTTTACTTTTATATTATTCATGTAAATTTACACAATAAATGCAAGAAAATTTTGCATCAAAAATGAAAAGAAAAAGCAACAATACGTACAATTACCCATATAACATTCACAAAAAGGGTGTGTAGTTCCTTTACGCATGCGAATGATGTATTCACGGTTCAAAAAAAACATTCAATGAAACACAAAACGGGGCGAAAAAAATAAAATCTGTAAAAAGGACAAACTTCACAAAAAATCAAGGAACATTTTTTACTACTCATTTTTGTGCAATACTGACACAATAATACTAAAGACATTATTGCAAATTCACAAGGTGTCTTTTTGGCCATCGAATCGAATTCGAACACATTCTCAGCATGAAGAGGAAATTGCTAGAGGGCGAATATTTTTCAGTTCATTTTTTTTTAGTTCACAAAAGTAGGGACAAAAAAAAAAGGGTAAAAAATATGGCAAATAAATGTGTAAAAAAAAAAAAAAAAAAAAAAAATGTGTAGAAGAAAAGGAAAAGGTATTCATATCATACTAAAATAAACAGTAACAAAATAAACTATTCACACACTTTTATGTGTTTTCTAAGGTACCTTGAAGTTATGAAGAAATGACAACACCAGGCCATATTCCACTAATGCATAAAGAAAAAAGAAAGAAAAAAAAAGAAAGAAAAAAAAAGAAAGAAAAAAAAAGAAAGAAAAAAAAAGAAAGAAAAAAAAAGAAAGAAAAAAAAGAAAGAAAAAAAAGAAAGAAAAAAAAGAAAGGAAAAAAACATAATATCACACATTCATAATGATTTCACATCTATGTATTTTTTTCATTCCGTGTGATTTTATTTTTGTTTAAATTTTTTTTTTTTTTTTTTTTTTTGCTATTTCAGTCTTTAACGCTCTTTTTACGCATATACAAATGATAAGAAAAATTTACAAAGAGTTTAATACCTGTCTATGGAACAGCCAATACACGTTTCATTCCACATTGAATTGAAAAAGATACATAATCTTTTGCGAGAAAGAAAAAAAAAAAAAAATTCCAAACTGATAAAATTGAAAACTTGAAAAAATACAAAATGACACAATTATATATCAACCCTGCTCATTATACCAAAAAAAAAAAAAAAAAAAAAAAAAAAAAAAATGGCTCCATCAAACAATGGAATCTATTCCGAAAGATAAATCCACAAAAAACAGTATGCTACAACTTTAAAAGAGACGTATTTATACCCATGGGAATGTTTTTCATTTTCAAAACCTAATTTAATCGATCTTGCAAATTCACACACACACAATTATTGTTATTTCCCGCCTAATTTTCCACAAATCTACATCTGACATGAAAATGTGTGACAAGAACGGACTAAATCGACAGCTTATAAAATCGAAAAACAGAGGAGAAATAAAATAAGGCAAAATGTTAAAAAAGTAAAGAAGTAAGACTTTTCAAATATTTTTCCAAAAAAGGCTTATCAAAATAATACATCTTCAATGCATCTTTTTTTAAAAATAAAAAAAAAAAAAAAAAAAAAAAAAAAAAAACTTTTAAAAAAAAAAAAATTTTGCGAATGTTTTTTTTTTTTTTTAAAAAAAAAAAAAAAAAAAAAAAAAATGACTTCAAAACATTTTTTTCAAAATTTTCATATGAATGATAGTGAAATTTTGAGTCCAACTAAAAAGGGGATAAAGTTAGATGTGAGCAAATTAAACATTTTAAATTTTCCTAACACACCAAAAAAAAAAGAACAAAAAAAAAATGAAAATTATATGCTGGATTATAAAAAAATCCCAAAAAATACACATGACTTTTATTTTGAATTAAATCAAATAAATCAAGTAAATCAAACTGTTAAGAAAACCACAAATCGAGCTCACACTAGCAGCAAAGAAAAAAATAGGAAAGAAAAATACGACTTTGACAAATCTTCTTCTTCCCTATTTTCTTCCTCTGTCACATCATATACATGCTCTTCAGATAGTAATTCGTCAGCATATATTTCGCATGCTTTGCAAACTTTGCACACATCGTGTACGTCGTCTACCTCATCATTGCAAAACCTAGGACAAAAGAAAAAGCATAACAAACGAAAGAGTCACAGTAAAAATTATGAACACATGAGGCGATCCCCACGAAATTTGAACCCAAATAAAACCGGTGCAGAAAATTATGTTAAAAAACAGAAAGATGCAGAGGCAGGAAGAGAAAACAAAAGGTATTCCGAAAGGAGAGGGCCAGACAAAGTACATGATGAGGCTCGAGTCCTGAGATCGGCCTCAAGGAGCAAACCTCATAGTAAACCTGATAGAAAAAGTGGTGGAAAACCTCATAGCAAACCTGATAGCAAAAGTGGTGGAAAAGCGAATAGAAAATCGATTAGTAAACACAATAGTCTAAAGCCGAGTAGGAAGCAAAGCATAAAGAAAGACCACAAAAAAGTAATCAGTGCAACACGGTCTAGTGTTCTGTTGAAGAGAAAAAGCGAATGCCTCACGAAAGATTCGTACATGTATAGCAACCTTGTGAAAAGGGCAAAAACGGGAAGAGTTTTGAACACTACAGACACTAGATGTGGAAGCAGCATTACGAAGGAAAGCACCCAAGTAGGTAGCGAAATAAGCAGCCAAGTAAGCAGCGAAGAGGGAAGCGAAGAAGACTACCAATTGAGCAGCGAAGAAGACAGCCAAGTGAGCAGCGATGGTAGCTTTGAAAGCAGCAACCAAGGGAAAATCAGCCGCTCCACTAGAAGCAACAAATTGACCAAGAAAAATGAGAAAACTCACCAGAACGCACAACATCTAGCTAAACAGATAACAACAGTGAACAAACGAAGCAGCATGCTTCCCATGAATCAGCAAAAAAACAAAAGTGTGAATGAATCTAAGGAACAGAACAAAGAATTCACAAATGAGGAAGTGGCAAAACTAACAAAAAATACATCTATAATAGAAGTAGACACAAACTGCTGCCAGTATGAAGACGGGATCATATATGAAAGTGTGCTTATAAACAAAGTGAAGTATTGTATAGGAGACAATGTCATGGTTTTTTATGCCAACAATGAGGATATCAATGAGAAAGGTAGTTCAAAACGACTGAGCAAGCATAAAAAACAGACGAAGACATATAAACTGAGAAAAGGAAAAATCTCAAGCTTTTATCAAAACACTAAGGGAAATAATATGCAAGTAGAAATATGCATATACTTTGATCAAACTGATGAATCCTATATAAAAGAACTAGCTGAAAAACAGAAATCAAGACGTTCTAAGGCAGATTTTGAAAATTTTTTGGATGAAAAAACAAAGAATTTTTATTTACTGGGAAATATTGAATTTAAAATATTAGATGCAAAAATGATTTTAAAAAAGATACACGTAGTACATAATGAGGAAGAATTATTTGATAAAGACAAAATATCCAAACCAGGGAAAGACAAATTTTTGTGCACTCATTATTTAAAAGAAAGAGAAGAAAGAATATGTGAAGTGCAAAATGATGAACATTGGGAAAATTTAGTACTAGGTTCAAGTGACCTATATTATTGCTTTTCCAATAACAAAAAAAGTAGCAAAAATAAATCTTTAAAATTGATTATAGATAAATTAAAAGTAAACGAAATGGTAGATTCTGCATCTAAAAGGGAAGGTTCTTCTACTTCCTCTCCAGCGAAAAATCAAAAGTCTAGCACCACAACTCATTCCAAGAGCAAAGAGTCAAGTGTCAATACTATAATGACGAAAAATAAAGCCAAAACAACCACCAATGGAGAAAGTATATCCAAGAAGGGCGCAGCAAACAATTTTAATGTAGATATAAAACATTTCATAAAACAAGACCAAGAGAATTATTACGTAAACTTGTTAAGGAATATAACAGATCCCACAGATAAGGCAATTCGAATGATGCAGCTAGATGTAGTTCCTAAATATCTTCCATGTAGAGAAAAAGAAATAAAAGAAGTACATGGGTTCTTAGAATCTGGTATTAAACAATCAGGCAGTAATCAAATTTTATACATTAGTGGAATGCCAGGAACAGGAAAAACAGCCACTGTATATAGTGTGATTCAATTGTTACAATACAAAAGTAAACAAAAATTAATACCAGAATTTAATGTTTTCGAAATCAATGGGATGAATGTTGTACATCCGAATGCAGCATATCAAGTGTTTTATAAACAAGTTTTTAATAAAAAACCACCTAATGCTTTAAATTCATTTAAAATACTTGACAGATTATTTAATCAAAATAAGAAAGATAGTAGAAAAGTGTCCATATTAATAATCGACGAAATTGATTATTTGATTACCAGAACTCAGAAAGTCCTTTTTACTCTTTTTGATTGGCCAACAAAGGTAAATAGCAAATTAGTTCTTGTAGCTATTTCAAATACTATGGATTTACCTGAACGCTTAATACCTAGATGTAGATCCCGTCTAGCTTTTGGACGTTTAGTTTTCAGCCCATATAAAGGAGATGAAATTGAAAAAATAATAAAAGAAAGATTAGAAAATTGTAAAGAAATAATTGATCATACAGCTATACAGTTATGTGCAAGGAAAGTTGCAAATGTATCTGGAGATATTAGAAAAGCTTTACAAATATGTAGAAAAGCATTTGAAAATAAAAGAGGACAAAAAATTGTACCAAGAGATATAACAGAAGCAACTAATCAATTATTTGATTCCCCATTGACTAACGCAATCAATTATTTACCTTGGCCATTTAAAATGTTTCTTACATGTGTCATAGTAGAGTTACGTATGCTGAATGAGTTTATTATACCTTATAAAAAAGTCCTCAACAGATACAAAGTATTAGTTGAAACAAGCGGAAGGTGCATAGGTATGTGTAGTAATTCTGAGTTATTTAAAATTATGCTAGACAAACTAGTCAAAATGGGGATTCTGCTTATTCGACCATATATACCTCTTGAAAAATTAGCAAAAAATAAAAATAAAGAAATGCTTTTAGGCTTCAACGAATCATCCAAAAAAAATTCTGCAGATAATAAATCCACCAAAACACAAGTTAGCGCTGAAATTGACAAAGAATCAGGGGACATGGGCATAGAACTCAATGTCGAAACGCAATTAATAATTACTGCGCTTATGAAGGATTCAGAGTGTTCTCAGAAGCTCAACTTTTACTAACGTATTGCCTCTCAACTGGCCTTGTCAAGTCCTGATCGTTCCCAGTTTCTTTTGTTTCTCAGTCTACATACGTACAAACATATATATATATATGCATGCGTGTGTGGGTTATTTTTCTTTTTTTTTGAAGTCCTATAAAACACAAGGTCCGGCGGTGCGTCTTTTCGGACTCCCCAATGCATTCTCGAAACTACTAATTGTTGTCTGTTAATATGGCATATAGTTTATGCACTTTTACCTTTTCTCTTTCTCTCGTTTTTTAAACCATTTTTTCGTACTGCATCTGCTAATTTATCATTTTAGGTGATTTCTGTAATTTGATGCTGCTACCAATTTGATGCAGCTACCCAATTTGGAACAAGTTAGAAGCCAATATACACAGTCCATCACATGTGCATTAAACGGAACAAGGGTCCTCTGACAATCACGTAGGAATTCCATCGGAGTGTCCAAAGTTGAAGTGATATCCTGTTTCTACAATCCCTGTAACCCATGGAGACCACATGCAGCAGAATGTTCGCATGTATCATTTTTATTCTATTTTATTCTATTCTATTTTGTTTTTTAAATTTAAAAAGTCGTTTACGATATGAATTTGTCAACTCGTGAAAGTGTTTTTTTTTTTTTTTTACAAACAAAAGAAAACAAATAGACTCATTAGATTGGGATGTGGCACATATGGAGAAGTACATGTATCAACCACTTGGTATAGCTCATGTCATATACAATTCAAAGGTGCATCTACTCATGCGATATATATGTTTGTTGTGCAGAATTTCCATATTGAAAAAACATCGAAGTTTTCTACTTTTATTTCACCCCTTTTCTTTGCTTTTTCTTCTTCTTAACATAATCGATTATTTTTTTAACCGAATGTGTATTTTCGTCTGACTCTTCACTACTTTCCATTATTCGTTTCTTCTTGACCTGAAAAAAAAAAAAAAAGGAAATAGAAAAAGAGATGCAGTAAGGTTAACACATACGAAAGGGAGATATATACTACATTTTTTTTTTTTTTTTTAAGAACATAACGAGATGATAAACACCGTTTGGACATTCAAAATATGCATTCATATAATATGGATATGTACATGACACCTTAACAAATGTGTCGAAATTCCATTATATAGGATCATATCTAGCCATGTATGTAAATATTTTTTGGTGATGTCTTTGGTTAGGATGTCCAAAGAACGAAAAAAAAAAATGCAATAACAACACATATTCATTTTTTCGTTTTATTTTAACAGCTATTTTGTTTACAAGATTGGCTGTAAGGGCTCAAATTTTACTGCCCTGGCTTTTATAGCGTTTTCAGAATAACTTACATTCAAATTAGTGAAAACATTACTGTTGATGTTATCAAATTTTCCCATCTTTTTTATCTTCTTGTCATTAATCATATTTTTTTTAAAAATAAAATCTTTTAGGTTGTCCATCACACCGTTATTCTGTCCTTTTTTTGTCTCATTCATTGTGCTACTTCTCGAATTTGTAATTTCATTTTTTTTTAGTTTTACGTCACACTTTATATTTTTCCTAGCCTTTAAATTTTGAAGAGGGCACTGAACCTTTGTGTTGTCATTTTCTTCCTCTTCTTCATCTTCCTCGTCTTGATCAATATATTGATCATATTTGCTGCATTCCTTATAATTCACACTAATCTTACTAATGAGCTTATCAACATCTTTTTCATCCGTAAACTGGACGTCATTTATATGCATTGAGCATTCTTCTTTAAATACTCGGGATGTGTCCATATTTTATAATTCGTATCAAATTGTGCATATATATATATATATGTACATATGTGTGCCAACACAAATAGAAAACTATACTATATCTCCCACCCCACCATAAAGAACTAGTTGATATAGGTGGGAGGACATCTATGCGAACATATGTAGTTTCGAATGTACAGACGCATTAACTGTAGCACATAAGTGGATCATGTAAAACCTGTTATCACTGCATGTCCATTAAGGATGTCCTTAAACGTGCAGTGCTGAGATTGAAAATTGTTTTTTATTTCACCTCCATCTGAGGATGACCTCATGAAGTTGTTTCACACTCGAGTGGTTAACATGTAAGTACAAACATGTGTGAGTGCACTTCATATTAGAAAATACTTGTTATGACAGTAGATACTCTGTTTTTCTTTTTTTTTTTTTCCCTTTTGCCCACCTACTTATGGAGCCATTTTGTGTAGGGATATTTTTTTTTTTTATTTTTTTAACAACTTTCACTAATAATAGGCAGGTCATTCTTTTTTTTTTTTTGTTCCATATTTTTCGTTTCTATTTATTAAGCACTAAATTACGTAGTAAAATGCATACGTGCAAACATACATATGCATATTTATGTGCATATAAATATATACATATATATATTTTTTTTTCTTTTTTCCCCCCAATAAAATGAAATAAGAAACGGTAGGCTAAATTGAGATTTTATTCTATGCGTGTTTACTTATTTTGTTTCACTTCATTTTTTATTTCATTTTATTTATTAATTTTTTTCTTTTTTGCAAAATAGTCCCATCTATATTTAGGTATACTTAAGCAGCCATATTGCAATTTCGATATAATTTCTGTACCCTCTCCCTCCCACCTGTAACACACGCTTTTGAATAAAAATTCCTTGTATAACAATAATACACATTGCGTAAAAATAACAAAAAAATTTTATTGTTAAGTTTGGTCTATCATTTAATATTTATAAAAGCTGTTCCTATTCGCTGATTTTACCTTAACACATTAAAAGTTGTATATTAAAGAATAAGAATTTTTTTTTTTTTTTTTTTCTGCCCTCTCTCCCACCCACCCCCTCCTTCCTCTTCTTCAATTTTTAAAATAAAAACATTAGAGCTTAACCTTATACAATCCGAAAAAGAGTAGAAAAAGTGGAATGACAAAAGACGTAACAAAAGAATAGTAAAATTAAAGAAAAATTGAAATGGTCCTACTAAGCAACAGTGCGTTTATTGAACAGTTGAATAAACTATGTGGAGAAGAATATGAGAAAAAAAAAACATCCATTTGGATTACCATGAAAAAAGGTAAGTATATGGACAGAGCAATAACTTATCCCCCATTGATACAAATTTATATAATATATATCCAAATATACATTATTCTTAGCGTCATAGTTGTATACCTTTTGAATAAAGATAATGTATTCACGTATGTACATGTGCATATAAACATTCTGCAAAACATTGAGTGTAAAAAAAAAAAAAAAAAAAAAAAAGAGTAGTAAATGAATAATACATATGATTTAATTTGCCTTTTCATTTTCCCCACATTTCACAACCTAGTCAAACGAAGCATCGTGAAAAATATCATCCCAAGAAAGGAAAACTCAGAAAAGAAAAACAAAAGGACAAATAAAGATGACAATAAATGTAATAAGAAATATGTATGTTTGGTTAGAGCAACTGATGGCAAAAAAAAAATTTCAACGCATGTATATGATAATGTTATTAATTTTTCGCATGAATTAAACAACATCATGAAGATTTAACATACTTTATTATCCATTTTTATTTGTCTATAAATTAAACTGGGAAAAAATCACATTTATAGCGAAATGGTACTAATGTTGTATATTAGCATCATTATACCATAAGAACTTAACATCGTGGAAGCGTTTAAAACATGAAGCATTTTTGTTGTGTCATCATAAAAACACATTTGTTGTTATATATGAAGGGACCGAATGATGTGCCAAGGGTGTGTGTGCAAATATTCCCTTTTTGAACTGATATAATTGACAGACAATAATTGAAAAAAAAAAAAAAAAAAAAAAAAAAAAAACCTATCCCTCGAACGTGGGCGAATAAATTGAGATTATATATATATAACATCACTTTTTAATGAATTCATATGTTCGATTTAAATGTTTTAATAGCAATGGAAAATTCAATGATTTAAAAATGCATGAATATTAGGTCACCGAACAGTTGAAATAATATCTTGTATGTGCGCGAGAAAAAAAAAAAAAAGAAGAAAAAATAAACTAATAAAATAAGAACGAAATAAGAACGAAATAAGAACGAAATAAGAACGAAATAAGAACGAAATAAGAACGAAATAAGAACGAAATAAGAACGAAATAAGAACGAAATAAGAACGAAATAAGAACGAAATAAGAACGAAATAAAAACAAAATAATAACAAAATAATAACAAAATAATAACAAAATAATAACAAAATAATAACAAAATAATAACAAAATAATAACAAAATAAAAAGAATGAAAAGCATATACAATACATAACATAGATATGGATATGTAATGCCTATCATAATAATATACCTTATACCTATGCTCATATATAGGTACACGTGCACATGCACAGCACATACCCGAATATGCATGAGCACGTCCACGCATTCCGAATTGCAAAGGTGCAAAAATTGGTTGACACGTTTCCACATTTCTTTTGTGCAGTAGTTTATTCTTTTTTTTTTTTTTCTTTTTTCTATTTTTGTTTTATTATTATATTTTTTTTTTAATTTTTTTTTTTAGTTTTTTTATATTTTTATATTTTTTTTTTTTTTTTTTTTTATTCCCATTATTACCCATTTTGACAACACTACTATATGACCTGACAACCAAACATAATTTCATATGCAAAAATTCGTCAATTCCCTTGATTATAAAAAAAAAAGTTCCTGTCTTTCCTGCTCCTGGACCATTAAATCGTTCAATACTCTAGATGTATTTTTTGACTTTTTTAAATAAGTATATAATTTATATGTTAGTATTTTTCTCGCCTTTTGCTTCTGCAATTTCGTTAAATGTATGCTATCCATAACGCTTAAAAACTGAAGAATAAGATCATCTTGATTTTCTACAGCATTTTTATAAACCTCTGGTAGGTACAAACAGGCATACTTCTCATTTTCTTCACTTTTTGTATCACCACTTAACGGGAATGGATATTCATCCATGTTTTGTGAGTGCACATTTTGAGAATGCACATTTTTTGAATTCATATTCTTTGAGTGCATATTCTTTGAATGCACATTTTGTTCGTCACTCATATTGATACATTTCTGTTCGTACTCATTTCCAACTGTGTTCATCTCTACACCTTTTGAAGAACAATTTGGGTTAGGAAACTCAATCAAGAAAAATTTTGAGGGATTCAGTAAATAATACACGTAATCTGTAAATGAACTCGAGAGGTTGGAAATGTCAAAAGTTTTGCTACAAGGGCTTTCGTTCTTTTCGTCCCTGGGACTGAGACTACTTTCGCCAATCCCTCTATCCGCTGTACCTTCGACATTCCTTTCAGAAGTTGCACTCTCAAGATTCCCTTTTTCTGCAATTATAATTGCAGAGGTTGTACTGCTGGAGTTCTTTCCATGCTTATCGCCCTGCCTTGTGATAGAACTGCTGGGTGTCTTTAACGAAAGTGACATATTAGTGGAGTGAAATAAATTTGTTTTGCATTTTAGTGGGAAAGCAAAAAGATCACATTTATTTTTATCAAAAGTGATTTGACATTTCTGTAGACATGCTTTTTGTTTCGAATTTAAGATGTTATAAGGAGCTAGCTGAATATTTCGTGTGTCTCCAAATATAATTATATTCGTTTCTGTATATACATACACATTTGTATCTATGACATTTTCTATCTTCAAACTTCTCGTAACTAAATGGATATCTAAATTGTTTGAGTTAAATATGGTTGAAATCATTTCTACACATAAAGAAATAATATAACAATTAACACATGCATGTATTTTCAGATATTCCATTTTGGATAAAATAAAAATGTTACATTCTTTACAATTTATTATGTTAACGATGTTCTTGTCATTTGTAATATATATAGTTTGCCCTTGCTGATTTTTTATTTCAATTATATCGTTCTTTACATTTTCAATACTGTAATGTGATCCCTTTCTGAGATCTTGATCAGTCGATGAGTTCCGTGAGCATAATATGTTACGGGAGCATGATGAATTACTTGAATTGCTTACAGATTCTCCAAATGAATCGTTAGTACTATATAAAACACTACACGGTTGGCCAGTTTCACTATTACAATTTGAAGAATTCTTAAACAATACTACATTGTCTCGTTGTTCTGTTGCATATAAATTGCTTAGTAACCATGTTAATATATCTTTCGTTTTATATAAAATTTTTGGTTCATTTTTTTGTAAGTACCTCTCATACACATTTGTATGATCCCCTGTATCAATAATAAAATCTAAAAGGAAAAAGTTTTGATTTTTAAAATACAACGGAATGTCTGTCAGTTTACTACTGTTCAGGATATCTGCTGCAGATAAAAATGCTACCAGATATGTCTTTAAAAAATGATTATAATTACTTCCACAAAAATGGAAAAAATCGGAGAAGTTTGATTTGCACACACAGTTGCTTGGGCTACCACTTGGATTTGTGTTTCCCACAATGTTGCTTCCTATCCCACTTGGACTGACGAGGGATCGCGAGGAACAGCTAAAACTTGGCCAACTGTCTTCACTCAAAGTTTTGTCATATTTCTTTTTCACATTATCAATTTTTAGAAATTGTAGAATTATAAAAAACATAACTAATTCAATACGCACCTCTTCATTTAGCCATTTTTCCCTCCACACATGAAATTTGTCTTTGTCTTTCATCTCTCTGTCCTTTTCATTGCTATTTCCATGTACCTTTTTTGTTTCTTCTTGATCATTCAAAAGATTCTTTTCTTTTTCCATTACGGTACATTTTTCATAGTTCATATTTGTTTCTGTTTTGTAAACTTCAACGTTCCCGTGCATTGCATCAAGATTATTTTCACCTCGTCCATCATGGGTGTACAGAATTTGTCCAGATTGTTGTTCCTCAAATTTCTGGTTTTTATTATGATATACCTGCTGTTCACATTTCTTATCAAATTCTTGTGAGTACAATTTTTTAAAAGTGGCGTTAAATATAGTCTTTTGTTTATTAACATTATTCTTTTTTTTCACAGTTTGTAACGTTACACTTAATAATATCCATAAGGACTTACAAATATTGTGATTAAAATTTGCCCACAAAATATTATCTTGATTTTTTATAATTTCATTATAACTTAACCAAGTGTCAATAGTAACATAAATTTCATCATTATCATTCATATTTTTATCATTGTTAAAATTCGATTTTGTATTTTTAAAATATTCATAGAAATTTTTTAAATAAGTTAATAAAGAACATTCATCCATCTTATTTGTTGTGTATATAATAGCATGGTCGAATATTTCTTTTCTTATAAATAATTTCCTTTCTTGATTTATTCCTCTGCTTAATGGGTCATTCTTCTCAGCTTCCATGTTGATTATCACAATCAATTTTTATTTTTTTATTTTATTCTATTTTTTTTTCTTCTCCCCTCATCTGTTTCTTGTGTTTACAAATCTCATTAGCCCCGTTCGTGTATGAGTAGCTGTGTTTGTGGTTGTTCTTTCTGGTGTATGTTCAGATATACGTTCTGGTGTGTGTTCAGATGTATGTTCAAGAGTATACTCTCTTGTGCTTGCTGTTGTGCTTGCTGATGTACTTGCTGAAGTGCTTGCAGGAGTAATCTGGGGTGTAATCGTAGGAGTACTTGCTGAAGTACTTGCTGGTGTACTTGCTGAAGTACTTATTGACGTACTTACTGATGTGTCTTCTGAAATATGTTCTGATATGTGTGATGTCGTTCGTGCAGCTATACATGGAAGTATGCGTTCAGTTGTTAGTTCAGAAGCGTACACAGGTATGTGTTCACGCGCACGTTCAGGTGATTGTTCAGATGATTGTTCAGGTGAATGGTCAGGTGGTTGTTCAGGTGAATTATCAGTTGAATTATCAGTTGAATTATCAGTTGAATGTTCCGGTGAGGACGCCGGTGAGGGTGCGGGCGTAGCTGCTGTTGAATGAGAATATGTAAATGCACGTGCATGTGTTGGTTTAAATTTTTGTGAAGTGTTTTCATGGGTGTTACCATGGGCAGGTGTTCAGCTGCAAGCATGTTTGCACAAGTAGAAGTGTAAATAGGGATGTATTTATGTAAATACACATCTATATACATGTATGCATATATATATGTGTGTGTGTGTACCCTTTTTTTTTTTTTTTTTTATGCACCTTTGTGTGCAATTTTACACGTCTTTATATAGACGTACCTATTAACCGAGCTTGGCAGAAACGTTTCTGCCTTTTTCGTTGTTCTCCCGGGGGAAGCATGAAATCCAAAGAATTTTTTTTTTTTTTTTTCTATTTGGTCTTAATACCTTTTGTTCTTTTCTACTTTTTTCACAAGGCGCACATGTACAAACACATACCCCTTCTCTTAATGTGTGTTTATATGTGATTAATTAATGTGTGATTTATTAATGCATATTTTTACTTTTATGTGCTTTTATCCTCTTAGTGCTTTCTTGGTCTAGGAGAAAAAAACTTTCAACTGATTTGGTATAACTTAGCTTATTTCCATATGGAGAATGGAGGGACGGTTTCTTCAGATATTCTGTTAAGGATATACTGAGAAAAGTGGCATAACACCAAATGCTGATAAGGTATTTCTACCCTTATGTAGTTTTTATAGATTTTTTATTTTTTTTAAATTGGAAAATGTGCGAATATGCCCAAAAGTACAAGCTGGTGTTTCATTTGGGAATTTTCGCCTTTTCTAATTTTATGGTTTTTATTTATCGATTTTTTACTGCTTTTTTGTCGTTCCTTTATCACTTCTTTTTTATCACTTTATCATATTTATTGTTTTACTTTTCCGTTTTTGGCCTTCCTACACACATTTTTATATCTACTTTTGTTTGTGTTTTATGCCTTTTTTGTGCCTTTTTTATACCTATTTATATGCAGTTTGCACATATTTTGCACATTTTTTTTTTTTTTTTTACTTATTTTTCACATGCATTTTACCTGCTTTGCACATTTTTGCATATTTTTTCATAGGGTTTCTTCTCTCCTCCCTAGAATATTATTTTTAATCTTCATTCTTTTTCAAATAAAATTATTAAATCGTGTCAGGGTGTTTTATTTTTCTATTCTTATCACGCAAGAGATCACTTTAAAATGCATACAGATAGGTACGCAATTAGGAAGACCCCATCCCCCACACATTGATATGCGCCTTTTCCCGGCCTACACAATTAATTGCACTTTCACTTCGGTCCTTTTTTGCAAAAGGCAATCCATGTATGCATTAATCTCCAGCACAACTATTGTTACTTATTTGAGATTACGTGCCATAAAAACGGGTGATTAGCAAATGGAAGAACAAAAACGAAAGAAAGCCCAAAAATGAAAAAAAAATGTAGCAAAAAAGAGTCAAAAAAAAAAAAACGCTTCTCGTCTCCATTAGCAACACCTGTTCATGCGCACACATATATATATATATACAACTAGGTGCATGAAAAAAAAGTGCACAAATTATTCAGCCACACTACCTTAAGGCCTTCCTTATTTTACTTATTTATTTTTTTTTATTTCGGATATCTACACTTTTAAACAAGATCTCTCCATAAGCTTCGGTTCTTTGACTGACATATAGATATGTAAAAAGAAAAAAAAAAAAGTGATAAAGATGAACCTGTGAAGTGATAAAGATGAACCTGTGAAGTGATAAAGATGAACCTGTGAAGTGATAAAGATGAACCTGTGAAGTGATAAAGATGAACCTATAAAGTGATAAAGATAAAACTGTGAAATGATAAAGATGAACCTGTGAAGTGATAAAAATGAGCGTGTATATATATAGCTCATTTACATGCAAATGATTGCATTACGGAATGAGTTTAAGGTTATGGATTTAAGGATCCACACAATTCTGTTTAGGAAATATTGTTGCTTCCTTTTTGCAGAAATCAAATAAGAAGAAAAAAATGTGGAACCCCAGGTTTCAGCTGTTATTGATTGTTTTAAACATTTAAACATTTTTATGTCCTCTACATACAAAATCCCACAGCACTCTCAAAAGCGTCCAACGTTTTTGTGACGTTTCCACATTAATGCACACACAGTACACTACATTATTGTCACCTTTTTTTTTTTTTTTTTTTTTTTCACATCTCTGCACTCATCAATGTATTGCACATTGATAAAAAGAGAAAAATGAATCCATGAGAAACTTCCTAATAATTACACAAACATATAAATTGTGCATTTTTGTTTTGCTAACAAATGTACCCTACTGATAGGAGGACAGTTTTTTTTTTTTTTTTTTTTATCTCTTCACAATATATTTTGTTAGTATCAACATAAGAACAGATCCTTATTTGAGGACACCCATCCTCCCCATTCCCACTAGTGGAATAAAATGAGAAATGTGACAAGGAACACATATGTAGAACCAAATCTGAGCCATGTCAAATTAAGAGATGAAGAATATAAAGCTATCACAAAAATAAAAATTTTACTTTTTTGTTTTATTAGTTTATTTATATATTCTTGGTGTATAAGCATAATATATGTGTATCCCTTAAAAGTTAGTGATACATATTTCACTCTGCATTTTACTCTTCAAGGAGTTGGTAGTTTGATTCTGGGATTGCTATCCGATATATTTGGACGTAAAAAATGTTTAAATGTTTCTTTTATCTCGTTAATTTTAATTTCGACACTAACGTTTTTTTCACTCAATCCATGCTTGTTTCCATTTGAACATAAATGTAAAAATGAAATCACAAATTTAAGGAAAGCGTATGATGGTGATGATGTTAATTTCATGAATCATGTAACAGAATCTCACTATTCGAAAGGATCAAGTGTTTATGGAACGTTATGTCAACATTTTAAATCAGCTGAATTGTCATACTTTGCATACCCAGTGGAAACTGTACATCAGGTCAGAAACAAAAAAGAGGAAAGGACAAATCCACAATATCCAAAAATGGATAAAGGGGAAAAAATTTACCACCACTCTAAATTACATAATTGCAATTATTATGAACAGTTAGAAAATGTGAACATAAATAAAGGGAAGAACAAAAATTCAAGGAAAATAAACAAAGTAAATAAAATTATTAACCTAGGGAAATTCAAACTTAGAAATCATTACTATGCTAATTATGATTCATTTGAAAATTTCTACACTGAGCACAAGTGTGAAGCTCATCAGAGTAAAATTACGTACAAATTACATTATTCTAAAAAGTACATTACTAACAATTGTAGTTCTAACAAAGCAAATTATTTCGATGCACTTTTTTATCAAAGAAACGGGAGAATCAATTGCGTGAATTCTCCTCTTCATGGAGATTCGACTAAGACTAATCATATAGATGTCAACATGGATAATACAAACGACCCCCAGGAGTTCCATAATTTTTGCAATAACCAAATTAAGAAGTGGCCTATCGGATTGTCCAACTTAGATAGAGAAGAACTACATAACCATTTATTAACAACCATTAGTCGCAAATCAAGTATAAAAAGGAAAAAAAATTTTAAAAACTTGGAAACTTTTCATAAAATCTGGAAATGTATTCTTGATAATTTGAATGATACTTCCTTTCCTGAGGAGAAACTCTCCCCAAATATCAGTAATAAAAACGAGAATACTACAATATGGAAGAAAAAGAAAAAAAAAATTTACATAAATCAAAGCAACACTCTTAGAGGCATTAACAGAAAAGGAGCATATTCATTGAACAATCCATTTTGTCGAATTGGAGAAATTTCTACATGCAAGTTCATGTATATCCCTGAGATAAATGAAGTAGAAATGTTAACACATAGTATAGGAAGACACAATTTTACCGAAGAGATGGAAGATCGTGAAAAATGGAGTAGTAACAAAAGTGAGACTTATGGAGATAGTAGGACATGGTCCCAACACTTACTCCCATTTTATATTCTTTCATGTTTATGTGGCTTCTTCGCCAAAGGAATTAGCAACATTCTTTGTATTATCATCATGGAGAATGTAAAACCGATAGACAAGACAAAAGCAGTTTTTCTCATTATCTGGGTCGAAGAAATACCCATATTTTTGACTCGACTAATTCTTTGGTTGAAGGAATTTACAAATATGTACATTTTATACAAAATGAACATTCTTTGCTACATCTTGTTAAGCCTGTTAATCATCCTGGTATTGAATCTGCACTTGGATTGTCATCTCCATGTGGACATGTGGAAAATGCAAAGAAGCAATGTTCAGAAGTTGTGTGATGAATATGAAGACGACTTTGCTCAACATTCAGCCCATGCTTTGGATCACCATGAAGAGAAAAAAAGGACTCAAAACGGTTGCAAAGGTGCTGATTCGGGAGAGCAAATAATGTGTAGCAGTGGGAATGATAGTCTTAATGGAAGTCATAATGGGAATTTTAATCTCAGTAGGAATGGCCGTGTTAATGGTGACCTTTTTGCTGTAACAAAATTTCGCAAGACAGGCCAAGAGTACAAGGAATGGGAGAAAATGCCATTACACCAGGGAAAAGAACACTCAGATTTTGTTCATAATGATACACATGAAAATAGTACTCATGATAATTTTCAGACGAAGAAAAACTTATCATTTGATGGAAATTATCTCCTTATCAAATATGTAAACTTGAGGAAAAAGAAAAAAGTGGATGATACTCCCGAGAATGTTTGGGATATTTTTCGAAAAAATTATAACTCCTTAAATTGTCATTCCAGTGTGGAAAGAAAAGCCAAATTGAAGGAGGTGAAAGTGAATTATACAGATTTGTTTACAAAGAATATATTAAAAAAAGATTATAATAAAATTTTTCCAACACGCAAACTATGCAGAAATAAAGAATTTTTGCATTATTGTAAAAATTTAAAAAAAAGAAAAAAGTGGGAATTGTACAAAATGTGGATATGGTATCATATGAATGCACACAAATGCATCCTTGTAGCATTAAGTGTTTTATACTTTCTTTTTCATTTTTTATACATAAATTTTTTTTTAACGGGAAATATATTTATTTCAAACATAAAAAATGAGTCCACTTTTTACGAATTTAATAAATCTACCATTTTATTAAATTTGTTCATTCTCCTTTTTTCTTTTTTTTTATATTGTCAATTAAACAAAATTTTTATAAAAATGTTAAATTTATTTTTCCATTTGATAATTATATTTATGTCTTTTGCTTTTCTTTTGTTTATTTATTCAACATCAGAAGATGAAATTCGTTTATTTGATAATACATATATTTTTTATACCCTTATTTTTAATTCATTTCTGTTCATACAAAAAGCTTCATTATTTTGTTTTTCCATAAACTGTGTCTACACTGTATGTAAGGCTTTCCTACTTGGACTTTTTATTTTCTCTGGTCATTTGGGTTTCATTACTTATACTATTATTCGATTTTTTGTATCTCCTGAATGCATAACTCCGTTCAATTTAATTTGTTCATGTATTGTGTGCATTTTGTCATCTATCTTAATTGTCTTATTCATTCCTCATATCAGTACGAACGTCGATTATCACCTAATTGACGATGCATACTTCAACCATTTTTTATTTTACATGTGTAATAAGAAGACCATTTCTCCACATTTTTCAACTGTGTTTACTTCTCACCCATAGGTAAGTGTAAATACTGGATAGAGACGCTCTCCCTTTATTTCGTCTGAGCGGTATTCCCAATTGTCTCTCATGTTCTAATTTTGTTATTCCTACGTAGTGCATATATATATATCACCCCAACTTCCCCCTCTTCTCATTTAATTCTTTATTGTGTTTCATTCCTTTTTACTCTCACAATAATTCCCAAGTTTTCACCATTTTGCATTATCACCTTCGTGACACCACATCTACTAATTCTCCACGCGTCCATAAATTAGAACATGTAAACAAAACCACCTGCACATATAACCAGAATAACAATAACTGAAAACATGATGAAATTCGGACAAGTACATTTTTATTTCGCTTGTCAAAAAAAAAAAAAAAAAAAAAAAAAAATCAAACGTATGTATCCCTCTCATTATTATAATGCAAAGTTTCGAATATTTAATTCAGAAGAAGTTCGTGAAAAATGAATCAGAAAGTATTTTATTCAAGTGTACCTTTCGTCGGTAAAAAAATAATCTGAAAAATATAAGAAAAAAATAAGAAATGGCGATATCTACCTTTCTTGATATTGTCCCGTGATAGAACTACCCAATATAGACATGTCTATACCCTACGTAATTCTCCGTTTGGATGCAGAACCACTTTTACTATTTTTCCCGAGGCGGCTCTAAAAATTCTGTCAAAGACAGAGAGACTATTTTCATCGAGAGATTTTAAATTCACGATGGAAATAAGAATGTTTTCAGCCTCATGTTTTATGGCTAGCTCTTCTGCATGTCTTAAAAACAAAAAAAAATTCTTCATAACGAAGTTTATTTGTTCATCATTTTTGCACAATCCATCGTATGAAATGTTAATATATTTAAGAAAACCATTTTGATAATTATCAAACGAATTCCCTATGTCTAAAAGGATGCAATTCATCAAATTAATCTTTGCACCTTTGTTTTTATTCGTTGTATTATTTTTACTTTCTCCATATTGCAACACATCTATTAGATATGTCGACACCACGGGGCTGTAATGCGTGAGCAGCATTCCCGGGCTCACTTCTCCCTGAGAACACTCTTTCTCATTCGTTTTCGCTCGCACATCTGCCTCAGCAGATCCTTTTGTACTTTCATCCGGGTTGTCATTCTCATTTAGACCACCATTCCCCTGAAAAGCCACGTGCTCAAATTTTATTTTTTCGCACAAATCAACATCTATGTCTTTCAGCAGAGAAAAACAACTTAGAGCATCCTGAATGTCACTCATGGTGTATTTTCCCCTTCGGTAAATTCGTATTCGATAGTCGTATAAATTTTTGTACTTTAAAATTTTCCCTAAAATGGTGGGTTCTGCATCTTCCCACCCTGTTTCTTCCATTCCGAGTCCTATAGGGAGCCCTTTTTCCAGCATTTGCTCAATAGACCCAAACTGGTTCTTTAACTTTTCGTATATTCGTATATTCGGTTCTGAAGTAGAAGAATTTGTTGCTTTTCGAAAAAATTCCATTTCTCTTTTACATTCCTTTTCGTATTCGATGTCAGTGGTTATTTCCTCTTCTCCGTCCACTTCCTCCACTTCTTCGTTTCGATTGGGAGATCGATTCGCCTTGGAACCACAGGAGAGATGCCTGTCCTTTTTGTTCACTTTTCTGATTGATTTTTTCTTATACTTTATTAATTTCAAAACTGTGGATTCAATCCCTATATCACATTGTCCGTCATCAAAGATAAGAATATTTTCATTTTTAAATTCTTCAAAAACGTGCATAGAATTCGTAGGACTAATATGTTGAAATTTATTAGCTGATGGAGCTGCAATTGGGACTTGACAAACTTTTATAATTTCTAATGCAATTGGATTTTTTGGAATTCTAACTGCACAAAAACTAGTATGTGCTGTTAAAATTAATGGCAGATTTTTATTCGCTTTAGCTATTACTGATAAAGGACCAGGCCAAAATTTCTTGCTTAATATGTAAATAATATATTTTTCAAAAATGTTAATATTATATAATTGATCAAATGCTTGAGTTATATCATAAACATGTGATATTATTGGATCACTTATTGGTCTATTTTTCATTTCAAAAATGTGTCTCAACGATATATCACTTAATGAATTCCCTCCTAATCCATACACTGTTTCGGTTGGTATTCCAATTAGGCAGTTTTTTTCAATATGTTCTTTCAATTTTCTTTTTATTTTATCATTGTTTAATAAATCTGTTCCTTTGATTATTTCTGCCATGTTTTCTGTCTGTTTTTTTTCTTAATTGCTACTTGTGTGTCTTGCATAAGTTTGCACCCTATATATGTTACGATCCAACTGTTTATGAAAAAATATATCAACAGTTTTTTGTTGTTTGCAGATTCACAACCTTCTCTTTCACGTTGGGAAAAAGCTATAGGAAAAAGAAATGTCCGTTTTTGTGCCTAATCAAATCTGTGCCTGTTTCTGTGCCTGTTTCTGTGCCTGTTTCTGTGCCTGTTTCTGTGCCTGTTTCTGTGCCTCTATTTGTGCCTTTTTCTGTGCCTATATCTGCACTTTTATTTTATTTCTTTTAATATTTGCGCAACATTGACTTTCATCATACACTCATTTTTTGGTTTTCTTATAATGGTTCTCTCTCCTTAGTGTATCCTCTTTACTCCTCTACAAGTTGATCACTTGGGAACAATGAAAAGTATAGTGGCTTCTTATCCTCGCGTACACGTCAAATACCAAGTTGTCCGTTTTCTTTTTAATGTTCCAAATTAAATTTCCTACATTTGCATAAAAAATTTTATTTTTTCTTGTGGAAAAAAGAGTTTAAAAAAGCATGGCAGCAGAGAGGTGAAAAAAAGAAAATAAAAAAATACAGTCAATTTTTCTCTTCTCCTATATAAGGCTACTTAAAATAATGCGAAGCAAAAACAGCACCACATCTTATAGAATTACGCAAATTTTTTTTTTTTTTTTTTTTCTTTCAAATTATTCATTCATATGTAAAGCTTGAGAAAAAAAAAAAAAAAAAAAAAAAAAATGCCCACATCTAAAATGGTGCACAAATAATTGAGATTCTTTATATAAAATTAAAATTTTTAAAAAAAAAAAAAAAAAAAAAAAAAAAAAAAAAACCAAGTTCAGGGTTAACGTTGTTAAACACTTTTAATCCTGGTAAAATTTGCAAATTTTCTGAGCATTTCTCCTCCAAAATTTTACCAATATTTTTCTAATATTGAAACTACTTTACAAGAACCCATAGACATCAAATGAAAGAAAAAAATGACACTAAGGCAAACGATGGAAAAGAAAAATCTTCAATTCCTTCCATTGCCGGTAGTTGGTACTATCCATCTAAGAATCAATTCTATAGCACAACTAGGAAAAAGGGTTATATATATATATACATATATATTTTTTGATAATTAAATTGAGAGTACTGAGAAAGAAGTTGTTCATTTCTTGTGCATCCCTCTCACCAGTACTTTAAAGATTCATCACCATAAAGAGTACACGTGTATGTGTACATAATGAATGGATGGAGGGGAATTGGAAGGTGGTGTAAAATGTGAGAGAAGAATCCAGAAAGAGGATATGCTGTACAATAACGCACATTGACATATGTATATTATTCATACACTTCTCAACACAATGGTAACCTTTTTTCACATACTTCCATACAGGATACAACTACTCTAAGGAAGAATTAGACATTGCATTAAAAATTCACAACGCTGTTAATGAAGAAACATGGAAACGAATAATGAAAAAAGAACAAAAATATTTCGATCTTTGCAAAGAGCAGAAGTTAATAAGATTCATCGGATTGCCTAATAAATTATCACTGAAAGCTTTTATGTTGACTCTGATGGGGTATAACAAACCATTCGACAGACATGATTGGTACATTGATAGGTGCGGAAATACCATCAAGTAAGGACAGAAGCAAAAATAGAATAAAATAAAAAAATAATAAAAAAATAATAAAAATAAAATAAAAAAATAATAAAAAAATAATAAAAAAATAATAAAAATAAAACAAAAAAAAAAATAAAACCACAGAATAAACACAATATGCGAACAGACGGAACAAACGTGTATAAAACAGATAGAGTGAAAAATTTTACTAGTGCTACCTAACCAACCTGTTCTGAGATAAGACCTTTGCTCACCCCCTTCGTGGGATTTTCTCTTTTTTTACAAGCAAAAAAGAAAGCATTATAATATTATCATCATTGAGATGGGGTCAAATTGGCTTAATTAAATGAAGTGCCACTTAATTAAGCATAAAATTGTGGTACTGTGTGTCCATTCGTTAACCCGTTCACACATGTTCACTCATGTTTACTCATGTTTACTCATGTTCACTCATGTTCACTCATGTTTACTCATGTTTACTCATGTTTACTCACGTTTTCGCACTAATTTTACACGCTCATCTTGAACCTTCCTTACATTTATGCACAATTGTAGATACATCATAGATTTCTACGATGGGAAAAGTGATGAAGGAGCTCCCGTTTCCATTTTTATTGATGTCAGATCAAAATTTAGTTACCATAATATGGTTGATTCTTTTAAAATTATGTACATCAAAATATGCAAATACTTTTTTTAATTGCTATACCATACCCAACGTGGCGAAGAAAGAGATTCAGATGGCAATCGCACTTCTACATGTTACATGTTGTATATAATATAATGCACTTTTAAATCTTACTCTTCTTGTGAATTGCACAGATTGAAAAATGTTGAAAGAAAAAAAAAGACAGAAGCATATGTAAACCTTTTAATTAAAAAAAAAAAAAAAAAGAAAAGAATTATAACCCTATCTGAACTGTTTTCTGCCGTTGGCTATACATACATATATATATATATACTCAATTTTTTCATTACAATTTTTCATTATGTGGTTGCATAATAGGGTACCAATTATGGCATCCAATTTTTTTTTTTTTATATTGGTCTCTTTTTTGTCCCATGTTCTTCATTCGAATTTTTTAAGTGAACAAAGATTTATATTTTTCAAAAATGAATCTGAAAAATTCATCGTTCATAAATTAACACTATTGATAAGGTAAATAATAAATGCTATTTTTTTTTAATTTTTATTAAAGAAAAAAAAAAAGAGGAAAGAAAACTGTTCAAATATGCAAGTTATACATATATTATATATATGTGTATATATATGTATATGTGGGAAAGGGGAGGTTAAAAAACATGAGAGAAACTTAAGCAGTGATGCATTTGTGCAATATAATAATATGCATAAATAAAACATCATGGATCTATAAACAATTTGTTCAGCACAAAATAGTTCAGTCGTCAGGTGGGCATTTATTATGTGTGTATTCGTGCAGATATCCATGCAGTTCTTCATACAATTACACATTTGTAAATGTAGAAATAAATGTATTCGAGCATGGGTAAAAATCTATATGCACGTGTGGGTGAGTGTTTATATTCACGTATGAACGTAAGCATGAGAAGGCGTATGTACACATGCATGGATGTCTGTATTGTATACGCAAGCCTTAACTTGAAATGGATTCCTTTTTTTTTAAAAAAAAAAAAAAAAAAAAAAAAAGGTGCTGTAAAAATGTATTTAACGCAAAATTACTATCAATAAGAAAAATTGTGATGGGGGGGAATATAAAGAAATGAAAAATAGGGAAATTAAATGCTTTAATAATTTCGTTTATTTTTAACTCCTTTTCCATTTTCTTCCTTCTTTTTTTTTTTTTTTTTTCTTACAACTGACACAAACAGATTAATTCAAAATAAATTTATTAATTCGTATATTGGCATGTGTAATGTAATTCTGCAAACCCCTTCACCACAGAACTCAGGCATATACATACGTATATACATATACATGTGTACAAATAGACAATGTGTGTATCTTTTTTTTTTTTTTTTTTTTTTTTTTCTTTTTTGCAAATATGTACATGTGTTCATCTATTGAGATAGTTAAGAGAACGGATATGTAATCATAAATCCTTTTACAATGGCAAAAAGAACGTGTATATAAAATATATGAAGCATAAAAAAGTGTTTACATGTCGATCATGTGATTTCAACAGGGGTTCACCATTTTGGAATCTTCTATCAAGGTTTTTTTTATTCTTTTTTTATCCTTTTTTTATCCTTTTTTTATCCTTTTTTTATCCTTTTTTTATCCTTTTTTTGCCTTCTTTTGTGTCTCCTTTTTTTTTTTTTTTTCCATTTTTCAAACATAAAAACAGATAAGGACAAGAACAAGCCATCAGGAATATAACATATCCAAACATGCATTTACTCACATCGGACTCTGTACGAACACAATGGATGCATAACTCATGATGTCGTGAGTACAATCAAGATGTCATAGCCTCATCGTTGCTCTTAGCACCTTCATCTTCCTCTTCTTCATTATCGTCATATTCATTGGTATCTACATTACTATTTTCATCATTGTACGCACTGTTGTTACTTTCATAACTGTTGTAATTACTATTGTTTTCACTGCTACTATAACTACTATCTACATCACTGACAATGCTATTACTTTCACTTTCTATAATTATTCCCAAGTAATAATCAACAGCATATGGAATAATTCTTTCTTTAATTGTTAATGCAACTTCATAATCTCCTTCTATGATCATTTCTAGTTGGGCTACTTCATGTTTGCTTAGCTGTTTTATAACATTAGAATTTGGCACTTTATGACTCGTAAAAAAATGAAAAAAACTATCTCTGTTAACTGTTTGTTGTACTGTTTTCACTTCTCTTGAATTTTTATTATGTTGTTTTTTTACAACATTTTTTTTTAAAATATTTTTGTTATCAAACCAGTCAATAACAGTAGCTTCTGTGTGTAACAATACTGGTTCATTATCACAATCTACACATTTCATATGATATGTTTTTGTCAAAACTGAGTTGCTAAAAAATGGGTTTGATGCAAAATGAAATGATAAAATAAATCCTTCCTTTTTTTCCTTATTTTTTTTAATATAATCACATCTTATATCATTTAAGTAAACTAAAATTTCTTCATCATGATCTTCTATAACATGACTCACGGTATTATTATTCCTTAATGCTCTAAGCCAAAATTCTGGTAAATTTGGTGTACCAATTTTTGTCTCTCCATTTCCTACTAATGCTTCTCTTCTTTTATCATAAATTGGACCATACAAATCGTGATATTTCTGCCTTAACAAAAATAACTCGTATTCAAATTTTGATTCGTAGTCATAGTATTCTTTCTGGTACAACTTCAGCTTTTTTAACGTTTCCTTTTGTTCCTCTGTCAGATCTGTCATCTTTTCATCGTCTGTAAAAAAAAAAAAAAAAAAAACAATTATCCCAAAATAACCAATACAAAGCTATTCAAAGTAATACAAATAAAAGAAATAAAAGTATTTTCCATGTTAACATTTTCACACAACACTTTTTTTTTTTTTTTTTTATCACATAAAAAGAACATGACTTTTTTTTTTTTTACCTATTTTTATGCTTTCTAAGAGTGACGATATTTCCTTTTCTTCTTCGGGAGGGATTGGCTATAAAGTGGTTAAAAAAAATAAATAAATAGAACAAAATAAATGAATGAATAAAATGAAATAAATTAATAAGAAAAATAAGGTGACAAAAATGAATAAGCAAAATAGAGTGACAAAAATGAATAAGTGAAATAAAATAATAAAAACAAACACATAAAAATGATTCCCAGGTTCTCCTTTTTTCCCCCTTACACAGCTTTTCATGCACAAATATGAGATGTTATTTTCATATATATGTTACTATATATACAATGTGACAACAAATAAATTAACTTAAAGACATGTGTGCATGCATTTACGCACTTAAAACAACGATTGTAATACCTATGTAAAAGGAGCACATATATACGTGCGATATGTTCATATGTGAATAGGTGTGTCTCATAAGTATGTATACTTAAGCAAAATACAGTCATGCCACTCTTAGCATATTAAGTGCAAGCAAGCATACATATATACACATGTTGGTTATGTCATTTTTATAGCAATATTTGAGGTGGAAAAAAAAAGGGGAAGAAGAAGAAGAGGAACAGGAATGATGAAGAGATAGACGAATGAAAAAACATTTCCTGTTATCAATTTTTTTAATTACTTGGTTATTCTCCGTAGTTGCCATATTGGAAAATTGTTTCTTCTTTGCTTATTATTATGTATGTGTATATATTTGTTTTATTTTTTTTTTTTTTTTTGTTCCCAGTTGAGATTAAATTTTATGCTTTTTCACTTGGTTCTCTATGTTCCTTTTTTGTATTTTTTTTTTTTTTTCCCTTTTCTTCTGTGTTTTCTTTTTTTTTTCCCTTTTTTTTTGTTTTTTTTTTTTTTTTTTCCTTTTTTTTTTTTTTTTTTTTTGTGTGACAATTGGAATCCTTACAATGTATAAAATGAAAACATTAACTAAATGACACAAATAGTAGTTTTACATAATTCATATTTATTTATATATAAAAAAGGAAAGAGGAATAAAAAAAAACAAAAGGGACAGGAAAAGGGGAAAAGTAGCATTCAGAATGTATGGGAGAAAAAAAAAAAATATATATATAAATTTTCTTGTTATAAAAAAAAATATATAAAATTATGTTACATATATGTATATAGGGCTATATATACACTATTGTACATATTTTATACAGAATACAATTTACGCGATATCTTATGTAAATACAAATGCACTAGAGTACATAAGTAATAATCCCTGAAAAGGTTAAAAAATTGTAAAATAAAGAAAAGAAAAGTAAGGAAAAAAAGAAATGTAAGGGAAAGAAAAAAAATAAGAAGAAAACAAGGTGAAGTGAAAAATGTGCCGTAATGTTTAAAGGGATTATATATATAGCACATATGTGATATTTGCAAGTAGGCATGTCAAAATAACTTTATATTGTAAAAATAACCTTTTCCCGTTTTGCTACATATATTTTTTTACTCCTACGAAGAGCCATGAAATTTTCATAATACACTATGTGTTATGCTGTAGTGGTACGTGTATATATATATATATATGTATAATACAGGAAATAAAAATGTGCTGAATTTTTAATTGTGCGTTTAAGTATTCTGTTTTTTTCAAGGATATAAAAAAGTAACTAGCTTCCTCCCACCCTCAGTGTGGAGTGCTAAGTTATTAACAATTGAATATTTGTGTGCAAAAGTTTATAGGTGAATAAAAAGTGTATCATTGCATTCGTAAAAACCAACACACATACATATGAATATAAGCATTCCTTCCGTCAACTAATGTATATAAATGTATACGAACAAAAGTAGAACAGTATGTCACTCAAGAACATTCATATTTGTGTAAAATGAAAAATGGATAAAACTAGTTGGGGCTGAGCTTCAATACCCGCAATATATATATGATATATTTTTTGTGATATTGGAAAAACAAATGGGAAAGAGAGTAGTGCTTACGAATGAAGAGTAATTCCGTGCGTATATTGTTATATGTTCGTGTAGTAACATAGCTTTATATATGTATACTTTTTTTGTGCACATTTTTACATACAATTTTGTGCGTATATTTTTCATGTGATGAGAGAGGGATGCATTTATGGCACTATAAAGATCAGAAAAGGTAAGGTTTTTTTTTTTTTTTTTCCCATATTCTTACAAATATTACGTGATTTCATAAATTTTTACAAGCCCGTATATGTATGTATATATATATATATATATACACTTATGTGCTATATATTAAAATTCACTGCTACATACGAGGACTTATTGAGTGAAATGGGGGAAAGGCATGTACGCTTTTATTTACTACGCTCCCATTTATGCTTTTATTTATATAATATTCACATACTCCCTTATGTGTGTGTTTATGCACGTACATATAACACATATACACATGTACTTTTAAAATTCACACGTTTGAACATACGTGTGTGGTGTGTGCCAAACCAATTTTAAATATAATTTTAAGTATATATTTTTAACATATACCAACCCTAATATATAACTCATTTTGGAAACGATACAAATATAAAGCGTTCTTTATCTATTTTAATGAATCCCACGAGGGTTTAAGGGGGATGAGAAAAAAAGGCTCCTTTTTTTGTTTTTTCGTAAAAAAATAGGTGCAATTTTTAGCATATTCAAATGTACACCTATATATTTATATATATGTGTTTGTATATATAGAGTACATGCATAATGAAGCATGTGTATTCATACTTGCACGTTGCACGATGGCGTGAGGTTCAATTTTTTACACCTTGTACTGTACATCATATTTTGTTAAAGCCGTTTATGAATGCTTTGTGTAAATATTTGCACCTTTTTCCTTTTTTTTTTTTTTTTTTTTTTTTTCCCCTTTTGACACAACTCTCTTGATAAAACAATTCACTGAAAGAAGAGGTTCTGCGTAAAAAAAATGAATGCACACTCAAGTAAAAAATGTATACACATTTATACATATTTATGTAACAGCCTTTATACTCAAAAAATTTTCCTGCCCTATTCCCTTGTGGGAACATCTGTGTACTCTTCCATACATATGTATCATCTCAAACTTAAAAAAAAAAAAAAAATAAACAAAAATCCTTCTATAAATAAAAGCCTTTAAAAGTGTAAATTTTTTTTTTTTTTTTTTTTTTTTTTTTTCTCTTACATCATTAATTATCTTTCAATCTTGTTAAAACAATATGAGCAAAAGAAAAAAGAAACATTTTCGTGGCGTTAAAAAGTAAAATAATATAACCCCATTAAGGTTGCTATACATAGAAAAAGACAAATGTGTACTCGCTTAAGGTTAGAGGTAAAAAGTGTTCTTTATGTATTTATTAAATTAAACGTGTTGACTTTTTTTTTTTTTTTTTTTTTTTTTTTTTTTTTTTTATATTTTTCTCAATAAATTTTTAAAAAAAAAAAAGTTAAAAAGAAAATTTAAATTTTTAAAAAATTATATATAAAAAAAAAAAAAAAAAAAAAAAAATAAAAAAATAAAAAAAAAAAAAAAAAATAAATTAAATAATTAAATTTAAAAAAAAAAAAAATTTAAAAAAAAAATTAAACTCATCGAATGAATGAGTAATGTAATGCAATTATTCGTAAACATTATTTGTTTTTTTTGTACATATCTACATGTTTGTATACGGGAAAAAAAAAAAAAAAAAAAAAAAAAAGGGAACCAATCAGGTATGTGACACACAAATAAATTAATACGTGGAAGTTGAAAAATAAATACTAATATATGTTTCTTTCCATATTAAAAATAATATTTTGCCACTAAGTGCCGATAATAACGAGCCGTGGCTTACATTTTGATTATTTTTCTTAACGAATTGATCAAATGGCCATGAAAGAAGAAAAATTTCCTTATCTCATTTGACGCGTTATGGATCGGTATCAAATTTGTGACATATGGAAAGATAAAGGGGATTTCCCTCTTATATCTCATCTGTCACTTAAAAAAATTTACAAGTACAGCAAACACCTACACATTTTTCTCTAAGCATTTTATATCAAAGATGCGAATATCTATTGGGGTTCATTCAAGTGTCGCGAATATAAACATATTACTATTCGAAACGGGGGATGGAAAGGAATTGTTTCTTTTTCTTTTACCCCTATGGGATATATAAAGATGTTGGAAATTTTACAACTCTTTTGTGCATGATTCAAAAATGGAAAAAGTGTAAAAATTTGTGAACATAAAAATGTGATTATGTTATATTATTCATTCGCATGTACATATATATGTATATATTTTAAAACTGGTTGTAAAACGCGTGTGGTTTCATTTTGCAAATTCAATTACCATTGTCATTTTTTCTTTTCGTTTTTCTATATACTCTTCCTCTCTCGCTCATTCAGTAGAGATGTGTTTATAAATGTGCGTATGCAGCATAGCATGTTGTGCACGAAGGGAAATAATTCTACTAATCTTTTTAGTTTTTTCAGCATTGCAATTGTTGTTTTTTTTTTTTTTTTTTTTTTTTTTTTTTTTTTTTTATTATTCATTTGGATATTTTGCTTAATTCATTTATCTGCTTAATTTTTTTTTTTTTTTTTTAAAAAAAATATAGCATAAGCACACATGGAAAATATAATTTTTTTTTCCATTTCTATATTATTATATTTTTTTTTTGTACGATTCAGCTAAAATTGGTGTAAGTGTATACACATTTAGTAAGGAAAAAAATGTGTGAATTAAGCAACTCATATGAATAAGCACCTTGTGTGAATAATCAACTCGTGCGAATGAATCATGTTGGGTTGTTTCGATAGATTAACATGGGGAATGTTGCTAATATGGTTGCATGGAATTTATGCATAAGTACACATTTACCTACACAAAAGTACATGTGTTCATAGAACAGATGGAACTTCTAACCCCAGGGCAAATCTTCGTTTTGAGCAACAAAACAAAATGCAAACTGCGAATTGCGAACTTGCAATGAGTTATGTGGTAAATATATGCATATGAAAAAAAATTTCGAGAGGTTGGGTATCATGGAATTAATTTCGTACTTAACATGTAACTAGTGGATTAATCAACCAGTTAAAGAAAAAAGTCTGGCAATCATCATAGCCATACGTATGAATGTTTTCAGTGGTGGCAAAATGTGTTACATTTTTTTCTATTTTTATATTTGAACAAAACTGGTTAAATTTGTTCGTCCTGCTGCTTAGCTTAGCAGTTTCGACGCTTAAACCATTTCGTGCTAAACCAATTTAATTTTTTTAAATAAAATGAAATAAAATGAAATAAAATATTGTTTTTTATGCATATAACAATATTGATGTACACACAATGGAACATCACATGGATAATAATTATTAAACTCATGCGATCAGAAAGTGTACTTAAATTTCACATTGGAGAGGGGAGTGTTGGGGGGAGGCATTACAATTTGTACATGTGTAATTGCGTTAAAACATTTAGTAATACTCCTGCAAATATATATAAGGGATATTACATATGCAGGGATATGTATAACACATATGTCAAAATATATCCAATGGTGCATTTGCTCATGCATGTTGGTAGGGAGTTTGTATGTTATTTTCTGCATGTTAATATAGGTATGTCATAATAAATATACTTTAATAAATATACTTTAATAAATATACTTTAATAAATATACTTTAATACATGTACGTCAACACATGTACGTCAACACATGTACGTTAACACATGTACGTCAACACATGTACGTCAACACATGTACGTTAACACATGTACGTTAACACATGTACGTTAATACTTGTATCTTACTACGTACACTTATTATTTATGTTGTTATGTACGCTGCTGTACATGTATGTTATTACATACAAGCTATTACATATACAAGCTATTATATATACAAGTTATTTTATATGCACTTGTTATATGCACGTTAATATGTGCACATTTTATTATTCTGCACGCTATTATATGCTATTACATATTTTGATGTATACATATATGCACATACACGTTGTATATATATGTACATGCATACATATATATATTTATATATGTACATATCTTTTGCATACACCTTTCCATTTCCGTTTTTTTTTTTTCCTGGTATAAAAACATATATGACACGCTTGTATATATAAGTTCGTATAATTTAATAACACATAATTAATTGGAAATGTATTTGTATGCACTCCAGATATATAACATATGTATGGGGAGTATAAATTGTGCATATATGCATACGGTAACACATACGTATTTGATATATGCCACGTATGTGACGTAAATGATGTATTGGTAATATGCATGATTTATGTTAATTATATAAAATGTTATACAAGTAAAAGTTTTATCGTCCATGTATATATATACAAATGCATATATATATACATATATATATATATTTATATATATTTATATATATAACCAATTTGCATAATGAACTGCGTATCATAATTTTTACTCGTTTTTAAAATAACTGACAAAAAAAAAAAAAAAAAAATTATACAAGTATAAAAGTATATGAAAAGAAAAATTAGAAAAAAAAAAAAAATTCTGTTATATTTTTTTTTATTCATTTATTTAATTATTTTTTTTTTTTTTAATTTTTAAAATATATTTGATTTTCACACTTTCTTATCATAAGATTATATTATTAAGTAATTAAACAAAGTAATTGCAACAAAAAATATATATATATATATATATATATATATATTATATACATATATATATAGAAGCAGCATGGCACTGAAAAGAATAACAAAGGTAATTAAATTGCATTAGCAAGCATGTATATGAACTCAGTATTATACATTCATTAAAGTACACTCTATATACATATATATATGTTTCATATATATATATGTATGCATTACATATAATAATGCTTATACTGATGAGTTTATATTAAACATATTATTTTCCCTTACCCTCACAACAGTAAATATATTTCTACATTTATTCTCGTCTTTTCATTATTGAATGGCAAGAGGATTGTATCATTCATTGCCCCCTCACCCCCTCCCTCATATAAGTTTTTTTTTTTTTTTCTTTTTCTTTTTGTGTTCACATGCACGCAATTCTAGAACATTTTCTTCTTATGTATCGTTAATTTAATTATCCAGTCGAAAAAAAAAAAAAAAAATTATCCCTTTTTTTTTATTATTCTTTTCATCATGTTGTCTTCATGTATGTGTGTATAAATTTGCATTAATATTGGGAGGGGACATTTTTCCCCGTATTGCACACATTCGTGCCACCTCTTAAGTACCATTGTGTGTTATACACAATTTATGATTTGATTGTCAATAGTCATATGCATATTTTCTTACACTTATGTTTAAACTGTTCATATATATAATTTTTCTATATTTATTTTTTTTTTTTTTTTTTTTTTACATTTTTCCTTCCCCCCCCCCCCCCTCCACGTTGATGATTTACATAGGAACTACAAGATTTGAATAAAGACCCCCCAACAAATTGTTCTGCGGGGCCAATTGGAGATGACCTCTTTTTTTGGCAGGCCACAATAATGGGACCTGGCGACAGGTAAACATAACAACAATAATAAAAAGAAGAGGAAGAGGAACAGTAAAAAAAGTAGAGAAGTAGAAAAGTAGAAATACATATAAGAACAATAACAATTATAGGAATAATATTTTAAAAAAAAAAAAAAAAAAAAGAAGCACCAATTGACCATTTCATACAAAAGAGAAAAACCAAAGAGCACATGTGTATACTTACGTACATACTTAAGCCGTTTTTATGAGCTTGCATACAAATGCTTCTTGGCTTATTCACATGCACGTGTGCATGTATGGGTACCCATGTATCAACATATATATATATATATACATGCCTAATCCTACATAGACACGTATATACCCACCTATACATACGTACATCCCCTTTTTTTTTTTTTTTCTTTCTTGCATTCATTTTTTTCCTTTTGCAGTCCCTATGAAAATGGGGTATACTTCCTTAACATAAAATTTCCCCCCGACTATCCGTTCAAGCCACCAAAAGTAATATTCACACACATTCTTGTATCCCCCTTAATTTGTGCAATTACATTGATTGCACACGTCTTTTTTGTTAGCATTATTTTTATTATTATTTTTTTTATTTTATTTTTTATTATTCCCCTATTTATCTCCACACTAACTACTCATTGCTTAAAGTGGATGAAGTTCTATGTTACACAAGACATTATGAACATCGAAACATTTTTTATCTGTGTACTTTATTTATTAACATTTCACATATGTATTCCCGTTTGGGATTTTCTTTTAAAATGTATTCTCTTATTTACCACGCATGGTTTATTTTTCCCTTACGTCTTAACTCCTCCACACCCCTATTTGTTTTCTTTCCCACTTTTACAGATAATCTTCACAACGAAAATATATCATCCTAATATAAATACATCCGGCGCCATTTGTCTGGATATCTTGAAGGATCAATGGAGTCCTGCGTTAACAATTTCAAAAGTGCTCTTATCGATATCCTCATTATTAACTGATCCTAATGCTGGTAAGTAAATTGTTTTTCATATATGAAAATGGAAATATTATAGCATGAAAATGCAGAAAAAAGTTTACTTGTTCTTTTACGATGTCATACACAGTGTGTGTGATCTCTACTTCATACGTTCACTGGTGTTACTTCCTTTTCCCCTAAATATAATGACATCTGAATAGAAAAATGATTATAAAAAATATCCATATGGATATCTTTCCTAATGTAGATATCATTACCATAGTCATTATCATTCCTTGAGAAATGACTTATGCAATGAAATGGAAAATTTTATACATTTATTTATTTATTTTTTTTTTTTTCCCACCATCCAGATGATCCGTTAGTTCCAGAAATTGCTCATGTATACAAAACAGACAGAACCAAATATCATCAGACTGCAAAAGCTTGGACACAAAAATATGCTCAATAAATATTATATAAATAATTCAATATAAATTTAATTAAATCGTCTTTTTTTTTTTTTTTTTTTTTTTTTTTTTTTTTAATTAATTTTTTTTTTTTTTTAAAATAATACAAAAAAAAAAAAAAAAAAAAAAAATTTTTAAAAAAAAAAAAAAAAAAAAAAAAATAAACAAAATAAAACATTTAAAAGATTAAATAGTAACCTAAAAATATGAAGTAAAAAGAACAAAAAAAAAAAAAAAAAAAAAAAAAAAAAAAAATTTTGTTTTTCTTAAATTTTTTTTTTATGCTTTTATTGTTTCATTTTTTTTACTTTTTTACTTTATTTTTTTTTTTTTTTTTTTTTTTTTTTTTGCTTCTTTTTTTTTTTATTTTCCTATTTTTTACCTTCTTTTACCCTTTTTGACAACTATTTTTTTTTTTTTTTTTTTTTTTCTCCAACTATGTGTATATAATATATATTTATATTAAAATGCGCTGAAATTACGCAGAAATATGTAAACATATAAAAGTGTACACATATACAACTTCGTTATAACGAACATTATAAAAGCCTAACGATAATCTCTTCTCCTTTTCATTACACTATTCCATTATACTTTTTCCTCCTATCTCCCCCTTTATGGCTCTATATTGTCATATTTATTTATCTTCTTTTTATTTTCCTCTTGTTTAACGATTCTGTAACACATATTCCACGTTTATCAATCCTTATGTGTACACATATATTTAAGTGTGCACTTTCTCTCTTTTAAAAAATCATAAGAAGATAAAAAGGTAAAAATTAACAACATCATCACACACATGTATAGGATGTATATACATACCATATTACATATCTTACATTTCCCAGCCAAAAATATGAAACCATAAAATATATTCCTATGAGAAATTATTAAAAACGGTTCGCAATACTGTGCCCCAAAACGTTCATTATAATTGCATGCTGTTCATCCAAGACCACACGAGAAAGAAGCCTTAACACAACATAGACAAAGAAAAAAAAAAAATTAGACACACAAGTAGAAATGTAGAGAAATCGAATGAAGATTGCATGTACCCCGTTTTAAACTTGGCCAAAAAATAAAAGTTTCTTTTTTTTTTACTAGGCAATTTATGAACTCATCATAAGTGATATACTTTTGCTTATTAGATTGGATAAATTTTTTTTTTTTTTTTTTTTTTTTTTTTTTTTGGAAACTATTTAAAAGTTGGCATGATAATAGACACGAATTGTTCTTTTCCTATCAATCAAGAAATTTAACTTTACTGCACAGTTGACCAAACGCTGACCTTTCTTTTTTACACTTTGAAAAACTGTTTCTCCATTAATAAATGGAAAAAAACACTTTCGCAAATGTCCACATGCACATGTAAACATTCAATAATGTTTACACCCCACAATATAGACATCGAACAGTAAGCACCATTATATAAGTGCTGAATTTATTATTATTCCTAATTCTTATGACAAATAGGTAGATCATCCCAAGTGTGTCATATGAAATGTGAAAATTGGACAAACATTAAAAATAATATTTTCTTAATTAAATCACGTTTATATGCGTATATTTTTTTGGGGGGGGGGGGGTACATTTAGTAGACCATAGGGATGGTGGATCCCCATGTGTATATTTTTGTATGTTCTTTTCTACATCTAATCGTACATATAATTATGACATAATTAATATAGGTGACACAGTTGATTCATCTGTTAGAGAGTTTGAAGATCAGAGTGGGACCATTCGACTGTCCACTTTTTTTGTTTTGTTTCAAGTTGTAGAACCGCATCCACTTTGCAAAAAAAAAAAAAAAAAAAAAAAAAAAAAAACCATATCGAAAATACAACATCCTATTTGTCACAATATTCAAAAATTGCACAACCCGCATATCTATCATTGACGAGACAAACTGAAAAAAATTTGAGCACAAAAAAAAAAAAAAAAAAAAAAAAAACAGTATAGTACACATACATAATCTCATATGTTTAGTAAAAACACACGATAGATATTAAAGTCGTGAAAAAAAATAAAAAATAGTCGAGAGCTAAAAAATAACACAAATATTTAACAGATTTGTCAAAAATTTAAATAACAAATTAACCCATTGGCAATTTCTTTTTTTTTTTTTTTTTTTTTTTTTTTTTTTTTCTTCCTATGGAGCAATTCCTGAGCTCATCATACGTGAAATACTTTTCTGATGCAATTGGGCAAGAAATTTTTTTTTTTTTTTTTTTTTTTTTTTTCATCCTTTATTTACGTTTCCTGAACACTTTTGATAGTAACTTTGTTATAAATATACAGAACCTTTTGTAAAAACAAGATATGCATTTTCGAAATTTCTAGAAAGAAGAAGAAATTGTACTTATTACTTTTTCCATACTTGTGGAACAACCTGAATTCAACAAAGTTTTTTTTTATGTCTCTTTTTTTCTTCCCCCACTAAACATAATGTATCGAGAAGAATTAGAAAAGCAACGATTAATGCAAAGACATGAAAAACATGTGAAAAATAGGGTAATCGATAATGTAATAACTGATGTTACATATGCAGGACAAGGTAAATAATGTGTGTATTTCTTTTTCTTTTTATAACAAAGCAAATTAAAATAGACAATCCATAAAGTTACAGAAAAATAATATCCATTATAGTGCCATGCGTGTGTGTGCACGAATTTCTATCAGATATATTTTCTTGATCAATTGTTATTACCCCCTTTGAGATTATCTCTTAAAATTTGTTAAAATTTTTGTAACTATTCAAATGTTAAGTGCACAATGTTTCTTATGTCCACTTCAGGAAAAACATACCTCAGGAAAAATGAAGCTGCGTTCGAGGATTACAAAATGAGAGAGAAGGGAAAACTCAAAGATCTTATCAAAATTGAAAATAAGCGGTAGGAGAAAGGGCACTTGTGCTTAATACCAAATCCACTTTGCAAAAAAAAAAAAAAAAATAAAATAAAATAATACGATTCACAAACCAGAAAAATTGCACATAACTGAGAGTGATTTTTGTCTCTCCTTTTTCTATCCCTTAAATTTGTGTCAGGAAGGATAACCTAGAAAGAAACGAAAAAAGATGGGAAATGGCAGAACTAAATGCACAAGTATGTACGTGAATATAAATAAAAATACAATTATGCATTTGATTGATCACATCAAATCTTGTCTTTAATTTTATATTCAAAGGAAATAATGAACATTTGTTGAATCCAGCAGATGGATATTGTCATGGAGAGGGGTTTACATGTTCGTTCCTTTATTTATTCATTTATTTTATCTATATATTTATTCATTTTTTTTACCCATCTATTCATTCATTTTTTTTATCTATCTATTCATTCATTTTATCTATTAATTCATTTTATCTATTTATTTGTTCATTTTTTTATCTACCTATATTATTTTTAATTCTTCATTGTTACATACCATCGGGTGATATCATATCGAAAAAAAATTTACCTCTCCTTATTATGTTGCTCATCAAATTAGAAAGAAAAAGAAAAAACCTGTGCTCTCCAAAAAATGCCATTCAAAAGCGAAAAGAATAAAACTAAGTAATTCGATAACCCCATTTTTGAGGAAAAATAAAAATTTCATTTTCATGAATGTGTGTAGTATTATGCACGTGGCGTGCAATGTGATTATGCCTATAAAAAAGGTAGAAATTTTTTCATAAAATAAAAAAAAAATTAGGAAGACAATGTCACATTCCATAACATACAAACCCTACGCAGGTGCCAACACGACATCATTAATCACGGATATCTCAACTATGAAGAATCCATGAAACTAGAAATGAAAAAAAACGTAATCAAAACTATGCAATGAGCAAAGTGAAATTTGTCTTCCTCTCTGAGTGTCTAGAGTGATGAAGCCTCTCTTCTTTTCCCGTTTTCGAGGGAAAAATAAATAAATGTTCACATAGATAAATAAACAGATAGGTAGATGAATAGATATGTGAACAGATGAATAGATATATAAATTAATGAGTAAGCACATAAAAGAATAAATGTAAATATATATTTTCACTCCTGAACAGATGTGTTTGAGCAACAGGAGAAATTACCTGTCCCAAAAGATAAGCGGGTCGTACAATCCCATCACTGGTTCGTTCTCTTTTCATTTATGCTTCAACACATGTCTCACTTTGCAAACATCTAAATTTTTATGTCTCCTTTTGTTTTCATTCCATCATTGCTACGCTGTCATTTTTTCCATAATTTGAAATGGAATTTTTTTTTTTTTTTTTTTTTTTTTTTTATTCTTGACACAACAATATGCACATATACGCTGTATCCTTTTTTCTCATGTAGGAGAAAAAAGAAATTAATAAAATTACTAAAGCTATTAGGAGATCGCCCTTTCATGTCCGATGAATATTCCATTCATTGAAAAAGCTGCTAATTCATGTAATTTTGTCTGCTTTTATTTTGACAAAATGGGTCAAAGGAGTCTTTATGTTATGTTTCCTTTTGTTTCTTCCCTCTACTCGTGTGTATGCAAGGGTGCAGAAATTCCCCGATTATGAAATTTTAACAGCGTAGGGGTCATCCATGTCTCGCAAAATTATATTTTGAGCCATATTTTGAGCCATATTTTGGGCCATATTTTGGGCCATATTTGGGGCCACATTTGGAAGAACATGTTCAAGATCAAAAGAGCACGATGACGTGTGCAGGGTATAGATAAAACGTGTCGCTTGCATACACATGTAAAGAGTCAACAAGGACGAACTGCACATTAGAAGTGACTAGATCTATATTGAGAGATTCTTCAATTTGGTTTACTTTTATTTCATTGTAGGAAAAATAAGAGGGGCCAAAAAATTTGGAATTGCTTCCAGACGAATGATCATTTTGTTTATATATAGAGTGATTTATGAAATTTTTTTTTTTTTCTCGAAAATTACTTCTGGGTTGCTGATGATCAACACGTATATTACACAACGTACAATACTCATCAATCGCTTTGATAAAAAAAAAAAATTTTTTAAAAATACTTAAATTTTCTTTTTCTTTTTTTTTTTTTTTCAATTTTAATATTTCTTCATAACTTTTTCGAATTATTTTCCACTTAATAAAATTAATAACAACAATAAAATTTTCATCTTCTTTTAAAAAATTAGACCCTTCAATATGTATACCAATACTCGTAAGTGTTACTTTTTTTGCTACAAAATGAATAGCTTTTTTAATGTTGTATTTTTTTTTTATGTCTCTATTAAATTTATAAAACTGAGAATTTTTCATTTTTTGTGCATTTTCCATTTTATGCACATTTTTTACATTTTCATAGTGAATAGAATAATTTATGAACGCAGTAAATACATAATTGTTCATAAAAAAAGGTTTTATTACAGTATCTTCTTTTTTCCTTTCTTCCATATATTTAAAAGTACTTACATATAGTTCTTCATTTGTCAGTATTTTATTATTTTCAACGCAAAATATGCAAACACATTTTGCTTTCCCCAATTGGGAATGCTTCTCTTCCACATTTACATCTTCCCCAAATAATGCAACTGTTTCTTCTTCTCCATTCGTCTTATGATCAGGGGTCAACAATCTTTCTTCTACATCACTAGTGTTTTCTAAGCTGTTCCTCAAGTTGTTCATTTTTTCTACCATGTTCATATCACCCTGTTCATTCATTTCCCATATGTTTTTATTTATGACACGAATAAAATTGGACACCATTTTTTTAAAATTCAATCCCTTCAAATTGTTTTGTCTAGACAATTCCACGTTTATATTTTTAAAATTCCTATATAGCATTAAATTTCGCATGACCATGTTGCACTTCTCCCGATTCATTTTTATCGGGTTCATTTTTAATGACTTTCTTTCTTGCAAAATTGATTTCTTCCTTTTCTTCATAGACTTCTTTGAGGCTTCTATCACATCACTGTCGCTCCTTACAGAATCAGACAATTGAAGACTATTCACCCATCTACCTTTTGAAAAATTGGACATTTCTCCAAATAAACGTTCATATAAATTTTCCTCCCCACTGCAACTTCTTGTGTCTACTATTTTTTCTACATCTCTAAGTATACCAGATTCGTTCTTATTCCTATCCAAGTAGTAGTAATTATATATATCAATGGTTCTATTGTTGTTTTTCTCTTTCATTGCAATTGCATTATTATGTTCATTTGAGTAAGTAGATTCATTAGAAAGCTCGTAACTGATCCCTGTTTGGTTTAAAATGTCGTCTTCTGAGTTATTTACACTTTCCTTTTTTTCTTCCCGTGATGTAGAATATGTACACAAATGAGGGGAAGACGGTGAATCGTTTTCCTCTTTTGTTATATCAACAATACTCATAAAGTTTAATTTTCTTGAAGCTCTTTTTTTTAACTTTTCGAAGTTTATTAAACGGTATATTGCTTCTTTTCTTTTCTCATACTTGTTATAAATCTTATTTCCATCGGGATAATTTGCTACTCCTTTTCTTCCATTCTCATTCAGATTACTTTGCATCACCTCAACAGTGTAATCCTTATTTTTCTCGTCTTGAAATTTATTTATACTTTTGCATCTGTCCATTCCTTTTACACTACCACTTTTATTTTCCTCACCATCTGTATCTCTAGGTTCCGTATCATAGTTCATAAAAGTGGTAATTTTTTTTAGCCTTTTTTTTTTTTTTTTTTTCTCACTAAAGTTAGGATGAACAATTGTTTCCTTTGTGCATAGTCTGTTATATGATTCTAAACTCTTCGTATTTTTACTCTTCTCATCTGAACTGCTACTAAATAAGCACTTGGGGTACTTTCCTCTCGTGCTCCTTTTTCCATCTTCTTTATTTCCCTCTTCAGAGTGATTACTGAACAAACATTTTTCGTCTTTCTCATGTGGATTTCTTTCTTCACTTTTGCATTTTTCCGATTTGTTCGTCCTACTGATATGATTACTATTATCAGAGCTGCTACTGATATGATTACTATTGTCAGAGCTGCTACTGATATGATTACTATTATCAGAGCTGCTACTGATAATACAATTCCTTTTCAATTTTCTCTTTTTATTCTTCACGTCATTTCCCTCAGGAATGTCTTTGTCCTTTTCATTATTACCACTAAAGAAGTTTCTTTTTTTCTGTGGAGCAATAATTTCTCTCATTTTTCTTCTTTTCATGTCATCTCCCGAACTTGAACTAAACAGATTTTTCTCCTGTTCATTATTATTCATTTTTGGCTTTACTAGCTTTTTTCTTACTTTCTTTCTACGTGCAACTCTATCATGTCTTGTCCAATCCCATTTCATTTTTGCTAATTATTTTCTGAACTGCTTCCAAACAAATGTATGAGATGAGAAAATGCAATAAGATAAAAAAAAAAAAAAAAAAATACCCTTTTTTTTTAATGAAAAAATATTTGATTTTTGTTAAATCACATAATTAACAAACCACCACCCCCCTCTTCCCCCCTTTTTAATTTAACTTCATAAAATTGTTTATTCTACCAAGTATAGTAAGAATGCTAAGAACACATAGAATTTTCCTATCATTCGATTGATTTACTGTTCCATTCAGAAATATATGAGTTCCCCATAACTGAGATGTACGTGTGTTCGTAAAACACATTTGGAGATATATTTTTTTTTCAGCTGCACAATGCAATGAGCAAGTAGGGTACAATACATATGTTTCTTCAAGTATATAAGACACAAAAATATAAAAATTTCTAATTTATACTCCTTCTAACATTTAACACACATGTGTTTATTTATTTGCATTTACTTTAATTGGGATATGAGATTTGAGAAATCTTTCATCTTTCACAATATAGCCATTTTTTGCACATATCAATTTACCTTCCTTTTTTTTTTTTTTTTACTCCATTTTGTTCCCTCTTGTCGTTGATTTTGTGATTTTTTGCATACCAGAAATTGAGCTCTGTAAAAAAAATAATACCTGGCCCTAATTTCACACAATGTCGATTTTTTTTTTTTTTTTTTTTTTTCACTTTCCATCTTGCGTGTTCATAAATTATTTGCCTAAAAATGTGAGTTAAAAAAAAAAAAAAAAAAATGAATAGAAAAGAATTTACAACAAGTAGGGATGACACGAATAGACGTGAAAGTGAATGAAGAGGGGAGGCGACGTCACAAGTGTAGTGTAACGAAGGTGTGGTATCGATCAGGAAAAAAAAAAAAAAATGAAGAAAAATGGCGAAGAAAAGTAGTGAAATAAAATAGTGAAATAAAATAGTGAAATAAAATAGTGAAATAAAATAGTGAAATAAAATTGAGAAATAAAATTGTGAAATAAAATTGTGAAATAAAATTGTGAAATAAAATAGTGAAATAAAATTGAGAAATAAAATTGTGAAATAAAATTGAGAAATAAAATTGTGAAATAAAATTGAGAAATAAAATTGTGAAATAAAACAGTGAAGAAACCGCCGAAAAACGAATTTGTAGATATCCCTTTCTGATCCAATGCTTAGATCTGCCTCATACTTAAAAACACAAATGTGCAAGGTTTTCCCCTGACACTGGGAAGATTGATGGGGGGGGGGGGACTCAATTCTACCATGTTCCTAATCATAAATTTTGCAAAAAAAATAAATGCTTCACCATGTTCCTAATCATAAATTTTGCAAAAAAAAATAAGTGCTTCAAGTAAAATCAACATCGAACATGATAAAAAAAAAAAGCTTTTTTCATGAAAAGGCCATCAGACCCATTGTTAGCAAAAGGAATACCAATTTGGTCAACATAAGAAACATAAATGAATTAAAAGAAGAATTAAAAGATAAAATTTACACAAATATATATTCGTACAACGCTATATGTGAAGGTATATACATCAATAGAGGGATAAATGAAATAACAGGAAGAAGAAATTGCGGGAAAACTAGTCTCTGTTCACATATATGTGTGAACCTGTTTTTTAATGATTTGTTGCATTATTTCCACCTCTTTTATTCTACCTATTTTGATTTTGAGAATTTTATAGAAAATAAAAGTATTGAAAATATTTTTTCTTCCAAAACGGCTGACCGTTTGTATGCAATAAGGGAAGAGTTCATTCTAGAAAACAAAAACTTTAAGGACTTCAAACAGTTGATAAAATACTTTATCTCTCAGTTTATCAAGTTATATGGAAATGAGAGAAGTACACACATCGAAAATATACATCAGAGTGATCATAACAAAAGAAAAATATATCGCCATGGCAACAATATTTATGGGCAGAATCATGAGATTCATAGTGAATGCTTTTCCAGACGGAGAGTTATCTATGTAGACTTAGACAACAGCTTTTACATTGAGAGATATAAAAATATGATCCATGCATCCATTGAAAAAATAAAAAAATTACAAAACAGATACATGGATTTTTGCAAAGAAAAAAAATGTTCCCTTTTCCTACTCCTCCTAGAGTGCGATAAGGAAATGAAGAGTAGTTTAGTATCACTGTATAAGAAATATAGTGAATCGTATGATCCGTTCATAAATATTTTTAATGAATATTTAGATAAGTACATTAATAGTCTTACCTTTTTTGACGTATTTAAAAATTTGCAAATATTAAAAATATTTAATTTTAATGAACTCTTCAATATTATACATTTCATTAGCAACGAATTACAAAAATACCAAGAGCGATCGAATAAATATTTCAACAAATACGTACCACCAGATTTAGGAGGAATTGTTTTAGACAACATAAATTATTTATACAAAATACACAAGCCTGTGAAAACGCAGGGCGATAACGAACTTCATATGTTGCTAAAAACTTTATGTAAATTATCAACAGATTATAGAATATGTGTTATGATAACTAACAATGATAATAAATATTTTAAAAAAAAGGAAGAGAAATTCCGAAAAATTTATTCAAAATATGTGTATAATCATATAGTAGTTAAATTCATTAATGAAAAGAGATTTTTTGAATTTAATTTTCCCACAAAAAAAAAAAAAAAAAATACGGATAGTAAGAGCAACTCATCAAGTGACCAAAGCTTGAATGACCTCTCAGGAAATATCGATTGTAGTGATGAAGCTAATGTTCGCAATGTTGAAGAAGATGACGATGTTGGTCATTTTGTTTACAAAGACGATGAAAATGATGCCTTTTTTAAAAAAAGATATAACCAAAGGTATATTAAAATAAAAAAAAAAAAAAAAACATCAAATTTCTGCTTTTTTGAAATAAACGAATTGGGTATTGAGACCGTCCTCATTTGACTTTCCACCAGCATTACCATCACCGCTACCTATGCTTGTGGCAAAATGGAAACATCACAATGAAAAGTAACCGAGCCGTAAGCAGCAACGCTAATATAGAAACTCCTATGGTACAAAGAAAAAATTAGGAGACGTAATTTACCCCAACTATTTTGCACACCCAGTGTATACAGTCCAACATACGCACACGCACACGCACACGCATCGATGACGAAAAATGCTTCAAATTTGAAATAAAAAAAAAAATTAACAAGGTACAATTTTTTTTAATGATTTGTAGTACACCACTATTTTTTTTTTTTTGAATTATGCGGAGTAATCCCCTAGATCCCCTTTATGCTTTCTGGAACCAATTTCGTTAGCAACTCAATCACCGCTGCAGCATAAACACGCACAAGCGTGCATATACATACACAAGGATAAGCACTGTTTCTTTACTGTGCTTCCTCCCTTTAAACCATTAAAAAAAAAATGTGATGCAAGTTAATTCGTCAAATTAGTGCAGCATAAAAAAAAAGACTTTACAGCAAGGTCAACTGTGTGCACATTATTGACGTGAATGAATTTTTCCTTTCTTTTCATTTCTCGCAAAATGTTACACTGTCGTTTATATTTGGGGACCTCTAAAAAGAAACTTAGTTCCTTGATCCGGTTTAACAGTTATGCATGCAACCAAGAAAATATACATACATGCACACATACATTTATGTGCGTTCCTTTTGTTTATTCATAAATGGTGCGGGAAAAAAAAATTCTGTATCATAAGGTCGTACCAATGAGTTCACTGCTTTTGCGTCTTTTTATTTTTCTTTTATTCTGTTTGGACCCAGTTTTTCATTAGGATGACATTACAAAAAAATAATTTTCGTATTATCCTCTTTTAAAATGTTTATAAATGTTCAATATATGTCTGTGTACGTATATATGTATTTCTGTGAATGTACATGTATGTCTGTGCTCATATTTTTATATACATATAAACTCGTGCAGGAAGTTAAAGTGTATTCAAGTAAGCACGCATGTGTGTAATAGTGGAAATGATTGATTATAAGTGTAAAGTATAAATTCTTAAAATATATGGGACAACGCTACTCTGAATGTACATGTAAGAAGGGGGGATGGGATGTCCGTGGGGTGGTAAATCCTACACATACACACACACACACCTTATGAGGGGGGGAGGAGGATCATAAAAAAAAAAAAAAAAAATAATAATAATAAACTCTTGAGTGTAAAAAAGCTGAACTATAAATATATATGCACATATATACATATAATATGGCACTGAATCACCTCTAACCCTTATTTTCACTATAGAATAGAAGAAAACAAAACATAACTTAATTCCCCTCCCACCAGATAGTTTCCTTTAAGATGACAATTCTTTGACTGCAATAATTTTTTCTTGACCACAAGCAGATAAAACACTAACTAATACGGATTTTCCACCATCAAAAAGGGTACGGATTTGCTTAGCAACTTCATCTAAATTTCCATCTGAGTCTTTTGGCAAACTTAGATCATCCTTGGTCTCTCCATTGTCATGAAGTAATGAAACGAAACCATCTTCAGTAATATCGATTAATTGCAATTCTGTTCTTTTGACAACAGGTACATCCATATTATGTGATGTTGGACATATATCTTCATATTTTTTCCCCGTGAAAATATCAATACCTACAATGTGTGCTTTTGCATGACCATGTTTTCCAGTTTTTGATGTTGAATAATCAACTACTTTACATGGATGTTCCTTTAGCATAACATGTCCATTCTTTTTTATTGCACCTGCCTGTACAGGGTAAGTTTGTGACGCTCCTGCATCAATGTTGTCATATGTTTCGTGATCTGACATGTTCAGGTGATTTGGAAGCCAAAAATGGGAAAAAAAAAAAAAAAATTTTTTTTTTAAAACAAAAATAATAGCTAGTTCTTAAAAGAGAAAATGGCTTTTTTTTTTTTTTTTTTTTTTCAATACTCTTTTTTAATACGTGGTGAAAAAAAAAAAAAAAAAAAAAAAGTGTATGTGGTAAAAAGGCTGTACTGCGAAATGCGCCTGAATACAGAAAAACCCAAATGTGATAAAGAATAAAAAGGTTAAAAAAATTAAAAAAGCTAAAAGAGCTAAAAATGTTAAAAAAATTAAAAATGCGAAAATAGCTAAAAAGGCTAAAAAGGCTAAAAAGGCTAAAAAGGCTAAAAAAGCTAAAAACTGATATTCCCCCTACAAACAGAATAATCATACAAAAATGTTCCTTTAGGAAACTCTTCTTAAAATGTGATATATCGTTCTAAATTACTTTTATTTCTTCCACTCCCTCTTTTGGAATTATATTAACTTAAATTTTCTTGATAAATAGATAAAAATAAAAAATAATTAAAACACACTTGGATATACAAATGATTTAAAAATATAAATGAGAATAGGGTACGAACATGTGAATGGTAATGCTTTATTCCGAACTTTTTTTCACTTCAACTTTTGGTTTTTTTATTGTTTTCTTTGTTAACCTTATAAAAATTGTTTGTTCGATATGGGGTAATATATATATATATATGTGCTTATAATATATACTAAAACGTTACTACATTTTTTTTTATTTTTTAAAGCGTTCTCCCTTTATTTTTTTCTTTCGCTCAGAAAAATGGAGCTAACTATTACATACACTCTTGCCTCTTTACTTTCCTTATATCAGTTAGTTAAAAGATAAATTAAATTTTTAAAACACGGAAAAAGGCAACCTTGCCCAGTATATCAAATTACTATTTTATATATTTTGTATACGTTATATGTACTGTGCTTTGGAGTTACAAGAAACGATTAATAAATTTACCCACTTGTGTGGGGGAAAATTAAAACAAGTATGTTCCGAAATGGGGAATCGCCAAAATGGTGAGCTAAAATTTAGAGTAAAACATACATATATATATTCATCAATCACGTATATATATTTTATACATTATATATGTATGAATGTAACGGGAACCGAAAGGAAAATCGACGCATTACCCAAAATTTGCTTCATTTATTTGCATTAATCATTTGCAGGCTTGTTTTCAGGTAACATACGAACGTATTAACACGACTTATGGTATATATATATTATTACTCTCAGCAAATGCTGAAATGAGAACGAATGAATTAAGATGAGTTTTTTTTTTTTTTTTGTACTTGTTGAGGAGGCATAACATTATATATACATTTGAATATACAATGTTTGAGGCGCATACATGTTTATTTACTTATAAACAAGGTATTATGAAATACCATGCATATATATATATATTTATATATATATTTATATATATATTTATATATATATATTATATATGTTTATTCACTGCTGCAGCAGTCACGCGCATAGTAATGACATATTGTAAATGTCGTAAGCAAAATTTTCCCCCTTACAATGTAAAATATAAGAGCAAGGGGGTATATGACACTACTTTCATACTTTTTGTGTATACATATATATATGCAACTGCGTGAACATGTAAATATTTATATAACCAAAAAAATATATCACGTTTTCTTTTTCTGCTAACAGTTCTGGGAAAAACGAAAAATAGAAATATTTTATGATATTGAAAATGTAAAACGAGAAATGGTATTTAAAAGTTTGAGACCTAATAAGTGTTAAGGAATTTAATGCGTAATCCCTAGTTCCTACTACAAAGGGTGAGGAATTGTAATAATGTTAAACTTTTTTTTTTTTTTTTTTTTTCCGATGTACTAAACATGTTTCCTTATTCTAAGCATAAGTTAAAGCATATTTTTATTTCACTTTTGAAATTCCGCACACCATTCAAAATTCCTCATCATCGAAGGGAAAGGGGTATACGCAGCAAGGAAGCATTATTATACGTACAACTGATATATATATATATATATATATATATATATATATATGCATATGCATATGTGAATGTATGTGTGTAGTATATTTACTTCCCCTTCATATGATAAGAAAAGCTATCTTTTTTTTTAATTCACTGATGAGTTCACTTGTTCCCATTTTGTTTATATTATGGCCTGTTACTACTAACCAGTTTAGCAAAAAGTTGGGATTTTCTTCTGTCAATTCGGTAAATACTACAGTACACTGCAACCGGGGGGGAAGTGGGGGAACGTTCTCATGAGTTTGTACACCTAATTCAGCATATTTATGTATTTATCAAATAGGCAGAAATAACAAGATAATTAAATAATTTACTGTTTCCACGAGGTATTTGTGAAATGGATTAGTTGTAAAGGGACACATATATATCATTAAACGTTGTGAAAATAAAAAGAATAAAAAAAAGAGGGCAAAAAGGAAGATTATATCGTTATTTGGATAGTGTCTATTTTTTACATTATATAATACTTCCATCTCATCGAATATGTGAAATTGTTTTACGAATATGATATAAATGATAAACATGTCATTACATATCAGCTTTAACTGTATTTTGCCGAGCATTATTATTTTTTCATATTTTTTATTCTAGTCCATTTTTGTTGCCATTTGATTTTGTCATTTTTTGCGAGGTATGTATTAACCCCTCAAAAGGCGAAGGAAGATCAAAAACCTTCTTAATTTTATTAAACTTAAAAAAAAAGAAAAAAAAAAAAAAAAAAGCTTTTATATTTTGCTACTACTAAGATATAAAATACAATGTAAAATGACTCATAGTTTACAGTTGTTCCTATGAACATGGTCCAATCTAATCTACTTATTTCGTAACATACATTTGTTTGTAACACTTCGCATAACCTTTCCATTAAGGAGTTTTTTTTTTTTTTTTTTTTTACAAGCATTTCCACATCACACAAATTGGTATAAGCTCACCATGAATACGTTCTCTAGTCCCATTGTTATCATTTGGAGAACAGGTCGTAAAAAATAATCACTTCTTTTTATATCACGAAATAACTTTTAATTACACTATATTGCCATAAAAAAAAAAAAAAAAAAAAAAAACGTGGCCTTAAAATGTTAAGTACACCATGTCCTTTAACTATAGAAAAGTTGTGAAAAAATAAAATGTAAAATAAAAATATAAAATAAAAAATAAAAAACATTTTATCATTTCTCATAAAACTACAAATGTACTATTGTACTTTTTTTTTTTTTTTTTTTTTGTAATCTTTGGTAAAAGAAAAAGCGGAATACTTATGAGTGACAAAAACAATTAACTTTTTTTTTTTTTTTTTTCATATATGCATCTTTAACTGTGTACGGGGAAAAAAAAAAAAAAAAAAAAAAAGGAAAAAAAAAAGGGAAAAAAAAAGACAATTTTAATACGAAATTATGCATTTTGTTCGTTTAACACATTCATTACTTTTTTGAATAAATCTTTTTTTTTTTTTTTTTTTTCCTCCCTTTCTAAAAAATATTGCATCATAAAAATTCACTGATGTTACTCGGTATCTTGTTTAAAACGTGATTGTAATCTGAAAAGGGGAAAGGTCCGAAATTGAAAGGAGAAATATGTCTATATATATATATGTACGTATGTACATGTGTGTGGTGCAAAATATAAAGCAGATTATGATTTCCTATGATTTCCACAACATCTACATAATTAACATCCCCATCTTCTTCTCTTCATCTCTCTCTTCTACTTTTTCCTTTTTCGCGTCTTCTTTTTATTCCTACCCGTTTCGACAATATCTCTAAGAGCAGTTAATGCATAGGTTGTGATTGCCAGTGCTAATGGTGCAGAAAAGAAGGGGGGGGGGGGGTGACAAATCGATAAAATGTGATTATAAAAAAAGTCACACATATTTGTAAAAATGTAAATGCACAAGTACTATTCTATCAAATTGTCCTACATGATAATGAAAAAATTGTGCTGGTTGAAGAAAAATTTATTGAAGTTGGGATCATAAAAAATACACTTGGGTCTGCAAAAAAAAGGGTAAGAGAAAACCCAAATGAATCTCATGTTAAGAAAATTCAGCTTATTGTAAATATCTACTTTTTCTTCAAATTCACATGTTATAATATGATGAAAAAGCTTAAAACGTCAGATTATTTTTATTTCTTTTCCTACCAATGGGATTTATCGTTTGGCTAGCTAGATAATAAATTTGTGTAATCGATGCAGCGATGGGTAGAGAACATAGGAAAGACACCATGTACTTATCTGATAGGCTGAGCAATAGATATCAGAGGAATAAAATAAAAAAAAAGTGCAGTGAAAAAAAAAAATAAAATAATTAAATAAAGGGGAAAATAAATAATATATTGGTGGAATCACGTACTCAACATACGCTAAGAGAAAATTAAGACAAAGTAATCATGAAAATTATGACTTTCTATCGGCAGCATTTATAGAAAAGGAAATATATATATATATATATATATATAATGAAAGATAGATATGACACCCTCAAATGGGAAGGAATATCCGTTGTCAAAATTAAGAATTGACAATAAACATGTGCACATTAATATGCATTTTTTTTATTCATGCATTATATATCATTCGCAGCCTCTCTCTTTCTCTATTAACATTTCTTACATGCTTTGAGGACTCTTCAAATCTCCTTCATCAAAAACCCGTGTAAATAATTTTTTAATAATAAGAGCCATTAAGCTTAGCACAAATAAGTGCACTATTTTTAAGATCATATAATAATTTCCTTTGAGCACTAGGAAAAGGAAAATTAAGGGAAAAAATAAAAAAAGAGAACACACATACACACATATGTGAAGGATTGAATTGAGGAATAAATGAATGATGTGCACATGTAACTGGGATAACAAATTTGATTTTAAAAATTCAAGTTCTTAGTGAATACAAATCCAATTTTACACAAAAGCAAACATTGATATGTTCTACTTATTTTTTATTTCATTGCTAACTTGACATGTATATGTATCCACTGAGCCCGTAATCGAAAGCATTTGCTTCGTCTCCTCTCAAATTTGTCAAAATGTCGTATATGAACTTGGCCAAGATCTACAAATGCAAATTGATAGAAGGGATATATTGGACATGTATACTTATAAAGGTGTGCGTATATAGGTGTACATGTAGAGGTGTACATATAGAGGTGTACATATAGAGGTGTACGTGTAGAGATGTACATATTCACACAAGTGAATATCTCATTTACTTGTTCTATTTATGTGTCTTATGCACGTACAAAACAAAATATGTATCTAGTATATTTGAACATAGCTTTAATTGTGTAATCCGAGTTAGCTAAATTGAAAACAAAAGCTGAAGTGTTGGGGTGGGAAGGGGTGAAAAAAAAAAAAAAAAAAAAAATTAATTTTCATTTGTAAATAGAGTCTTTTCCTATTGAGGGAAAAACAGTATGCTTTGACTCATTTTCATCACAGCTTGGATTCTGCTTCTTTTTATTTTTTTTATTTTTTTTTCATTTTCCTGCTTATACATCCGAATACCAATGGCAACGAGCATACAAAGCCAATGTTTAAAATCCCGTTAGTCAAAAAGAACACAATTAGGGCGGTGAAGTATGCTGAAAAGTGTATTAGTAAAAGGGGTGTAAAGAGTTTTGAAACTATTCCTACTGGAGTATGCAAAAATGTTAACACACATACACATGCATGCACGTACATGTATAAATTGGTCTATTAATTTATTTTATTTATTTTTATTTATTTATTTTATTTTATTTTTTTTTTTTTTTGCGCCATGGTGAGTATTTCTCTCTTCCAATGTAACTATTTCTTAGGATTAAATACCCATTATAGATGACAAGGTTAAGGTTGTCTGGTTTCGTGTATGTCCTAAAAATTAAAAAATAAGGGAAATGATAAAATAAATATATATATATATATATATATATATATATATATATTTTTCCTTCGTTTGACTTTATCATATGATAGTTTTGCTCTAACTTTTTCATATGATATGTATATGCTTTGGAGTCTCACCGAATATGCCAATATATGCAAAATATGGTAATAGAAGGAACAATAAGAGGGACATGTATACCTTCATAATTCCGCTAGAAACCTAGAGAAGTGATAATGAAGGGGAATACACATACGAATAAGTATATATGTTTTCATATACACATATATATATACATATATATATATATATCTTTACTTATGTGTGGTCATTTTTAACTCCTAGAAATGTTCATAATTTTGTCGCAAATGAAGAGTGCCCTTTTTTTTTTTTTTTTTTTTTTTTTTACTTATGTAAAAAACTTTACTTGATTAATTGAGTACGCCTTATCCACTGTTTTACTCCATATATCTACAATATAGTGAAATAAGAATTTACCCTTTTAGATTCCTTCATTTTTTTTTTTTTTTTTTTATGAAGAAAATACAAGATGAATATAACGTCAAACCTATTTTGTCCTGCTTTGGAATAAATTTGGACTCATCACTGTGAATTATCCTAGAAAGGAAATTTGCCGATGGGGAAGAAGCTTCTCAAAAAAAAAAAAAAAAAAAAAAAAAAAAATTTTTAAGAAGAGTAGGACAGCAGAAAGGTTGAAATGGATTGGTAAGAATTAAATCAGGTGATAAACCTTGGATTACTCAAAAAGTGTAAAATAGACATGTAAATATCTAGTGGAATATAAAAAGAACACATTGAACTCATCAATTAATCCTCTCAAAATAAAATAAAATTATTCACTCTGTGTAACCAAAAAAGTAGGTAAAACTTCTGAACTCGTCGTCCAAATACGGATCTTGTTTTAGGATGACTCCAACAGCAACTGGTCTTTCTTGACAAAGGAAAAAACACAAAATTAAAAAGATGCCAAGTGCCTTCATCGTTGTTAGTAAAATGTTGTGAGTAGACAAGTGGTTTGTTATAGATGTAAATGTGTATACACGTACGTGTATGTGTGTATACTTAAAAAAAAAATAATAATAAAATAAAGCATAATACAGCAAAAGGAAAGCAAAATAAAAGTGAAAATGCTGCAACGTCGTTTCAAAAAAACAAACACAGTAACTCGGTACGCAATTGGGAATGCCCATACATAAATCAGCATGCATGTACAGGTAGATATGCATATATATAGGTGCGCTTTTCTTTCCCCCTTTTACATTTGCCCATTGGACTCTCAACGCTTGCCTCATTTGCACAGAAATATATTGGTACCAAACTTCCCGTTGTAAAAATTTATTCTCAGTTTAGGGGACATTGTAATGTATGTACATCATTTTGAATTCTTTGTCCAACTATGCAGTTCGAAATAAAGTGAAAAATTTTGTGTGTCACAAAAACAGAAAAATTGTGCACACGCTCCGGATGAAACGGTCATGCTCGAAAAGCTCGTCAAAAAATAAAGAAAAATAAAAACAAAATAAAAACAAAAATTGACATAGAAGTAGGCGTAGAAATGGACGTAAAAAATGGACGTAAAAAATGAATGGAAAAAAATGAATGGCAAACGATGAATAGTAAATAGTGGGCGATCAATTACGAACTGTAATAACAGGAAGGGAACGGTGGATCGCACGGGATGAGCCACGGGGAGAGGACATTTTCCCTCACTCGGGCAAGCCCAACTTAAAATAAATCGTCCTCTGTTAGGGCCTTCCATATGAGTTGAAACTTCGAGTGAAGAATGCTGGCAGAAGTATTGCTCATGGTACTTTTTTTTCTTTGTTTGTCACATAAATCACAAATGTCTTTTATCTCATCATGAAAATGTTTATAGTAAGTGGATAAATCTACATCATTAATTTGTGCTGTATTTTCAACTCCTAATTTACTTTTTTCAATGTATAGAGGAGCGCCATATCTGTCTTGAAAAATTCCTTCAAAGCTGTCATTACAACACAATATAATCGAATTGGAATCTACCATAAAATTTAAAATAAATCTTAAATCTTTATGCATACACATTTTTTCACATTCTTCTGTTACACTCAAACAGAGATTCATTATCTCTATCTCCATGTATATGGGAAAGGGATAGTTATTTTCTTCAACATGTTGACAAAAATATAATAAAAATAGTAGGTATATACAACCAGCTTGAAAATGAATAAGATCTGTTTTATACTTGTCCATATATATATTCTTATTTTTTTTAAAAGTTTGCTTAAATATATCTTTCCATGCACACCATAATATTTTCCACACACACATATTTTTTTCATATCTTGATTTGCATAAAATTAAGGAAAATTTTGTTTCCTTAAATATAGAACTTAATAGCAATAAATCTTTCTCATCCTTTTTCCCCTTTTCTTTTACTTCACTACTTTTATTCATCCATATGTCTAACACATATTCTATATCTTCTACATTGCACTTATATCTACCTGGTATAGCAAAAGGAACATAATACCCTCCACACAAATCACCTACCCTCCGAACATATCTTTCGTCCTTTACAAAATCTATTGTGTACATTCTTTTCATTAATATTTCGTTTACACAATCAAATCTATGTGTTCCCCCCCCATCCTCCTTATATGTGTATATATTTTTCTTATGTTTTGCTTTAAAAAAAAAAAAAAAAAACAAAAATGAACATTATTTATGATACCATTTGTATTCGCTTTTCCTATAAATTAGGCATGCTTCTCACTTCACCTTTTTCTCTTCCAAAAATGAGTAGCACTTTTGTGTAAATAATATTATTGAAAAGTTTCCCCAGTGTCTGTTCACGCAAATTTCCTCAGTTTGGAATAAAATTTCGGGTCTTGAAATTGGATGTGCTTTCTAATGTGTTATTTTTATTATTACCATTATTTTATTTATTATTTTTTTTTATTTTATTTTTTTTTTGCTTCATGCACACACAACAAGGTATACCCTTTCGTAAAGGTTTACTCTATTGGTGTTCCCCACTTCTGTGACCATTTAAGAAATTATCCCCAAAAAGGTAAGATCATCATATATCTTATTTTTCCAAGTTCTTACGTTATTTTAATTCATTTTTTTTTAAAAAGCAACAAGTGGTACGAATAAACAAGTAAACGAATGAACGATTGAGCATATATGGAAAAAAAAACACAACTTGGCTAGTTCCCCCAAAATAGCCAAAATGATTCAGTGGTTTGCATTTTTTTCACCTGAACAATTTATGTTTTTTTTTTTTTTTTTTTTTTTTTTTTTTTTTTTTTTTTTTTTTTTTTTTTTTTATAAAAAAAAAATTTTTTTTTTTTTTTTTTTTTTTTTTTTTTTTTTTTTTTTTTTTTTTCTCTTTTTTATAATGACATAAAAAAAAAAATGTGAAGGTTAATAGCTGTACTGAAAAAAGGAACACTTTAAAAACCTTAGGCTTGGCAAAAATAAAAATGACTGCCAAAGCGTTGCTTGCTTTAACGTAAAAGTAAAAATGGAGGATTCTTATAACCCCCTCCTCTACAAACCCTAACAAAAAATAATTGTTAAAACAAAAATAGAACATACATATGTAACACAGAATAATGAAAAAAGGGGAACAATGAGAAATAGTGAAGTAATATATATGTTCACCAATGAATACATATGTCACATATTACTTAAATATAAACGAATAAAATATAGCCTTTAAGTTACAATGCAAAAATAAACGAGGAGAAGACCACCTTTTTGGTTTTAAACTAGCTTAAACGAATAATCCTAAAAAAAAATCGTCCAATATGAAGAATGTGTAATTTTGACAAAAAAAAAAAAAAAAAAAAAAAGAAAGTGATCCCATCCCTTCCCATTTCAACCGTTTTCTTTAACTAAGCAGTAACAGTTTGTGTTTTATTTTTAAAATGAAAGTTTTTATTGTAAATTTGTGCCTTCTTGTAATCCGTCATTTGGATTAGCCACTAATGGTATTCCTTTTCTTAGGTAGTAGCTTACTGTTCATATGACGGTTTCTCAATTTTACTAATATATATTTTTTTTTTTCTACATTAACGTTAAGGTTAAAAAAAAAGAGGAAAAAAAAAAAAAGAGGAAAAAAAAAAAAAGGGAACCCTTTAGAAGGCCATTTTGTATGGATATCTTTTAGGAACCTTTCCAATCGGCCTTATGGGAAAACAGTACCCAAAAAATATTCAACTACTTCTCCACTCTTGCCACACACACACACACACACCCTTTAAATAATGAATACCGAAATCGTTGGCCTGGAAGAAATTTTCCCCGACTCGTATACACAAGGGATCGAGTTAACAAGCATGTACTGCTTCGAAATAAATAAAGACATAACAAAAAAATGCATAAATGTTATGAAAGATTTTGCTAATAGTCAGCTTCATAACAATTATAATCATCTAAAAAGATGTCGTAAATTAAACGAAAAAAGTGTACAAATACTTGTCGGATTTTGTGCTGAATTACCAGATGATATACTTAACAAAATAGTACAAATAAATAATGGAAAGGAAATAACTATGAAAAAAGTGAATGTCTCCAAACATCCACCTATGACAAGAAAACAATATGTAGAATGGTCTGTACATTGGCCACTTTATTATAGAAAACCGACAAATGAGTTAACAATATTGAAAAATGAAGAAGTAAATAAGTGTGTACATTTTTTAAATGTTTCCATTCACATTGGAAAAAAATTTGGTACTTGTCAGAGTGGATGTGTATTAACACATAATGACAAAGTTATTGCTTGTTCAGGTGATAATATAAAAAATCACCCATTACAACATTCAGTTATGTTAGCTATTGAGCAGGTTTCATTTAAATTACGTCATATGTGGAAGATTAAAAAAGAATTATATACCTCCAAAAATGAATACATCACTGAGGATAATAAATACACAATTAGTGATATGCGATACTTATCTGCATTGGAATGTTCACCTGACGTACTTGACAAAAAATGCAAAATTGGATATGACCAAACGGGGGGGACAAGAAGTGCAAAATGTATGTCGAACTTGGCAGGTGCACTTGATATGGCAGAGGAAGGGGTGAATGGAAATAAAAATGGCAATAAAAATAGCGATAAGAGTGGCGATAAGAATGGCATTAAGAATGACGATAAGAATGGCAATAAAAATAGCGATAAGAGTGGCGATATGAGTGGCGATAACAATATCAGTGTGGTAAATCACACTCGGATAAATACTCACAACCCAGTTGATAACGATCAATATTTATGCACTAATTATTTTGCCTTTTTAAGCCATGAACCCTGTTTTATGTGTGCAATGGCTATGATACATTCACGTATTAAATGTGTAATATTTGACAAAGTTAACCCAGCGAATGGGGCTCTGTTTAGTAGAGAAAAATTACATTGCTTAAAAAAACTTAATCATCACTTTAAGGTGTACAAAGCAATCCGAGCGGTGTCATAGTTTAATCCTTCATTTTTATGGACATTATGCAAAAAGGTTCCCGTATATGAACAGACAACATCACCATATGATGATGTATGTACATCTCGTTTTTAACTTCCATTTTGTATTTACCCCCACCCTCCTCTGTTTCTGTATACCACCTCAAATGGAACAGCACCATGGGTTGTATATATATATATATATATATATATATATATATATATATATATATATGTACTATTTTTTACCCAATTCAGCCTTTTTTTTTTTTTTTTTTTTTTTTTAAATCTTTTTAATTTGCTCCTTCGATATGATATAAGAACTACCTTTTGTAAACCTTATATATGATTCAAATAAACCTAATGCGTATTGATTGTTCTGCTTTCTTTGGTACACGGGTTTCTACAGTTGGAGAGATTGATTCAGAACTTTTTTTTTTTTTTTTTTTTTTTTTTTGGAACACTCGATTCGTTTTTCTTCTCACATTATTGCATTCTCGCATGTACATATTTATGTATATGTAAACACGCACGAAATTTCCTCGCTGCACTCTTTGGCCAACTAAGAAGAGATAGAAGAACAAAACCAACACATTCCCTTTCCTTCCATTTTTGGTTCTATTAACATTTCTTACACAGATATATATTTATTTTTTTTTTTTTTTTTTTAATTCTTTTTATTAGTGTGCAGCTTTTTCTTCAGCTCAATTTTTCACAAAGAAAAAAGAAAAAAAAAAAAAAAAAAAATGAAATGAAAACATTTTTTTATTATAATAAGTTGATCGTAGTTAATGCATCCTTAGAATTAAAAGTAGTGTAATTTTATGCAAACATGAAAAGGTAATTCATAACATAGATATATTAACATATAAATTAATTGCTGCTTGGATATATGTTTGAGACGTAGCCAACCCCAGATATCCGCATATCTTTATACACACACTTTTTTTTTTTTTTTTTTTTTTTTCCCATTCCCCCTGTTACAGAAAACGTCGAGAGAATTTCTCCATCAAGCATACAATTCCGTTATTAACAACATGAGATATAGACTTTTCCCTCCCTTAACATTTTTATCCTACTTAAGAAAACTACACGTGTATTATTCCCCTATACGAAATGAGAAAGCGGATGTCGCTAGGTAAGGGGGGTTTCACTGACTCGAAAGGAAGAATATATAAAACTTGAAGAAGAAATAGAGAGGCAAAAAAAAAAAAAGTGTAGTTGTGCACATGATGTCACCAACACTGTTATGTGTATATCGACAACATGTGCAGATTTTCCATCTGTGAGTTTAATTCATTTGATTTGTCACAAGATCCTTTATGAATATGTGTGTACATATTTATTGATATAATAGGAGACTAATTATTTTCGCGTCTTCCCAAAAAATGAAACAAAAGTATCCTCTATTAACTGTAACATGGGAACTATTAGCGTAAGCATTTTTATAAGCATATACATAACATGTTAATTTAATAACTATTTTACTACACATGTATCTTTTCTTTTTCATTTTCGTTTTCCATTTTTGTAACATTAGTTTATATTCATAACATGTCCCTTTTATCCCGTTGAAGGTATGATAACCCACCGATGATAGAAGTTGAGTACTTAAATGGAGACACAGAAAAGTTCGTTCAAAAAGGAGGGAAGAAAAAAAAAAAAAAAAAAAAAAAATTCACTGTGAGGAAGCTCAGGCGACTTTGTGTGTTCACATTATCCCTTACTACAGTACCTTATCTCTTAAACATTTTTTCGTATCCCACCATTCCCATCTTTATTGAAGGATAAACATAGAATACTTCAGCGATAGGCAAAAGAAAGAAATATTGGACAAATGGAAATACACGGGTAAAAAAAAAAAAAAAAGAGAAATAAAATAGCACCATTCGCAATTTTAAATGAACATCGTTCTCCATTCTTCCTCCTATTTGTGCATTAACAGATTGATAATGTGTCAGTAATGTGCCGATGTTTTGTTGTGTCTTGTTTTATTTTGTTTTGACATGTTTTATTTTGTTTTATTTTTTTATTTATTTGTTCTGTTTTGTTATGTTTTATTTTGTTCTATTTTTTTATTTATTTGTTCTGTTTTGTCATGTTTTATTTTGTTATATTTTCTCCTCCTGTAGCATCATTGGAACCCTTTCCAGAGGTTCTGGCCCCCACGCTTGAGAAGCCAAAAGACGACATTTAGAATTTTCCACAACCTCCTAGTAATTTTTCCATAACAATGATAGTAAAGTTGATCGCGCCTTCACATTAATTATATGCACTTATTCGCAATATTGATAAATGGTTATGTTTTATTTATTTGTCAATATTTATTTCAGAATGTAATGAAGACCACTAGTGGTATGGAACACCATATTAACACCACCCCATGAGTTTCGATAAATGGGTCTCTACATTGATTACTCCTATACTACACACTTTGAAACATTTCGAACAAAGACAAAGAGAATAAAAAAGAAAGAACCATATTTAAAAAAAAGAAAAAAAAAAAAAGGAAAAAAAGGGAAGAAATTGTACCACTCTTGCATTTGTGCACACGTGTAGGGGTAAGTCATAAGTGCTTTTTCCGTATAATTGGACTAATATTGCCATAGGAGAAAAACAAATAAAAGAAAATAATAAAATAGAATTAAATTAAAACACACCTACAGGTAGGTACGTACGTATGTGTGTGTGTGCTTGTGTGTGCTTGTGTGTACATATATACATATATACACATATTCACATATACACAAATACACATTTACCTACACGTACGGCAACATTCGAAATTGTCAAAATGGGATGTAACTAGGGGATGTACAGAGACGTGTAATAGCTGAGGCAATTGTTTTTATCACTTTTTTTTTTTTTCCTCTTCTTTTTTTTTCTCTTCCTTTTTTTCTTCTCCTTTTTTTTTCTTCTTCTTTTTTTTTCCTCTTCTTTTTTTTTCCTCTCCTTTTTTTTTCTTCTTCTTTTTCGTCTGATTCTCCCAGCAACAAATCCATGACGTGATGATGAAAAAATATCATCATGAATTTACCACCTTTTTGCAAATAAAAAAAAAGAAAAAAAAAAAAATAGAGAGGCGTTTTTACGATTTTTTCGAAATTTTAATTAAATTTTTTTTCTCTTTTAATAATAAATAAAAACGTGCTTTACACTTTATGACTTGAGCATATTTTTTATTTTTACTTCCTTTAATTATAGTTGGAAAATTAGAAAAAGTCACAAGTTAGGAATCTCTTCAGATCACGTAGAACGTATAACAATGTTTTATGCAACTTTTCTTTCGCGCTTTTTTCGTACAGTTACTTTCATTTTGAAGAAAAAGAAAAAAAGATGAAAAAAAAAAAATGAACCAAAAAGATGAAGAAAAAAAATGAACCAAAAAGATGAAGAAAAAAAATGAACCAAAAAGATGAAGAAAAAAAATGAACCAAAAAAGGGAACCAAAAAAGTGAACCAAAAAAGTGAAGAAAAAAAATTAACAATCGAACGGGTGTCAAAACACTGTTCTAATGGCACCTATATAAAGGACAAAACTTAGCTAAATTCCGAAAAAAAAAAAAAAAAAAAAAAAAAGTTTCCACCTTTTCCTATTCTCCATGTGCTTTATTAATTTTTAAGTAATCTTTTTCTCTTCTTTTCTGTTCTGTTTTGTTCTTTTCTTTTTTTTATCTCGCCTAACTTAAACGTAAAATAGTTGCAAATGGGGAAATAGTTTTTTTTCTAAGAGTAATAACACACTTATTTAGTCATTCCAAGATGGTGAAAAAAAAAATAAAAAAATTTAAAACTCCAAGAGCATTAAAGACACTAAAAACATTTGAAAAATAAAGAAATTGTACATTATCTATCATTTCAAATTTTGCAAAATGTAAATCATTTTCAAACACTGAGCCATGGTTGTAAACAGCACCATTGTTGACTTTAAATTAGGAAAAAAAAAATAATAATAATAAAATCAAAGAAAAAAATCAAATAATTTTTTTATCCACATAACCTATGTATTAAATAAAAGTAGGCTTCTTAACCACATTTGTTTAAAAAAAAAAAAAAAATTTAGAAAAACCATGGACCTAATTAATCATTACTTCTACGTAGTTATAGGTAATTTAAAAATAAAAACCAATGTACCTCATAAAATGTAATAACGTGTAGATTCATTATATGTATACCATTTTTTCTTCTTTTATTATTTTCCTTTTTGCGTAGTTTATCTTTTCTTTTTTTTTAATGCATACACTGGAATAAAGGTGAACCCGAGGAAGGGCATGTATAGTAATAATATAAAAATATAGAAAAATTAAATAAAAAAAAAAAAAAAAAAAAAAAATTCCAATGTGAAAGGTCACTGTCCTGCTATACTTCATTTGGAACACGAAAATGGACATTTCAACTTTAAATAATAACCCTTTTCTTTTTTCTTTTTTTCTTTTTTTTATATGACCTGTTTGAATATATATACATGTATGAGAGGGTTAAACCGGGATCAAAGAGGGAATATTTCAATGGTGAGTCTTATGATTGCATTTGTACTGTTTTCATTCTTTCGATTTTCTGTATTCCTCATGTGTCTCTTCATGGTTCAGTGTTATGAATTAATATGGGGGAGTTAATTCCACTTTGTTGTTCTCTTCCCATTAAGTTGATATTTAATATTTTATCATTATTATTTTATTTTATTCATTTATTTTATTTTATTTTTTTTTTTTCAGGCCACGATTAGCAGCAACAGCTGGAATGATCCCTCCTGCCACTGTTCTTTAATGGTAACATTTTCTTAAAAAGAGGAAAAAAATGAAACTAAAGTGATATAAAATAAAATAAAATGAAATAAAATAAGATAAAATAAGATGAAATAAAATAAGATAAAATAAAATAAGATAAAATAAGATGAAATAAAATAAGATGAAATAAAATAAGTACACCTTGTCAAAGCGCTCCACCGACAGTGTGTAGTCAAACCAACACATGTCATGATAATGATTATGAAAAAAAGAAAAAAAAAAAACCTCAATGATGAAACGACGAAACGATGAAACATGGAATTGTTCTTGATCTTAGGGCCGATGTTTCAACAAAAGAAAGTGTAACTTTTTGCTATTCCTCCTAACGGGTAGTACAGTCATGTCGGTCATAATAATTGGTATTTTTATACAACGAGCTACTCACCTCCCACTTATGTAAGTTCTCATAAGAAAAAAAGGAAAAAAAAACTCCTTTCCTATCACAAGTGAACATGTGGGCATATATATATATATATATATATAGATAGATAGATAGATCCACATGTGTACATACATATGTATGCTTCTTGCTCTTGTGCACTTATACTTACCTTCTCATGCAGGGCCGAGGAGAAAAAAACAATCGAAAGAAAAGGAAATATAAAGAAAGAAAACCCCATAAAAGAAATCGCAAAAAGAATAAGGAATAATACAGAGTCGTCCCCTATTAACGCAAACAATGTGATATAGACAAATGCAGATTTATCATTATTGGTGACACATATGATCATAGAGAAAGCCATGTTGTCTATTTATAGGAAAATTCCTATGCTTTTCTATTATTAACATACAAATACAAAAATATATACATTAAAACCTTATGATGTATAACATGCCAAATCCGGCAAGGTAGAAATTAGTTATCTATCTATTATACTTTTTTTTTTTTTTTTTTTTTTTTTTTTTTTCACATTTTATTGGCTCATTTTATGCAATTTTAATTAAACCTAACCGCTTTCCCCAATTTTAACACTTCGTTGTAAATTAATCGAATGTGAAAATGAAAAAAAAAAAATAAATGAATAAAGAAATGAATAGAGAAATGAATAAAGAAATGAATAGAGAAATAAATAAAGAAATGAATAGGGAAATAAATACAGAAATGAATAGAGAAATGAATAGGGAAATAAATACAGAAATGAATAGAGAAATGAATAAAGAAATACATAAATAGGGAGATAATACAACCTCTGACCAATATAACATCTTAACAATCATTCAAAATTATTTTACTTTAAAATGTAAGAAATTGGGGAAGTGCCATTCATACCTACTTTACAAATTTTGTTCGCTTTTAAATAGTTGTAAACAATTTGATTCATTTTTCTGAGGTTGGGAAAATGCATTTGAAAATTTCACAAAAATTGAATTACATGTGAAACTACTTACATTCCTTGCACACGGAAAAGTGGAATAAAACGGGGAGAAGTGAAAAGAGAGAGAAAAATGTCTTGATAAAACATTTTTGTCAAAAAAAAAAAAAAAGAAAAAAGGATACGCACTCATGAAACAACTGAACGGTTCTTTATAACCAAATATGAAAGAATAAAAAAAAAAAAAAAAAAAAAAAAAAGAATAAAAGTACCCTTTCCATTCTATATTCATATACTTGCTGTGCATACATTGCAGAAATATGAATCTCTGCACACGATAAAAGACCACAGAAATGTTACAAGAAAGAGTATTTGTGTATTCTGGAGCAAATTGTTTTATACCAACTTCTGTATTAAGTACTCTTCATGTCCACTTATTCTCCCTTATATGTGGTTGATCCGTGTACCCACTTTTTTGAATACTCTCTTAAGATTATTTTGTGAATAAAAAAAAAAAAAAAAAAAAAAAAAAAAAAAAAAATGGACTTCTTATAATTATGACACATTGCTACGACGTTGATCTTCCTTAATTCCTTTCTTTGTCAAAATATATAAAGGCACAAAAAGTATTCCCTTTTTTTTTTTTTTTTTTTTTTTTTTTTTGTTGTGTTTTGCTTCCCTACGTTGTGTGTTTTCTTCATTTTGCTGTGCCTTATTTGATTTTTGTTCAGTTCTCACATTCACACAGGAGTATTAAACACATTTGTCCTGTTCGTATGACTATTTAAAAAAAAAAAAAAAAAAAAAAAAGTAAAATTCATCACATGTGTTTTTTTGCATATAGATAAAAACTTGTCCATACATTTTTTTTCACCCCCTTTTTATTTGGCCACATGCACACGCCTCTTAAGAGTATTTTTGAGAATGCACAAAAAATTGCAAAGAAACGGAAATGCAAACAGAAACGCAAAAAAATAAAATAAAAGAATAACATAAAAAAAAAAAAAAAATACAAAAAAGAAAAAGAAAAGAACAAACAAAAACGGGAAATTAAGTGTAATTTTCATATTTTACATACCGTGTACACGACAAGGATGTTATTCATTTTGATATGAAAATACTTTTTCCTCTCCACAGTCCCTCCCAATGAGACGTATCAAAACACTGTTATTATTACTATTACGTGGAGGGAGGAGAACTTATTTTATTTAACTTTTTTATGTTATTTGATCACTTCTTATTACTCTCTCATTTTGTTTTATTCTCTCACTTTGTTTGATTCTCTCATTTTGTTTAACTCTCTCATTTTTTTTTCTTTTTTCGCATTAACGACTATTCAGAGTCTTTCAGTGACAGCAAATGTGACATGTCCTTGCATTTTGAAGTCTCACTATACGTAGCTCACCCAATTAGGGAACTGCTTGAATTGCAACTCCAAGTTACAGTTAAAAAAAAAAAAATTTTCTTCTGAAATTTCTCACCCCTTACTAACGAAAAGGCATCCTGAGAAGACCTGAATTTCCAAAATGTCTTCAAAATGTTCAGAAGAAGAAAATAGCAATGAAGGCACCCGTGAAAAGGAAAAAAAAAAAAAAAAAAAAAAGGGTAAAACACATATATACTATGTAATAAATAAAGGGAATTACTCACAAGAAGAACGACAAAAGGAGGCAAGTTCTACAGAAAAATTAATTAAAAAGAAATATGAAAATAGCAGAGTTAAAGTACACGTTGAAGACTTCCATACGTTAAGAACTGTTAAAAGGGATGCATCCAAAGATCAAGATGACACAAAAAGTAAACGTGATGAAGAGAGCCATATCGAACTTTGTGAATATTTGGAGGCACGTAGTCGTCACATAGAGTACTTAATGAAGAAAAAAAGACAAAAAATGAGAACAACCAACACCAATAATGGTGATGATAATAATAATAGCAGCAGTAATAGTGATAACAATAATAATAGCAGAATTAATAGTAATAACAATAATAATAGCAGAATTAATAGTAATAACAATAATAATAGCAGGAGGAACATCATTCAACCACCGGATGATGTCGATATGGAGTTTCTGCTAATGTATAGGAGAGGTAGAGATAAAGACACAACAACAGATCCAGCATCTACTTCCACGAGTAAACAAAACTATTCATCATCCAAAAATAGAAAAAAAATATTTTTCCTGAACAAGGATCATATCCCACAGACATCCACCAGTACACCATCGAATTTGACATATAATCAACGTCTGAATGAAGAAGTTAGAAGTAGTTACCATGCTGGTGGGGAAACGGAAGGAACGGAAATTACACACTCAGAAGCTATCCACCTTTACAATATGAACACATGTGAAGCACAAAATCAAAATAATAGTGATGCACAGAGCTCAAACAGTAATAGCAACGAGTCAAGCAGCATCAATCCACAAAATTCCAGTAGCACTGAATCCAATATTTTTTCGAAACTATTTTATAGAATAAGAAAAGCAATTATTGACAGGAGAGGAAACCCTATAACGAATGAAAATATAATAGACAATGATATGTGCGAATTGACAATTGTAAATACTAATATGAACGAAGTAAATAATGGTAATAACATTCTTCAGATTGCAGAAGATAATGAAACTGTCACGCTTCCTAGACACAGCGATAATCAAATTGGAAGAGGAGGAATAGATGGAGGAGGTGTGTCCAATTGTCACAGAAATAGAAACAACGATATCATTTGTCTAAATGGATTAAATCCGAATGACTTACTGAACAGTTCGGTTATTATAAATCCTGATAATATAGAAATGAATGAAATGTTTAGCAATGTTGAAAACGGAATCATTATGATGGGAAGAACTGATTCCACTCCCATTGGCAATGCATCTAATGAAGATGTAATCGACCATAATACTACTAGATCCAACAATGATAGCAGAACCATACATTTAGATTACAGAAATATCCCTCATAAAATAGCTACCTACTTTAAAGACAATATATCCTACGTAAAGGAAAAAATAAAAAACTATTGGATGGAAAGAGTACGTGAGGCAAATACACAACTGACATCTCCTCATCAGAATACAAGTGAAAGGGAAAGGCAAAGAGAAAGAGAGAATGATCTCCACAATGAAGATGAGAATGATGACCCTAGTTGTCTTCAAGTATTGTTTTTCCTAGGCTTAGTTTGTAAATTTCCAATTTTGTGGATTATAGGATCCATTATATTTTGTATCACTCCGAATGAGCATAAAAAAACGAAAATGTGGAGTCTAATTAATACCTTTTTTGCACTCATAAGTGTTATATATTTTATTAGCACATCTAAATTTAAAATACCCAAACCGCTTTTTATGGTCCTTATGGAACCAGATAATGGAGAAAAAAATAACTTAATTGCCAGAGGAATTCTTAAAAATAGTAAAAACATTACGCAAAGCTTAGCAGTCTTTGATGAATCTTCCTCTTTTGAATGGATAGGTTCAAGCACGCATTCTGTTTTTACAACAGGAAGGGATTCTTTTTTAAATTGGAACTTTGTATCCACACAGAAACCGGACTCCCACGTGTTACTGTAGGTTGAACAACGAGTGAGGCGTAAATTTTTTTCATCATTTATTCATCATTTTTTCATCATATTTTCATCATTTTGTCATCATATTTTCATCATTTTTTCATCATTTTTTCATCATTTTTTCATCATATTTTCATCATTTTTTCATCATTTTTTCATCATTTTATTTTTTTTGTCTTTCTCTCCTTTGGAGACGGAAGGGAGCTGGAGCAAAAATATCAGACAAATGAAGCGGCTTTCTCATTTGAATGAATTCGCACGCGAAGGAGAAATCCACGCCCCCCTCTCCACCCCTTCTTTTTTTTAAAGTCAACACACAATTGTATAATTACACATAAGTAGACATACATGAAATACCTCTTGCATCATATACTTTTCCATTTTTTGCAGAAGCAGCAATGCATACAAACTGTTGAATCGTGTACAAGTAACCTTTATTTTCGGAAGGGGCAATAAATATCCAACTGAACAAATCAAAAAAATAAAGACATTTTTTCAAAATATAAAAGAAAACATGAATATAATTCCGTATGAAACGATCACACTAACGGAGAAGGAGTAATTCTCTATCCTTTTTTTTTTTTTTTTCTCTTCTTTTTCGAATTTATATTTATGGCATATAGTTCAACGTTTTTAACCTTTGTGTTTTGTCCTCGTTTGTGCATATATGAACATGTCCAAAAAAAAAAAAAAAAAAAAGAGGAATACATATAATATTTACACACATGCATAGTAACAGCAGCAGTAACAATAACAATAACACGGCAATGGAGATATTTATTTATCCCAACTGTCATCCTTTTTTTTTTTTTGAAGTATCCCTGAGGATTTCTATGGTGGAGGACTCATATGTAATCGAGGTGAAAATAACTTACTAGGAAGTGTAGACAAAAAAATAAACGAAAAAGAAATGGAAAATGCAAAATGGTATTTGTTTTGGAAGGAAGATGATTACTCAAATGATAATAAACGAAATGATTTTGATGATTCTCATTCATCTTATCCAATTGGGGAAGTTTTTTTTTTTAAAAATGAGCACATATGTAGAGTAGCTTTCTTATATCCCAAAAAAATTAATTTCAGCGAAAAAAATATGCCAGAAAATTTTGTTCAGATAAATAAAATTATAATAAAACCTTTCTGAGTTTAACAATGTTTTTGTAAAAAAATTAATTTGTTTCATACATTGTAATATTAAGCATATCCATTTTTTCTCCTTTTCTTTCTACCTCTGCATGTGCATCTTCTTGTGTGTGTGTCAAAATTTGGAAAATAATTCAAAATTTTATGTGTCCATAAGCAGGAAATGTTTTTTTTATATCCATCCTCCCTACATCAGTAGAGGCAGCTGGAGTGGATATCTTTAGAATGCTTTCTTTCCTTCTTTCATTCCCACTTTTGTTGTAATAATACTACTTGTTCTTCTCACCCCACATGTTTTTTTTTTTTTTTTCATTTACTACCAACCTGAGTCTTAATTTGAACTTCTTTCCTCCTCTCTCCCCCCCCCCTCTCTCCAAATCACCCCATATAACAAATTTCATCATTTTTCAATAAATTTTCGTTTACTGCTTAACTGTATTCGTTGATCAATTATGTAAAGTTACTGCACTGTGTGCCTATAGTTATATATGAGTATGCATTAATGTATGTACATATGCACACGTATGAAAAGGATTACATATTGCACCATGTTCGTCTACGTGCTCTATTTTGTCTCCTGCTGCTTCATTTTTAGACATTTCTCTTTTTTAACATTTTAATTGACCCCATGGTATGTTTTTAAAAATAACTACGTTTAATCACATCACAGTGGGGAGGGTGGAATGGAACATCTCCAAGCATTCAAAGTTGAAGGAGAGAATTATAAAAGCAAATAGTTAAATAAATTCACTCAGGGGAAAAAAGTCATAGTGTAAGCGGAACAGAGAAAACAGAAAAGCAGGGAGAGACAGGACTCATGCAAAAATCCAAATGTGTATGCCACGTCACTTTATTGCGTCTCTGAACGATGGTCGTTCACCCCATCACAACCTTTAGCACAATCATTACCACAACGATCCTTCTTCTGAAACCTGCGAATGAAATAACTAATCGAATCGTCTAGCTTTTCAACAAAGCTTTGCATCTCCTCCCGCTCAATCCCAATGACACATGAAAAGGCAATGTATGAAAAAGGATAAAAGTCATAACTACATCCGAAATACTTAAATGTATGATTACCAATAGTAAGAGCATTTCCTTGAATAACTGTGTTCATAAAATTGTTATTCGAGAGTGTATCAATTGGAATTACCTTTGCTTCTTCGTTCTTGTCATTGTTGTTTTCACATGGATTGATAAAATATGCATTATCCTTCTTACCATTTGTCTTATTTGAGAAAATTATTCCATCCGTTTGTATACCCTGTTCAGTAATGTTGTATCTCGTATTAGGGTTTACCTTTTCATAGTGAGTATCTAAAGTGGGTTCTATATTTGTCTGCATCTGCTTCTTACCATGATTCATATTTCCATTTCGAATGAGAAGTGGGGAACAAATAACCTTATGCCCTGTAACATTTCTATAAAAAAGTAAAGAACCAAGTAAAGTAATAATCTTAGGGTCAGTTATATTACATAAATTATATAAATTATTCAAATTAATAGCCATAGATATTTTATTTTTGCTGTTTTTGATTAATGACAAGTTGTATTTTGAACATAATGTAGAAATTTGTTTCTGCAGCCAAATGAAATTTTCTTCTCTTTCTTTTCTTAAATTCAGAATTTTTTTTTTCCCCAATTCAAGTAATGTGATAAACAAATCTAAATATGCATGAACAGGTGTTCTACCAGGATAATGTTTTTTTAATTCTTTCATTTGTTTTTTGTCAAAATTAAATACTATGCCTCCAGTTACTGGGACTAGGAAATTTTTATCACAACTTTGGATAACGAAATCAACTCTTCCTTTTGATTCAAAACATTTCTGAATTTGATTGCATAAATAATTACATTGTAATCCGAATGCATTGTTAATTATATGTGGAATGTCATTTCTTTTACAAATATGAGAAATTTTTACAATTTCATCTGAATTTCTAGGTGCATAGCTAGATGTAACTGACATAACACAACATATTTTCTCATTATATATCTTTATCAATTTTTCTATTGTATCTAAATCTGTAAACAATTCTTCATCTCTATATATCATATCTACTACTAAATATTTTAAGTTGCAAAAATCTATGCATTTATAACATGTCTTATGATCGATTCTGGAAACGATTACATATTCGCTGCTTTTCCTTAATTTCCTAATATACAATAAACAAGTGCTTATACACATCCCTGTAGCGTATGGTAATATGTACACATCTTCACAACCTCTTATTCCAAAACTTTTTATTAAGTCTTTTACAAACCCTGTGGTTACCTTAGCTAGTATGCTGTTTCCAGCACTCTTTGGTTGCACGTCGTCTAGATTTCCCGATCTGAGGAAAAAGTGTAATGAACGTGTGCATAATGTATACATTTAACATATACACATGTATTCCTACCTGTGGATGTTTATAAATATGCACACACATGTGCGTTTAATTTTTCTCTTTCCCATTCAGTTGTGTCTATTATCCATTTTTTACTTTCCCATACCTGCCAATTCCATGTCCGAACCCGATGTATTTACTCCTGACAAATGCACTATATATACGATTTTCTCTTTCACCAATTTTAACATTCTTCTCACTATTGCACCTAAAAAAAAAAAGAAGATAGGGGGAAATCATGTGTTCTATTCTTTCCTCATTTTTTTACAACATGGTATGTACATAAAAGTTTATAATTTTTTTTTTTTTTTTTTTTTTCTGTGCTCACAAATTTTGAGAAGATATATGGTGCAAAATGTGCATAATCGTTATTTCATTTAGACCTTCATTTGGAACCCTACGATAGTTCAGAATACTGCGAAAATTTGGGGGGGAGTGGGTGGTAGTGCAAGACGGAAAACAAAATTATACGTAACTTGTATTTCTCTTGTTTACTTAAATTTGCATGCATATATTTGTTTACAATTATGTTCTTAATGTTCTTAATGTTTTTTTTTTTTTTTTTTTTTTTTTTTCTATTGTTACTTCCATAGGGTGTTTTGCTTCTGACTTAAGGTCTTTTAGTGGTTGTGCCGAACAAAGAAGGAAAAAATAAAAAAAAGAAGAAAAAAATAAAAACAGGTAAAAAATGATAAAAAAAAAAAAAAAAAAAAGGGAAAAAAATATGGGAAGTGATCCAAGTGAAACACGTCACGAATGGACACATCCGTTGTGCATTTGTTTATCCCTCACCCCAACCACAAGCCCTTACATTACTAAGATAACATAGTATAACAAGGCATGTGAAGAAATAATTTCAAAACGAATTTTTTCCACTCTGAGAATATATAAGTACCTGCTTAGATATTAGGGAATATTTATTGTTACATATATCCCCCTGAACACTTTTATCATGATGCACATCCTCCTTTGCTTTGTTCATCTTACTCTTTTAATTAAAACTTTCTAAAGATAATAACATAACACAATGTAATATAAAGTAGAATAAAATTAATAAAATTTCCTAACGATTTTTTTTACATACTGTTGTGTGAACTTGTTTTTATATTTGATTAACATTTCTAATGGACAGCCTGGAATAAAAAAAAAAAAAAAAAAAAAAAAAAAGTGATTATCCTTTTCATCAATTATTTTTCCTCCCGTTTTGCTTTGTCCTTATCTGTTTTATCACATCTTTTAACCACCTTGATATGAGATGCATGTTCTTATATGCTGTTACACACGAAAAAAATAATGTTCGCTACTTTAAAGATCTATTACAAGAACAAAATTTTGACTAAATTGTTCCCATAAGTTACATACAATAAAATACACAGATAAAGTGCATGCATAAAAAACAACATTGTTTCTATTTTTACCAGGTGATACCAAAAAAAAAAAAAAAAAAAAATAAATAAAATAGTTGAAAATTCTTGCAACAATTTGTTAAAATGATCAACATTTGAAAAAGTATCCGATAATGAATACACTCACTTTACTATTGTTGTGAAATATTCTTCAGATAAAAACTTTCTTCCCTTTTTTTAAGGAACCTTTTCATTTTAATATTCAGTGTAATTTTTTTTTTTTCTAATTCAGAAAAAAGATAAAAAAAAAAAAAAAAAAAAAAAAAAGAGCTAAGCAAAACTTATATATAATTCTACAATTTATGTGTCCTTTACAACATGGAACAAAAAATGCGGTAGGAGAAGAAAAAAAAAAAGAAAAAAAGAATAATAATATGAGATAAAATAAACATTTTTATTTCCCATATAATATCAATACTGTAATTAAAGAGTAAAAATATAAAAAAGAAATGAATAAATATTAAAATAAAATCTTAATATATTATCTAGAAAATGAAACCACAGAGGATCACACACTTTTATATATTATTTATGGTATAATTTTAAAAAGTAAAAAAAAAAAAATAAAATAGGGCGCAAAAAAATTACTAAAAAATTTAAAACGAAACTATAACTACAGTAGGGTAGGGAAAAGCCATAGTATAAACATGGGATGAAAAAAAAAAAAAAAAAAAAAAAAAAAAAATGAGATGGTAAAACGAGTAAAAAAGTAGTAGAAACGGGAAGCAGAAAAAGGAGTAAAAAGATGTTGTGCATTTTCTATTTATGCCCGCGTTATACATCGTACCATTAGGTATATATTCATCAGCTAACTGAATCTGTGAAATATACATAAACTGAGAAATACTATATTATTCTCTCTTCAAAATTTTCATTAAAAAGAAAAAAAATTGGCGGAGAATTAAAAAA